GGGTACGAGATGACCCCCCACTATCAATAGTCAAAATGATCCTCAGCTTCTGGGGATTATAAAAAGATATTGTATGCCTCTTCTACAAAGTCCAAATAAGAGCTCAAATATTTGTGATTTACCCTAGATATGGGGAGGAGGATCGTAATTGCAAAAGAGGCATTATTTGGGCGCATCTAGCGCCATCCTTTGGATCTTCCTCTGGCTCGCGTTTTTTCGCTGCTGAATTTTAATAGCCAGCAAAGGAAGACAAAACGCAGCGCCAAATGTGAACTTGAAAACGAGAACTTGCAAATTGAAAATTGAAAAAGAACCCATGGAAGCGAATTTATAAAAGAGTAAGTCATCCACGGGCAAAATTGGAAGTACAGTTAATGCGGTTTAATGATGCGTTTAACGAACTTGGGAATGATCCGCCGATTCGGCTACCGGGATATTTTAAGCAAGCCAGGCCTGATCTGAAAATATGCTTCAAATATTTTTCGACTTTTTTGAGAAAAAATTTCAAAGAGAAATTTAAGAAAAATGATCAACCAGTTGGTCCTAAAGTTGAAAAGTTGCATTGAATTAAATTTTTGTTTTCCAAGGAAAGATTTTTCAAAAGATATCATAATTTCAGCGAAAATAAAAATATTCCTTTAAAAAAGTACCGCGAAGTTCGCCTCGCGAGGCATTGAATTTGAGTGTTCATCCCCAGAGAATCGCTTCTGAAAGGAGCGGAAGCTTCCCGTCGCGCGAGGATCTCTTTAAATGTGCAAAGTGGAACTCGTGAATAGTCTATTAAAATGCTGGCCGATTTCTTTTCACAATTAAGAATCTCTTTATCCATTCACTTTGATTGCTGACTGCCAGTCCATCCTTTTCGCCATCCTTTTTTCAAAAGCTAATTTTTTTCTTCTTTTTTTTCAAGAGAAAATAAGTTACCTCTCAAAACAGCTGTCTGGACTTATAAGAGCAAATGAGTTCGATTTTTATCAAATTTAGCAGTCTCCTGTAAATAGTAGACAGGCTTGTGAATCCGAGCACTGGAAGAACTAAGTATTAAGTGTTTTATTTTTGGGGTAGTTTACGGAATTTATTATTCTGTCAGGTTTTGAATAAATCAGCTGCACGTGTTCCACGCGAAGAGTTTTGATTAATTTTGAAGAGAGTACCCACCGCCGACTGAAAAAAGAAAAATCAAAATAGAATGGCCTCACGGCTGTGCTTCCAATTTCCCAAGTGTGCAGAAGGTTAACACAGTAAATATCGTTTTCTAGGGCATTTTGGCTGTATCCATGCCTTCTTGAGAGTTTGGCCAAAAAATTGGCAGAAATTTTTCATTGGGTTAAAATTTTTCTTAGGCAGAGAAATGAGAAAAGGCCTGCTCGCACCGCAAAACACGTTTCTTGACACGATCGCAGAGAGATTTGACGGATCGCGTAAGTTTTTTCTCGAAAATTAGAAAAGAGGGATGATCGTCTCTTAGACTCAAACTTCGTGCTTGGAAATGCGCAGATTCCAGATCAGTACCCGATCGTCTATTGCTCAGATGGCTTCTGCGAGCTCAGCGGCCTTCCGCGCTGCAAAGGCTCGGTTAATTAGCTCCTGGAGCAAGCTTTAGGGTACTCCACAACTAGCGAATTAACCCACGAACAGTTATGCGTCGATCTTGCGCGATAAGGTTCGTCTACGGCGAGGACACTCGGCAGGACATCAAGGAGAGGATCGAGCGCGCCCTGCGAAACAAGGAAGAGTACCGCGTCGAAGTCAAGTTTCACTTTTACAGCGATCGCGAAAGCCGTGATCAAACAAGTCAAAGTTGCCAGCTTGATATCGGTAGCTGCCAAGAAAGGACTGACAGTAGCTAACTGATTTTATAGTGCCAATCAAAAACGAGACTGGCACTGTCGTTTTCTTTCTCATATCCGTCAAGGACATTTCCAAGTCGAATCCGAAGATCAATTTCGCCCGCGAGCGCGAGGGGGTAAAACAGTTCAAAATGGAACGCTTTTAAAAGGTTGATTCTAGCGCGATCTCAAAGAATGGCGACGTCGTTCAAGAGCGATCCTCTACAATATCTCCGGCAATATTGGAAACATCTCCAGCGCGTAAGTTTCGAAAGTCGTGAATCGAAATTTCCTCGAAATTCAGGGGATTCATGAAATCATCGCAAGGACGAGACGATGTGGAGTCGCGAAATTCAGCCAAGAAAAGCACAATTTCTGAAGCTCTCGGTCGGTCGGTAATTCAGCTCGCCACGTACGTCATATCATCATATTTTCACATCATTTACTTACCCTTTGAAAGAACAGTAGCTGCATGTTTTCTAAACCACCCCGAAACATGTGGTTTGGCTTGGTTGAATTAAAATTAATACAACGCTGAGATCAGCCCACTTTCATTTCTTTTAACACTACATATTCATCTGGCATTAATAAAAGGAGCATTTATATCAACTCTCGACATCGAACTTTATTTCTACTTCTGAGCTTCTTGTGAGCAAATCTGGCAAAATAAGGGTATGCCCAATGATATTTTTTACTCCGTCAGGACTTTATTAAGGGTATAGCCGACGCTCTCACGATCGCCGACTTTTAAAAATATTTGAGAAATCTTCCTCAGCTTTGGGCAAAAGAAAATATGGTTGAAATTAAAATCGCCATTAAATAAAATCAGCGACTTTTTAATCAACCCGAATTTAAAAATTAAGGGTATGCCACTGATATTTTTCACTCCATCAGGACTTTATTAAGGGTATAGCCAACGCTCTCACGATCGCAGACTTTTAAAAATATTTGAGAAATCGTCCTCAGTTTCGGGCAAAAGTAAAATATCAATCTCAGCTAAGATTAAAAAAACTATTTCGCACTTTCTTTGATTTTAAAAAGCCAGCCCCTCCGGCCATTTCCCCGAGGGGATTTGGCTGGAGGGGCTTTTCTACGTTTGGTCAATTTCGGCCCAAGGCTCTCCAAACGTAAAAAAGCCCCCCCAGCCAAATCCCCGCGGGGAAATGGCCGGAGGGGCTGGCTTTTCGACAATCAGACACTCAAGTTCTCAAAGAACTGGATGATCAAGTCGATCATGAAGCGGAGCATATTTTTCTTTGAAATCAACGAGGAGTATAATTGATTCTTTCCCTTTTTTGAGAGGTAAAAAGTTAAAAGTGCGATTGCAGACCTTGAAAGAAGTCTCCTCACGTGCCCTTTTGATCTTATGAAAGATCGAGCTTTCGTGGCCCTAGAAGCACGTGTGCCAAACAAGCGCATAATTACGAAAAAAACTAGCAGTGATTTCAGTGGCTACTTGTTGCTGTTGGCGCCAACAATTACACGCCCACCACGTTTTTCTGTCGATAAAAGACTCTTAAATGATTGCTTTATTGCTGGAAAGTATGCTCCTGTCGAAAGTAGAAGCCACGTGGATAAACATTATCATGTCGGAAATAATAGCAGCGCCCAGCCGCTTCCTGCTCCTCCCCCTCCTCGTGATTCTGCTTCCAAGCACTTTACGTGTCAAAATTGGCCAGTAACTAAATAAATACTTGAAAGTTGGAACATTTAACTCTTGGAGTAATAAAAACGTTACTCTGAAAACAACATCCGGTCAAGCTCCTACGAAATTCCCAAGAGCTTGTCATGACAGCATTCGTCTGATTTTAGAGACATTTTCAATCACAAAATGTGCCTCTTTTCTCAGCACGAAGCATTCGGCTTTTCTCCCAAGGTATCACCCTTTTTTCCTTGTTTGCTCAAAGCGCGTGAATGATGTTACTACCGTTTTTCAAAATGATTCAAAAAATTGCCCCTATCTTTTGGTGAAAGATTAAAAACAGAGATTTCTCTCGATTTCCGAGAAAGCAGCTATTTAGCTCCTCCAAAAAACATATCACTTTTTCGATCTTGGGCGCGCCGCTGCAGGGGATCACTCGAAAAAGGGGCTAGCTTGAGCTGATCTCCCGCAGCGGCGCGCCGAAGATAGAAAAACTGATTTGTTCTTTGGGGCAGCTGAAAAACTTCTTTTTCTTGGAAATCAAGGAAGATTTTTTTTTGCATTTTTTTAATTAGCGGCTCTCAGTCTTTTTCTGACAAAAAACAATGCCTGACAATTTTAGCGACAAGCATGCCCTAAAAAGAAAACCTGAGCAAAAATCAAGCGAATCTCGGCTCAAAAAGTAAAAACTCCCTGAAACGATAAGTCCTTGGAAAAGTTCGATGTTTTTTATCATGACTGTCGTAGATTTTGATCAGACGGTGTCCCACAGTGGCGCGCCCCTCCAATTCTAGATTATTGGATTTTTAATTATTCATGTTTCAAAAAAGGCGCTCCCTTTTGGAATATGCCTATGATTTGAATAATAAAATAAAATTGTGGTAAAAAATGAATACAATGGTATAATTTTCTTACAATTTAGTCAATTGGAACATAAGATATTCGCCATACAAAATCGGGCCTGCAAATTTCCCTCAGTATTTTCCTTCACACTCTAACTCCAGTTTTCATGAGCCGATTTTAATGATAAATAGATGTTTGAAAAGCTCTTTTCCCACATTCAAATATTAATGCATTATTTGAGGAAGTGATTTTTTTCAAATATTTTTTAAATCATGTATAAATGTGGGACATGAGCTCTTCGGATATCTATTTATCATTGAAATCGGATGACAAAAACTCGAGTTAGAGCGTAAAGGAAAATACTGAAGGTAATTTGCAGGCCCGATTTTGTATGGCGAATATCTTATGTTTCAATTGATCAATTTTTGCTAAAATTATACCATTTAATTGCTTGTTTACCACAAAAAATTAATCAATAAATATTTTTCTTTCCTTTTAATTGGACAGATATTTTTTTAAAATCAGATTTTACAAAAATAAAATTTATGAATAGTAGCGGGCGCTCCTCTGTTGGAGATCAGATGCTTAGTGGGTGATCAAATTTAGAGAAAAAAAGGTGGCGCTAGATGTTGTTCTCGTATTTATTTCGAATTTTTTTCAAAAAAGTTCAAATCAATTTTAAAAGAATGCCTGTTTTAAGAAACAGAGAACAAGTCGCCCAACCAGCCCGTTATCAACCCTATAGTAACGGCCGTTTAGAACATGGACGGAGAAATGAAATTCGCCGTCAAAGGGAGCGTCGACAAAGAGAACGACAAGAAGAAATTGACAATGTCCAGACGGCCAAAGGATTCAAGGAAAAGCACAAGGCAAACTGTCAAAGTCAACAAGTAAGTTTAATTTATAATAAATTATCAAAATAACAATTTCTTTAGGTAAACTCCTGGAAAATCGTCGAGTTTCTTCTTCCTGCTCTTCTATTTTCAATTATCAAAGGTGGCCGAACCATCGTTTCCGAGATGATTGGGCACACAAAACAAGCAGCAATCGCAGCGATACGTCACCGGCTTGATGATCACAACTGGGACTACACGCCTCAATATACATTCGACGAATTGCAACATGAGAGGTAATGATTCTTATTTTTCCTTTAAAGATTTTAATCATATCCTTTTAGATTTCTTCGCACTTCTAGGCAATATCTTCGACGAAGGATTTCAAATTTTCAACAAGACTCAACTTTTGCCCTTCATTATCTCGACCGCACAAAGCTCATGATGAACGAGGGCGATCTTGGAAAGCAACTTGCAATATTGATCAACCCCGATATCTTTCACGACGTCAACGAGCAAGCTGTTCTTTTCAAGCTGGACGAACTGTGGTTTAACCACGTCTGCAAGGCCGTCTTCGCCGACTTCTACTGCTGCAAGTGCGGCTTTTTGATGCTGGACGAGCCCGAGCTACTCAAGCACATGCTGGACAAACATCGAAAAGATGTCAAGGCTGCGGTAAGAAATAACGACGACGAAGCTGATCGACTGATGCGAGAGGCTGTTCACGCGTCCTCTAAGAAGATCCAGATCCAGGAATACTTCCGCGATAACCATGCTAGATTCGCACGAGCAAGCAGCTACACCATCACCCTCCACTCCTGGATCAATGGCGACCAAGTCGACGACATTTAAACTTATATTCTGCTCTTCTCATTAAAAATAAACTTCTTTTAGAAAAAACTGTGCCTTTTATGTCTGAAAAAGCATGAAAACAGTCTTATTTTGATGAAAAAAAAAAACTCAGCCCCTCCAGTCACTCCCGAAAAGGAAGCAACCAGAGGGGCTTTTGTTTTTATAAATCATTTTACAAATTCCTCCTTGATTTCAATTTTAAAACTTATTTTTTTTCCGTAAATCTTGATTTATTTGAAAAAATTATCCCAAATTCAAATTCTCCGTGTCCGAAAACCCCTAAATCCTCCCTTTTTTTATCAATTATGATGAATTTCGGCCATTTCGAACTTTTCAGCTCTTGGTGATCTTTTTCCATCTCGGCCGGGCTTGGTTTCTGATCCGCTGCGCTCAAAGTGGCGCTGTTGTTCAGTTTCCTGGGCGTGGCCACCGCCACAGTTTTTTGAACTGAAATGACGGCCAATCAGCGGGCCGCGCGGCGAACTTTCTCACGCCCAGGAAACTGCTCTGTTTCTTGAATCGGAGACATCATCAAAAAGTCACTGAGAAAGCCGGAAGGCGTTGTCAGAATTACCTTCGAAGATCGAGTGCAATACTCTGATATTATCTTCTGCAAGACTTGGGTAAACTTGGCGATTCCGTCGATGTATCTGCCGGTCACAAACTTGTTACAGGTAATTAATCCTTTTTAATGCCTCTCTGATTCTATTGGTAATAAGAGGAGTCAAAGAAATCCGACTGGCAAGGACTGTAAACCGCTGGAGAAATCCGAAAAGAGCGGGACATCAAGCTCAAGCAGCGATCAGACTCGCTTTACAAACCTGTCCAACGAAAGAAACGCGTGTTCAACAAAATGGTGTTGCCCAAGGAACTGAAAAAGGATATTCCTTTCAAAACGAAGATGAAAAATCAGCAGAAACAGATTGCGGGCGTGAACAAGTTTTGAAGCAGTTAGTTTTTATCCCGCAGGACCTGTCGAACTCGAGCTTAGGCTGCATTTTAAGAGCTTCAGAAAAACATGTGCGTTTTTTAAAGTTTTGGATAAATTTATAAATGCTTTTAGCGTGTCTTCGAGATCCTTGTCATTCTTGAAGGTCTGAAACAATTTTCTCCTCACGGCGAAGTTTGCAAAGTCTATCAGCGATGTAGAGAGCGAGTTATTGCTGATGCTATTCGTGATCGCCCTGCTCCAGAATATTTTCTCCTTCTTGTCGGCTTCTGGCTTGTTACGGATGAATTCGTGCTGAAGCATTTTTCCAGTGATTTTACGAAAACGAATCCGATATCTAACAGTTACATGAAGCACGTCATTCAATTCAGCGAGTCCGCTTCCAGTAAATTGCTCTCATCGCAGAGCAAGCTGTTCAAAACTAAATCCATCGGAGAGCTACTGTCAGCTTCTGTCGATGGTAACGGCCTCATCCCATAGGCAAAACTGTATCAACTCGCCGCTGTCATATCAATATTTTCTGAAGAGTCGCCGAACTATACGCCAATAAGTAAACTGGTACCTTTGGAAAGCTCTTCAGAAGAAGAAATCGAGTTTTGGATCTTGCAGGATGACTGCAAGACGTTCAAGAATTCTTCAGATGATTTTCCGCCAATAATTTTCAAGCGATTTGAATTCTTTTTGAATGAAATCTCACCTATTGCTTTTTCGAGGGCAAATATTTCTCTCGAAAGGACAGCTTTATCAGGTGAAGAGTCAGTCTTTTAAGATTTTAAATATATTCAAGCGAGCAAGCGTATTTCGTGGATGATAAAAGAAGTTCTACCTTTGACGACGACCAAAAATATGGTCATTCTGTCGAATAGTTTGAGACTAGTGATCAAGAAACTTGAAGAGCTCTCAAAGATCCTCCCTCCTGGATTCGAGACGTACATGATCAGCTCAAATCTTCATTATCTCTTGTTGAAGCTTATTTGCAAAAGTCTTGTTTATCTTCAATTCTGATGATTTTCAACTGCCAGGAAAGTCTGGACATAGAATTCCCGAAGAGGCCGATGGAGCGGGACGCTGCAACACCGATGATACGTCTCTACTGGAGAAAGCTGGCATCTCTTCGGGCTACTTTGACGAAAGATTCATGTCTCGCGCATTTGGAAATATATTTGAGCACTTTTTGCGACTCCTTCAGTTACATCTTCCAGTATCTTCTACAAAGTATCTCCAGCAGAAATCGCTCTTCAAATCTTCAAAAAGACCTTCAACTAGCTATTCATCTTGGCGCACAGCATCTTCATCTTCTTCAACGGCTAAAAATCACCAATCAAACTGAAAACTTGCGTTCAAAAATTTATCGTTTGTATATAAAACTAATGCTTCAATTCGGCCCTACCGAAGAAATAGCTGCTTTGTCTCCTGATTTTAAGAAAACCCGGTTACCAGAGGAAGAGGCCTATCTGCCAATTACTTCTGATGAATTATTCAATAAATCAGGAGAAGACAGTGATATTCTCGTTGACGAAGAAATTATCAACTGTCAAACTACTTGTAAATCAACTATTCAATCATTTTTCCTGGACCAATTCAAAACATGGGACCCTGAAACATTCATGAAACTGATAACCCAAAGAGTGTTGGAGAAATCCATGCGAGTTGTCCTTGAAGACATAGACGAGAACATAATTATTCCGGTGTTTCAAATTCTCCATCGCACTCATTCGGCAGAGCTGAATGTGATTGGTATTTTAGCAGAAATGTCAGATAATGTTTGGACTCTTTCCAGAAATACTCGGATCTTTTTACTAGGTATATTTTATCGAAAATTCGAGCTGCTTTAATCATTCTTAGAGGCATCAAAATATTACATGCTGAAGCCGGAAAGGGTTATCCTCGAACGAGTCCTGTATTATCTGAGAATGGTTAACACGCCGAAAAATCAAGAACTAGTGCTCTTATTGGAGCAACTTGGTCGAAGCTCGTGTTCGCTAGACTCAGCCGTCTTGGATGCGTACTGTGATCTTACAGTAGACTGGTAAGTTCCCTTGACAAGGAACAATAAGAAATAGTCATTTTAGTACGGAATCCTTCGATCTTGTCTTCGACACGAGTGAGGAAGGGTCACACTCTCCATCTAATCTACTCAGCGCTTCTCTACCTTTCGAAATTCCAGAGCTCGAGGAACCTCTATGGAAAAATATGTCTAAATTGAGCTTTTCAAAAGCTGATTTCAAATCATTCATTGCACTCCGCCACAGTTCTTGATAAAAACAAAACTTTCTTTCTTATTTTCTTAACAATCTTTACTTTTAATAATTTATTTCTTAAATTTATAATGCCCAATATAAGAATGTTGGATGTTTTGACAAAACTTCCGGAACATTTTTGGAATTAAAAAGAATGGGAAAAGCTCAGACTCTGACGCGCTGGAAAAACTTTGCGCTGATCTTATTTCATCCTCTCCTGCGAAAATGATCCAAGTCATTTGCTCTCTGAAGAATATTCTTGCCGACTCGACATTGATCTTTCCAGTTTTATCCGACTTCGTTGGCTTCTGCTCATCATACGAAGTCCTTGAAAGAATAGCTCTAAGTAGCGTGCAGCAGAAAGTCTTCGTTGATTTCCTCAATTTTATCTGGAATCTACCAACTCGCTTTGCAAATGTAAATAAAGGAGCTTTACCGACGAATTTGAAGCATCAAAATTTTATGCAAAATTTGGAGAATCTCGCTTGTTGCCTTTTACGCCAGAGAGATGTCAAGAAGACTTGTGCGTTACTTGATCTCACGTTCGCGAATGTGTCACAATCGAAAGAATCAGCCCTATTTCTGCACGAGTTTGCTCAGATAGTGATAGACGAAGCTGAATTAGCGAAAGACGTTGCCAAAAATCTCCGTTTTCGCGCGAGAAGAAACTTCCTTGAATCATTCATAAACTACTGTCCGCCTTTTTCATTTCAAACATTGGTATTTCCTCTTGTCGACATATTTCTCGCTAAAAACTTCAACTTGCTTCGAATATGCACCGGTCGATTACTCAATCAAAATGGCCAGTTTCACATGGGACGAATTGTTGCTATCGCAGGTCTGGAGACATGGAAACATTTAGTTGACTACTGGGCGGACGAAAACATTGTTATCAAGGTTTCTGTCGATCAAAGAATCCAAGTTTCGAAAATCATTGCCTTCTCAGTCGACTATCTTCCTAAATGTCCGGATGAAATGCGATTGGAGATTATCAACACTGTTTCTTTGGGCTTCAAAACCACTTTGCTCAGTCGGCGTCCGACAATCGAGATATTGGAATGCTTTCTGCCAAGAAGATCATCTCAGTATTTGATTCAGAGGCCAAACTTGACTTTCCAATCACGAATAAAGACCTTCAAGCGGATCAAAATAAAGTTCACGAAGATAGCAGAGAGCGAACAATCGAATTCTTGAACGGTAACCAACAAAAAGTCGAAGATGAAAGAATCAATGCTGGAAACTGTGACGATGATGATGATGATGATGATCGAGAAAGTCTTGATTCCGACGACTTGGAATTCGAACAATTCGAATTCGAAACGCCGAACCTTTCAAAATACAGTCCCCGCTTTCTTATGGAAGCCAGTGGAATTTTGGTCGAGAGAAATCTACCCCAATCAATGTCAAAAACGGAGAAGACTAAACGCAAACTCGCCGCGCTGGAAACAATTCCGTATTTAGCAAAGGTCAATCAGGTTTCTTCGAAGGAGCTTGTGGAAGAGATTTTGAAAGGGATCGTTTATTTTGAAATTGTTAACGATAATGATGCTGCTCTCGTGGGTGATGCTCTAGAATCGTTGGCAGTTGTGGCTCCGGAATTTTATGCTCCTGCGATTGTTGGTAATAATAGTTTTTTGGTACGAACATTTTCTAATTTTTAGGTGAATTTTATGCCGAGTCAATGCCTCTAGAAAAACGGCAGATCATTCTTGCCTCTCTATCGAAGGCCGTAAAGCAATTGGCGGACAATCCCTTCGAAGAACTTGAAGAAGAGATCGCCTTTGAAAAATTAGCGCTTTCCGCAAAAGTTGAATCACAATCACGGCGCTGGGGAAGCCGCCCAAAAGCGAGAAGATGCTCAAGTCTCGGTTTTATCCTGCCGCTGGATATTTTCTTTTTCCTTTCTTGCGCAGCTGGGATTCGAATAAACGAACGTTGATGTTGGAGACGTGCGATAAAGACGTCTTGTCAAGAATGATTGCATTCGTCGGCCAGATCATTTCTCTCTTGGATAATATTCCCGAAATCGAGAAATACGTCCTTCCTTCCATAGATTTTCTCGCGACTTTTAGAAGAATTGGTAATTTGTCAGCGCTTTTCTTATAAAACTCTATCTTTAGATGACACGAATTTGAAACTTGTAATAATCAAATCTTACCAAGTTTGTCTGCTGAGCATCGCTTCAACTAAACAAGAAATCTGGATGGACATCACTTGGAAAATGTGGCTAGAAGAATGCCAATCGCTTGATTGCCCACGCCTTTCACTTGCTGCGACTGACCTTTTGAATCTATTCTAGTTCATGAGTCTACTTCTCCTTGACGGATTTTTTTTCAGAATGAGCGGTTACGAGCCACCAGTCGGACACATTCTGCATTCTTCATATGGCCATGGAGTTTTGCGAGAGCTCGCTGCATTTGACTCCAAAATCTCGCCTGTAAATCTTATGCTGCCGCTTTTCGTAACGAATAGCTCCCCTGACGCCCTGGAACCGATAAATGCGCTGCCCGGAGTGAGTCGCTATGGAATCAACAATCTCATTCCCTTCCTTTCCCAACAAGTCGCCAAAGGTCTTCGCTCAGTTATCATTTTTGGCGTAGATGTCAAATCGACTAAAGATGCTGTCGGATCTAGCGCAGATTGCGAGACGGGCCCTACCATTGAAGCTATTAAATTGATCAAGTCAAAATATCCACAGGTCAGTTTTTAGTTATTATTCATATAAACGCCCATTATCTATGCATTATAATTGTAAATTACAGTAATGATAGCTGTGGGTCGCGGCTGACGTTTGTATTTGTCCCTTCTCCGAAACCGGGCACTGTGGGATTTTCGAAGATGATCGCATGAACAACCAGAAGTCCATCGATAGACTAGCCGAGATCGCAGGCAATTATGGACTCGCAGGTGCTGACTGCGTGGCTCCTTCGGATATGATGGATGGAAGGATAGGAGCGATCAAAAGCAGACTTCGGGAACTCAAGCTTGGCTCACGAGTTGCCGTGATGTCCTACTCGGCTAAATTTTGTTCTGTTGCGGGTTAAATATCGAATAACTAAAGAGTAAGCTTTGAAAATAGAGCGGAATTGATAATAACTCGGGTGAAGCATTTTATGGGCCTTTCAGAGAAGCAGCTGGTTCTGCTCCTAAATTTGGCGATAGAAGAAATTATCAGGTTAGCATTCACATTAGCTAATTTTCTACTTTATTTTTCAGCTTCCACCAGGAGCATCAAGTTTGGCGATGAGATGCAACGATAGAGATGCGAACGAAGGTGCAGATATTTTAATGGTAAAACCGGCCGGTGCCTATCTAGGGACTGTTCTCGCTATAAATTAAATATCCAATTTGTAAATCATGAAAACCGATAAAAGATATTATCTACCGAACGAAGCAAGAGTTTCCGAATTTTCCAGTGGCTGCTTATCAGGTGTCTGGCGAGTACGCGCTACTCGTCCACGGCGCCAAAGCTGGAGCGATTGATTTGAAGAAGGGAGTGCTCGAAAGTCTAACGGCGTGTAGAAGAGCTGGCGCAGAAATGATTCTTTCTTATTTTACTCCACAAGTCTTACAGTGGCTTGACGACGATGAGAAAGCTATTCGAGCTTGCGCAAACTGAGTTAATTTTAAATACAGTTCAAGTTGTCTTTTAAATGCAAAACTCACAAATATCAAGTGCTCTAGAATGGTTGTCCTAAATTTGTACTTGATCCGGCACGGCGAAACATCGTACAATAAAGCTGGCATTTTGCAAGGGCAGGTAAAAGACGCAATAGTCATTTCTGCAAGTAAAGATTTTTAGCTCGATATTCCTTTGAGCGAAATGGGCAGAGATCAAGAAAGTGCTTCCACTCATGAACGCCAAGTTTATTTTCAGTTTATTTCTGATCTGCAAATGAGCAAAGCGCTTGGCCGAGGCGAAAGTTCTTCCCAAGGCTGATCTCGTTTACTCCTCGCCCCTTTCTCGCGCTCTGGAAACAGCTAAAATCGCTACGAATGACATCGGGGAAGAACGCATAATCTGCGACGACTTGCTCAAAGAAAAGGGAATGGGCAAACTCGAGGGCAAGTTGAGGAGCGAAGTTGACTGGAACAGCCCGGAAATGGAAGCAGACGCCGACGTCAAATACAGAGCTGTGAATTTTCTCCGGTCGCTTATCGAAGAGGCCAAAGTTGACAAGACAATACTGATTTTCGCGCATGGTTTCTTGTTGAAAATGCTCTTCAGACATTTCCTTGGACTCAAGAATTTCGACTTTGGCGAGTACAAGGCAGAAGCTAAGGAGACGATGAAGAATACGGCATTCCATCATATTGTTATCAAGAAGACCTCTGGTTGGATCGAATCGAAGAGATACGGGAGAATGAGCGCTTGGGACGGGAAAGCAATTGCAGTTAATAATGCCAAGCATTTAGAAGAAGAACAATAAAATTGGTTCGATAAAATGTTAAAAATGACCATTTCAGAATGCTTCGTTATTGCGGCTCCCTTTTTATCCGACGCACGGCTGCTGTCGATACGAAGAAACTGATCATGCGCCTCCGTCAAGAGTCGCAGCTTCCTCTTGGAACTTGTCGATCAGCTCTGCAGGCGACCAACTGGAATTTCGAAGAGGCGGTCATTCATCTGGAAAAGGAAGCGAAGGCTTTGGGAATGAAGAAGATGGAATCGCTCGGTAAATATATAAGTAGAGTTCTCATCCAAATGTTCTTAGCTTCGCGAAAGACTCCCGAAGGCTGCGTTGGCGTCGCTACAGAGGGAAACAAGGGTGCAATGGTGATCATCAACTGTGAATCGGAGCCTGTGTCGAAGACGCCCGAATTCAACAAGCTCGTCAACACTGTCACTAGCACTCTCCTCGCCAAGGAAGCTGGAGACTTCACCGGCGAGGCAATCGTCGAGTTAGATGGCGTCAAGGATTCACTTGCGCAAGCGATTGGACTTTTGAAAGAAAATATTCAAATTAAATCGGGAAAGGTAAAGTGAAAGTAACAGAGGCTGTGGAGAAAGTGTATTTATTAGGTTGTTGCGGCTCCAAATTTAGGATATTACGTTAGAAATTTCAACAAAGAATATCCAAATAATGGAACTTATGGCTCGCTTGTCAGGTAACACTTTATAAGATCTCATTTATTTATCGTTTATTTTAGCCTTTCTGGTGGTAGCGCGGAGTTGAGCGCTGATTTAGCCGCGCACTGCGTGTTAGAGCTTCCAGACGTCACTGGAGATATTCCTAAAGGCCCTTTGTCCGTTGACGATCTTGCTGCCGACGAGAACCGTCTTCTCTATCAGCCACTCAATGGCGGCCAATCTATTGTGTTCAATGTTCTCGCCGAGCAAAATGCGGAGCTTCTTTCTTGGACTCGTTTTAAAGTCTCTAAGTAATTGACATGAGTCTTCTATGTTTTCAATTCAGAATGGTCTGGGACATCCTTGTCGCCGGTAGTTTGAATGTTGATCAAATCGCTTACTGTTCTCGGCTGCCAGGACCAGGAGAAACCCTTCTTGGCGAACGATACGAGACTGGTCTGGGCGGTAAAGGAGCGAACCAAGCGGTCCAGGCAGGAATTGAGTCAGAATAACTCACATAAAATAAGGGTGAATATTTTTCATGATTCCAAGGAAGCTCTACTATCTGGCGAAGGAAAAGTCGGACTGTTAGGTGCAGTGGGAGACGATCAAAATGGATCGTGGTATCTTGAAGAGCTCGCTAAAACCGGAACGGACTGCTCGAAAATAATAACGAAAACTGATTGCTCGACTGGCGTTGCTCCGATAACAGTTTCGATGGAAAACGGCGAAAACTCGATCGTTGTTGTCCCTGGAGCAAACATGCGTTTAACTGGAGAAGATTTAGATGAGGAAGCTATCAAGGGGACGAAAATTGTCATTTGCCAAAACGAGATTCCAGTGAGTACGACCAAAAGAGCTCTACAACTTGGAAGAGCAGCTGGAGCAAAGACAATCTACTCACCCGCGCCTTGCCCGAGCAGGGAAGACTTTGAGGCGTTCTCTGAACAGATCGACTATCTCATCGCGAATCAAACAGAAGCTCTGGAACTAAGTGGAAAAGAAACTATTCAGGAAGCGGCGACAACTCTACAGGAGAAATACAAAATCAAAAGTGTAATCGTCACTCTTGGCGGAGACGGATTCGCCGTCAAAAGTCAGTGTCTAGATTTTGATTGTTGCTTTGACAATAATGAATTTTTAGGCGAAGGAGAGCTGACATTGCACCCAGTTGTTGAAAAAGTAGACGTGGTCGACACAACCGGCGCTGGAGACTCCTTCGTCGGTGCCTTTTCTTACTCGCTTACCAACGCGCAGAAAACGACGATCGAACATGCCAAATTTGCGTCTATGGTTGCTTCCCGCTCGACAACAAGAAAGGTATAAAAGATCAGATGAGTTGCTTTCTTATTATTTTTCAAGGGAACTCAGAAATCGTACTTCCGTCTTGCGGAGCTTGAGTGATTGTTATTCAACTCCTATGCAGCATAGGCTATGCTTCTTTATTACGCAGTTCTTCAATTGATTTGATTCCTGATTCAACTTTTCTGTTCAATAAATCTTTTCGCTCTCAATAAAAAGCTTCATTTGCGAACCTTCGAGAACAGATGAATTCTGAGTTCACCTGAGAACATCATCGATGCAGATTCAAAAAAGCGCTTGTTTTCATGTCAGATAGCGAGGAAGAATGTTCGCATGCAGTCTGTCCGTGCATATAAACAGTGGCAGGTTTATTTGTGTTAACTCGAGAAAGACTTTGCTGGGATGAATATTCGATTATAAATAAACAGCCGCCGCCGCAATTAGATACCTGCCGCAGCCTCAATTTCAGAAGCCACCTCTAGCCAAATGGGATTAATTTAATTCCGATTACCTTTCACAGGGAATCTTCCAGCGCTTTGATTTCCCCTTGATTGCAAGTGTTGATGGTAAGAGTCATGGCGAATTCTTCTTCTTTTGGCTGGAAGTCAGACGAATCCCATGGAAAGTTCAGATTTTACCTTGTCAAAGGCACTAACTTATTCCAGAATGATCCGAAAGGCTTCCAAAAATGCGGTCGGCTGTCAAATAGTGGGCTTTCGTCGTTCAAATCTGAACTCGTTGAAAGGGGATTATCGATGATTATGAAAATCGGGATCTTGTTTCTGTATTCAGGATTTTCGAAAAAATGAAAAGAAGAAGGAGGACATGAACGTGGCGGGATCATCCGGAATTTGGCAAAAAGAAATAGCGGATTGTCCGGATTCTCATGCTTGTTCATCTCATCCCATTTCAGTGGAAAATACTGTAGTTACTGAATTCCCCAGATTCGTACGTCCAAGCAAAAAAGATCGAGTATTCTTGCCGACCAAATCGTCGAAAATGTCTATCGACTGACGACTGTATTCTCGCGAAATACAGTAATTTTCCTGCCAGAAAAAGCGACGACTTTCTCTCGTCTTTCTTTTCCCGACCTCAATCTACCCTTCAAAATATTATTCCCGCATGTCTGGGTTTAACTTAGACTCGAAATTAGTTACAATTCAAAATTGAATTTTCATTGCAGCAGTAACTTTCTCCAGCAGTGGCTGCAAAAGCAGAATAAATCATCATTCGAGCAATTCGATTCCCAGAGGCGCGATTTTTATCGGATATGGGGAGGAGGATCGTAATTGCCAAAAAGGCATTATTTGGGCGCATCTAGCGCCATCCTTTGGATCTTCCTCTGGCTCGCGTTTTTTCGCTGCTGAATTTTAATAGCCAGCAAAGGAAGACAAAACGCAGCGCCAAATGTGAACTTGAAAACGAGAACTTGCAAATTGAAAATTGAAAAAGAACCCATGGAAGCGAAATTATAAAAGAGTAAGTCATCCACGGGCAAAATTGGAAGTACAGTTAATGCGGTTTAATGATGCGTTTAACGAACTTGGGAATGATCCGCAGATTCGGCTACCAGGATATTTTAAGCAAGCCAGGTCTGATCTGAAAATATGTTTCAAATATTTTTCGACTTTTTTGAGAATAATTTTCAGAGAGAAATTTAAGAAAAATGATCAACAAGTTGGTCCAAAAGTTGAGAAATTTTTGTTTTCCAAGGAAAGATTTTTCAAAAGATATCAAAATTTCAGCGAAAATAAAAATATTCTTTTAAAAAAGCACCGCGAAGTTCGCCTCGCGAGGCATTGAATTTGAGTGTTGATCCCCAGAGAATCGCTTCTGAAAGGAGCGGAAGCGCCCCGTCGCGCGAGGATCTCTTTAAATGTGCAAAGTGGAACTCGTGAATAGTCTATTAAAATGATGGCCGATTTCTTTTCACAATTAAGAATCTCTTTATCCATTCACTTTGATTGCTGACTGCCACTCCATCCTTTTCGCCAGCCTTTTTTCAAAAGCTAATTTTTTTCTTCTTTTTTTTCAAGAGAAAATAAATTACCTCTCAAAACAGCTGTCTGGACTTATAAGAGCAAATGAGTTCGATTTTTATTAAATTTTGCAGTCTCCTGTAAAAAGTAGACAGGCTTGTGAATCCGAGCACTTGAAGAACTAAGTATCAAGTGTTTTATTTTTGGGGTAGTTTACGGAATTTATTATTCTGTCAGCTTTTGAATAAATTAGCTGCACGTGTTCCACGCGAAGAGTTTTGATTAATTTTGAAGAGAGTACCCACCGCCGACTGAAAAAAGAAAAATCAAAATAGAATGGCCTCACGGCTGTGCTTCCAATTTCCCAAGTGTGCAGAAGGTTAACACAGTAAATATCCTTTTTTAGGGCATTTTGGCTGTATTCAGGCCTTATTGAGAGTTTGGCCAAAAAATTGGCACAATTTGAAACTGGGTTAAAAATTTTTCTTAGGCAGAGAAATGAGAAAAGGCCTGCTCGCACCGCAAAACACGTTTCTTGACACGATCGCAGAGAGATTTGACGGATCGCGTAAGTTTTTTTTTCGAAAATTAGAAAAGAGGGATGATCGTCTCTTAGACTCAAACTTCGTTCTTGGAAATGCGCAGATTCCAGATCAGTACCCGATCGTCTATTGCTCAGATGGCTTCTGCGAGCTCAGCGGCCTTCCGCGCTGCAAAGGCTCGGTTAATTAGCTCCTGGAGCAAGCTTTAGGGTACTCCACAACTAGCGAATTGACCCACGAACAGTTATGCGTCGATCTTGCGCGATAAGGTTCGTCTACGGCGAGGACACTCGGCAGGACATCAAGGAGAGGATCGAACGCGCACTGCGAAACAAGGAAGAATACCGCGTCGAAGTAAAGTTTCACTTTTACAGCGATCGCGAAAGCCGTGATCAAACAAGCCAAAGCTGCCAGCTTGATATTGGTAGGTGCCAAGAAACGACTACATTAGCTAACTGATTTTATAGTGCCAATTAAAAATGAGACTGGCACTGTCGTTTTCTTTCTCATATCCGTCAAGGACATTTCCAAGTCAAATTCGAAGATCAATTTCGCCCGCGAGCGCGAGGGGGTAAAACAGTTCAAAAATGAAACGCGTTGAAAGGTTGATTCTAGCGCGATCTCAAAGAATGGCGACGTCGTTCGAGAGCGATCCTCTACAATATCTCCGGCAATATTGGAAATATCTCCAGCGCGTAAGTTTCGAAAGTCGTGAAAAATTTCCTCCAAATTTAGGGGATTCATGAAATCATCGCACGGACGAGACGACGTGGAATCGCGAAATTCAGCCAAGAAAAGCGCAATTTCTGAAGCTCTCGGTCGGTCGGTAATTCAGCTCGCCACGTACGTCATATCATCATATTTTCACATCATTTACTTACCCTTTGAAAGAACAGTAGCTGCATGTTTTCTAAACCACCCCGAAACATGTGGTTTGGCTTGGTTGAATTAAAATTAATACAACGCTGAGATCAGCCCACTTTCATTTCTTTTAACACTACATATTCATCTGGCATTAATAAAAGGAGCATTTATATCAACTCTCGACATCAAACTTTATTTCTACTTCTGAGCTATTTCAATAATTAATTCAGGCTGCGGCAGTTCAGGGAGCAGCAGAAAAATGATATTCCGGAATATAAAATGGCCTCAAGGATGCCCTACGGCGTGGTCTTGCATTGCGGCACATTTAGGTAATGAAAAATGAAGAATTACAAAGAAAACTTCGTTCAGATCAACCTGGGATTTGCTCATCTTCATTTGTACAATTTACGTGGCTGCCTTAGTTCCTTACCAATCAGTCTTCAAAGACTCAGACTACGATCTGCAAACGTGAGTCCTTTCTTATTTTCTCTCTTGAGGCCATGCCTTTTAGTGCAGCTGCTAAAAATGATTTGTCCATGATAAATCGTTCATTCGACGTTTTTGTAGAGGCACCGGGGTGTTATAACATTGATCTAAAAACATGACACTAGAGCCTATTTATGGGTCCAATTCCATTTCGAAGTATAAACCGAAAGATTCTCCTCCATGATTTCATAAAAGATGACACCCAACTCGACAGGCGGTATTTATTTTCGACGTGATCCTAAACTTTCGCACGACTTTTGTGAGCAAATCTGGCAATGTGGTCTTCAACCCTTCACTAATTTCCCGCAACTACATCCGCTCCTGGTTTCTGATCGATCTTTTTGCCGCGATCCCGATCGACTTATTTACCCTCTTTATTAATTTCCCACCTGACACCAGCACTTCCGCATCGAACTCTGCTAATGATATTCAAGGTAAATTTGAAACGTATTTCAAATAAATATCTAAATAATATATTATTTTATCAATAAATAACTTAACCTAAGTATCGTTGAACAATGTACAAATGCTGAAAATTCTACGTCTACTTCGACTAGCAAGAGTTGCGTATAAACTGGAGCTTCTGACTCAGTACGGGGCAATAGCACTGACTGTATCGGTCTTGATCTTTGGAATGATGGCTCACTGGCTTGCCTGCGTGTGGTACCTGATAGGATGGAACGAACTCAACAATCTCAGTAAGTGTTAACAGAGTTTATTAACTCGAGAACAGATTTTGTCCAGAAATCTGGATCTTCCAGCATAAGGAAATGACCCACTCCGTCTTTATGGCGATAAATCGATCCCGGGAGAATCGCCTTCAAGGAAATTAAGCTCACTTTATCCTAAAGGAAAAACGAACCTGAATTGTTTCTCCAATAATTGCAGGAGCAACTGCATCTTCATCGCCCCATATGATCGCACTGGGGATATCAATTTTCGAAAAAGCCTCGTGCCACGAGTATTCAAATGCATCGCGATCATTGAGATACCAGATGGACTTGTGGAGTAGTTGGCTGCCATCTTTAAAGTTATTCAGTGCGTGAAGGCATTGAATGTCTTTTTTATGGTCGAAAATACTGATGGCATAAAATACCATCTGGTATGAAAATGAAATATTTTAGATCATTTCTTGTTGTCTCTCTTCGAGATCTTGAGTGCTTCCCCAAATTTCGTTGTAGCTTTTGTCGGCAAGCTTGGGGAAATGAGGCTGAAGGATAACCAGAAGTCGATTCAGCCCTGGTCCAAAATAGGGGTTTCTGGAAGAGTTCGCGTAAGAACAGTTGAAAACTTACTGTACCTAAGTAAGTGTTGAGCAAGTCTTAATTTGGCGTATTTAAAATTGATGCCACCATTTGTAAACGCAACTCCTTTGATATTGAGAAAGTCCGGTAGTGTTCCTCTATGTCGCCGTTTGACCAGTTCAGCTAGAACTGTGTCGCCCATGTCATGTCCAATGCAGATGACATCCGATAGACCGAGTTTTTTGAACAGCATGATGGAGTACTCGGCGAGTTCGAAAATAGAAAACGTGAAGTTTTCCTTCGGTTTGTCAGAAAAACCAAAGCCAACGTGGTCATAAACAATGACGGGGCCATAGTTCTGTAGTTTATCGATGCCAACTTTGTGATAATCGTAAGAGCTTCAATAACTTACATTCGTTGATCTCGTTATTGTGAGTTTACCTTGACGGAAAGCCATGAATCAAGACAATTGTTGGTCCCGGGTCATTTTCTCCATTGAAGGGAAATTTCCTCACAAACATCTCGTACCCAGATACCTCGATCATTTCTCCCATAGAATACCACTTTTGAATATTTTCAGGTAAATCCTTGATCTCAGGCGCTTTCGGAGGATCCACATATTTTTGGGTCAAGTATCCAATTAAAATCGGAACCGCAAGTACCTTCGCTATCTTTCTCATTATCAAATAGCGAAAAAAAATTGCGGAAAAAGACGCCCATGTTTGGCAAATAAACCCGAAATCGGATCTGATTTGTCATGATTTGATCTTTTGAACTTTTGAAGAAAGCAGAATTCAAAATCAAGACAAACCCAATAATGACAAAGAATAATTGACAAATTAGCAATGTGTTAAATTAAATTTTCAGATCGAGTCAGCAACGACACGCGCAAAGTAGGCTGGCTATATGAACTTTCTAATTCGCTGCAACGCGAATACGTCGTCGAAGTCACCAATTTCAGGTAACGTCATTATTATCGCCATTAACTCAATTTTGAATTTATCCAAATCTTCAGCAACCAAATCACTGGCGAGCAACACGAGCGGGTCTGGAACAAGCATGGGCCTACTATGGTCGAGCGTTACACAACCTCGTTGTATTTCACGCTTTCTTCGTTGACGTCAGTCGGGTTTGGCAATGTGTCAGCGAATACCAACAATGAGAAGGTGTTCTCCGTCTTGGTGATGCTTATTGGAGCATTAATGCACGCAGTGGTCTTCGGAAATGTCACGGCGATTATTCAGGTACCCTTCCTTGATTTCATTATACCGTGATAATAACATGAATTTCAGCGAATGTACGCAAGAAGATCTCAATACGACACACGAATGCGCGACATGAAGGAGTTCTTCACCTTCGCCCAGATCGACAAAAACCTCCAGCGACGACTCATCGACTATTTCAACGCAACATGGAGCAAGCGAAAAGGCATGCAACAAGTGGACTCGACTCTCCAAACATTTCCAGCGAATCTGCGAGGAGAAATTTTCCAACACTTGCACTCTCAGTTTCTGAATCTGCCTGTTTTTCAGTATACTTCGCCGAGTTGTAGAAATTTCATCGCGCTCAGAGTTCAGCGAATGTTTTTTACGCCGGATGAATTTCTTGTTTATGAAGGAGATAGGTAAGCGAACCCCTTAAATTCAGTGAAATTACCATATTTAAGTCTTTCTCATATATATCTGGTCATTTCCGGGTCGATGGAAGTCTCGCGAGATGGACAAATAACAGCAATCTTTGGAAAAGGAGATTTATTCGGATACGACCCAAAGGAACAGGTTAAAGATCGATTCCACCTATTTATCGTTCAATATCTTTTATAACCTTCTTCCAGCTAGCGCAACGCACTCGAACTTCAGCTTGTCGCTCGTCTGCCAATGTTCGAGCACTGAGGTGATCCTTCAGTTACTTTTCTTTTTCAAACTGCGCTTAGCTACTGCGATTTGCAGTACATATCCGCCTCCACTTTCCACCAGCTCTGCAAGCTTTTTCCCGAGTTTACGAAGCGCTTTATAAATGAGCTCTCGTCGGACTACTCTTGTAACTTGTGGGAATTGCATGAGCCGGTGAAAGAATCGATGAGCCAGAGTTCCAAGCGTGCTCAAATTCCTTCTGTTACAGGTGATTTAGGTTTTGGTTCTTGGAGTAAGAAATTATAGTTTCAGAAGCTGTAGAAAAGAATCACAAAAGCCAGTCTTCGAATTGCTACGATGATGAAAATCTTAAAGCGTCTTCAGATGGTAAGATTCATATGAAAGAAACTAGATTGATTTTTCCTAAAGTAAGCGATCAAGAAAACATGCCCTTGCTTGACGGGTTATCTGGCTGGAGCCCGGAAATTGAAGGAGACAAATCAGATGACGACTCCTCTTCAGTATTCGCGGGAGATAGTAATTTAGCATCTGAGCGACTCAGGTGGTTTAGCGATCCGTTGACGTTGGGGAGAAAGTCGTCAAAAAGAGTCACTTGGTCAGATGATTGTTCGAGGAGGTCAAGGTATCTCATTCGTTAATTCTTTATTTTACATTAAAATTTATAGTGCTCCAGTCATCTGGCCGACAAAAGACGACGATAAAACAACTGAAAGTCAAACAAGCAATCGCGATGATCATGTAAAAACTTTGACAGAAAATGTAGCAGTTTTGAGCGATCGGTTAACTGTTTTACACAAAGGTACAGCGATTTCGAAGTAAACAATTTCGGAATTTTGCTTGTAGATATTCAGCGAGTATTCACCGTACTAGAAGATATTAAATCATCACCACAGCTGCTTTCTCCATCTTCAGCGAGCTTTTCGACAGAAGGAACTTGTAATATTGATAGTTATATTGAGATACATGACAAAAAATAAACACTCAACTCTGCCTTGCCAATTTAATTAACAGTTTCTCAGAACAATTTCCGCTTCACGCTCATCTGTGAAGTGGAGATCAAGCAGTATGTCAGTTTTTGCCTCCTGGAGAATCACGAGACTCCCCGAAAACTTGTCGAGTTTTTTCGTCACTTCTGGAACCATCCTAAAATCCATTAGGTGTCCTAGTACTAAGAAGACGGTGATACTCACTCAGATCCAGAATCGCATATTTCTAACGACTGGCATTCATCCTTACAAACAAAAATGCTGAAGGCTCTAAGTTGGCACCACTCTTTCAGCATTCGCCCATTCAAATTTAGAATTCTATTCTTTCTCCCAAGACTTTTTATGATGGTTGCACACTCTCTACCTCCACCAAGCGTAAGTTTTCCACCAGCCGTCCAGCCGACAGGAACCTGACACTGTCCAATTGCATTCTCAGTGAAAAGCCGTCGGCGGTAAAACGACGACTTAGTATTCTGATTTGGAGACATAGACGAGTACCAATCGATCCCAGTGTAGAATTTCTGATTCTGTTCTTGATTCTTTGCTGAAGAAAGAAGAACTTTCTCATCATTCATAATTATTCTTTGTGGTTCCATTTTGTATGGCTTCCATTCGAGTTCGATTCCCTAAAAATGATTTTTGTTCCAACGAAGAGTAAAAAGATATTACTTCAAAACAAGCAGTGTCATGGCTGAGCCAGGAAATCTCTACAGAATTCAGCCTTTCCGCTGAGTCAGGAAGGTCTATCAAGCATTCATCAAGCTTGCATAACGGTGAGGGTAAACTGATGTCGAAGTTTTCAATAGAAAATGACCAAAATGGAAGGTAATCTAGTCTAATGTTTGGTCGATGATGAGAAGGATCTTCGTGGTCACCATCTTTTCCGCAGAAACTTTGAGAAACCTGAAGGCTCGTATCGATTACTTTCCAGCGAATAAAAATACTTTCGAAGGTTTTAAAATAAATAAAATCATTTTCATTAAATATAATGCTAAAAAGCAATTAGAAACCCTTTCTTGAGTTGGACCGACTGTCAGACATGAAGGTTACCGTTATTGGTTCTTGCAGTGGCTGACCAAAAACTATACGATTCGATTGCTTCCTAAGCACCTCCTCACAAATGTATTCGTGGGATTGCGAGCTTCCGATCCCTTTTGAAAGACGCAAGAAATTGTTGAGAAATACAGGTTCTTCCGTATCGCATCTGGAGTACGGTAGAGAGATGTTTTGAACTTCGAAGACCAGTTTGCTGAAGAAAAATTTCAAATTATTCGATTTTCAAAAGACTTACGTGAATCTTTGAGACAAGAAAAACTCCCATTCTGTTCTTTGCTTTCTTATTGAAAGCCGTTCAAATTTTAGCCTGTCCACTTGAGCATGATCTGAAGAAATAACTCCAGCGTCACCAACTTTTAGATTTCTGTACTGAGCGAAGTAAGTAAATCCCTGCGAATCGACATGTCCTCCTCCCGGCTCTAGAATTGACTTTTGAAAATCCTGGTCATTTTTGCATAAAAATCCATCGCCAATGAATCCCTGCTGACATCGACATTCATATCCCCCGACCAAGTTTAAACAATCCGCTCTTGTATGACACAGCTTTGCGTTCGGAATCGAACACTTATCGGGATTCAAGAAGCCGCGTTTATGGAAAAATTAAACAACACGGTCATTGTTGAATCCTGACACTCGTCTATGTCTTCACAAGAAAAATGCCCCTCTTCGAAATTCGCTACGGTTCGATATCCAAGCTTGCATTGTCGGACGGATAAAAGCTCGCTAAGCTTGAGGTCTTCCATCCTGTGGGCATCTATATTCGATGAATTGTGCGAAAGCACTGGCGGTAAGCATTCGAAAGTCCCGATAAGGTCCACGCAAAGAAAGTTTTTAGCGCAGACCGCAGGGAGAAGAGAGCACTCGTCTATGTTTTCACATCGAAAATTTCCCACTCGTTCGAAGCCTTCTTTGCAAATTAAATGGCATTTCTCTGATTCCCTTTCTGAAGAGCCACAGTAACTTCCAACCGGGCATTTACAAATTTTCTTTGGCGAGCAGTTGCCTTTGAAATCTCTGTCTCCTCCACAAACGCATGTATTTTTCACAGGATCGCAAATACTACTTCCATAACAAGTTTGGCAGGTCTCTACAGTAGCACCGACAGTTCCAAAAAAGTAGTTCGGCAATTTTCGAAGGCTAACCAGAGATCTGACCGGCTGAAGATGCTGCTGCCTTATCTCACGATAGCTGCTGCTATTGTCAGAATCATCCGTTGCATTTTTGCAGCAAGAAGCAGGATTGACATTTAGCAACTGTTGGATTTGCTTGAAAGGGACAGTGAAAGAAACTCCAGCTGGAATCAGCAAGATGCCACTTTTTTCACTCTCTTCTTCAACCAAGTCAATGGCCAAATGATCCACTTGAAGAAGAAATTTCGCCAGGCAAAGATTACTTTCGCCAATATTCCTTATTCTTATGCTTGCAAGATCATCAAGGGAGATTCGGACATTGTCGTAACCTTCCGTATTTTCGAAGGTGAATCGGAATCGCAGTATCTGGCGTTGTTTTACGAAATATGAGTCGTAGAGGCGGACTGGCATCTTTCCGAATTCAACTTCCATCAGAGTATCGACGTATTCGCCGGCACAAGTCGAGACATCAACAAATAAAGAAGTCGGATTTTCAACACACTGCCAGGTTGAAACATCTCCTGGCGAGTCATTTACCATCATCCACAAATTATCAAACCCTCTCAAAACATTCAACTCAGTCCCCTTCTGCTCCATTCCGATTTTAAGTCTACTGAAGTTCTTTCTCGGCACAGAGTTGAGCTTATACCAGTTTTTGCCATTATCAGATAGTTCAGTCACGTGGCGAAGGCGGGATTGGACAAGTTTGCGTCCTAAGCTGCGACAAAGTTGGCTCAGAGTGCGTTTAGGAAGAACGTCATCTAAAATCGTGTATTTCTTTGAAACTTTGAAGGCGATTAGGGGTCCCCTTTGCCACGGATTGTCCACAGCTTTTTCAAGATCTCAACATCAAAATTCGTCAATTTCTAATAAGAAAAGTGATCTATCATCATATTTTCTGAAACCTTTCATTCATATTCCATCTCTGCGTGCCTAAATCCTGCACGCTCCAAATCTTGCTCTCCAGTCTGGCGAAATCCTGACAATCTCCGGAAGAGACAAAAGCCAGTCGTTCCGAGATCGTCCAAGTAAAGTTCAAAATCCGTCCGCCAGGAAAGTTCTTCCGACTCAACCAGAGTTTCCTCCCCGATTTTTCATTAATTGCTTTGTAGTGGACTTGTCGAAAATCTCGAACGGGAACCAGAGAAAAGTCCAGTTTGTCGGGAAGGTCATGAAGCGCGCCATCAAGCACTTCTGTTCTCACTTTGATCGGCTGCTTTTGCACCTTGAATTTCGAGCTGCAGCGAATCCATGCCCCCGGAAAGTATTTGTAGCACTTGGTCATTTTCAAATAGGCAGTGTTCATTCCAACGAGTTCAATCGAAATCCTCGTGTAATTTAAATTCAGTCGCCAGCTTCGAGGCTCGTTTTCTTCACTTCGAAACGAAGCTGACAGAAAACCATCATAAGGGCGGCGAATATAAATTGCTCTCTCATCGGGCCGAATGTAGAGACCACTCAAAGACGCGCGTAAATCTCCGTCAATGACAAATATCCCGTCAATGGCATTGCCACTCCCGGCGACAAGAAGAGCCGATTCCAAAATAAGCTGCTCGTCATCTTGGAAGATGACCACTGAAATTATGCATGAGTGGAAAATGAAGGCTGATTATGCAATTACCTTCTGTATTCAGGGCGTGCAAGGAGAGAAGGGGCGTAGTAGAACGCAGCTCGAGAGTGTCCTTTGCACTGGGCTCGGAAACCTGTGTAGAAAACATGAGTCAGGTTCTTAAAGAAAATTTGAAAACTAAGCTGCTTTGCGCCGCTGCTTTGCGGCTACGTTTTCAAAAAAACCGCTACGCGGCTTTTCATTTTAGCTCTTTAAAACCTGACTCAGATTTTCTACACAGATTGCCGAGCCCAACCTTACCATTGATACTCCAGCGCCAGTAGTTGATTGATTTATCGTCTGTTTTTGATATCAATACTTAGTCAAAGGTCGATTCTGCTAAAACAAGCTCTACCAGAGTTGATCAAAGATTAATTCTCCCTGTTCCTTCTCTATTTACCAGATGTCGATAGTACTCATTTTCTTTCAAATAATCTCCATGTATTTTCTCCGCGATCTTCTCTGGAATCGCTGGGGAAAGAACGAAAACCGAGACATGTTCGTTGCAAAAAATCAAATTTATATTCAGAATGAAAGAAAGAAATCTCATAACTCGCTGCTTCCTCTTGATCTTTGACGCCGGGTATGACAAGTTTACGACGTAATTTAAGCCACGTGAAAAGTAATTTTTGATCGGGCGCCAAATTGATGCGTTAATCAAGAATGAGTGATTTTATTCAGAATAAAGACAGAAACACACACTGTTCGAATTATAGCACATTTTGACTGAATATATGACCGTGTACTATTAGACAATGAAATAAACAGAGCAACATGATCTATGGCTTTTGAAAAAATGAGGAGCAGAAGCGGAAAAAAAGACTCAATCAGGAGACTTTGCAGTTGTTGACTTTCTCCATCGCCATTTCTTGAAGCTCAGCCGCCTTTGCTTTGGTTTCTTCCATCATTTTTTCGGCTTGTCCCATGATGCCTAAATATGATATCGTTAGAATAAGACAGTTTTTTGGTATCGTTTCTTATCGGTTATTCCTTGAAACAATGTAAATACCCGGGCTCGTCAAACTGAATAGAAAACCTGAGTCAGGGTCAAGTTGACCCGGTGAACCCTAACCCTGACTCTAACCCTAACCCAAACCCAAGTTGCCGAGGCCAGATATTTACATGTCACAAATTCTTTCCCCTTTTCGATCATCTTATGGAATCAATAAAAGGAGAATGCAGTAATTTCGTGGTGGTCATCTTTAATTGACATTTGTTGTATGCTATCCTTCCCCTGGGCCCTGATCAATATTTTCCTAAATTGAATTATCCTTCCTTTCTGCCGTGATACAGTAAGTGGCTGTGCATTTTATCGATTTTCGTTATGGCAAAGAATGGCAGCAGAGCAATGCTGAGAATCGCATAAATATTTAAAATAAAGGCCGGTCTTCCCTACATGCAGCATAAATATCACTTACTCTCGTCAACGGCTTCTTCGTCCGCCATTCCTTGAAGTCCAGGCGGTACCGAAATGTTTTGAGCGGCTTCTTCGGCCGCTGCTTTTTCTTCGGGGCTTTTGATCGAGTACTGAATAATTTAGTAGTTGCTAAGCAAGTTTTTAGGGTTTTTCTGACTAAGAAGAGCCGGCAATGCTCTTGATAAATGAAATGTTTATCAAGTAGGTGGGTTCTTGCGAAAAAGGGTGGATGAATGGAATGACAAATTTATGCACCGCGAGAGACAGTTTCAGCCGCACTTTTGAATTCATCGTTCATCTGATGATCTCACTAAAATCCGCAAAAAGACGCTGCAAAATCGACATTTCACAGACCCTTCTCCACCTTTCTCAATCTATGATTATGTAATTACTAATTACCTTGTCTCTTATTCCCTGGCGCATTCCTTCTCTAGCATTTTCCTGCTTTTGCCACTTCTTTTGTCTGTCTTTCTCAGCATCTTCCATCGCCTCAAAGTCCCTGTAAGATTCAACATCAGAATCTGAAGCTGTACCTGTAATTGTTCCTCTTGGCGTTTAGCTTCTTCTGGATCGACTTCAGTTTTTCCCGGCATGTTTGCCATCAGGTCCTTCTGAGCGCCTTAATAAATTGTTAATGGCACTAATTGCTTCAATTTCAAAAAATTGTAAACCAGATGCTGCAGTACTCGTTCTCTTTTTATGAGTCTTAATTTAAGAGTGGAAATAAATCTATTTAGCATTTGGAATTCTTAAAAATCTTCGAAACTCTTTCTTGAGTAAAAAGATTCATCGCAAAATAAAAGTCTTAAAAACTTCTAAAACGCCTTCTACAGACTTCTTGATTTTCTACTTTTAAATTGCAATAAGCAACTTACCTCCGAGCGCTTGTTTCATTACAAAATTCATCTTTGCGGCTTATCTCTTTGGATTAAAAGATTATTAATAACGCGCCTTAAATCGGCGTATTAGGGTAAAACAGCGGTAAAAACGAAAGGGAAGCAACTAGGGCGGAGCGCTACTAGGGACAAGCTAAGGAGCAGCTCAGGCGAAATTCAGCTACGTTTTCTTTTGAGCACCACTGCTCTGCTGCCTTACTCCCCTGGGGCGGGAAGCGGCGTGACCTGCAGTGCCGACAGTACAGCCAAGCCAGGTTACTAAAATAAACCAATATAAACTCCAATCACTATTTCTCAACACAAATATTCAAACAAAAAGTAAATCGTTTTAGAACCAGATTTTCTTGTTACACTATCTCCAACTTCATCTCCGATCTAGCCGTCAGCCGCGACCTGTCAGTTCACTAAAGACTTTGCGGCGATTCATGCGGCGCTGAGTGGCACCAATCTGCATAACCGGGCGGTTCATTTGCCATTCGGTTCAACTCGCAGCTTTTATTTTTAAAATCCGATTGTCCAAGAGAGCGAATGAAGAGTTTTTACAGTTTAGTGCTATTTTTTGGATCTTGCAAAGGTCTCGATTTCGTCGGCTTCGAAAGAGATGAGCAGGCGATGAGCCGCGAGAGGCGTGCACAGTTTGGTGGCAAGAAGTTTAATAAGTTTTACAATGCGTTCAAGAATCGAGGCGATCCGTACAGACAGGGTTTAGGAGAGCTCATCACTTTAAAGGAGTTTCTGTGGCCTCATTAATCTTTTAAACCCTAATGCTAGAGTAACTCAGCCTCCTGTTAAAACAACCATTCCAGACAGGGTTCATTGTCGATCTAGCTATCTTATTTTTATCCAGAATTCAAATTGAACCTCCGCAAGCCACGACATCAACTCAGGCTCTTCCTAAGATTCCCCCTGCCAAGTCGTGGACTTCCAGCCTTCCGAAAAAATCAGGAGAGTTTGAATCAGAATTTCAAGATTTCGACCCGAAGGACTATTCCAAGGAAGATCCAATTTACTTGGAGACCCAGAGAAAAATGGCCTCATTGAAGATGAGAGAGCGTACCCTTGCTGGATCATCCGGTATTGACTTGGCACGAGCATTGGTCGTCGACGATAGCTGGAATCAGTTGAACAAGCTGACTCAGCTGATGGAGATGATCATGTACTTGCAGGAATGGAACGGCAAAAGGTCGATCAATTGACAACTTGTCGATAGAGCAAATTGATAATTCCAACAAAAAGAACGAACCCGTCTTTTCGAAATATTGCTTCTACGGATGTTGGTGTTTGCCTTACGGGGCCGAAGCAATGGGAAAAACTGCTGGCGAGCCAGTTGATGAAATTGACGCGACCTGCCGTGCGAAACAGCTTTGTTACAAGGTAATATATCTAACAAAAGCTGTATAGGTGTGGGCAATCAATATATTTTTATTCGATGTAAAATTCGATGGGATTACTCTCTCGGGAGAGATATGGACAGATGCTGCTTCTGATAAACAGTTTGATATAAAGTCAGTTGCATTCAGCTTCGCAAAGTGTTGGATTACCTTCCCAAACCATCGGACGGGTCAGATTGTCGATATGGTTGTGAATTATTTCAGACGAAGTAACATTTGACCCATTCCACTCAAAGCGCTCAATGGCATAGGGTCTTAATTTGTTTTAATCATATATCGAATCATCGCTTACTTTTTTCGTCCGCTAACAACAAAGACAGAGTTTCCGATAACAGCTCCAGAAGGATATGTTTGTCGCTTGAACAAATTACCATCGAAATGGGAAAATACTTCCTTACCTCTTTTAGGTAGCCTACGACAGACCAGTTTGTTCCCGTAAAAAAGTGAACCGCTTTCTTCTTTTCCCAGTTATAGTCTGGTTCTTCGGCGACACCGCCGAAGAGAAGGATTCCATTGGAGACTGATAAACATTCGTGTCCATATGATCCTCTTCTCCTATAATCAAATTCTGAAATTATTTTGAAAAGAGGCTTACTCATTCATGGTAACTCCCAAAGTCCATCCACTGTAGCCAAGGATCTCAACTTCTCCATGTGTCGGTTCGCTACTTCTTGTGCCGCCAATGGCGTACACATCGTCGTCGTAGTATGCCATGCAGCCTTTCTGATGAGAATATTCAGTTGTGTAGGAAATTTCTCGCATCTGGTTTCCGTCGAATCCTTCGCAGTATCTGTAGGGAGACTCGCTGAAGCAAATGTATATTTCTTCTTCATCTGCAGTAGAAGCTCCATAGTAGGAATCATAAGGAAATAGCAGTCGTACATCAAGCTCCACCACCTCGCAAGCATCAAGTTTGGCGATTTTCAACTCATCAGAGCGCCCCCCGAAAAAGTAAATGTCACCTTGGAAGATTTCATGGCCGATTCTGTCGAAGTATCCGTATTGAGAGCTGGCCTTTTCTGGGGGAGAGTCGTAATGCCGATTTTCTCGGAAGCTTCCGTCCGCGCTGATGACGTAACTCTCTTTGTAGTGGTAGTTTTCGCCGAACACGGAAACGTAAGATTGACATTTGAAGCTGTCACAGGGACAACCATTTGGACAGTTGTCCATGCAAGGGCAGTCCATCTTATCGTTCATAAGTTCAAGATGGCATTGAGAATAGCACTCGTCGTCGGCCATTTCGCACGATTTTTTGCACAAACTTTCCTATAAATTTTTAGTATAAAATGTTTGATTCTAGCCCTGAAATTGACATGCCTTTTGAACAGCTTCGTTTTTGCACTGCTGTGAATACATATTGCTCTCAGCATCACAATTACCGCACAGGGGATGATCACATCCATCACAACCGTTTGGACAATTGATATTGCATGGGCAGTCAGCCATACAGGCAGAATAGCGATTTACGCATTGAGTCTGGCAAGTGTTGTCAGAGCAGTTCTGCGTGCAATCAGTGTAAATTAGACGACACTGGTCTAGACATCTTTCCTCAAGCTCCCAATCCTTGCATGTCTGTTCCTGTGCTAAGGAATGCACTGCTAAAAAGGCGAAGATTTTCATCGCAATTATCTTTGAAACAAATTAGTCTGAACAGGCGAATTTTATGGGAAAAATTTGGTATTTACTTTGAATATCTAAATGTAACACCGTTCTGATCTATAGGTCACCTTGAGCATAACCGCGGTTTCAACGGAACAGCAAATATTTCTCATGTTATATAACTGACCTATTTTTTATCGACGTAGAATTCTCAGGATGCTTTTAAACTTCTTGAAATACAGTAGCATTTAATTTAAATCTATTTAGTGTGCTCAACTCGATTACGGTTCCAATTGCAAATCAACTGTTGGCTATCGATTCAAGGGATACTCCCAGGATGGGGAACGGAAACTGCAATGCTGTAAGTTCTCTCACAATATAATTGTACAGAAATCGTAGCATGTTATTTCAGTGGACGAGCAAGACACCTGCGAAAGAGCCCTCTGCGAGTGTGACAAACGGTTGGCAGAGAGATTGAGCTACTTGGAAGACACATCAAGGTGAAGTATTTAAGTTTAAAAATCAATTCTTTATCAATTATCTCAGCTACGACTACCACAGCCAGTACGGTGACTTCAATTTCTCTGAAATGTGCGTTCCAAAATGCCAGAACTGCCAAAAATGGGACGAGTGCTGCGGAGAGTATCCCGAGCGCTTTCCGTTTTTCTCTGATTTCGGAAACAAAGGGTGCTGTGGAAAGAAGACCTACTACAAGTCCGTCCTCCAATGCTGTAAGAATGACATTTTGCAACCCAAAGGAACATGCCAATATGGTTATGGGAAATAGAAAGCCCGCCCTGTGCTGCTCAACTGTATAATGAAAATATATCTTGTCATTGTTTATAAAGTGTTAGAATGTCTGGACAGATGTTGCCTCTGATTTATTTTGATTTAAAGTCAGTTGCATTCAGCTTCGCAAAGTGTTGGATTGCCTTCCCAAACCATCGGCCGGTTCAGGTTGTCGATATGGTTGTGAATTATTTCAGACGATGTGATGTTGGACCCAGTCCATTCAAGACGCTCTATGGCGTAGGGTCTTAATCTGTTTTAATCAAATATCAAATCTCCACTTACTTTTTTCGCCCGCTAACAACAAAGACATAATTTCCAATTACAGCACCAGAAGGATATCGTTGTGGCTCAAATTCGATAACAATCAAATTGAATTAATTCTACGCTACCTCATTGAGGAAGCCAACGACAGACCAGTTTGTTCCGGTGAAAAAGTGAACAGCTCTTTCCCAGTCGTAGTCTGGTGATTCGGCATTACCGCCAAAGAGAAGGATTCCATTGGAGACAGGCAGACATTCATGCCCATGCGATCCACTTTCCCTAAAAATCATCAGTAAAAATTTTGGTAAAAGAGAAACTCGTTCATAGGAACTCCCAAAGTCCACCCACTGTAGCCAAGGATCTCCACATTTCCATGAGTTGGCTCGTTGCTTCTCGTGCCGCCAATAGCGTAGACATCATCATTGTAGTATGCCATGCATCCCTTCTGATGAGAATATTCAGTCGTGCAGGAAATTTCTCGCATCTGGTTTCCGTCAAATCCTTCACAGTATCTGTAAGGAGATTCGCTGAAGCAGATGAATATTTCTTCTTCGTTTGCAGTAGAAGAGCCGTAGTAACAATCATAGGGGAAGAGCAGTCGTACATCAAGCTCAACCACCTCGCATCCATCAAGCTTGGCGATTTTCAACTCATCAGAGCGCCCGCCGAAGAAGAAAATGTCCCCTTGAAAGATTTCGTGGCCGATCCTATCGAAGTATCCGTATTGAGAGCTCGCTTTTTCTGGGGGAGAGTCGTAATGGCGATTTTCTCGGAAGCTTCCGTCCGTGCTGATGACGTAACTCTCCTTGTAGTGATAGTATTCGCCAATTACAGAAACGTAAGGTTGACATTTGAAGCTGTCACAAGGACAACCATTTGGACAGTTGTCCATGCAAGGGCATTCCATCTTATCGTTCATCAGTTCAAGATGGCATTGAGAATAGCAGTCATCGTCCGTCATTTCGCACGATTTTTTGCATAGACTTTCCTATAAAATGTTAAATGCTAGCTTTGAACTTGATCAAGTCTTGATTTACCTTTTGGACAGCTTCGTTCTTACACTGTTGTGAATGCATATTGCTCTCGGCATCACAAACATTACAAAGTGGATGATCACATCCATCGCAGCCGTTTGGGCAATTGAGATTGCATGGACAGTCAGCCATACAGGCAGAATAGCGATTCACGCATTGAGTCTGGCAAGTGTTGTCAGAACAGTTCTGCGTGCAATCAGTGTAGATTAGACGACACTGGTCTAGACATTTTTCCTCAAGCTCCCAATCCTTGCATGTCTGTTCTTGCGCTAAGGAATGTACTACTAAAAAGGCAAAAGTTTTCATCTCAATTCTCTTTGGAATGAATGAGCAAGAACGGAGTGCAAAGCGAATTTTATGGGGAAAAATTTGGTATTTACATTGAATATCTAAATGTAACACTGTTCCGATCTGTAGGTCATCTTGGCAATAACATCAGTTTCCACGGAAGAGCAAATTCAAAAGTTCCAATTTGGTCCATTTTTTGAAAATGGAAATAAATCTGTCTCCCCGTTTTATAAAGTTCTTTCAACGATCAATCCATAATTAATATTGAGCAAGAAGTGTTAAAATGTTTTAACACAAAATGTCTACAGACAGTGTCTTCAATTACGTGCGACGATGGAAAGGGAAGGGGACGAAAGACTGACCCTTCGGGGAGATCAGCACCTCGTCAGTTACTACAAATGGCCACTTAGGCTGAGATTTAAGAATTCGCACCGTTGCATTTAGAGAACTCATGAGTGCAAGTAATTTAGAGAAAAATTACTGCGGAAGAAGGAATTGATCAAAAATACATTTTCGATGATAAAGGCGGATTCAACTAGATTCACGCATTTAAATTTTAATCAAAGGTCCTAGAATCTACGAGAGTCTCTCGTCGAGAGATGAAGTCGTAGCCAGCCTCGTATAAAATAATTTTTAAGGAAAAACTGATCACCAGAAAAGTTATACCGGACTAAATGTCGAAAGCTTTCTGGTCGAAGAATCAAGCGAGGAAAATGGACCTGTGCACAGGAGATGCTCTGTAATTCCGAGTTATGAGTTGCTAATCTTTGTTCACACGAATCTTTCAACAATAGCGAAAGATCGCTCCGAACTTGACTGATCTCTACTGTTTCGGAAACGATCAGTGTCAATCAAGAAAGGTCGGATGGAGTCTGAAATTATCGAGCACAAGATCGAGTCCTGCTAACTTCCGTCTTGGGGAGTATCTGATTGAGACATGAGATCAACAAATCCTAACCATCAAACTGAGTTCTGGTGTGGATCTCATTTTCAGCCTTTTATCCGACCTGCCCTTTGTTGTTTTCTAATGAGCCTTTCCTTGATAGGAATCGGTTATTTTGCACTACATCTTGAGGAGAAAGTGGGCATAAAAAACTGGCTTTACTACTGTTATATCATCATCGGAATCGGCTCCCTAGCTGGCATGGCTTCTATCATTTGGCTAAGGTTCATGGCGCCGTTTTGTCGGAAGTCAATAACTGTAACTTAGGAAGGCACACATGGAAGGAAAATACTACAGAGATCTTCAGAAGCGCTTGATGGTTTGTAATCTATAAAAAAGTTAAGACTATATACACGCTGTATAATCGCAAAAAAGAAAGAAAAAAACATTAAAAAATCACTTTCAGATCATGAACCAACCGAATCGATTCGAGACTAGAGTGGTAAAATGCCGTCAATCTATCCACCCATCAAAACTCAGCTTTTCTTGAAACAGATAACTTTAAAACGATTGTTCAAACGCTCACCATTTCCACAGTAAACGACGAACTTGCTTCCTATTCAATGTGTAATTTTAGGCATAAACAACCAAAGCACTTTATTTGCAGGTCGGCAATGAAATCAGGAGTAGAATCTTATCAATAACTTAATAACTGTTCTCGAGTTTCGAGGCTTATTGGGGAACGCCGCGGAGGATGTAGTTGACTTTCTCCTCGATAGTTGGGAAGGTGGAGAGCTGGGAGAGGGCTACTTCGTTGGCGCATTTCATGTAGTCAGCCTGGGCGGCAGATTCCGCGGTTCCGGAAGCCATTGCTTGCTGTGCCTTCGCCTGGCAGTTTTGCATGCCTAAGGAGGGACAGGTAAATAGGGGATGAGTAGATTCGATGGCTCACCTGTTTGGATAGCCATTCCAAAAGACTGAACGACTTCATCCATTTGCTTCTGGAGTCCGACAACTTGCTGCTGCGCGCCTTGGACGCAGCTTTCAATCTGCTGGGTAGATCCGCCTCGGTCCATGCAATCGGCCATCGCGCGGAACTGCTTGGCCAGGGCTGGTCTCAATCCGGACTCGACCTTTTCTTGAAGAGCTTGCATCTTTTCTTGCACCTTTACGAATCCTTCTGGGGTGGCCATTTTCGCTCTCTCAATCTGAAAAGATAAAGGATAATTAATTTTCTAAAAGTGGGAAACAAAGATTTCCATCGAAGGAAAACGATTTACGAGCTCAATTTTTAGAATAATAAATTACGATTTTTTGGGACGAAAAATGGTTATTTTTCTCTTCAAAATTTACGGGACTTTTTCTCAAATTTACACAACATAATCGAATTAGTCAGAATGACTGGATAATCCGCGAATTTTCTCTTTACAAAATGAATAGTCAATTTTGACGTTTCTGCCAATGAGAGCCTCCCTCGAAACGCGCCTGGGCTAGTGCGCGCTTCCCGCGATTCAGACCAGGCCAAAATAAAAAAAGACTCCTCCGAATTCGTTGCGTTCATTTCCAGTAACACAGACGCAGTAACAGAGACAAAATGAGTTCCTTCGCGAAGTTCTTCGGCGGTGGAAAGAAGGGCAAGGCGCCAACTTATGGCTTCAAAATTATTCACACAAAGGGACTAAAATTGTGTTCAACAACCTGCGTAGAAAAACTAACTAAACTAAAAAATAACAGGTCAGGCCCTGTTAGATCTTAAATAAAAAGATTCATCTTAAATTTCCTTTTACGCCTTTGCTTTTAAAAAGCCATTTTGAAGCCAAGAAAAGTCCCGAAGAAGCGATCCAAAAGCTGCGAGAAACGGAAGAAATGCTCAACAAGAAATCCGAATTCCTGGAGACGAAAATCGCAGCCGAACTCGCCAGTGCAAAGAAGCACGGGACGAAAAACAAACGACAAGCTCTCAATGCTCTCAAGCGCAAGAAACGACTTGAAAAACAGCAAGAACAAATTGGTAGCGAATCGAGCTGCGTTTCTTAATGATTAAACTGGAAATGTTCAGACAACACATTGACAACAATCGAGTTCCAGCGAGAAGCGCTTGAAAACGCCCAGTCCAACGCCAACATCCTCGAAAACATGAACGTCGCGGCGAAAGCAATGAAGAACGCTGCGAATGGAATGAGCGTGGACAAGGTCGACGACATGATGGACGAGATTCAAGAAGCGAGCGACGTCGCCCAGGAGATTTCTGATGCTATTTCCAGGCCTATGGGATTCAACAGCGTAAGTCACGATTCTTCATCGATTTTCTCGATTTCAAACGAGCGATTTTTAGGAATTGGACGACGACGACCTTTTGGCAGAACTTGAAGAGCTCGAACAAGAAGAACTGGACTCTGAAATGCTGAACATTCCTTCGACCTCGCAGGAGCCGACGCTCAATCTTCCCGCAGCTCCGACGAAAGCCCCTGCCGCGCCGGCGAAAGAAGTCGACGACGATCTCGCCGATTTGGAGCAGTGGATGGCCAACTGATAAACTACATGTCTGTTTAATCTTTCTACATTTCGCGCCTTTCCACACAATATTCTTTCACGGAAAACGACCAAAAATAAAAATCTTCATCCGCCCTGTTCTACCAAAACAAATCTCCCTTCCAAATCAGCACTGAATTCAGCAGGATTCGCTACTATTATATAAATACCAGTTTACAACTAAAATCAGCCTACAGCTAATTCATCACAGATTTCGTTCACTTACTAAATTCCTAACTTATGTTCCAGCATGTTCGTTTTTTGAAGTCTCTCTCTTTTGAATTGCTTCTTTTCAGAGAAGAGAAATACGATGGCGAACTTTGATATCTTCTTGGTAAACAGCGAGAATTTGCTGTTGATTTCTGTTTGGTGAGGGAACGCTAGAAGCTTACTGTAGGAAGATTTGGAGCATCGGAGTTGATGGTGGATTCCTACAAATGTGGGCAGTTTCAGTAACCAAAACATGGATGTTGACAGAATCTGACTGCTTTTGATAAAGATGTGTACAAACAGAACTGTTGGTCTTGTGATGAGCACCAAGTCTTGAAAGAGTCGTTCAACATTTCAGTCAGAAATCGAACAAGTTGAGAGCGTGCTTACACGATGCCTTTTTCGACTTCTTCGGTTCCAAGGAAAAAGAAACAACGCCCGAAGAGGCAATGAACAAACTGCGAGAGACGGAAGATATGTTGACAAAGAAGTCCGAATTTATCGAATCACAGATACAAGACCAACTGGCACTTGCCAAAAAGCATGGAATGAAAAATAAAAAACTGGCTTTGAAGGCGCTCAAGAAGAAAAGACTCTTAGAAGCACAGCAAGACAAGATCGGTATGTACTCTTTACTTCCTTTGAATGTAATGGTACTAAATTGCAGATGGCACGTTGACGACCATTGAGTTCCAAATTGAAGCTCTTGCTAATGCTGCCACGAATGCGCAAATTCTCAATAATATGAAAACTGCTGCTGAAGCCTTGAAAAGGGCTCATGGAAACAAAACAGCTGATGATGTTCACGAGATCCTTGACGAACTCGAAGACGCAAACGATTTAGCGAATGAAATCTCTGACGCAATTTCCCGACCTTTAGGATCTGCTGCATACATGGTTAGTGGCACTAAGTGCACATACTTTGATAAATTCTTTGTTTGTATCGAAAAAGCATACTATCGATTTTCAGTGCGATGAGGACGAGTTGCTTGCAGAGCTGGAGGATTTAGAGCAAGAAGAATTGGATGAAAAGATGCTTGATATCCCCAATAATGGCTTGACTCTTCCCGATGCACCTGTTATTGACCCGAGAACAACTGCGAAAGATTTGGCAGCCCTGAAGAAGTGGCAGGAACAGGCGATTGCTGAATGAAAATATTCTCTGTTTACAATCTATTCTTTGCAAAATGATTGATTTCTCCTTACACTGATTCAGCTATTATAATGCTAATAAAAGGGTTCTTTCGACTTACATCTCTTCCATATTTTCAACTGAAATTGAAGCTGATATTTTCTCTCCTTCAATTCATTCTCTATTCAGAAATAAATTGGGTGGCAATGAAGTGTACTGACCATGTTCCGGCAAATAGTCGAAAGTTTAATAGAACTCTGCTATTTGCGGATGCTTGGGTACCTGTTCTCTGTAGGAAGATCGCAGAAAGTTCTGAAGAGAGAAAATTCAAAGAAGAAGCTTCAAAGATTCCCCAACGATGTCTTTGAATCCCTTCAAAGCGAAGAAGAGCGCGCCATCTCCAGAAGAAGCGATGAAAAAACTGCGCGAAACTGAAGACATGTTGTCTAAAAAGTCGGAATTCATTGAATCACAAATTCAATCACAACTAGCGACTGCGAAAAAGCATGGAACGAAGAACAAGCGACAAGCCTTGCAAGCGCTTAAGAAGAAAAAGCGTCTTGAAAAGCAACAGGAGCAAATTGGTAACTTCTTACCAGTTTTCTGACCTAAGATTTATATTTTCTAATAGATAACACGCTAACAACGATCGAATTCCAGAGAGAGGCTCTTGAAAACGCAACGTCGAATACGACTATTCTGACAAACATGGCATATGCGGCGAAAGCGATGCAACAGGCATCGGGAAACAAGTCAGCGGATGATGTTCATGATATGCTTGATGAACTTGAGGAAGCTAATTACGTGGCAAACGAGATTTCAGAAGCGATCTCTCGACCGATGGGGTGGAAAGATATGGTGAGGAAACAATTAGATTCTTAGATCAAATAAATTTATAGCCCGATGATGCCGAGCTGATGGAAGAACTTGAGTTGCTCGAGCAAGAAGAGCTAAACGAAAAGATGCTCGCAGCACCAGCGAAAGAACTGCAGCAAATGAAACTTCCCGATGCTCCGAAAAATGAGCCAAAACGTGCCGTAAAATCAAAAGAAGACGAAGAGCTAGGCGACTTACAAGCTTGGGCTTCTTGAGCGCTTTCCTCTTTCTTCTGGACAAATAAATTTTCTTTATAAACACAACTGAATACATTCAATTTCTTTAGATTGACAAATCTATGAATCGAATGGTAAAAATAGCACTCGTTCAGATGTGCTCGACATCGGATAAAGTTTGTTTGAAAACTCCTCGTATCGAGCGAATTATTTTTCAAAAAAGAAGAATTTATAAATAATGAAAGTGAAAAGAAAAGTTCATCCGTGCTAGAGAGCCGCTAATTTTCTCAAATATTCAAAGTGGATAAAAGAGGCGGCGGAGAATGGAGCGCGCATGGTGTTTTTACCAGAAGCTTATGATTACATTGGTAATTTTCCGTTATTTTCTGCTAGAAAAAATGATCATTGAAATCAAGGGTCCTCTATTTCGGAGACTTTTGCTCAGGCAGAATGCGTTGAGAAGGGCGACCTGATGGTGAAACTTTGTGGCCTTGCATCTGAAAATAAAGTATGGCTTTCTCTGGGTGGAGCGCATGAAAAAATCGATAGAAAGAGTGATTCTGAAGAACGCGAGAGAATCGGCAACGCGCATATTCTTATTGATGATAATGGCGTTATAAAAGAGGTATTTACTCCTGGAAAAGCTCTCTCGTATTTTGAAGGATTCTTTGAAAACGCTGAAATTCAGAAATATCGAAAGATCCATCTTTTCGACGCACCCGTGGTTGGACTCAAGGAATCGAACTGGACTCTGGCTGGTGAAAAGCTATCTGAAATTATCCCTTCGCCTGTTGGTAATCTGGCTCTAAGTATTTGCTACGACTTGCGGTTTCCTCACCTGTCGCACGAATATCGCAGACGTGGTGCAAATGTTCTTACCTTTCCGAGGTAATTTCTGGAAATTTTGCAATTTTCAAAAGAGATTTAACGAATTCTAGCGCTTTTACTGTTCCGACTGGAAAAGCGCACTGGCATACGCTTTTGCGCGCTAGAGCAATAGAAACCCAGTGTTTTGTGGTAGCTGCAGCACAATGTGGGAAGCACAATGAAAAGAGATCATCTTTTGGTCATTCGCTCGTCGTTGATCCTTGGGGAGAAGTCATTCTAGTCACGGTTTCATTCATAAATATTACTCAATCAATTATGACCGCGGAGATTAATTCTGTAATTGAAATAAACCAAATCGAAGACATGGAGGAGAATATTGGAGTTGGGTACTGCGAGCTCGATTTAGAGAAAATCAACAAAGTTCGAACTTCAATGCCTGTTATGGACCATTTTAAATATGATATTTATCAATAAGACGATTCCTAAAGCATGTTATTTTTTAGACAATATGTTAAATCGGGCTAATAACTTCGGACTTTTGCCATTGGCCAGGAGAAACGTCAAGGTAGAAATTGTCTTTCCTTCTTCGTTTGATTGAGTTTTTGTCAGGTGCGAATCACGGACGAAAAGGGAGCTCAAGTGCTTTCGAACTGGCCCAAGCCCTTCGGAAAGGCTCCAGATGGGCCAAAAGCGGACTGGCAGCTAGGTGCTAACCGAGAGTCCGGACGAGTAACTACCTTCCGTACTAAACATAGATGGCCGAGGCCGACAGAGATAACAGCTTTGAAGGCAAAGAACAAAGATCAAACCGTCAGGTAAAAATTCAAAGGCATCGCCAGCTCATTTGAAGTCTAGTGATTTCGCTCAAGCTCCAAAGAACATCGTCATAGAAGGAATTCTGCCCGAAGAAGAGAAAAAAGAGCAAGAGTTTCTTTCTGAATTCGAAAAATCGCATCGGCCTTGTCCACTTGAATCAAGAAATATTTCCGTCACGCCCAAAGATGTCCTTATTCTCGCTCAGTTTATAAAAGAAGATGGAACTTTGTTAACGCAGGAACAAACCGGCCTTTGTGATCGGTAAGTTCTGCCAATTTTAGAATTTCCTACAAACATTTATTGCTCGTAAAAACAAGCAATACAATAATTGTAAGTAGACGTGGCTTTAAAAGAGTAAACGTCAAGCTCCAAATGAGTGTTTCAAGCTGTAAAATCCAGGCTGCTGCTATTGAAAATTAATAATACTTTTGATTAGTCAGTATGAGGTCGTCAAAGATGCTGTCAAGATCGCTCAAAACGACGGTTTATTACCCTACAGGTAGTAGCTATTTAGGCTATAAAATGAAAAAGAAGATTAGTATGAGTCGCTAGTTAATTAAATTTTTATTCAAGCAAATTTTCGTATTTCGAAAATCGCGCTCGTTGGCGAATCCAGCTTGTCGATGAGGCAGAGAATCCTAGAGATTGGCAAGGAGCTCCACTTAGTCCAGGTATCTACCTTCGGAATCCGATTCTTTTATCCGATTGTTACGTGGCACCCCAGCGCGCCATACGTGGCACTCGAGACACTAGCCATCGAGTAAACTCCTACTTGATTAGTGGGCTTTTTTAACAAGGTGTCATTAATTTTACAGAACTTGGTGGGTTTTACTTTTAACGACTTTGAAGATTCTTTAGCAGCAAATTTATTTATAAAACATGATAAAAATCAACGAAGAGGCGTAAGAGAATATTTAAAGCGTCGCATCAATTGGGAATCATCAACTAATCAATGCGTTTCAGAGATAATGAACAGATATAATTGTCGAACGAGACCAGGCCTGGCGAAGGCACTGCCCACCAAGGGCTATCCCTGGTGGCGATTGTACGTGCAGATGGGATCAGAAAAGATAGCTGAAGAAACGCCCCTTGGTATTCCTGTTCAGAGGACTCAGGCGAGGATTTGAATTTTCAAGTAAAAATAATCTTCAAAGTTCACAAGAATTCTCATTGAAACATTTTTATTGCCAGTGTTTGTGAATCCTCGAAAACAGAAAATTTCAACTTCAAAATGTCAGAACGACATTTGGCCCTCAAACGTACCATCGTTTCATGACAATCAAGGGGCGCACGCGCGGAAAATGCGAAAAGGCCCGTTTAACCACCATCAATAGAACAATTACTCCTGCTTACAGTAATGATTTCGCTTCAAGAATCTCAACGAGCTTGATTTTAGAATGTCCATGGAGGTTCCGAGCGAGGGATTCTCCTGTGGCGACTGTAGCAATCCTGTAACAAGATGGGCTTCATTGAACAGAGCAGTGTTTTTGTGCGACGATTGTGCCAATATTCATAAACAACTCGGACGCCATGTCAGGTTATTCCTATAAAAATTCGATAAATTGTCATCAAATGAAAAAAGGATCAAGGTCGTTTATTCATCCGTAATTTTAGCCAGCTGAAACACAAAGTTCACTCCGACTGGCCGGCTTCGCAGTTTGAAATGCTTCAAAAATTACACGAATCAGGAGGAAATCGAGTTTGGGAAACTCTTTTGCTCGATCCAAACAAAGAGGCGAAAATTAAACTGCGCCCTGGAGATTCATCCGAAAGGAGAGAGAAATTCATCAACGAAAAATATGTCCATCAAGGAAAGATACGAGAGACCTCCTATTTATTGCCGAAAAGCTACAATTCTCTGACTATCTCTAAAACAGCATTTCTTTACAAGGATGAAGAGCCTTACGAGGATAGGTTCGAGCTGTCGAAACAGCTCTTCTCTGTCGTGCGGACGAATCAACTTGGTCCTACACTTCGATTTTTAGCCCATGGTATGCGTTTTTTCCTAAATTTAGACATCATGACTGGCAGTCGCTCAATCATTAAATATGAAAAATGAAAAAAAAAAGAATTTTTATTTTGACAGATCTATTTCTAGGTTCCTTTTTTTACATTTCTCGAGAGAAGTCTCTTTCTAAAACAGGTTTTTAGGAGCCAGAGTTGACTGGCAACACGGAGAGAAAGACGGGGACACGGCGCTGCACATAGCGGTCCAAAACGAGCAGCTCCTCCAAGTGGAACTCCTGTGCATTTACGGCGCCAACCCCGCCATGCCCAACAATAAAGGCCAAACAGCCGAAGACATGGCCCGCGAGGTCGCCCAAAGAACAGGCAACGACTTGATTTACGAACGGTTGGTTGAGATTCGACACGAGCTGCCAGATCGACTAACGTTTTTTGTCGCTCGCAAGGTGAGTGAAGCAGCTGAAGCTGTTGTTGAAAACTGGCGTTTTTAGAGACCGAATCATCGCATCGGCAATCACTTTGTCAATCTTTCGTGCGTCGAGCATGTTGCCCATGGACGGGAGCGCCTATCCAACTTGCCAGATGAAGTTTTTACCGAACTATGCGCGGATTTATTCGACGAGGTCGACAGGAGAGAGATCGAGACCGTTTGGGAAGCAAACTCTGGAAATAAGAGACATCACCAGTCATTTCTGCCGATTCACCCAGAGTATAGCCAGAGCCGAAATCAAGGAAGACAAAAGATCGCTAAAATGGAACAGCAAGATTTTTTCCAACTCCTTGTTGATGTCATCGACGAATTTCGCAAACGCGTTGATTATGACGATTTCGTCGAGAGTCACGAGCCAACGTCGGAAGGAAAAATGATCGATGGTTACGATTCCGAGGATCCGATTTATGATGATGGTAATTTTGTATTATTTTGATCAATTTAATTTCCAACGCCAAAATAAATTTTTAACGACGGCCCCAGTTTTTGATGATGAATCATTAGGCATATGTCTCTTCAGGGACCGGCAACGGATCAATTTTGGACTCAATTAGCTCATTTTCAGCAAAAAAACCTTTCAGCCGACCTTTAATTTATTTCCCCCTTTCTCTTTCATCTCTCCCGAGAATTCCCCCTTTTTCAATTTTATAGTGGCTTCAACGAGCTCACAAGAAGAAGTGTCAGATGTCGACAATGAGATTCAAGAAATCACCTCAGAGAAGAGCGATGAAGTAATCGAGCTCAAGAAGGAGCTGGAAGTTGCGAGGAGAAAGATAAACTCGCTCAACGACCAGAATTCGATTTTCAGGGATCGAATTACGGCTCAGGCAAAAGAGCTCAAGTAAGGCCAGAATCTCTGGATCGATAAAACATCACTTCTAGTCGCTATCGAGGCAAGAAGATTCCTTCCCCCGCTTCCAACTCCGACCTTCCTCCAGTTCAAGCCACTTCTCGAAGTAGATCCCGTTCAAAAGTCGAGGTTCTCTGCCAAGGAGTCTCCAGCTCACTGAAGAAGCTTCTCACGGCGGTGAAAAATGGCCAAACCGAACTGTTTCGCGGCTGCGGGGATGAAATCGTGCGTTGTATTTCCGACCTGATTGATTTATACGAAGGCGATGGTTCCAACGCAGTCACTGTTCTATCCAATGTAAGTTTTGACAACAACGGATTGATACAGAATTTCGCAAAAAAAAATTCTCATCGTATTTTTTTCGTAAAGTTTTGAGATTTCGCATAAATTCGAGGGCTGTTCAATCTCCAAATTTGGTTGATCTTTTATTTTAACGAGTTCTCCACTCATTCATCATGAAGTTTTTACTCCCTATTTATTTCCCGATAAAAGCGAACAAATAGAGCTTTCGAGAGATGAGAATTCTGCTAAAGTCAAATTTAGAACAGAGAACGGCTGATCGAGAGCATCAACAACATGCCAGGCGGTGGAGAAAACAACGAGCTCTTTTCGGTAGGTCACGCAAATAGCAGCCAAATTTTAACAGCTCGTTTATTTTCAGTGTGCACGGGAAATAGCAACGAATATAAAGCTTTTATTGCAAAAGGATGCCTCGTAGCCGCCTCTTTCCATCATTCCACTTTTAACTTGACACTTTTTCAACTTTCTCGACTCGCAAGATAGAACATTAACCCAGCTTGTTAACCAACGCGCAGGTATTCATCAATTAGAAACTAAATGGGCACATCTACTGTATTACGTAACAGAAAGTGAATTTCGAACTTAGCTGTTAAATTTGCTCTCAAAAGTTTTATCTGGTCAGTCATTTGTTTGCCCCGTGTACATTTACGAATTTCGTAAATGTTTGCCAAGAAAACTAAAAGAAATGATTTCCTCTGTTTTTCGACATCAGAGAATCTTCAATCGGCCGGCTTTTTATCCCAGAATTCTTCTTCACCTTCCTTTCTTACCCTTCAAAAGCGCGTAATCCAATCCCACCAAAATGAACATTCTGCCCATCGCTTCAAAATGTCAAATTTCTACTGCTTCATTATTTTTCATTTGATTTTGCTCTAGAATGGAGTCGGATAGCTATGGAATCCCGATCGAACTAATGGGTGGGCGAGAGTTTGGCCTCTGCGACCACTGCAAGAAATTCCAAGCCGTCGGAATTCTGAATGACCATGCCTGGGAAATCGCCTACGAGCGCTATGAAAAACTCGTCCCAGACGATAAGAAGAAAGGCCGCTTCAAGCAGGTCCGACGCTTTCTTCCTAAATGGTACCCATTTCGCGGTGAAGATAGCAGCAAAAGTAAGACTTGTGAACTTATAAAACAGTGATGAAATTTACCCCCAAAGGTCAAGGGGGAATAAACGTAATAACGAAACTCAGCATTTATCAGGCCATGAGGAATCTTTTTTAATATACAAATGACCTTTGTCGATAGTTATCAAATAGTTTCGAGTCTCCAGGAAAGCCTAATCGCTAGAAAGTGACTATCACCTGATCCTTGTATTTACGAAAGCAATTCAAATATTTACAACTTGTCGATAGCTATCAAGTTGATAAATGAAAGATATAACTTTGCTTGTCAAGAATAAATCTGATTTTGACTTTTCAAAAGTGATTTTACGTTTTAGACCAACGCCGTTTGGAATTCTACGAGAAGCTTGGCAAGACGCCTCCAAAGACACAAGTCAAACGAGGGAGCATGACGAGTTCGATCGGCTACGCGTACTCGCCAACAGCCTCCAGGGCGGGAAGTGACTTTCTTCCAGTGAACACACGGCGAGGCATTCGTAGACCAAACACGTCCGTCCCTAGTCGACCTCGCGTCCAAACCGAAGTCGCAATTGTTGACCTAACGCTCGATGATGATAATGATGATGCAGAAAAAACTCAACAAGAACAAACTAACCAGAAGACAAACAGTCTTGCCGATCAAAATAACCAAGAAGAAAATAATGAAAAGAGTCTCCAAGAGAGCGAGTCGCCGAAGAAAGAGTTTTTCTTAAACGAAGAGGAGGAGCTCTGTATGAAAAATGAGTTGAGCAGTCCTCCGCCACCGCTGAGAAAGATTTCGAATGATTCAAAGTAATCTCAAGAATTTTGATAAAAAAGTTATGATAAATTTAGTGTTTCTGTTCCTTCTTTGGAAGATCTTCATCCTGACCAGCTGCCGAATGAATTCGTTGATCCTGAACCTGAGAAAAACAACCCGACCTCCCCTAAAGATGGCTCCTTGATTATTGATGAAGATTCAATGAGTAGAAAAAGTCCTTCAAATTCTCCACTGCCAAATTCTAGTGAAGCAAAATTAACAAAGCCTGATGAAAATGATAAAATGTCAAATTCAAATGAAGATATTGACAAATCTGAAGACAGCGTCAGGTAAGAACTCTTCGGATGAAAATAGTGTCTTTTAAAGGCGTATTCGTAGCAGAATAAATGAAGTCCAGAAGATCGTCGCTGAACCAGTAGAATCATCAACTGACAAAAGTGAATCCGAGGAAGGAAATGTCCGTTCGCTTCGTGCATTCGCAAGGAAAAAGAGTATCCTGGAAGAAGCTTTCGAATCGATCGAGAAGGACGCCGATGGTGCTCCTTCATCAGAACCCTTTGACCTGGAAAAGATAATTCAAGAAACTGTTGGAAAGATTGGCGATGAAGGAAAAGAGACGCGAGAGACCCAGGAAGCTCCTGAAGAATCGGTTAAAGTCGCGATGGCGTCGGATTCGGACTCTGAATTCAAACACAACTTCAAATCGCGTGAGCAAATTGAACACGACAGTGTTGACGAGTTTTCATACGACGAAGAAAGCATCAAAAGCATGGGAAAAATTGAAGCCGGCAAGGTGGAGAATTTCGATAAGCCGAATGTGCAACGTAAAGAAGAACCCGCGCATGAGAGAGATTCCGACGCGTTAGTTGATAAGAAGGAATCCGATTGCACACTTGAGAAAGAAGAGGCGAAAAAGGAGGGAAAATATTCTCAGGAAGAGTTTACAGTAGAACTGCTTGAAGGAGGAGCGCACAAGACAGAGATCGACAACGGCTTTGAGGAAACAGTTCCAGGTTTGAACGAGATCTTAGAGAAAAATAGCTTTTTTTATCAATAATGTTAGTGAATAATGTTATGATAAAAAAAATAATCAGAAAACAATCAATATCTGAATATAATTCAACAATATTCAGACCAATCTGATTCCACCCACCTAACTATCAATCAAGACGAGCAAGACTGGCAAAACGGCCAAGCCATGGTCCGAGAATTCCCCATTTTTATCAACCAAGGCTTAGGTACAGTAACACGTCGCGTTTTATATAGAGTCGCGATTAAAATTTCAGCAGGGCCACACACTCATGTTAATTAATAAAGCCATCTGATTCCAGTCAATAATTAATTTTATCATTCACTAAAAATGAATATTTAGCGAACGGTGCAGCGCCTTTCAAAAGACAACGATCGGCTTCCATTGAAATAGAGGTAATTTTACTTTCCATCGCCGTAAAGATATACTATCAAGAGAGTTCTACGTGAATTTTCACAGTTGAGCGAACATACTAATCTATTTATTTTCCAATTTTCTTTGCACTAAAGCTTTATGTTAACAAAATTATATGTCATTTTTGATGATTAACATATTCTTACTACGAGTCACATTATTTCAAATGGCACGATGGATGATTTAAAAAATGTATACAAGCACTCGGTAAAACACCAAATCCTAAATGACCCGTGATACTCGACGTATCGTCATCGAAGCGTGCACTTACCATTCGATAGATATAAATCGGCCTGGACTCTATATATAACAAACGAGAGCATAATGTATGAGGCGTATCAATGTTACATTCAGAGCGAAAGCGGCGAGGAACTTGATGTGGGTACCCGTGCAGACGAAATCGCGTATTACAAGCCACTGCAAAGAGAAGAGGTAGTGGTGCCGGCACAGACGCAAGAGAATGAATATATTGACGTTATGAGGTAATTTTCAAACCCTTGTTATTACGCGATTATTTGAATAGCAACCAAGACTTTTTGACATCAACGAAGAGAACAATGCATAAATTTTCATTAAGCGTCAAACCATCGATGGAAAAACCACTAACAGTGACTCCAGAGCTTTCGGGCTCGCCCGACGTTCACCGAGAAGGTGTCATTATGAGATCCTTTCACTCTCAAGAAAGTGGAAGAAAGCGAGGAGTTCCAGAAGATGGTGGCGTAATTTCAGACGATTCGCCTGAGCGCCCAGGATCAAGAACGAGCTATTTAACGAAGGAGAAGCGCTCTACTCAGCGACAAGTGAACAACTTCATACAGAACGCGTTCGTCGATACAAGAGCCAGTACGCCAGCGCTGAAACTCGTGGGCGTAACATCGAACGGTGTGAACTTTCCGCCTGCTTCTTCAAATACGATTCGACATCTTCACCCGAACGAGTATTCGAAGGTCATTCAGCCAGAGAGAAAGCGTCGCTCTCCAAAGCTCCAGCACCATCCGTACCAGAGACATCAAGTACCGCAAACTCAGCGAATTCAACGAGTAGACCGAATCCCGAATACTCAGTACTTTACAGATCCAGCTGTTCAGCAAGATCTGCAGCATCAAGTGAGTAGAATGAACGAAAGGAGGCAGCCAGCTTACCATCAGCCGGGCTTCCGATCGAGCGACCATTCCCACCAAGCTGAGGAAGAACTACGTTTATATCAGCAGATGAATCAAGCGCAGTATCAACAAGCGCACGGACAAAGGAGTGCTCCTCAGCAATCTCCGCGAGGACTTCTTACCGAAAGTGTTCGACAGACGAGCGTGATGCAATACGGAAACACGCCAGTTATTTCTCAGGGTATAGAATTCTTATTGAAATCGCATCTATCTGATGTTTCAGATCAACTTAACAGCGTACTTCTTCAAAATGGACAAGCAGAGCAGTACGTCCACTCTGGGCAGCTTCAAACTGGCCGCGCTCACTTACAGGAACGTTTTCAGCAACCGCAAGTCCCCCACCCATCCTTCAACATGTTTCGTCTTCCCTTTGCCGTCCCTCGTTTCCCTGTTGCTCCCCCGCCTTTCCCCTTCTACGACCCCAAACTTATCTCTCCACCTGGCAAAGTATTTCCCCGCCGAAATCTCCCTGCCTTCCAAAGCCCTCACCAACCGGCCCCTGCTACAAGGGAGACAGAAGCTGATGCCACTATTAATCGCCCTTGTCCTCCAGTTTCGTCTCAGTTCTTGCCCAAGGACTTAAACAGCAACACTATTGAATTGCGGCCCAATATTCGCGAGCCCTTTTATGCTCACCACCCTCACATCGCTTCTTCTAACATTATTGAAACCAAAGCGGCTCTAGAGCCAGCTTTGAAACCCATTTCCTCCACTACCACTTCTCAGTCTTCAGCAACCTCTTCAAGTTCATCCAGCACCTCCTCTCGATCTCAGTCGTCTACCCCTCAGTTTGAGTCGATTGTCTTCAAGAATCAGAACGAATGCGGACAGCATATGTTCTCCATTCTCGATACTTGCTTTCCTAAAAAACTAGAGTTTTAATTCATAAATGTATATATAGTAGGATATGTGTAGTGACCCTCACAGATAAAAAACTGGCGCATTATTATTTATTAATTCATAATTATTATAATAAGTTCTCAGGTTTAAAATATATTTTTTGCATTTTTTCCTTCAAGAAATCACCCACCAGTCAAGCAAATCAATGTCTTCAAAAAATCTTGCTTCTTGTACAGAACCCTCTACCTGAAACAAACAGAAAACGGAGTTCACTGACAAATAAAACACAAAACAATAAAATGAATAAATTTTCCTGATAAAAAACGTCTGTCGCAGGGTTGTTGCATGTTGAATCGAATTTCTAGCAAAAGATTTGAATCAGAACTGCAGAATAGAAGCAGGAAAAAGTCTGCTGTTCGCTAATTTTGTTGTTAACATTGCTGTGGAAAAATTCAACATCGACAAATGTCGATGACAATTGTGTTTTATGAAAACGGACTAAAGCAATACCCATACGGAAATGGACCCCGGCGCAGATGAAGTGCGAGCAGGATCTAATCATTCCTCAAAGACCGACAACTCCGACGATGCCGCGAGATTATTATTTTCGATGCAACGCAGTGTTACTATCTCTTCATGTCCTTTTCTATACCTTATACACAGAGATTTCCTTCATTTGCTTCTGTAAATTATTTCAACTGATTGACAACGCTTTGCTTTTGGTAGTTCCAATACTCTTTCACACTTATAATTCATCCTGATGTCATGATTTTCTGTATACTTATGTTAAGACCAGTGCCTTCATATCTACTCGCTCAGACAATTTTGTAATTCTTCATAATTCTAGCGCTAATCTTTTTTTCAATTCGTTAGTTCAAACAAAACATACCCAGAATGTCTTCGATTTTGGATCAGCTGAATGATCTGCCCGCACCAGATTCCGGTCAACCTAATGAAAGCCCAGCAAGCATGCCTCCTCCTACCCAACTTCCGCCAATTCAATCTACCGCTCGTCGTCAGCGAAAGAAGCGACGAACAAAAGCACCTGCTCCGGATAGCACATCAGATACGGTTCAGCTTGTTCAAGAATCGCCACGATCCTTGGAGACTCTTTCACCTCGCCCAGTCGATGCTTTGCCTCAGGAGCAAGTCAATGAATCCTTCCAAATGACAGAAGACGTTCCTCCGCTGATGAAACAGAGCTCGAAATCCGTCCGATTTGACGAAACCCTCGAGAGAACAGAATATCTACCCCGACAGAATATCTACCCCGACAGTGCAAATCTCGGTGAAGAACCAGCTCAAAACATCGACATGGGAAATTTGGATGGAATCGACCGAGGAATGCCGATTCCCGCAGGAGCTCCGCCGCAAATTTTAAACGAGCCAGCTGAAATCCCTGAAGACGTGCCTGTTGATGTAAGATACCAAACATTGTTGGCTAAACATGCTCCTGTGGAAACGAAAAAAGTCCATAAGCCCAATAGGTAAGTTATTACAGTGTTTTACTGTAATTATTCATCGTTTATAGTGTGAAAGACTACGGCCGACCAAATAACGTCAATCCAACTGAAGGCCATCTCTATGTTCAGGTAAATCAAGCCAAAAGCATTATCTTGTTCTAACGAATTCCCAACAGACGAAAACTGGCTTCCAGGCTAAAGCGCCCGGAGATAACACCCGGCCAATGGACAATCATGGCAGAATGGTGAGACTTTTTACCACTTTCCTTTTATATTAAAATTTCTTATTTAGCCCGCTTTTGCTACTCCCGAAACAACGCATAAACAAGGAGAAGGACTGCTAACGATTATAAGAAATTTTGCGAGATTTTCTCTTGGACTTTCTGCTGGTATTGCGTTGATTGGAGCTCTAGGGAATCAGTTCAGTGTTCACTTCCATCGCGAAGCTAGGGAAGCTCTCTGTAAGTTGACAAAACGAGGCCTTTCGTTGTCTTGAAAGCTGCTTTTAGATGTAACAGTGAGTGCGTTAATAACATTCGCGACATTCGGAACGCTTTGCAACGTCGATCCACTTGGAATCGGCGGATTGACACGACTCATTCGATTCGATCCAGCGAGTTTGAGCAACATCGCCCTTCTCATAGCTCTTATGATCTCGGCTGTTGGTGATTGCCTTTATGAAACTGCAAAATTGGAGGCAGTTGAGGCTCTTCCAGACAGTCAAAATGCCACACAAGTTCCTGATTTCGAAGGTACTTATTCTTGGTCGCGAGAAACGCTCATGTTTTTATTTAATCAGACTCCGACGGCTTCATCATCGTCGAGTGGATTCGAGCATCACTTCTTCTTCTCTCTTGGGCGGCTATGAGCTTTTCTGATGCTCCAGGAGGCGCGCTGTATCAAAGAATCAAGAAACAAAACGAAATTTGAAAATGTCCAACCGTCTCCATCACTGTTTTCTATCACTTCCATCATCCATGTTTTTATTTTTTAATTACAGAACTATTTTTATAAACCCATTTGCTTAAAACTCTTGTTTTAGAATGGCCAAAAAGGCATCGGATAGGAAATCGAAAGAGAAAGAAGCAAAGAAAGTGGATACTGGAAAACGAGCGGAAGTTAATTTTCTTTCTTTGGTTTGGAATGTGATTGGAGTTCTCATTGGTTTGGCCATTGCTTATCATCATACATGGTATCTGTACATTCAGCATGAAAATGAAATGTGGTTCACGAACATCAAGCAGGTCGAAAGAGAAATTTCTTTCAGGAAAGGTTCGTTTCGAAGGTTCTTACTTACGCGGCGAGTATTTCTCGAACTTCATGAAAGAACAGAATCTGGACTCTATTATTCTTACTTCAAGCAATACGTTGAAGCTCCCGATTTTTCAACTGCCATGCATCGATACACCCGCGATAACAAAACCGAATTCCCTAATGAAGTCAATATCCTCGAGCGATTCAACATCTACCAGGAGTTTTTCTTAGGCGTCGTCTACAAAATTCTCAAACCAAAGCTCATCCCGATCATTTGGTACACATACCAAGGTTTCTTTCCTCCATCTTCTTTATTTTGATGGAATTTTAGTGTTCAATCTCCAACTTATCTACAGTTTGTCGCTGTACTTCACAGCTTGGATGCTTTGTGGATCATGGGTATGCGCTCTTCCCGCTCCAGTCTTCTTCACTCTGGCTCGATTCGACATGACGAGAGTCGAGTTCACCGTTCCGCTGAGAGAGTCCTTCGCTCTTCCTTTTTGGGCTCTTCAACTGGCAATACTGACAAAATATTTCAAACAGGGTACTCAGCACGATGTCAAATATACAGTAGGGCTTTGTTTCGGTAAGTTTTCGTTTTGATTTGAAAGATAGAAATGAAAACTTTCCAGCTTCTTTTTGCTTCGCGATTTGCTGGCAATTCAATCAGTTCGTCTTTCTTCTCCAAGCTTGCGCGCTTTATGGCGCTGGTGCTCTCGATCTGGTGCCAACGAAGAAAGTGAAAGTTGTCTATCTGTCTCTGATATTTTCGCTGGTGATGACTTACATTCTCCAGTTCTTCAATACCATGACTCCAAGGTTTACCCACAGAATTTTATTCCAGCTTATCATTCTTTTATAGATCACTTGTTGCTTCCTTCATTCCTGCAGCTTGGATTATGCTTTCTTGTCGTCTACGCAGATCTAAAGACGGCGCAATTATTTCCTTCCTGAAGCTCATTATCGAAATCATTCTCACAATCGCTCTCGCTACCGTTTTCCAAATGGGAGTCAAATCGGCAATAGCTGTTGAGCCTGACGAGCATATTTTCAAATTTCTCCTCGCAAAGTTTGAAATCGCCGAAACGGATGATTTCGACGCAAAGGAAAGGTTAGAAGACAACTTATAACAGCCCCCACTGTCTAAAAATGTCCATTATGACCTCGAAATAGCTCTATCTATGCAATGGCGCGTTCAATTTCCTGCCAAAAGACACTTTCCCGCGGCTAGCAACGCAGGGATTCCTACCAGCTTGGATCGCAGTCCTTGTCGTTGGATTATTAGCTCTTTTATACCACCAATTTCAAGTCTGGTCAATGGACGAAAATGGCAAGCCTGGAAGAGGACCATTTTCAGATCGCCCCGAAATCGGCTATCATCTCATCCACTCCTTTATCTTTTTCCTTCTTGCTTTGTCGACGATGAGAATGAAGTACTTGTGGTCGCCGCATGCGGCCGCTTTGATTTGTTTAGGCAAGGTTGAAAAGTGAAATTCGCGTAAAGTTTTTGAAGCTTTTTACCTTGAAAAGTGTCGCTTCCGGAAATTTGGGGAATATTAAAATGGAGAGATGGAAGATTTTTCATCACTGCTGCTCTTTTATTCGGAGCCTATTACAACAACATTGAAGACTACACGAAGCAAACGACTAAAGAGCTCGAATTTTACGATCCCGACACAGTAGAGCTCATGGAATGGGGAGCCCAGCAGCCGAGAGATACAGTCTTTTCGGGATCTATGCAGCTCAATGCTGGCGTCCGGCTCAGGTAACCTAACCCTAACCTGGAATGTAGACCAGTTGTTTAATTTGTCATTTAGCACCTGGAGAGCGCTCACAAATCATCCTCATTACGAAGACAAGCGGTTGAGAGAAACTACTTTCGATGTATACCAGATTTACGCTCATAGAACGGCGGAAGAAGTGCTCGAGCGGCTAGGAAAATATGGAACGACGCATATTGTGGTGGAAAACTCGATTTGCTATCAAGGCGGTTCGAAAAAGGATAACTGCGCGACGCCAGATCTGATTGACCTAGCAAATGATCATCTTCAGGTTTCAATCGCTTTGAATTGAGAAAGCCTAGACAATATTTTTAAGGCTGACCGAACGACTCCAAAGGCGGGTCTGCCAGAAAGATTTTGCAACGAAGTTCAAGTAAATCCCTCTTATGCAAAATATTTCCAGCTGGTGCTTGAGAACAAGACATTTCGCGTCTACAAGCTGACCAACAATGATAAATACGATTTGATGAGATCCGAACGTCAGAAACTCATCGATTATTATTATTAGACACCTTCTGTGCTCTCCTTAAAGTAGTCTACGAGATTTCAATATTTGATCTTCAAAATGAACATCGAATGAACGTACTCTTAGAAACATTTAGTTCAATCGTGGCCTTCTGCAATTCTAGTGCTCGTTTTTCTCTATTCAAAGTGACCTTACCACCACCTACTCACCATTACGCCTTACAGTTTTAGCTGCATGATTCATTCTGTCTTCCAGAAATTACACTTACTGATAAGAAAACGTTTAACAACAGCAAAATGCAACTGATTTTTGATCCTAGAGTAGAAATAGTCAAAATGGCGATGATGGAAGCACAACAACCAGCAGACATTTTCCACCTTTCGAAGAAGGGCGACAGTGTCATGAGCATAAAACTCTGGCTAGATAATACTGAAAACGATGTGAACCAGGTAACATCACAAATCTTCAATGCAGTCGTTACTGTTCTCTTACAGGTCGATGATCACTGGTTCACTCCCCTACACTGGGCGGCTAGATACGGCCACAAACAAGTTGTAGAACTGCTGCTTGACCGGGGAGCCCGTGTCTCTGCCAAGAACCGAGGAGACGATACTCCTCTTCACAATGCCTGCCAATGTGGTCATCTGGAAATTGCCAAGACCCTTATGAGGCACAAAACGACGCTGTCCCTGCTAAATGAGCGAAATGAGCACGGAAATAGCCCCCTGCACTACGCTTGCTTTGGCAACTATCGGTAGAATTCTGTAAATGTTACCATGTTTATTCTATAAATGAAAATCCATGAAACCGAACATTTGTCTAGGGAACTTGCAATCCTGCTGTTTGAAAATGGTGCAAAGCTCCTTCTGGAGAATAAATACGGACAAACGCCGCTAGAAAAAGCCAGACGTGCTCTTGCGACCGAGTTGAAAGCTAGAGCACAGCAAATGGATCAGGAATGAGTTGTATTTTCGAATTTATTAGAAACTTTCGATTTTTTTCTCGACGCGCTTTGCAAGTCGCTCGCGGTACTTCATGTGCTGCAGCAGTTCTAGAGCGCGTTCAAAGTCTTCATTGTCGAAAGAAGATGATATTTTTTCTACGAGGTCTTCAACGGCCGCTTCATTTTCTGATTTGATAACATTCACTTGGTCGATTGAAGAGCAGTCGTCGAGGTCCTCGTTGATTTCCATCATGTTAAAGAGAAATTCTTTATCTGGTTTAATAGACAAGGCGACGAATATATGCAAACAATTTTGCTTTCATTTTACAACTTATAACTTTTCATTTATCGTGAACTTGGTATTGTCCATTATAATCTGTGATCCATCTTCCAAAAGAGGGCGCCACTTAGGGGCACCTCACAGCAGGAAATGAACTACGAGATTTGTTTTTTGATAAAATTGACCCAAGATCGAACTAACTAACTGTTTTTTCGTAAAAATTGAACCATAATCATTAGGTGGTTGGGAAGCATTTTCATCAAACGTCACGCCTCGTAATTCCAAAAGATGAAGGCCTCTGAGATGAGCGGATCGAATTATCCCAGCTGCCGAGTTGATTCTCGCCGATTCATCAACTGAACCCCCTAAAAACTCTTCATTCGAGAAATTTATAAGCTGGCTTTCCTAAGTCGGGATGCGCCGCTCTTTGCAATCGATGAAGATTTTTCGTCAACTGGCTTTGATCGATTCTGAATTCTACCGGCAGCTCAAGAACTTTGAAGTGATTCGTAAATCGTCGTAAATTCAATCCCCCTTTGAACATTATTTCTCTCTGCGATCTAACTTTCTTTTGACCAATCAGATGATCTCATTTTGCATCTCAATCTAAGCCTCTCGACGAGAGTGTCGACAGAATCCCGTATCAGTCGAAAACATGGCTTGGAACGGCAAAGTAAGCTCTCCTCCCTTTTTAACTGCTTCAATTCCTTCTTTCAGACCTCATACTTTTCGACTACAGGACAAACACAACGATCTGGACATGAAAGCACTCAACATCAAAGCTCGCCTGGAAGACACAAAGTCCTACAGCATTCTCAAAGGCAAATGGAACGATTCCGACGTTTTAGTAAAGATCCTCATTTTACCGAGATCGCTTACTGTCGACTCTGACAATGATAATGTAAGACTATCTCTTCAATTTGAGGATTCATCCCTTATTTGCCTCAGAAACCTTTGGCTCTTTCTTCGAGGCATCTTCGCGAATTCCAAGAAGAATACGCGAAAACACGAATTTTCTCCCATCAAAATCTCCTTCCTGCCCTTGGAATCGTCAGCAAAATTCAGGTACTCTTGTATTTACAGGGAAAAATTATTAATAAGTCTCCTCGAGATCGGAACAGTAGTCAGAGGTGTTCAAGAGATCAGACATTTCGCGTTGAATTTCTTGATTCAGCAAAGTCGATAGATTTTTGCGCTGCTGAGGGGCGAGGCCAGCTGGAGGGATGAAACACATGGTTTCCGTCAGCGCTCGAATGATCACGGGGTCTTCTAGCGCCTTGATTTCCTTCAGCGAGTGCACTAGGTCTTCTATTTTGACCGATCCTATCATGACATCTTGAAGCGTCAGGCATATGCCGCACTTGGCAGCGAAGAGGATCAAGTGCTCTAGGCCGATTTCGACTTCTTCTTTGAAGAGCCTTTCGAGCGAGGCTTTGAAAAGTTTGAAGATAAACATTATTTTTATTTTTCTGATTTTCTGGAAGACTTCGGGATCTTTAAATATGGAGCAATTTTGATCAAGAGCGACAACGAGCGTAAAATCGAGACTGGCGCGCCCCGCCAGGCAAAGTCTGTCCAGAGACTCGGCCCCCGGCGCGCGCTAGGCCGGAAGACAGATTGACCAGATTTCAAGCTCGCTTAGAGCCGATTTCCGGTTTCAATTAAGACTTTTAGAACCCTCCAACGCTTGCGATTGTTTCACAATGGATGCCTGTTGGATCGCTGAACTCGGTCTTGCACGGAGGAAAGGGAATCCCGGTGGTGGACAACAATGCGATTAAAAAGTTTGCCGTTGATATTGCGCGAGGGATGAAGTTCTTGCATGACATGCAGGTATTTTCCTTCTCACTTTCAGGGTCAACAATTTTTCGTCTTTTAGCCAGGATCCTCTCCAAGATTTCGGCTGAACTCGAAGCATGTCGTTATCGATGGTGAGCAAAACGCTAGGCTTGATCTGGCAAGCTCCGACTTTTCAATCCAGGGAAATGATAAGGTGACAAATTGTCATTCTTCCGAGAGTTAAAAATCTTGAATAGATCTACGATCCCGCTTGGATGGCTCCCGAAGCTCTCGCTCCTATCTCACCCAAAGGAAATGATTACAATAGAAAGGTACGGATCAGAGCGCGGTTGCGGCTTTCATACTGTCATTTCAGAAAGCGGACATGTGGAGCTTCTCCATCGTTCTTTGGGAAATGGTCACTCACGAGATTCCTTTCGCAGATCTTTCATCAATGCAAATTGGTATCCAAGTTGCCCATGAAAACTTGGTAAGACGGCGGTCGATTTTCCAAATTTCTGATCGATTTCTAGCGCGTGCGCATTCCAAACGGCATAACTCCAAATATGGCGGAAGTCATCAGAATCTGCATGAAAGACGAGCCTTCCAAGCGACCCACCTTCGAGCAGATCGTCCCTATCCTTGTCAAAATGGCTGACAACTAGTCTTCATCTTCACTGTTCCTGATTTTTTCTATCCCAAAAGCATGCTTCAGAAAAAACTATTACTATTTAAACTTGTTTCAATCCGCCTTGTTACAGTAACTCGATTCATTCGACGTTCATTTTTCAGAAATTCCAAACTTCCTAAAATAATTCCTTACTGACCTCTTTCTTATCTCCCTTCTCTGCGTTTTCTTTTATTTTTTACTGACCCAACTTGAATGTTTTGCCAAACATAAAATTCCGCAGCATCCAAAATTCTAAACGGAAAAACTGCCGATTGCACTTCAATAAACACCAATTCACTTCAACAAGTCGTTTTATACAAAATTCTTTAGACAAGAGAGAGGGGGAGAATATGACTTCTTTCGACTTTGCTGCGCTGCATCGATCGCTGCCGATCGTTGATATAGACTCACAAGTGCGCTTCGAAGTGGACAAGTTTATTCTTGATCATGTAAGAGTAAAACTTCTCCAAACTATTTTTTGACATTTCTTCAGCTTTTCGGCCCTGAAACTAACAATAGCAACGAGGCAGAAATAGTCATTTCAGAAGTCGAGGAAGACGAAGAAGACGAAGGAATCGAGGAAGACGAAGAAGACGACGAAGAGGAAGCAAGGCTTAGCGGAGATGAATATGAAGAGTCTGAGGAAGGCATCGCATGTGCCCACAGAGACATTCTCCAGAGAGCTATGGCTCAGCATGGAGTCATTACGAACCCGGGCCAAGGTATCTGGGGCAGTCAAATGGTGGAGCTCTTTGCGATAGTAAAGCGATTGATCAAGTACGAAGAAGACATCATGGACCGCGCGATGGAGATGTTGAAAGAAGGGATCGTCATTCCCTGGAATCTGGAGATTGAAGAGCTTCCTTACACTCACAAAGACCTCTTTTTCCTCCATCAGAAATGTCTTTCTGAGCACGAAGGGGACGACGACGATCTAAGAGACATAAGAGATCTTCTCTGGATGCCAATCAGGGACTTTGACGAGAGCAAGGAAGAACTTCTTGCGAAAGATGACAAATTCAAGGTAACGCCTCTTGATTCTTGTTACGATTTTGAAACTTACTTTTTCAGGAGATCTGGCAAGAGCACATAAAAATGCTCTCCGAATCAGAATCGACAACTGATAACGAGAAGAAGCGTCTACGAGAGTTAGAAATTCCTTCGTTGGCGATTCCAGCTGAATTGGACGACGACGATGAATTGTTATCCGATGAAGATGAAGAAGAAAAAGAACCGCAAGCAGCGCAGACTCCTCCAGCTTCTCAATCTCTCAGTCAAGTGAGCTGGAACTACTGGAATGACTGGGATTCCAGGCTTGGAAATGAGACCAGTGATGAAAGCACCGTCGAGTTTCAGGAAACCGACGACGACGCTACCCCTCCACTTTCTCCTCCACTTTTCTCCAGTACCCAAGATGATCTTTTGGCCCAAGATCGAGGACAAGTGCCCGCCAGTGATGCTCCCATTGATGTTTCTCAACTGTCTTTGGAAGGAGTCCTTTACGACATGGTCGACAAAAGCTGCCCCTAACTTACCCTTCTTCGAGCGATGGCATTTTTTCCTCACACGAATTGACAATAAACTCTCACATCTACTTTTTAAATGGCCAGAAAAAACGCTATTTTTCTCGTCAGCGATTCTCCATTTTCTTTGTTTCGAATCTCATAAATCACGGCCCCTGTTAAAACTCGTTCCGCCCATAAATGGACGGCAGAATTGACCCCTACGTTGCATGAAAGGTTCAAGAACTCGTAAATCGTTGGCCCGTGCGATCCTCCCTCGGGCAAGTTCGCGAGTTTCTGGCAAACATGGTCGCCGACCACATCTCCGAAATCCTCATTTCAGCCGCATTTTAGTCAGTAATTAGCTTTTGCCTTATCGATGCAGAGATAGTTCACGAAAAGCAAGAAAAGAAAACGTCGTAAGAGATGTTTCGGCAGGTCTCAGTCGCCACCCTCGTCAGGCCGCTTTTGTTTCTGGCAGTTCTCTTTGTCGCCATGGTCCTTTATCTTTCAGGTAATACAGTGCCCCCTGTGAATTCTAAGAACGCGGCTTTTTTCTCTTTCAAGTCTGGTTCTTTTCAATTTGTTGACTACATAAGCTATTCTGAACGAGCTTCGGTCAGACTCAATTATTCCTTCGAAAAAATGAACCGCTTGAAAATTGTCGATAAAATAACCCTTGAAGTAAAAGTTAGAATTTTGAACTTGTAACCTAGAACGGCAAAACGCGATCGATCGACAAGTAGACTCCATTATCAAAAGCGTTGAGGCGATGCAGGAATCGCAGCAGCGACTCTTAGACGAGCAACTTCAGCTTTCGCTCGACACTAACAAGACGGGACTCTCTATCTCAAGTCACGATAATCAGATTGACGTCCTCGAGCAATACACAAAGGTAAGTCGGCCTTGCGTCGTCTGCTAATTGTTTTTTTTTCCACTCATCCCTTCTTTATCGTCGCCAATTTTAGAAATACAACTTGCTGTTTTTCGGCCTCGCAGAAGAAGGACCAGAAGAAGATCCTGAAAAATTAGTTCGCCAGCTTCTTGTTTCAAAAATGGAAATCGACTTGAAAGACAAAGACATCGAATACTGCGAGGTAAAGAAGCTTTCTCTCATAAAATAGGCTCGAAGAAAACCTGAGTCAGGCTCTGAAGAACGCTACGCGGCTTTTATAATAGCCTCTTCAGAACCTGACTCAGACTGCCGAGTCCAGTCATAAGAAACCTCGATTCTCAAAGAAATTCTAGCGGCACGATGACGGAAAATCGAATCCGAAACCCATTCTCGTCAAATTCCAGCGCTGGAAAGACAAAACAAGAATTTTCTACAAACGAAAAGTGCTTCCTGCCCAGTTCGAGATCAGAGAAGATCTCACGCTCAAGCAAATCCACGATAATGCGAAACTAGAAGCTTACGCAAAACTGGTAAGGACTCGATTCTAACTCGATTCTTCTGCGCAGTCTAATTATCGCTTCGTTCCGGGCGATAATATTTCATTAACTTGTCTTCTAACAGTTAATTAGGCGCAGAAAGAGAACAAAACGATCAAGTGGAACGGCAAGACGCTCTTCGTCAACGGGAAAGAAGTCCGGGCGTCCGATGTGCCGAATAGTATTCTGGAAAAATAACCGTTTTTCTAGCAAGTTAAATTTATTAATAACGTCACTGCTCAATAGTTCGCAAGTTTCTCACTGTATTATTCTAGTAGCAATTATACCAATTCACAAATTGTAAAATTCAAAGAGATGAGCTCTGGAACCTGTGTATAAACCCTGAGTCAGGGTCTGAAATAATGCGGTTCATGGCAAAAATGACGGTCTAGGGAAAAAAACAATGAGCGCAAATTGCAGTAGTGTAGGAAGCGATATGGAACAAAATTGTTTGTTATGTGAGTTGTTTTGTGTACTATTTATGCTTCGTTAATAATTACCATCGGGCATTACCAAAAATCTTTTTTACTTTGGCGGCGGCGAAAAAGTAGAGAAAAGGGGCTGTTGCAGCGTTTCAAAGGTATGCATACCTACTTAGACCTTTTAGTGCTTTTGGAAGTGGGAAATTTTTTTGTATAAATAGGCCTCGGACGTAAAAAAGACGATTTTCACCATCCGGTCATCGTACGGGAACAGGAGTGAGCTCATTCGAAAGCTCTTGATAAGGGCTTTCTATTTGACCGATAAAAAAAACTGGGCCCTCCCTTTCTGTGACGAGTTATTTCGAAAAATATTTTTCGAAGCTTACTTTAAAAATCAAATATCTCAAAAAAAGAGGACAAGGCCCAGTTTTTTTATAAGCCCAATAGAAAGCCCTTTTTAAGAGCTTTCGAATGAGCTAGGCTAGGAATGAAGACTAGAGTCTTGTTAACGTACGAAGACCGGCTGGTGGTGATGATTTTTTACGTCCGAGGCCTATGTATAAATCAAAGAAAGACCGTTCTTTTTCTTCCTTTTCTAAAAAAGGAAGTCTTTCTGAAGATGATTCATAAGAGAAACCGAAGATGATTGAACATTCATCGAGGGGATCACTTGAAACGACCACTCGTGTGGTTTGGTTCGAGGGTATATTTCCAGACACTCTTTTTCCCTTCCACTCATTTTACCCATGAACGAGCAATTTTGAAAATCAAGAGCAATCCCGAGCTACGAGCTATATTGAGTGTTACGTTGGCGACATTCAATCCAAGCGAGTAAATATTGAAATTAAAAACAGAAATCGAACCAGCTCCGTTTGGGAAGGGAATAAAAGAGATATTGTAAAAAGGATAAAAGAGAGTTTACTCAAGGAAGATACCGAACCAAGGTAAGATTCTTTTACTCATGACGCTGTTTACATTTTGACCTGTCAAATGGCCTCATTTTACGCAAATTTGAAATTTCTCAAGAGTAAATTTTGGAGTATAGTTTTCGGTATGGTTAATCAGATCGTCAGTATCCTGAGCTGGGTTTGGAAAGCTGTGTAGAAAACCTGAGTCAGGCTCACAAGAGTCTAACGGAAACACCGCGTAAAGATCTGACTCAGGCTTCAGATCCTGATTCAGGATTCTAGCGCGGCTTTTCCATTAGACTCTTCTGAGCCTGACTCAGGTTTTCTACAAATATTTCCGAGCTCAGATCCTGAGTCAGGATTCCTGGCACTAAATTTTGTTGGAACATCGAATAATAATAAATAATTAGAAAAGCAATCAGAGTTCAATCTGAAAAACGGTCAATAAGCACTCCAGAATGGCATAACTTAGATCACATGCAAACAAAACGATCGATCGAGTTAGCATATGCCTTGTAAATGAGGCTGAATTCAGCCACAAGTCACAAAGTTGGATCATCCAAGATCAATGCCCTTTTTATCGTCTCGCGTCTCTCCGATGCAATACGAATACTCCTCATCAATAAATTTAAATAACGATGCCACTGGCAATACATTTTCTGGCGTCTTGATTCTATTCAATTTGACTCTTGACGGGAAGCGATGATCGTCGCAATTTCTGGCTCCCACGCGCTCTCTAAGCCGCTGTATCAAAAAACGCTCGCTGATTGAAAAATGTCTATTCTTAGAATTGGCCCCTTTCCAGCGCAGAAAAAATATACTCTCTCGTTTGTTCTTGGCCTTGCTTTTGAATTGGCCTTGGCTTTTTGTGCTCGTCCTGTCCAAACAAGCCCTGGCTCAAGCTATTTTTTCTTCTCAATTCGAAATTGGCTGAGCCAGAGCGCCCACTCCTCAAAATCGCGGCTCACTCAAACTTGCGCTTCGCTGCTCCCCGCGACTTTTTTTTACAAGGCGCCATTACAACTTTTCAAGTGTTTTTCTTCTTTTTGCGAACAGAGATTTTCTAATGAAGACATGGAGGAAAAAGAGGAATGAGCGACTCTAGCGCGCTGATATTTATTTGAATTAATATTTTTGTACATATTATGCCTCCGGAAGGGGATATAGGAAGGGTGACTTATTTTGAATATAACCCTTGAAATTGGTTGCCGAACTTTGTAGAAATCCTGAGTCAGGACTTTGAAATTCTTTATGAAAAGCCGCGTAGCGGCTTTTATTAAAACAAAGCCGCAAATCGGCTTCACCATCACTTAAAAAATATATTAAAAGAGTCACTTAACTTTTACGGACCCTGACTCAGGTTTTCTACACAGGCTACCGAGACAGGTCTTGAAGAATTTCTTTTTCATCAAAGCTCATATTTTATTGCATCAAAATCTGTTTCTAATTGAAAGTAAAACACCCAAATCAAAGCCCACCAATTTCAAATGGAAGCCACAAGTACATTTGATAATTTCAAGAGAGACTTGAAGAATATCAAGAGGAGTTCCATGAGAGTAAGTAGCTTGGAGAATATTTTGTTCTTTCGAACAGCGGTTGGCGAGAAAATATTGATTTCCTGCGGAAATTTCGATTTTTTTGAGACATCAAGGGTTTGTCAAGAAACAGTGATTTATTGGCCTATTTTCTTCGTTGAGAGAATTTATGAGCTTCGAGACGTTTTGCTTTGAGAAAGTAAGCTTACATTTTCAAGAGGAGAATTCTTGAGCGACAATTTTCCAGCGTCACGACAATTGTAAATTGACAATCGTCAGAATAATTATTGCAGGTGTTTGATTTTTATTGTCTCCTGCATTGGGAGCAATTTTCAGTTTCATTTCCGCTCACTCTTCGTAAAAGACGAAGAATAAGAGGGCTCAACTCGGTAACCTGTTTATAGAACCTGAGTCAGGGTTCAGACAGGACTTTGTTAAAAGCCGCGTCGCGGCTTTTTTAAGAACAAAGTCGCGAAGCGGCTTATCCAGAAGTTGGATTGCGGCTTTAACAAAGCTTTTTCAGAGACCTGAGTCAGGGTCCCTGACTCAGGTTTTCTACACAGATTGCCGAGTTCGAGGGTGCTGAAAATTGCTCAATTGTAAATGTTTGTCTTCCTGGCCAAATAAAAAAAGAACGATAACAAAGTAAAAGTAGTGTTTGCTCAGTTCGCGAAATTCCGGCTCTTGCGATTACGAATCATGTGACGCGACGATTTCGATATTTACTACCAGGGCTGGTAAATTCGCGTCCTAAAATCTGTCGAAAATTTTTAGTGCACTAAAATTAGTGCGCGAATTTATTTTGTCGAGACTTTAGTGACTTTCGCGTCTCTTTCGCGTGTGTCTCGAAAAGTGTCGAAAATAAGGGCTGCTGATTGGCCCGCCAATGAGCGCGGGCTCTTTAATTCTAAAGAATACGTAAGTTTTATATAAAGTCAAAAAGACTTTGTCAATTCATTTGTTAATTTTCTTTATAAATATAAAGTAACAAATATAGCCTATATTATATAGGGAAAAATACATACGTGAATGAGTGAGCATGAGCGCTCGCTCACTCGCTCGCGCTCGCTCGTGGCTCGCGCTCACCATTTTTCAAACACTGCTCAAAAGTCTGCAGCTGGAGCAGCCTTGTGCGAATTGTTGATATAATTCTTTATTAACAAAATCAAATTTATTTTATAATTCAGAAGGGAGATCTTCTCCCAAGTTCATGCTTACCTTGTAATTCAGAAAGCAGATTTCCTCCCAATACATTTTGATGATTTCAAAAACTTTTGTGGGGCCGGAAATCGTAAAAACTGCAAGTGCAGTTTTCTTCAGCTCCTCGAGACGAGTTGAATGATGGGTCTAACTCTTGATAACTCTAAGGATTTACCGGTTTACCGGCTGGTTACCGGAAAATACGTTGTCACCGGCCGTTTTTGTTCTAGAAGTGGTCAACAGATGCTCGACCCAGGAAACTGTTCCTTATAGTCAGTTCTATTGCAGGCTAAAAGATGAAAGTCGTATCATTACTCCGAAAATAGTTATCACTAAAATACTATTTTTGGCGGAAATGGGGCTAAAAATCAGGAACGTGCAGCGACAACGAAATTTATGCAAAATTTACTGTTTTTAGTGATAACTCTCTTCGGAGTAATGATACGACTTTCATCTTTTAGCCTGCAATAGAACTGACTATAAGGAACAGTTTCCTGGGTCGAGCATCTGTTGACCACTTCTAGAACAAAACGGCCGGTGACAACGTATTTTCCGGTAACCAGCCGGTAAACCGGTAAATCCTTAGAGTTATCAAGAGTTAGACCCATCATTCAACTCGTCTCGAGGAGCTGAAGAAAACTGCACTTGCAGTTTTTAAGATTTCCGGACCCACAAAAAGTTTTTTGAAATCATCTTTACTCAAAACTTACAATGCTATATGATAGCCTATATCCTAGAAAACTAAAGATAACTTTGGGAGGAAGTCTTCATTAGCAGTTATCAACAGTGTTGGAAAACCCGCAACATTTTCCGCGGGCGCGGAGACGGATTTCAAAATTGACGAAGGGCCGTCAAGCTCCTTAAGGGGGTAGAAACAGCTTTTTTCGAAAAAGACCATTTTTGACCAGCGCTACAGACAAGAGAATCTTACATTTTCAATTTCTCTCTTTATATATAGATAGATACATCTTAGATCTAGGAACATCTCCCTCAAAATTTGTTTTAGTCATCAAATTTTTGAGTAAGCGGGCTCAGAAGTAGCTCATCTCTCCGAAATTCTCGATTTTCGCCAATTTTCAAACACGAATATCTCGAGTCCCCTGATAGTTAAACAAATTTCATTCATATTTTTGTGAAGCTCAACCCTTTTTCTAGGAGCATTTATGAGGAAATTCCGTGAACATAAATAAATCTTATACTTTCTTTTATGTAGCAGCAGTGCAAAATCTAGAAAGCTGTTTCTACCCCTTAAATTAAAAATCAAGGAACTTGGAAAAAATGAAGAAAAGCAGGAAGATCCAGCTGCGAATGGCCCTGCGATAAAAAATTAGGAGAGGACCTCCCTAGCAAAGCTTATCTTAGCTCATCATTTAACTCGACAAAAGAATTTCCAACAAAAGTTGACTTTTATTCTTTTCAACTTATTTGTTACTAAATAAGTAATTTTTTTAAAATGATACATTAAAATCACTTCTTCGGAAGAAAATTCTACCCTCCATCTTTCTTATGCTCATTCGAAAGGGCAACTCCTGAGGAGTCGATTCATATAGTTTTGAGGGTCTGAGTCATCATTAATGACGTCATAGGCGCCCCTATTGAAAAATTCTAGTGAAGCCCTGTATCTCCGAAAATTTCCAAAGAAAGTATGGACATATGGGTATCATTGGAAAGCCCGGCTAAAACTGTGGTTGGGCAGTTGGTGGGCAGCCGATAATTCTCAACAGCAAAATTTTTTGAGCCAAAAAACTTTCCACTCAAAATTTTTTTCACAAAATTTTACGTCGAGCATAGTCTGCCCAACCACAGTTTGAGCTGCGCTTTCGAAAGAGCCCAAAATCACTATACTTTATAATGAAAGTTTCAGAGTTCTGTGGCTTCAGTACTTGTTATTTTCACGTACTTATAGCTCTAGAACCCGATATAATATAGAATAATCGACCCATAAAAATTATACCATTCGACTCCCCAGAATCTGCGCTACAAGATAAGAACGAAAAACATTGGGGTCAGGATTTTGGTCCGAAGAAGTGATTTTAATGTATCAAATTAAATTGTGTCATATTTACGATGCATTGATTTTTATATATCAAGCAGTTTCAGTTTGAAGAAATTCTTCCCTGATCAAAATCGTCTTCCATGAAACTATCATCCGGGAAGAGCCTATTGGATGATGAAAAAGAGCCTCTTTTTCGCGTCTTTAGTGCTGATCAGCTCTCGAAAAGTCACTAATTTCCCCAAGTGGAAAAATTAGTGTCATTTTAGTGCACTAAAGGCGCGAAAGACGCGAAAATGTCTCTAAAAAATTAGTGCGCTAATTTTTTTCTTCGAGAGAAAATAGTGCGCTAATTTACCAGCCCTGTTTACTACAGTGAAAACCCAAAAATTGCCCACCCAAAATTTGGCCGCTTTTTTCTCTAAATCTTTCTTTTTTGGAATCGGAAAACCCAAAATTTGGCCGCTTTTTCAAAAATAAAAAAATTCATATCAGAATTGGGCCAAAATGATGCTATTTCTGATCATTTTTAGCCTTTTTAAAGTGTTTTAATCATTCAAAATGAGTGAATTCTAATTACAATGTCTTCAACCAAGGTAAAATTTGAATAAAATTCATCAAAAATATGAAAATCATGCCGATTTTCTAAAATTTCGAAACTTTGTTTTTTGAAGGAGAAACTTGGCTACCCGGCAAAAACCCAAAATTTGGCCGCTTTTTCGGGAATTCATATCTGAAAACCGGCTAATTTTTGGGTTTTCACTGTAATTATAAAATGATTCGTATATTTAAAATTCTCTTCGTGTTTAATATCTTTCTGATTCATTCATTTGAGTTTATGAGTTTCTTGTGATCGAGGCCGTGGAGAGAAGATTGTCAAGTCCAAATTGATCGAGTTCTTTTGTTATTTGTTTGGGCTTTCTTCTTCTTCTCTTTCTGGCGTCTGCCGTAAAACTGGCCACTCGCTCTTAAAATTCGCGCTTTTGTTCTTTCGCAGCTCATTCACTGTTTATCGAGCGGCCGAATCAAAAAAAGAAAATAGTCCGAATTTCATTTTTATTTCCATTTTTTTTTTGCTAAATGAAGAAGTTTCGCTTGTCCTTTAGGCGCAAGAAAGAGAAAAGGGATTATGTCAATGATACTACTGAAGACAACGAGGAGAGCGAGGAAGATGTGAGTCTTCGTTTTTCTTTTTCTATCAGAATTAAAAATGAATTTGACAATACCATACCATAATCAATATATAAATTGATTGTTTGAGTTAGCTTTCGGAATAGAAATATTATCAAACTCACATGATTTGATCGAGAAATCACGTGCTAGAAAAAGAAGCCGGAATTTGACTTAGCGCCCGTGAGCTTTTCCCTGGGCATTTATATACGCAGCATATTGATATGAAAGATTAATTCCTCGAGTGAGCGTCTCATTGCGCCAGTTCCTTCTTTTTTGAATCTGAATCAGAAAGAGAACGTTTTCAAATTCAAAATCAAAATTAAACAATGGGATCGTTCCTCAGAGTTCAATCGACCAAGCTTACAGTCAGAGTTTAATCGGTTCAAAGTCATAATTAAGTTTTCTTCGAGGATCTTCTTCGGCGTTTATTTCTTTTTGGGGAAAGCCTTGAGTAGACTTTTCTTAAGGGGGTACCCCTCAAAATGGCCAATTTCGCAAAAACCTAATTTTTGTCAATAATTGACTTGAAACACCGTCAACTCCAACCACAGCCCCACTATCATTTTTTGCGGGGACGCTCGTCTAAATTACCAAAGATTTTTGGTAATGCATTACCAAAAATTGGTAATCCATTACCAAATTTTTTCATAAATCCTGATTTTTGTCCAAAAAATGAGTAAATCACTCCCAAACGTATTCTATCACACAGGCGCGGAGCGCACAAGGGCTCTTTGACTAAAAAATTGGCACTTTTCGGGAAGTTTGGTAATGCATTACCAAAATTGGTAATGGATTACCAAAATTGGTAATGCATTACCAATTGGTAATTTAGACGAGCGTTTCCCATTTTTTGACCTCGTGATTCAGGGTCTTTCGAGAGCCAAGAACAGGACAATCTCATCGGCTATGCCAGCTGCCACGCAAAACAATTTCGTCAGGACAATAAGAAATTCCTTCAGACGGAAGAAAAAGCAAGACGTAAGTTGATTTTTCAAATCGTAAAACGACTCTTAGTAATTTTATTATTGGCGACTAAATACTGGAGAATCTGTCGTTATTGAATAATTTAGCTTTCGAAAGACTTCGAAACAGACCAAAATGAAAATGTTGAGCAAAACATTCCTCGCGATCCAAAACAGACGATAAAATCCAACGATGCCAACAATGAGTTCAACGTCAAATCTGGAATGGCCAATTACAAGTGCAAGGTAAGGTTTCCAGACCGTAACAAGTATTGATTTTTGTAGTTTTTGGGGAAGAAAGAAGTTGGCGGCAAAAGCGGAATAACCTACACCGACGAAGCGCTGACTTATTACAAAGCCATCCGAGCGAAGAAAAAGCCACGCGTGATCATCCAAGTCTCTCCCGAAGTCATTCGCGTCGTCTCGGCCAAGGATCAGACGCTTCTCTTCGACCAGGCAGTCGACAAGATCTCTTTCTGTGCGCCCAGCAACACGCACCCGGATGCTTTTAGGAAAGGAAAAGACAACCATATTTGACCTCTTTCAAAGGCGACCCTTGTTGGTGAGGATTCTTCTTCAGTTGCCAACCAAAATCAAGGTTGAAATTGACAATGATCATTTTTTATTCAAATGAGATCTGTCAAGTAACCAAGTCTAACTTCCACTTCAAAAACTACCTGTCAATAATAATGCTCAACATGAGTTGAACATGCTCCCTTTGAATATTTCATCTTCGCTCAGAAGAATTTTTTCTGTTGATTCCTTTTTACAGTTACATAGCCAGAGATGGAACAAGCCAAACGTGGATGTGCTACTGTTTTTCCGCCAAAAACAACATCACTGGCGCTTCTCTCTCAAAGGTAAGTTGTGTGTTGGAGTAAAATTTTAAAACGGAAGTTAAGGTCTTTGGAGTAGCCTTCAAAGCGTGTTTGGACAACAGAAACAGGCTTCACAAAGAAGCAGGAAAAGCGCCAGTAGACGTAGAAGTAACGGATCTGCCTCAAGGAGGCTTCACTAGAGATGGAACATTCCGGTAATGAGATGACCTTCAAGCAGTACGTAATCGTGAATTTTAGCCATCGAAAGCAGAAGAAAAAGAGCCTGAAGTTACAGAAAGTCTGATTCAAATCGACACTGTTCCCGATCCCGTTAATTCATCAAATGGCACGAGCTTTTCAAACACCCCAGTCGCCTCCCCGGATAGCCTCCAAAGCGGCTCCAATGATTTGATACGAGCCCGACCAGGTACGACTTATAACTGATTGCTTGCCTCATGAATTTCTAGCTCCGTCGGCGGATTTAGTGCGCCAAGCAAGTTTACGAATTCCCTTGAAAAACGCGAACCAAGCCGGCCCTTTCAAGAAGTCCGTTTCAATGAGGGCATATTCCAAGCCAAACAAGCCACAAACAGAGGAAGTCAAAAACTGGACGGATCAATTGGAAGCAATCAAGGTATTTGCTGATACATTCTAGCACGTCTTAATTTTCTAGGAAGAAAGCTTAGAGCGACAGGTTTTCTATTCTTGAAATTGTTTTCACAAGTGTTTTTGCAAGTGTTGTTTTTTGAGACTAACTTTTTTTGTTAATTTTTGAATTTTCTAATGATTCACTTTTTAGCGGTTGAATATCGAAGTGCACAACGCAAAGCCAGTGCATGACGGGCCTGCTTGGGAGCCTGCAGATCCCTTTAACGAACTCGCAAACCGCCACAATCCCGTGACTTCGCCGAAGTCTCCGCCTGCAATTCCGTCGCGGGCCCCGCAAAGTCCCCCGAAAGCGTCGCCTTTCAGCGGTATGAGCGGCATGCCAACTCGTTCGCTCAACTCGTCAAACTCGTCGTCGCCCTTCGCCATGGATGCAGAGCCAAACAGTATCATGTACGGTAGTCAATTCCGAAAAATCATGTAGATACCATCCCCTCCCCTCGAACAATGACAGTACCCAGCCCTACAGTTCACTTTTAATTATTTTCTTTTCAAAAGCAAAAACTTCAAAGTGTTAAAAATTTAAAAATCGAGATTTAAATACAGTATGCTAAAATGCTAAAAAAAGATTTTTGACCTATCAAAAGCGGGTGAGCGAATTAACCAACAATTCTGTAAGTGACCCTGTTTGAACCTGAATTGAACCAATTCCTGTACATTTCTTTCTTCCTTCCTTGTTGAGACTGACTCGGTGGTATTCTAGTATTCTATTTTTTTCCAACTGAAATGTTTAAAGATCGCCGACAAGCTTGAACTAGGGCTAACTAATTCTGAATAATAAACTTTATTTAACAATTCTCTTCGTTGATGTCAATTTATTAGCAGACAAAAGGGGGTTCATTAAAAGTCTAATTACTTTATTCTAGTATTCTAGTGTTTCTTGATCATATACTATCATTTCATTCCGACTTCTTCTCAATCGCTTTTGGTGAGTCAATCCAGTCTCGTCGGACGCAAGTGTACAGTAGTTTCAGGTTCAGAAAGGCGATAATTGAGTTCATCATGTAGCCTTTTAAAAATCACGTGATAGAATGTTGCATAAGTTATGTTTGTTTCTTACCGTAAACAAAACCATTTGCCCGACCCCAGCGATCGATATGGTAGTTGACGGCTAATCTGTGAGTTACATTGGTCTGAAAGACAAATTCTGATGGAATTTATGTTTGCCCGCGTCTTACCAGAATGTTTAATCCTGAAGCAATTCTGAAGGCCGCTGTATCACGTTGGTTACACATTTGAAGCAGAGCTCGCCCATGTAGGAAAATGGAGTTGATTTCCATGTTGAGCGCGTAGATGGTGAAGTTGCCGTAGATCTTGTCGAGCATCACGATGAGCCCGCCACCAATCATTATGGAATGGTGGACCATCATTTCTTTCATGTTGAAGGGGTTGAAGCCATTTGATCTGAGCATGTCGAAAAGGTCGTACCAGACATATGACCAAGTAAAGAGCGTAGCGAATTCTTGATATCGGCCGGACTCTCCGAGGTTATTCAGGGCCTCTTAAATGATATGAGTCCCTCCAATTCCATCAAAAGGCACTAACATACCTGGAGTTTTCCAGAAAAAGTAAAGCGATAGAAGTGACGAAATTGAAGAGTGAATAAACGACACCATAATGTTATCAAACTAAATTGTTTTCAACAGCGCTTCTTTTTGATAAAATGAATTACCTGGTCCTCCTTCCCCTTTTTCAAGGATTCTGGTCGATTTCTGCCTATGACATATTTTCTCAATACAGTAAAAACCGCTGGTTTGGGACACCTAAAAATCCTTCTGGTCTGGGACACCCGGGCAAATTAACGATCAAAGGCACGCGCCCACGGGGCTGTTTTTAAACTTACCGCTTTACCCGGAAAGCGAAAGTGGCGCACGAGAGCAAAAGTGAAAATACTTCTAGTTTGGGACACGTGGGTGGAATAAGGGTGTCCCAGACCAGCGGTTTTTACTGTAATTCAAAACTGATTGCGATCCCAGCTCCAGCAGCCAACTGAGGTCCAATCTCCTGCAAACGCGGGAGGGAAAATCCAGCGCCCATACTTTCCCCAAATTTTCTTTTCTCTTTTCGCTCGTTTACTCTCTCTTTATCGATCTTCTGTTTTAAAAAATTATTCGCTGCTGATCAATAGAGTGGCTCCGAATCCGGCCTTCGGGATTTTTGTCGATATTAGGATATTTAGTTTGTCTGTCTTGCGTCTAACAAACCAACATCTACCCCAAGCACAATTTCCGCTCAAAGTCCATGCACGTGCCTTGCAAACAAAAATTCCTTTTGAGAAAAATCCGTCTTTGCCTCTCACTTTTAAAACTAATTTTTCCCTGTTTCCCTTTTTTCAGCTGAAGGCCTTTTTCCCTGTTTCCCTTTTTCCCTCAGCATAATAAAATAAAATTTCCTCGACAACAACAATCATTCTTCTCCAATTTTCTCGAAGAAGTTTGTTCAAACAGGGAAATTGTTTCCCATTTTAGGGAAACAGGGAAACACATATTTGGAACACTGAGGACAGTAAGGGTCAGATAAGAGCGCTGGATTATCCTAAATTCACAATGCCCATCTGAAACGAAGTAATTTGCTGGTTTTTGCCAATCTGAATTAAAAAGAGTAGCTTGCAATTGCCGTTGAGACTTTTCTCTTTCCTTAAAGCTTGCACAAATATCAGGCCATATTCTGGACGCCTCGGGATAAATAATAATAATGATCGATTAAATCGTGCTTGCTCGCAAAAATGACAGAAATAAGGCTTTAAATTGTTATAAATAGCCATTTTCGCCTTCAGCCAGCAATAAATGACCACAATATTGAAATCATTCAGATGCTAGATTAGCTTAAAAGCTTTCAGGAAAATTTACAGTGATCGAATAATTAAATAATAGTAGTTTGACTTTATCGTCGAACGCACCACGGGGCATCAGTAGCAGGAGTTGTTGATTTCGCCTAAAAATAAAATTACTGAAAATTTCGTCATTATTTCTTACAGAAGTGGACAAAGCATCGCCGACGGAGAGTCGAATTCTTTCGACAGTAGCGGGCGAGTGCCAATCCAAGAGTTTGTCAGTGTTGACTTGTCGGATTGCATCTCGGAGAGCATAGAAGACACCCGCGCCCATGAACAATGGTGGTTCGCCAACTCCCTTAATCATTGTCAAATATCGAACATACGCTGCGGAGAAACCTTTGAATGATAGAGACCATGGCGATTGCTGAACTTGTCGTAGAGTGAAACTTTCAACTTGGCGGGAATATCGCCGAATCCAGGGATTTTGTAAGCACCAGGACCTCGTGTCAGAAGTCGACCCGTCGGACTGTACAATTCTTCTTCGATGGTCATGAGACCAACTCCCTGGTAAAAGATTGTTTTCGTGGAAAATGACCCTTTGTTTACCTGCATAAAAGCGCCTTCAACTTGTCCGATATCAACAGCGGGATTAAGTGACCTGCCAACATCCATCATGATCTCCGCGTCTCGGATCTTATGATAAATTTACGATTGTTTACTAGGCATATTTTCAAATAACTTACAGTATGATGTCCAGTAAGCAAGTCAACTTCCACGTCAGCTCCGCAAGCACCGTAGCAATAGTAATTGTAGCGTTTACCGATTCGAGCCACTGGATCCCAAGTGACATCTGGTGCCTTCCAGAAGGCAGTAGCAGACAAACTGATTCGCTGGAAGTACGCCTTTTTGATTTTTTCCTCCCATGTGATGAAAGGATCGGTCTCATGAATCGACTAAATATTAGCTACTGCATGTTACTGTACTATCTAAATTTCAATACCGAAAGTCGTTCTCGAAGTTCTTCACAAGCTTTCTTCACTGCCCACCCGTTGATATCCGACGAGTATGAAGCGGCCGTGGGTGAGGTATTTGGAACCGTTGTTGATGAAGTCTCAAGAGTATGAATCTTCTCGACTGGAATGTCAAGTTCCTTGGAAGCGATTTGGATCATCTTCGTGTAGAGACCCTGACCCATTTCGACTCCTCCATGGGCGACAAGCACGCTTCCATCTTTGATTCAATTATGATCATTTGCGATGAAAGGCAATACTGACCTGTATAAATCTGTACGAGTGCACCACCCTGATTCAAGAATTTCAGCCCGAAAGCAATTCCGAACTGGGTGGGGACAAGCGCAACGCCTCGTTTCTTATACTTGTTGGCTTTGTTGAACTCGTCATTTGCCGCGCGTCGTTTCGCCATGTTCCAAGATGAATCGGTCTTTTCGTAAAGATCTTTGATGATATGCTCATCTGTGAGGATTTGTTTATCGTCTTCGCCGAAAGGAAGTCGGTCGCCAGGCTTGAGGAAGTTGATTTGACGAACCTCTTCGACTGGCATTTTCAAGTAGTCAGCGACTTTGCTGATGATATCCTCGGCGACGAGCATGCCCTGAGGTCCACCAAAACCTCGGAAAGCGGTGTTTGATGGCGTGTTTGTCATCATGCAGTGACCAACGACTCGGAAGTTTGGAAAGTGGTAGCAGTTGATGCTGTGGTCGATATAGCGGGAAAGGACACCAACGGAAAGATCAGTCGAGCATCCAGCATTTTGATAGCCCATAATTGAGACCGAAGAAATCTTGCCGCTGCTATCGAAGCCGACTTTATAATTGCTCAGGAAAGCGTGACGACCACCAGAGTACATCATGTCTTCGTCACGATCCAGCATGCATCGAACAGGACGATTGAATTTTTGCGCAGCAACAGCGACAGCGCTCGAGAGAATCTGGAATCGACTTTCTTTTCCTCCGAAACCACCGCCGAGACGTTTTACGGCGAATTTGATATGATTCATTGGTACGCCAAGAGCATGCGCTGCCGAATGCTGACCTTCAGCGACATTTTGACAGCTAGAGTGAATATGGAACTCGTCGGAGTTGTCGATCGGAATACAGTAGCTGGCTTGCGTCTCGAAGTAGAAATGCTCCTGGCCGCCCATTCGCACGGTTGATTCAATCTTGTGCTCTGCTTCTTCAAAAGCCTTGTCAGGGTCACCACGGTTATGTCGAAGACGAGGAGCGTTGGGCAGATAACTCTCGTGTTTGATCGCATCCTCGATAGTGACAATGACTGGAGAAATGTCTTCATACTCAATTTTGACAAGCTTGGCAGCTCGCCTTGCGATCTTTTCATCAACAGCGAGAATACCCGCGACAATTTGCCCACAAGACGTAACAACCTCTTGTCTGAAATATTCCTCGTCGTTAATTCTGTTATCTCCCTTCACATCTTTCCACCAAACATGACCGGCCACGCCTTCAACAGCTTCAGCAGCGGAAAAATCTACGCTCTTGATCTTTGCATGCGCTCGCTGAGACAAAACGGGACCGAAATAAAGCTCTCCATCAAGTTTTGGCATATCATCGAGATAGACAGCTTCGCCAGTGCATTGCTTGCCCCCAGAGATGATCTTTTTGGACTGACCAACAGCATCAGTAGTTTGAACGTCGGCACATTGGATACTTTCGAATGGTTCTCGATCGAGGTCCGAAACATCGGAATTCTCGTTCGGGTCACAAAGACCTTTTTTCGAAAGTTCTTGCTGCACCGTCAAGAAGAATTTGAAGAAGAACGATGTAACCAGGCATTTTCGATAGGCTACGAAGCCACCAGGGCAGTTAGCGGGCAGATCGAATTCCTTTTCTAGTGCTTCGCTCATTTCTGCCAGAAGTTTCTCGTTCCATTCTGCTCCGATAAACTTGTCGGCGCTTTTTGCGAGTCTTGTTGTTGGACCTACACCACCATACGAAGCACGGAAGGTTTTGATAACCAAACTTTCAGGCTCGAAATCGACCAAAAATGCTGCATTTACAATTGCAATATCGTCTTCCTTTCTCTTCGATTGCTTGTAAGCCCTGAAGAATCCGTTTTCAGAGTTGTGCGGGATTGAGACTTCTAAGAGCGCAGATGTCTCTGGCATGACGGTTTTTCTGTATCCAGTGAAGAATGATGCATCGATTGGAACGCAGTTTGTCTCGGGCACATCCGAATTGTTGAACTTGGCGAATTTCGCCGTCGCTCCTGCAGCCATGAGAATAGGAGTCAAGTCGGAGATCGGACTGGCAGTCATCAAGTTTCCTCCAATTGCGGAAACATTTCGAATTTGATCACCTGCGAACCATCGTAGAATCTGAAAAGAAACATTTTAAAGTTCAAGTTGGTATTCATTTTTTACTTCAATAATTGCATCGGCAACTTGGTTCTTTGCACTCGGGTTTTCATTTCTAAAGGCTCTGAGCTCGGCATCTATTTCGTTGAGAGTTGCACTTGCGCCAGCAATTATTCTTGATTCATTGATGGTTATCTCGTTTAGCTCAGGAACGGCGACGGGTGAGATCAATTTGGGATAGAATCTGCCTCCGAACTTGGTCTCCACGCCACATTCAGTGTTGCCAGTGATCACTTTTGATTCTGGATGGTCCATTCGGAGCTTCAGGAAGTCAATGAGAGAGTTTGGACGGAACCATGTAGCTCTCGGTCCGCTTAGAATTAACGGTGCTCGGAAATTCGCAGATTTTAGCTCTGGTGGGAAAATTGGCTCTTGAGAAGCATCGTCAGGAGTGTAAGCAGATTTTTGAGCGACGTCTGGAACGGTTGAAGTTTCTTCATTCTTCTTATTCTTGCAGCAATCGTCTCCAAGAGCACAAACACCTGAACCTATGTCGTTGTTGATTTCATCGTGGACATTTCCTTCAGCAGTGAACATTTTGAATCCCTGTAAAATAGGTCTGTAGCCAGTGCATCGGCAAAGGTTGCCCTGCAGTGCTCGTTCGATCATGTGTTCAGTTGGAACAGGGTTGTTTCTGAGCAAAGTGTACATCGACATAACAATTCCGGGCGTGCAAAAGCCACACTGGCTTCCATGATTTTCGACCAGCACCTTTTGGACTTTGTGGAGCTTGGTTTTCGTCGAACCGATTCCTAAAGAGAGTGAGAGTCGATTAACAGGATCATCTTACCTTCAATCGTTGTGACAGCGCACAAGTGGACGCTCATTACAGGAGCTAAGCAAGCATTTACAGCACGATGAATGACTTTGCCATCTTTGTAGTGTGAGACCATAACAGTGCATGCTCCGCAGCCTCCTTCGCCACAACCGAGCTTATGATGTTTTAAAAAATTTCTGGGCTGTACAAAAATATCAAAAATTAGTTTACCTTTGTTCCGCATAGGTTCAACGAATTTCTCAAGTAATAAAGCAGCGTTTCCTCTGGGTCGACTTTGGCATCCTCGACTTTCTTGCCATTAACAAAAAATAGGAGCGAGCCTTCTTCCCCGGCTCCCATGTTTACTTGTCGCAAAGACGATTTATTATATTTTTTTTGTTTCTCGCTACCTTCGCCTGGTGCTAAACTCAGCTTTATTGTTTGATAAACAATTGATCTGTGAAGAAAGTTCTCGGCCCTGAAGACGCCCTCTTTTCGTTTGCGTAAAATTTCCGTGTTGTTTGAATGACCTCGCTAGAGAATGAGAATTTCCGTGCCGCAATACTAGGGGGTCAAATATTTGAGTTTTATGGTACATTTTCGTGTTGTCTAGTTTTTGATGTTCCGACATTATGATTCTCCAAATAAAAACTTTCTCTATTGTTCATCATAATTTACGGGCCATAATAATAGTTCATTAATGAAAAGCTCAAAAATCAGATGAAAAAAACCCTCTATAATCTTCCTCAGAGTTGCAAATTTGTTGAGCTGAGTGAGCTGAGCTGGCTAAGTGAGCTGAGCAGTCGCTCAGCTCAGCTCATCGCAGTCATTTTCGAAAATGATCTGATCTGCTCAGCTCAGCTCAGACAATTATCACTCAGCTCAGCTCAGCTCAAATATTTTCGAATATGATCAGTTCTGCTCAGCTCAGCTCAGCTCAGGCAAGTATCACTCAGCTGAGCTCAGTTCAATGATTTTAACAAAATTCTAATACTGAAAATAAAGTAAAAAACAGCTAAGTTCAGCTCATCCAGCTCAGCTCCAGCTCAACAACCTAAAAAAGGGCAGCTCAACTCAGCTCAGCTCAGCGAGAATATAGCAAAATTTGCAACTCTGATCTTCTTTACCTCTGATTGAATTCTCAAAAATACTGATCTTCGAGCACTGGAATTACTTCTGCCTACGCCATAAAAGTTTACAATGTTAGCGGATCTTTTATTCAAAAGAATATTTATTTGGAGACTTGAATTTTTACGAACCAGTAAACCGAATATGTGGACTTACATAATGTTCTCGATCTTTGGCACTCAAAATTTTTTACGATAAGTTGAAGGAGTAAATGATGAACTGGTTGTCGGAAGAAGGAATTGTTATCCGCTCAAGATTGTGTTCTTAGTTCTAGAATTTTGCTATTATGTCGAAGTACAACTGCAGAACAAATACTGCCAATAAAAATATTTGCGCAAAGTTTTCATGTGCAGGGTCATTCGGAGGTCAAATGCTACTGGCCCTTGAATTTCTGCAAAGCCCATTTGATGGATGGGTACAGTCTGGTCTTGCAATTGCGCGACCTGCAATTGCGCGTTTTTTTTTGGGAAAATCCGATACACAATTTGCACTATTTAGTGCATTTTAGGGCTTGCAATAACGTGTTTTTTTAGCGAAAATCCAGAAAATAAAAACCGCGTAATTGCAAGACCTGACTGTAGTACGGGCCATACTGTACGGCGTTATCGGTCGGGCAGCCCCTTACTTAGGGGCCCTAAGCCTAAGCCTGACCCCTGTACTCCCTGTTCTAACCCTAACCCCTAACCGAGAAAGGAGTTCAAACGAACAGTAATTTATGGGTGCCCGACCGATAGCCCCGCTACACGAACGGATAAGAAATCTGGAAGCAATTCATAGTACCAGAACATGAAAATGGAAATGAGAACCAACAATCTTGTTCTTGAAATATTGCGGAAATTATGCAAAAATAAACTTTGGTCATTACGCTATTTATTACGCGAATAACGTCTTTTGAATATTTAATTGAAAGGTGAGTGAGTGATTATTGGTTTTATAACCCAATTATTTATTTACAGATAATCACATTGCGCAGCTGGCGATTTACAAGAAATCTTCGAAGTTATCTCGCTTCCTTGATTGCTCAAGTTGGAATCCAAACTATTCTGAAGCCACAAAATCACACGAGTATATATGAGGTATAAGACAAAGGACTAAATACGTTTTTCGTGCATCTTACAGTAAACAAAAAAATAAAATAATAAATTAAAGTTCTTCATAGAACTTCAGCTCGTCTTTGTCTTCATCATCGTTAAACTCACGCGCGGATGTTTTAAATTATTATTTTTACTAAATTTTATTAAAATATTTAATATATTTCTATGTTTTTGGATCCATTCCGTTGGTATGTTCTTGACTTTTGCCATGAGCCAAATAATGATTCCAAAAGTGATTCCGATTGAAATTGTGATGAAACAAATCTCCACGTAGTAGCCTAAAAACCTAATTAAATAAAATGATAGTAGAGGGCTATCATTTGAGCTGCCCCTAACCCTTAACCTAACCCAGGGGGCTACGCCCCCGGAACCTACCACCTAAGGCCTAAACCAGGGGGTTTCGCCCCCCGGACCCCAAGATTTTGACGTAAGAACCCTTAGTCTAAAGAATTGCGACCCCCTTGAGAATAAAAAATGCAAAGTAACTGTGCATATAAAAATATTAAGCTCACATTGTATTTTCAATTTGTCATCGCAAGTTCTATCCATTAACTTTCTCTGTGTTGGAATCCTTTTTATCCGCAAACTGTGGGATTGATTCAGGATCTGAACTGCGCGTCTATGGCGCCTTAGTTCGCTCAACTGGCAGCAAAAGGGATGGACGCCGTGGCTCCTTCTTTTCGCGCCTGACGACAAACGAACAGGACGTGGAATCGGATAAACATGTTCCGTGTCTACTTTTGGCAGATTATGAATATGGAAATTCCCGAAAAAGACAATCAATCTTTCAAGCGGGGCTGCGGGGGTTATACTTGATTAACTACTGTTATTGAAGCATTCTGCGATTACAGACAGTTTTAATCAACGGTATTATTTCTTGTCCATGTCTTTAATCCTGCTTTGATGGCCGAAAATAACGCAATTTTGCTGCTTAAAGTACCGCCAGGGTGCAATAATAGTCATTCCTCTTTCCTGGAGCATCACTATTTGAGTGACGAAAAAGCTTGTGAAACTTGCCAAATGCCTTTTTAACGAAGAAAAAAGCATCAACTTTCTCAATTTCACAAAATGAGATTCTTTTCCGTTTTCCTGATCTCTTTCGCATTCGCAAAGGTAAAGGGATCTTCCTGAAAGTCAGTCGTAACAGGAATTTTCAAGGGCCTCAATGATGAGATCCGAAAGCAGTTCATGGAAATGGTGATGACACACGAGAACCCTGCTACTGAAATTATCGAAAAATTGACGACTGAGGTTGATATTATTGAGGTTGAACCTGAGTTGCTTGAGATAACAGGCTAATGAACATTTAGGGTGATATTATGGAAATGCTATCCGGGGAGACAGGGCTAGTTCACAGCTATTAGATCCTAAGATCTGCTTTTCTGAAATTCTAATTCTAAAGTAGACATATTCTAATATCTATGGAAGGTTTAATAAGCTGTTAAAGGAAGTTAAGGGTTTAATATAGTCAGTTTTATTGGCAATTTAAGATTTATACAGCGTCCTTCTAGACTAAACTACAGTCCAAATACGGTAAGAATTTTACGGAGACATTTCTTAGAAAAGTTGATTCTTCATTTTTGAGATTTCTTTTCTAAAAAGCAAAAAACGTATAATATGGATAAAATCTGAATGAACCGCAAAAAGACTCTGCTTTTTTGGAAGAAATCGGCTTTGAAGAGGTTAGTGCAGATTTACAGAAAGCTGTCAAATTACTGTAAATCAAGGAAGATGGAGTCGACACTTGTCAACTTTGCACTGCGATTCGACTTACTCCGCGTTGCCGAAAGCCGATTTATCCGGGGCAACCGACGCGGCCGCGCATCTGCAGAGCTTGCCTCATCTATCTCGTCGCGGGCTGCCTCGCAAATTAATGCAAAAGAGTGCTCCAAAAGAATAAACAAATTAAAATTGATAGCCGCATTAGCAATAAGTTATTGCTCAAGCCTTCCATCAATTGCAGTTTTTTCGACAAAACGAGAGAAGACAAATGCAGCATTTGTTATGTCCAGGCCGAATTAGTTGCTCTAGAATTGTTATTGCAATTTGCAAATTTAAAATTACATTTCGTACCAATTTATCAAAAAGCAAGTGTAAGAAATAATCTCGGTTCCATTTTTTGTGGCCCTTAAAAGGGCCGGTTTTTCGCTAACAGGAAAGACAAGTGAACTTATCCACCGAATCCGTAAAGAGTTCGGCCCTGTCGCTTGAGAGCGTAGACAACGTCGAGGGCGGTGACGGTCTTTCGCTTAGCGTGCTCGGTGTAGGTGACGGAGTCACGGATGACGTTCTCGAGGAAGACCTTGAGAACACCTCGGGTCTCTTCGTAGATGAGGCCAGAGATGCGCTTGACGCCACCACGTCGAGCGAGTCGTCGAATCGCGGGCTTGGTGATGCCCTGGATGTTGTCGCGCATGATCTTGCGGTGACGCTTGGCGCCGCCCTTTCCAAGACCCTTTCCGCCTTTTCCTCGTCCAGACATGTTTCACTAAATTTGACTTTGAGTGAAGTGTGGCCAGTGTGGCTTAGGCTGTTGTTTATATTTCGAGGGGAAGTCTGTGAGGGAGACAACCCTGCTGCCCGATTTTGACAAAACAACAAGCAGTTCTAGAGAGCGATAGAGTCGCTTCATATTGTTGTTTACTGCAACTGATGGATTAACTGTAGCTGACTGTTTCTAGAGCAATTGTGGAAAAAAACAAGTGGGGAAGACGGTGAGGGAGACAACCCGCCGAGAAAATCTCTTCTCACCCTTGTTTACTCCTTGAAAGAATTCAAAATAAGCGCTGTTTCTAGAGTAGGGATGGAAAACAAAGATTGAAACTTGATTTTCTTAAAACCACAAAAATGGGTAGAAGACCAAGGAAAAAACACTTGAAAAAGGGATCAAGCAAAGGAGGCTCTAAGATTTATCGACTGGTAAAAAAGCGACCCCAGGTTGAAGGAAGATCACTCTCTTCGATACTCAAAGATGACAAAGTCAAGCGAGTAGCTGGTCTAATTTGCAAAGAATCTCTTGGCGTTTTGGAAATGTGCTTTGAGAACAAGATGGGTAAGAAGATCACTCCCATGGATGTTCTAACTTCGCTGAAACAAAAAGGACGAATCGTCTACAGACTCGGTGGCTAAATTCGAGGATTTTGCACCTTTGGGTCTTTAAATCGGCCCTTTTAAGGGCCACAAAAATTGAACAGCTATCGTCGAGTTGACAGCTATCGACATATAATCAAAGCTGATTTATTTGGAATAAATGAATGAAAGCCATACGTAAGTATGAAGTTCTACTTCAGAAGTAGCGAGTAGAAGAAGGTTTCTTCAAGAAGCTGTTCACTTGAAAAGCCAAAGCAGAAGAGTCAAGAAGAGCGGCGCAGTAGTTGTTGCGACTTGTTCCGCTCCAGCAGTGAGGCCACAAAGTTCAAGACCGCATCCGTAATAATCGGCGGTATAGTCAAGGTAATCTTATATAAAGGTTCACAGTCAAACACTACTCATCAATCGTCGATACTGACCTTGAATTTCATCGAATCTGTCCTCGTACTCAGCGCAATCGTAGTTGTCTAAATAAGCAGTTATAAAGTTAATTTGAAAAATCATTTATTTACTTTCAAGCCTGTCAAGCCATTCATCTACGTATTCGCAAATTTTTCCTTCATGCTTTGGATCCTTAGCAAGGAACTCCCCTTTTTCCTTCTTTGCATTTTCTACAACGGATTGAAAAGGGTGGTCTTGCTCGAAAAACTTATCCATCTTGTTCTCGGTATAATATTTTCATCGAACACAGATTTTATATCTTCCATTGGTTAATTATAAGCTAGGGAAACCATACTAATGCACTGATTGTTGTCCGGGAGACACGCAGCATGTCACTTGCTTTAGGGAATCCCCTAAAAAGAAACGAAATAACCATAGTAACATGAAAATAATGACCCTTGAGAAGAGGACATCAGTAAATAACTGTACCGCGGTAGGAATGGTCAGGTCCTCCTTACTCAACGCTACTATAGGATCAAAGCGACTTATCTATGAGTTCTGTAAATAGACCGTATTTAACATTCAGCAGTTCCATCTCCGACTGAGGTTTGATAAGGCTGTCACATCCTGTGGCAAATAATCTCTCCTACGGAATTCAAGCTCTGTAAGCTTTCGCCTTGCGCACTCCGACTTGTTCTACTTCGTCAGTGAGGACACAATGTTCACGAAATGACGCAATGTCTGTAGCTTTTTGGGGAATTATTTGTGGCCCTGAAAAGGGCCGGTTTTAGCTCTTCGTAAATTGAAAATTTACTTAGAAGCTTGGTACTTGGTCACAGCCTTGGTTCCCTCAGAGATGGCGTGCTTGCCAATCTCGCCGGGGAGAAGGAGCTTGCAAGCCGACTGAATCTCTCGAGAAGAGATGGTAGATCTCTTGTTGATCTGGGCCAATCGGGAAGCCTCGGAGCCGACTCGCTCAAAGATGTCGTTCACGAACGAGTTCATGATGGACATGGCTTTGGTGGAGATTCCCTGCTCGGGGTGCACCTGCTTCAGGACCTTGTAGATGTAGATGCCGAAGGACTCCTTTCGGGCCTTTCGGTACTTTCGGGCACCGGCGGCGGGCTTGGCGGCTTTGGAAACGTTCTTGGGCATCTTTTTTGTTTTTTGACAAAAATGAAATGTGACTGAAAATGGGAAAAACACGCGCTTATATACAGTCAGGTGGGAAGAACAACAAGCATCCTTCTAGAGATAATTCCTTCTTTCCTCAACCCTTCTTTCAATATTTGTTTTGATTTTAGCTCGCACTAGAATTTTAGTCTAGAAATGCTAGAATTTTAACAACGAGGAACAGACAGAAGACTTTGTTGAATATTTTTTTACTTGAAATCAAGGAAGAAAGTTTTTTTCTTGTTTCTTTTTATGATTCATTAATCGAGTTTCGTTCGTTTTTATTCCATACGCAGCATGTCTCGATGAAGTTAAACGGAATGAAAGCTTTGTTATGCTTACCTGCATAATGAGAGTAACGAGAGACATGAAGAAAAGGACGATATAAAGAATGAACAAGATGATACAAGGCATAATCCGTTCCAGAGTCAGATTTTCACCGAAATTTAAGGCTGTTAATACAATTGCTCCAGCACCAACGAGCATGTTCCAAATTATTGCGAGTACGAAGAATAAATTCTGAAAGAAAACTTCTCTTTCTGATTCGACCTCATTCTTCATCTTACGGTTACATTCAACAGCGCTTTCTTCAACAACCAGTCCTGGCTATTCATATTTTTGGAAGTATAAACACTCCTGCCAAGACCGGATGCGGTCATTCCGATGATGGCAAGTCCAATGTTCGATATAATGAAGCCGTCTCCAAGGGGTGGAACAAGAGTGACAGCAGTTATGAATAGAATAATTACGGCTGAAAGATAAATATAGAAATTATGTTTCTAAATATGCAAAACCTATAAGAAGAAACCACTGGGCGATGATGATCCCCCGAAATCGACGCATAGACATTTCCCCAGCACATCCCCATGAATTTTCGGAATTCTCCCGCGACTAGTGTTATAACTAATAAGTTACATATTTTCTCTTTTACCATATTTCTCAGGTTATCTTTTTGCTGCTCGCAATTTGAAACAATTTATTTTTGAATACTTCTTCTGTAGGTTGGAGATTTACTCGAAGAGGACACTGTAACTATTTGTTTGCTCTATATTTTATTTCTGATCTTATCCGGAAAAGAAATTCTTTTATGCTTACTTAGGTCCCTGCTAAGCTGACTCTTTGTGCTTTCAACAAAGATTATAGTTGGAATACTTGCAAACAGAATCACTGCTTCTAAATCAGCTGATAGTATATTTGGAGGTTGAATTTTCGGTTTTATGATCGAAGTACAGCATCAGTGTTTCAGCGACATGTATAAAAGAGCGAGATAGAGAATGAAAAGGATGATGGCAGGAATCACTGCGCTTTTATACTCGCCAAACTCTTGGGTTATCAAAAAGTCTAGGGACATCAACGCCAGAACGAGCATATTCCAAAGGATTGCAAGAGGAAATAAGATTCTCTGAATGACATTTCTCTCGGTATTTTTCATAAATTTCTTAACTTACGATAGTCAACAACCACAAATTTTTTCCGTTTTCAGAGCAAAATACACTTCTGCCGAGAGTACAACCAATTCCGATAATGACCAGTCCAACGTTAGACATAAAGAAAACCGGCCCTAGCATTGGAACGAGGATAATGGCAACCGCCGACAAAATAAAGACGACTAAACGATACTTCTCTATCTCGAAATGGAAAAAACCTGTGAGGAGAAACCACTTGGCGATAATGATCCCGTCGATCTGGGAATTTTGCTGCAAAATACAATCATGACTTTTAATGTCCTATTTTACCATATTGCTCAGGTTATTTTCTTTGCTGTTTGCCATATGAAAATATTCACTTTCTAAGAATTCTTTCCTAGCGATCTTGACTCTTAGCGATAGTTTAGTTCCGAGAAGTCGCTGTATCACTTTGTTTCCTTTCCAATTATTATTTTCAGCCTATTATTTTCAGTCTTTCTTGTTTTCGACAAAATGAAATGAGATTGAAAATTTAGAAAACACGCTTATATACTGTCAGCTGAGAAGAACAACAAGCATCCTTCTAGAGACAATTTTCCTTCTTTCCCTTCTTTTTATACTGTTTGTTTTGCTTTATCGCAATAGAATTTTTATTGCTAGAATAGTGCAAAAAGTGAAGAGAACATGTAAGAAATTTTATTGGTGTTCGTATGAAAGTTATCTCATCTGTCGATTCAGAGAAGTTTTTGAACAAATGAAATGTGATACCCAAGCTTTGTCTCAATTTAAGGTTCATTTTTTGAATTAAAATATTTCAACTAAGTATTTAAATGACTAAAAGAAAGAACCTCGACCTGGAAAGATGTCAATGGAATTTTCATCGTCGTTTTTTCCATGGAGCTGTTTTTGAAAACAAAAGACTTATCGTTTTCATCAAATTCATACAGGCACATTGCATGCTTCATCTCAACCGACCCAGTACTAGGATTTCGTCAATTTCAAGTTATAAATTGTACAGTCGTTACTTGACCGGGCAAACAAGTGTCTTTTTCTGATTTATAGCACTGAAAAAGTCGCCAACAACCCCATAAGACTTCAACTGGACTCGAAAACCTGTTTTGAAAACCTGCGTAGCGAGGGGCTTTTCAGGACCCTGACTCAGGTTTTCAACACAGGTTGATGAGCCCAGAACTTTAAACTCGATCCGCTTTTATCATATTCCGTAGGATGGAAGAATATTTCCAAGACGGGTTCAACTCGGCTTATTCGATCGAAAATTGGTTTCAAGCTGCCAAGAAGATGAACGCCTAAAATTTCTGAAAGCGCTGAAAAATGAGACAATTTTACCTTCTCGCTGGAGAAATGTGGCCTTTGAAAGTCTGTGCATCACGTGATCAAGCAGTGCTGCTTGAGATTCGAGTTCATTCGCGTTCATTTTTGTTGGAATCACAGTCATCATCAGCTCTGATCTCAGAGTCTGCAAATACTTGAAGCAAGAACCAATTATCTTATTTACCTTATGGTGTGATGGATGATCGAGAACAGCCATAAAGTCAGCCTTTTCCTTCTCCGAGAAATTTTGCAACTCTTTTGATCGATTATAAAGCTGATAAAGGATAAGTGCACAGACTTCTGTAAACGATCCTTTTACCATTTTACGGATTGAAGATCGAAGCATACTTGCTGTAGCAAAAGCCCAACATTTGAAAGAGTCGCCCTATTTGATGAATTATCAAATAATACAGTACTATGGGGTAAACAAAACCTGGTCATGGATTGTTTTGCTGATCATTTTCGTCGCCTTCAAAGGATAAATAAAGTTTGTATTTAATTTTAATAAATTTTATTTCTAATGAAAAATTAGAAATGAGTTTTATCCTGCCTTTGATAGTTCCTCATACGATGTCAAATGATTGAATGAATTCATAATGTTCACCGCGGAAAATGGGGAATGTTCAAATTTAAGAGCTCGTTTCTTCACATCCTTGTCAACACTCGACTGTATGACTTCCAGGTCGTCATCTATTCCGAGATCCTTTGCCGATATCTTTTTTTCGTCGGCAAAAGCGAACCGCTGGAGCGAAAGAAACTGCTTCACCTGGTCGATGTTTGGCCTGATCGCGGGATCGTCCGAGATCATTTTTGAAATGAAATTCGTCAGTTCATGTTTTTGGGCGATTTTTTTCGCTGATCGAAGGACGTTGCTGTCAACTAAAGAATTTGGACTAGAACGACAAAGTTTTCTTATACTAAACCTGGAATCAAGAAGAGCTTGAACGCCAAGTGTATCTCATAGACAGTAAAGAGAATCGAAATGCCAAGCGAGTATATATCAGAAAAATAAGGTATCGATTTTTTCAATACTTCTGGCGCCATAAATAAAGGTGTTCCTCCTATAATGCCAGCCATTCCGAAGTCAGCCAAGCGGACGGAAAATTCACCAGTCACACTGTCTCGTTTCAGTAAAATATTTTCCGGCTTCACGTCTCCATGTGACAGGCCCTTTTCTCCGATTGCTTTGATCGCTGATGTAACCTTTATTGTAGGGTCGATATGATAGATGAAAATGACTTCTGCGGAGCAAAATCGGGACCCCAATATTTTTTGTGCTGATCTTGTAGCGCGGGTTCTGAGGAGTCGATTGGTATAATTTTTATGTGTCCAAGCAACGGAATATCTCTAATTCTAGTGCTTAAAGTACCTGAAAATGTCAGGTCATGTCCCCCTGTATCTCCGAAAATTCTCAGAAATATAAAGAGATTTTGGTATCGTTGGAAAGCTCAGCTCAAACTGATTATGAGCACTAGTTGCGCAATAAAAAATTCCGAAAAAAAATTTTTTGAGAAAAGTTTTTGTCCCAAAAAATTTTTTTTTCGTCGAAATTTTTTCTTGCACACCTTGTGCTCATAGCCAGTTTGAGCTGGGCTTTCTAACGATGCCAAAATCTCCATATATTTCTGAAAATTTTCGGAGATACAGGGGGACATGCCCATTTTTCAAAGGGGGGCCTTATGACGTCATAGATGATGACTCAGACCCTTAAAACTATACCATTCGACTCCTAAGGAGTTGCTCTATCTAATGAGCACAAGAAATATGGGGGTTAGAATTTTGCTCCGCAAAAGTGATTTTCACGTATCATATTGCTTCTTGGGACCGCGAAAAATAAGCTCAAAGTACCATGAGGTTGATTCGGAAAGGTAGAAAGTTTTTAGACGCTGCCTCAGAAGTGCGCAAAAATGGGTATTTTAACCAATCAGTGACCCTGAAATCACTGATTTTGTCGGGAAACGAGAAAGGTGGCGAAAACTTTTCTCCCTTGCCGAATAATCCTCATGGTATAACTCTTGGCTCGGCAACCTGTGAAAAAAGCTTAGTCAGAGTCCGAGAGATCTTTTATGAAAAATGGTCTCGTAAATCTTTCAGATCCTGACTCAGGTTTTCTGCACAGGTGCCGAGCATAGATCGATACTGACCCGAGCCTGTAGGAAAAACTTGAAAATGGCTGAAATGTTGAAATTGATTTGGCTCAATTTCGAGTCACAGAGCTCAGAGACGATGACAAACTCGTCTTCGCCATTATTATGCTGCAAGAAAAAGTCGAACACATGCAAGACATGAGGATGCTTGATTTCCCTGGCGATGTAAAACTCAGAGGCCTTGCTTGTGTAAAGCTGTCTCATCTTTTTCTCGCGCAGCGGATCCATGAGATTATGCGGCGCGTCTTCGAAAACTTCGAATAATTGGATTTTCGGATTGGGAATAAATTTCGCCGCAGCTTTTGTTCCGTGCCATGTGCATTCGAAAACAGATCCTTGGCCACCGTTTCCAAGAAGTTTCGTAGGCTGTTTGTCGATCAGCTGGCCGAAAAAGAACTGCATGGCGGGAATAGCTTGATCACAATTATCATCGCAGCTTTTGTTGCATGATATATCGTACCACGAATTATAAGTTGTGGTTAAAGGAACACCATCGACTGAATATCCGGTGACGTACTTTTTGACCAGGTCATCGTAAATGTCCAGTTCTTCGATATATTTTTTGTTCTGAAAGAAGACTGGCTCTTCCCAGAATAAATCACGCTGCAACAAGGTTCAACAAAATGACGGACAGAGATGGAAATTTTCTAAACAGAGCCGAGCAACTTTGCGGGCATAATACAAATTTTGGAACTTTTCAGCCTTGGACGAGGAAAAAAAGGAACTGTTAAGCTTGGAAGAGGAAAAAAGGAATTTTCGATTTGGAAAATTTTTTCAAATTAAATTTTAAGGGTTTTTAAGGCCTCCCGGCCTAATGAAACCCCGTTTAAATGAAAGAGGGGATCGAAAGGAACATTTTAAGGGGTTTCTCTAGGCCGGTAGGCCTCTAACACCCTTAAAATTCAATTTGAAAAAATTTTCCAAATCGAAAATTCCTTTTACTCGTCCAAGCTTAACAGTTCCTTTTTTCCTCTTCAAAGCTTAACAGTTCCTTTTTTCCTCGTCCAAGCTTAAAAGTTCCTTTTTTCCCCGTCCAAGGCTGAAAAGTTCCAAAATTTGTATTATGCCCGCAAAGTTGCTCGGCTCTGTTTAGAAAATTTCCATCTCTGTCCGTCATTTTTTCGTCGTCCACCCTTAGAAATTCCTTTAACTACTCGTCCAAGCTTAATTGTTCCAAAAATTGTATAACGCCACTTTGCGAAACCTTGACCTGTATTGTGCATTCTTGCAGCTCTTCGTGTGCCTCGAAACTGTATTCCATTATGTACCAATTGAAGTATTGCGATCCTGCAGAGTCATAATTCGGAGGAATAAAAGGATTCAAGCCTCTATTGAGGAGTTTCCTCACCAGCGGTTTGAAAAGAAGCAGAGAAGTGTGGTTGAAAAATGAGCAGCCGTTGAACTGCAGTTTTGGAAAAGTCTCCAAAAGGAAAATCAAGCAGTGATAATAGCAACTACTCGCGTAGCTTGGCAATGTGAAAGCAAGTTGAGATGGAATCATTACAACGTCGTGCGCTTCGTCGACTGTAAGATCCTTCAAGAGGTTGACAACATCATTTATGAATCATTATTAGCGGTTTTTTATTAGCAATCTTAAAGACATTGACTCTGGTCTCCAGATTAGCATTACGTAGAGAGGGGTTATCATTCGAGCCTATGATTCGAGCCATCCAATATCTCTAGAATCTGAGCTATTGGTTAGGGTTAGGGACTCGGAACTCTTAAGGGGGTCCCGGGGGCGTAGCCCCTGGTTTAGATTTTGGGTTAGGGGCGGCTCGAATGATAACCCCTACTACCTAGCATTATTATTGATAAATTTGGTTCTTTTTCAATTCTCAAAGAACGATGCCAACCTCCTTTAGCATATCTTCTAGCAAGTAAATCAGCATCTGATCTGTCGAATAGAGCATTTCATAAATTTCTTCTTTTGAATAAGGACTATTTCCAACCATTGTTCGTTGAACTGTATCATTTGGCGCTGTGAAGACGGTGTAGCCGCCGATTTTATACGCCCAGTTTATCTCATCTTTTGAAGAAAATAACGGATTTCTTTGTTATTTGAAAAAATTTGCTTACATTTTTCCCAAAGCGAGCTTTTTAGAATTTCGAAGTTGAAAGTAAAACTCGCAACAACTCGGAAATGGCTTGCACAGGCGCCATTCTCGAGGTCGATTTTCATGAGTTCTTCGAAAATGAACGAATCGGTACTTTGAGGTTTGAACTCGTTTTCACGATTACTCTGATTCATGACCAAAAAGAGACCTGCGTATCCTCCAGGGAGATATAGTGTCTCCTCTTTGGGGTCGATGCGGTAGAGTTGTTCTTCTAGCTTCGAGGAGGTTTATATACTAGTAAAAAATACACATTCGTTAAGATTAAACCACGGGCCTCATGGAATAACCCGAACAAAGCAAAACCGTCGTCATTTTTGCCAATCGCAGCCCTGAGTTTTTATAGACACAAATCGCTTTAATCATTTCGTCTTTAAGCAGTTAATTTCGAGCGCTTTCTCTCTGTAAATATTTCTAATTATTTTAATAAACTGAGTCCTCGTGAACTTCGATTGATGATGGTTTGAAAAAGAATGAGCCTGCCAGCAGCGAGGCTGGGTGTCTTTTCCTTGTCAATCTTGTTCGAATTCAAGAATCTCCACAGATCGACCAAAATCATTCTAGGAGGAGTTCTAGCCTGCTCCCAAATGGAACAAATTGCTTCGTCGCTCATCAGTGTCGGAATTTCTCTGATTGATTTACTTTCTTTCGTAGAAGTTTATTAAAGTCAAAAGGATGCGCTGGAACTTCAGAGTAGATCAATATATGAACATATAAGGTTATACCTACAATCGCCTCTTGAGGGCGCGATGCTTAAACTAACAAGCAAGATGGCCAACAATTAAAAATTGTCAGTTTTGTATCCGCTTTATTCAGATATGAGGCGTTGTCAAGATATCAACAGTATTAGCACTGAGTACTGGCAAGAGGAATCAGCTGAGAAAATATTTGCGGGGAAGACATTGTCTTCATTGAGTTTGAGTTTTTTGTTTCAAGGTCGAAGTACTCGTTGTTGAGGTTGTCAAGGCCGCCAATAGTATAAATTTTATTTTGATCAAGCACAGATGCTGAATTCATTCTCGTCTGCAACAACTTTCCAACAACGTCAAACTGAAAAACTGTACAATCGAGAACCCCAATGTTAGTACCTTTGGATGGCCAGAAACCCACTTCCAGATGTTTGGCGTGTAATCATCTTGGATGTCTGAGAATCCACCGAGCAAGTAAACTTCCTGCCCCGTCGTAATCGTGCTGAATCCTCGGATTCTATCCGTCATGTTTCCGATGAGATTCGAATGCCAGACTTGATTCTTTTCATCGAAAACTTCTGTTATTCTGGTATATCCAGCAATTCTAAAAAAACTTCTCAGAAAAGAATGACTCAATCATCAATTACCGGAGTAAAACATTCGTGTCCTGAGTGACAACCAAGCCGCCTGTCAAATGTCCCTGAACACTACTTGGCTCAGCCTTGATCGATGCCAAATCAGTTGAAAAGCAGGCTTCAGGCTTGTCCTTATCCCCACACATCCAAATCTTTCCATTCCAAGATGCCGCCTTTCCCATTACCAACGAGTCCGTCAGCTCCAACATCGGCTGAAGCCCACAACTGCCAACTTTCGAAATGACGTCCATAACAAGACCACCGATTACGTAGAACTCTCCATTGTGCTCCACAGATGTGGCGAAGTCAACTTCGTGTCCGTTCATGTTGAATCCATGGACAGACTCTAACTTGTCTTGACGAAAGTTGATGCCGACTACTCTGGTCTGCTGCAAAATCGCGTATCTTCCATCAGAATCGACCGAGTTGTTGGACCATTTTGTGCAGTTTTCAAGACATTTAGTATCCCGGACTAAGCAGGCATTTTGACATTTTTGAAGAGCTTTTTTTTTAGGAAAATAATTCTTTTCTTGTGAAAAAGTTCATCCCTTTTTATTGACAGTTATTATTTTCTCCTTTCCTAAGCAATTTTGATCGCACTGGACTGCATTAACTAAATTCGAAATGAACCAGAAGGCCTTGAGCTTCATATTTTTTTATCTCTGTCTGCACTTTTCTGAATGCTAAATGAAGCAAGTTGCTCATCTGAGTTGATGCGAGAATCGCGACAGCTGCCAGTTTTGGAACGTTTCCCTTGCATAAGATATTTGATAATTTTTCCATTCAAGTGATCGTCCAAATTTACCATTGGAAATTATTGCGATCAATAATTCAACAGGGTTGATGGTAACGGTAAAACGGGAAAGAGCGAAGTTGAAGATAACAGTGTTAGTAGCAGTTGTCAAGAAAAAAATGTGTATAAGAGATCATACGATTTTGGCGACGATTTTTATTTTTTGGACTGTCATGAATGTTTTCAAAAGAAAATATGATGATTTTCAAAAATTTTTGAAAGCAGAAATAAGATTAATTTGGCTCTGCTACGTAATCATAAGCTCCAAAGATAAGTATCTGATGCTAGAGCCGAGAAAAGAGCAGAACAGGGTCCGATAACCTGTGTAGAAAACCTGAGTCAGGGTCTGAGTGATCTTCTGAAAAAAAAAGATCCTTCAGAGTCTGAAGTTCAGACCCTGACTCAGGTTTTCGAGACAGGTTGCCGAGCCCAGGAGCAGAATAACTACGTTGATCCCGTGATAGTCAGAAAACTCGGCGGGTATTTTTATAAACCTCCTGTTTGAAAACTTTCAATACCCAGCTGTTCAATGTAAATGCAATAAATTACAGTTTGTAAATTGGTTTATCACCAGGTGGCTACTATTGTCGAAGGCAGCAAATGACGAGGGATTAGCGACTAGACCTCGAGCCCAAAAAAACTTAAGAAAAAAAATTAGGAAGAGTTCGATCACTGATCAGGAAAAAGAGAGACATTTGATGAAGAAAGGTAAAAAAATAAAGAGCTCTTTCTTTTCATGTGGGTTTTGCTGGGTCGTAGTTTACGAGTTTTTCTTCTTTTGAAGCTCCCCTTATGCAGTTTTGATAAACAGTCGTTAAATTCTCCACTAACTCTTGCTCCTCAAAAACTCAGTTTTCAAATCTAAGAGCAAGTTTTTTCTAGCGACAAATAATTAATAGAAAGCGGAAATCCAGGTGACTTCAGGTCTCTTTTTTGTTTGATCTGTCTTTTGTTGTTTAAAAAACTCTGACTCTTTCCAGTTTTCAGAGCCGCTTTTCAATAATTTTCAAAATTGAAAGCTAATTGTAAAATAATTATTTACGAAAAGCCGATTCTTGAAAATATGATTTCAGCAGGATGTGACATTTGTGTTTGACATTTTCAAACAACGTTTTCAGAAAAAGTCTTCTGCAGGAATCGAAACTAAAAGAGAAAGAGAAAAGAAATGATGGATAAAGAGCAACGAGCGAAAATTCACCAAGAAATGATGCAGAGAAAATCCCACCCTTACGCCGATATTAAAGGTAAGAAGAAGAAAATGTCAAAAACAGGGAGTTTTGTTCCGTTCTCCACAGGGCGTCCTGTACCACCCTCGGGGTACCAAAACCACATTCTCATCTTTTCCACATCTGTTTTTGCCAATCAGTACAGCAAAAATTATGGCTGACATTTTCTAGCGGAAAAGAAGGCAGAGGAACTTGGCGAGGAGATGAATACAGTCGTGAAGATTAGCAGTAGAAATCAACCGGATCTTGACCTCATGGGTAATCGATGTTTTTGTTGATAAAAAATTAAATTATTGATAAGAATATTATAATGATTGGCGAGCGAAAGAAGCTCAAGAAGTCTATCAAAAATCACCGTCAATTCGCAGCGCTCAAAGTCCAACACCAAGCATATCGGCATCGGAAAAATCAACCAGATCCCAAGCACCAGAGAAAGTTGCTCCACCGCCAATAAGGGAGCGTCGAGACTCCCTCTCAAAATCCGAACGGGTCCAAAGAGAGCTCGAAGAAGCCATGAACGAGCTCAAGGTTAATTTTCTCCGACAAAAGATCAGCATAAATAATTCCCCTTTCAGGCCGCTCGTGCAAATCCGCCGACGCCGCCTCCCGTCTTTGAAGATGAATTGGATTTCTCCTCGATCCCGCTGCCGGAGCCGCTTGTCCTCGACTTGTCGGTCGACTCTGGTCACGTGGACAGCGTCGCCGACGAGCTCGTCGACGAACGTGCTCTCGCCACAGACGTCGACCTTTGGAGCAACCAATCGAACTCGCCGCAGCACTCGCCCCGTCCGCTCAAATCAATTCTCAAACGGTAATTAACAAAGTAGTTAAAATCAAAGCGCCCTAAAGCGAGTGTGTGCATTAGAAATCCACCAACGCTGGAGTCTGCTGCAATCGAGAAGTTCGAAATCGAAGTGCCAGAGATTTCTTTTACGGATCAATCACGCACCGGTACTCTTCAAGGTTGACAATTTATCCAACTTCTATATAAAAAAACGTATAATAAAGAGCATGTTCATTTATTTGAATATTTCTAACTTCAGTTGATCGAGTAAAATCGCCGAAGCCTCCAAGCCCGACACCGATCCCCTCGAATTTGCCTCCCAAAGAACCCGAAATGTCGGTGAAAACAACTCCTTTGAAAACAACGAAAAGATCTCAAGAGTCCGCTGATGAGGTTGATCGACAGTTGGAGTTGCTAATGAAAAATTTGAAAACAGGGTAGCTCTATTTGAAAATCTCCAAAATAATTCATTTTTCAGAACGGTTACCGAAGGACCGCAAATATCATCAGTGGGAATCGACAAACTCATGTCAAATTTATCTGAAATGAAAGATGAGAGTGCGAATACTTGTGCAAGATGCGGAAAATCCATAGTTCCAGAAGACGGTGCACAGGAAGCGAAACAGATTACGATTGCCGGGAAGAATTTGCATAAATCGTGCTTCTCTTGCAAGGTAATCAACCCCTCCCCATAATTTCCTAATTGATAAGGACTGCAAAATAATGCTCTTTGACCCAAACTCTGGCGGACCATTTGAATTCGAAGGTCACTTTGTTTGTCAAAAATGCGCCCAACGACGAAGAAAGAACACAGTCATCACTAAACGGCTTCATCGAAAATCTTCATCAACTGCAAGATAAATGTTCTTTTTGTATTTTGCTTTTATAAATTTCGATTCTTCCTGAAACAAAATTTCTGGTTTATTGCATACTCAATCTGGCAAAAAAAAGGTAAAAAATGGCAGTTTAAAAATGGCGATCGAATTGAAGTTTTCTTACTCTGGCTGCTTTTTCATTATTGAGTGACGGCCGGGAAGCTTTATCGTTGGTGTTCTAGGCAAAACAGTTAAAATTGAAAATAATGAATTCGTATTCTTACGCGTCATGAATTTTTAATTCGGCTTTTTCTCGGAAAATGCCTGTAATCGCCATTTCTGGATTCAGGTGGGTTTTGGTCTGCTCTGAAACTTTTTGAATCTTCTGAAGCTCCCGGTAAGGAATCAAATATCCTCCACGAGCGCAGGCAGTTGGCAGCGGTTTCTTATTTCTCGAAGGCCTGAAATTTTAGAATAAAAACCTTTGTCAAAGTCACTTACTTTTGAAAGAATCCAAATAAGCACTCAATCAATCCCTTCTGATGCCTTCTATCGGGCTTTCTCCGGCTCATTCTCACGTTGCGTCCTTCCATCACCTCCGTCAAATTCAATTTCGACGGGAAGCTCGTTATGATCAGCGATTTTTCTTCAGAGCAATTCGATAGAAACCAGTCGATCGCGGACATGGCCAGGGTTGAGTTGAGTTTTGCCTCGCTTCGGGAGAGAGTGACGAGGAAATTGTCCCCGTAGTCTTTTGCCTTGTCTTCTGCAAACTCATTTGTCATGAAGTACAGCTAAAAGTATCTTAAAAATATGATAGAGGGAAGCTTCTGTACCCCGGAAAAATCAGCTGGCGCTAAGGAGAGAATCTCTTTTCTTGATTTTTCTGCGGCTTCGATGAATTTCCCAGTCTCATTTTCTTCCATTTCATCATCCTTCTCTAGCGATCTTCTTGGCTCAATGGATATGACGATTAAATTATCAGAGCTGCAGGTCTTCGGTTTTTTCAGAAACTTAGGTAGTTTTAATGAAGATTTGGAATCAAGGAGGAAATCGTATGGAATCGCCAGCTCGATTTTATACGTTTCTAGTGATGATTATTTCGGTGTTTAGGAAAATCGGAACTTACGAGCATTATTTGCAGTTGCATAGTAAATGATACAAAAAGTAGAAAGGAAGAAAATCAGGGTCGAGAAAAATGCCCATATTTCTAAAAAAAATTAACGCTTGTTGAAAATTCTGAGCACAAACCTCTGCCAACAGCTTTTTTCCACTTTCTTATGCTCTCTTTTGCGCTCTTTTTTGGACACATTTTTCCTTTTCAAACGAAAATTTCAGACGCTAAAATCTCTTTGTCTTCAAAAAATGATGATAAACGCGCGAAGATAAAAAGTCGTAAAAAATGAAACCCCGATGCCTCAAAATCGATGGCTCATCTTTTTAGAAAGAAAGAAGCTCTAAAAAGTAGAATGTTGAGCTCGCGGGTTTTTTTTCTTCTTGTTATATGAATAGAATAGAAAATTGAGAGCGTAATTGCCCGGGCCGAGTTCAGCGGAGTATAACGAACAGCGCAAATATTAGATATAAAATATAAAAGTCGTAGTTTGATCAATGTGTTTGATGTATAAAATGCTTCCGTTTGTGCTGCCTGTAGTACCGGTTCTTATTATCACAAACTGTCCATCAATCCATGATGACAAGGAGAATTGTGTGAAGTGAATCTAGAATTGCCAGTAGTTCACCTCCTATCTATATATTCTGTAGATTTACAGTTTATATTCAACTTGTTCTGTCTGCCTTCTTAAAAATTTCACCACTTGAAAACATCACTTCGATTCCTAGCCCAGGCTAGCTTTTCTCCATTTTATCTTATTGTAAATATCTTATTTGAATTCTACGCATTTGAAAACCTATATGTACCTTTTTGAACGAAATAAATCCGATTCTTTGATCCGAAATAATTGTCGGAAGGTTATCGCACGTACTTTCACGTTGGTGCAGAAAGTGATTAATCCGGTACCAAACGCCACCAAAAGAGATTAGCGCGCTCTTTTTTTGGTCAGAGGTGCTTAATACCAGTGTGAATACACATTACATTTTTCAGCTCGATCCGGATCACAGATAGATCAGTACAGCTGATTAAAACCGGATTTCGACAAAAAATGTCGACTTAGACTCGTGGGGTTAATTTTTTCCCCTTGGCTAAGCCCAGCGAAGCTGGTCAAAATCATTTTAGCCGTAGCTGAGCGTAGCGGAGCTGATCAAAATTTTATTCTCCATAGCCTATGGACAATAGCGGAGCTGAAACAAATTTACCATGGAATTGAGCTCTAAGGGGAGATCGAGAATCTGAGCTACTGAAAAATGCGCTGACTTTTTCAGTAGGCTACTGACAGTAGCTCATTCTGGGCGCGCCTAAATTTGGGGAGAAGCCGCACAAAACCTTCTTGGCTCTCTCATTGGCTCGGACTATCCAGATTCTGCTTTTCAGAAGCTCCAGATTCTTCTAAGCCGCCAAGCAAGCGTTAAAGAAATTTTCTAGAGTTCCCCGACAGTGATTTGCGCGGGATACGGGGAAGGGGGCCTGAGACTTTCTCCTAAAAGAGTTAAACTTCATGGTATCTTTCGCGTAGCGGAGCGGACTGCACAACTGTACAACTCTGGTTGAATAAATAGTCTAGCAAAGATGACTTCGTCTTTTTTTGGAGTGACCTAAAGACCGACGAAAAAGAAAAATAAATAGTAAACAAAGCTGAATTGTAATTAAGTTTGATATTGTATTCATTGCAAAGGACTAAATCAAAAATTGCACACTGATTTGTGGATCAGAAAATTCGCTGAATATTCTGATGAGAAAAGGGTCGTCGGCATTTTGGACAATTTTGTGGAGAGAGTCGCGAGAGACAATCGTAACAGAAAGAATGAAAGCATGTTGATATGCAAGCTCTTTGATTCCTGAGAAGAGTGAATGAATATATAATTGCGACGAGAAATTGAGAAAAAAAAGAATGAATTTCCAAAATATAAACTCATCTATCACTCCAATCCTGCCATCGTTAAAATTTTCCAGGCATACACCACACGAATCAGTCGATACGGATCTGTTAGGAGCAGGTTGCTGATGATTTGCATATACTTTACCTTCAAATAAAAAAATTAGTATATTATCCCTAATAAAGATTAAAATATGCTTTAAAAGCGTTCTGAGCAAGAAAAAATTTTAATTTAATTTAAACAAAGAATTCATAAATAAGCGTGTTATAAATTATCCATATCTTCTTCCTGAAAAAACCTGATCTTAGTTGGGCCATTTTTATTTTCATCTTCTTGTGCTCAGTCTTCTGCTTGTTAAGTTCGGCATATTGTTCGTTCATTTCTCTGACTAAATAAGGATAAAAATTGTCTGCGTAAGTAAAGGAAATGTCTTATGATATATTCTGGATGAGAAGACCATCGAAGTTTTACATTTAACCCTCTGCGTGACGATCAGAACTACCCCTATGCGTGACGCGGGTGCATTCAGTGCACCCGACCCATCTAGAACAATTTTTTGCTCTTCTCTGCCATTTTTTGAAGAAAAACGGCCTAATCACGCTGTCGTTATTGTCTCGGAGACTGGAATACCCCCTTCTTCGGCGGCGAAACGGGCTGGAAGTATCGTAACTTGCATCAAAATAGCTGTTCTCGAGACGAAAAATAGCAAAATTACGACATTTTCTTCGTTTTTAGGTTACTATCAAAGATTTTTCGAAAATTTAACGAAGCATATTGGACGCGTTTTTTGACGTAGATTCTTATTCTTTTCAAATTTTTGAATTTGGACGAAAATTGAGAGAGAAATGGACAGAAAACCTTGAGCAGTAAACGGAGTGCACCCGCGTCACGCATAGGGTTAAGTTTTTCAAGAATAACTATTTTCTTGTAAAAATAAAATAATTATCCCAGATCGAATGTTCCAATTTGCTCATTTGCTTCTTTCATGTCTTCATCAAATCTTACTCGGAGCTCCCTCATGTGCTCCTTTTCACCCTGGATACTTTCTTTGTATTCTTGTATGTTTTCTTCGATACACCTTATTTCGTCCTCTTTGTCTTGAATCTCGTATTGAATATCTTCTTCTTCAATTTTTAATTGCTCAAGTCGCTCTATTTCCTTTTCAAAAAAGCTCATTTTCTAAAAATACATGAAAAACTATGAAAAAATTGAAATAGTTTAATGAATATGAATAAAATAGTGCAATTGAATAAATGCAGCAAAAACAGCGATGTCTATACAGTTTTTATGGAATTTCTATACATCAAATTTCTGGACATTTTTCGGGGTTTTCTGGGAACAAATTCACAGATAGGGAGTATCAAATTTCTGGACATTTTTTCTCATCAGATATCTCCGACATCTATATTTATGGTCAATCTTGAGTTATTGATGCCAATTTTATCTATAAAGAGCAGTGTTTCTTCTAAAATCTTATGATATGCCAAGATAGGCGGCTACAGCGTGTTTCTTCTATTGTTTTTCAGTGATTTTTTTTGAAAAAAATCGTCAATTTTTCCTTCTCGAAAAATTTTTAAGCAATTTTGTTAAGACATTTTTCTCAAGGCTCTGCATCAAATTTCTGGAGATTTTTGGGAAAAATGGGGGACAAAAATGTCCAGAAATTCCATAATTAACTGTAACTTTTGTTTCTCTGAAAATGGGCTTTTTATTCTAAACTGACACGTTACTGTTTGACGAAAACATTTTTTCGGAAAATATTTGACCTTTATGTTCGCGTTGCCGGGTAGGAAGCATTAAAACGGGTTATCTATATGATATAGACTATATCTGATGCAATTCAACTAAGTGCAAATTTTTCAAGAGGAAGAAAAATACTTACACTACAATTTTTGGACCACGCTGAGCAGCTTGATATTTGCCATGTCAAAACTACGGTGCACAGGAACCATAAAAAGAAGTGGAATCTGCGAATTTCCAGAGTTTCCTAGCACTTAGTATCATGCGGAGCAGGCACCGAATAATAGAGCGCTGCTCAGCGATGTACGATAATTGTATCTCCAGACGAAAAAAATCGAAATAGAACAATGATATTTTTCTTCATGCATACAGTTTTTTTCCTCTTTTGTGGACCCCATTTTTGTGGACATTTTCTTCATTTTAAGGGGTTTTCGTGGGACGCTTTTACAAAGATAACTTTCCACTTTTGTGGACATTTATCCAGCAGAGAAAACTTAAGAGAAAAAATAGGGTGCTTTTTCAAAAATCAGGATTTTTTTATAAGAAATCAATGGCTTATACAGTATAATATAAGTTATACTGTTTAATTGACCAAAATGGTAAAACAGGCAAAAAATGCGTTTCGATGATGAAATTTGCCATTTTTCGAAGAAAAATTTATCGAAGAAAAAATTTTAAGCCCCTACGGCGGGACATTTTTCGGAAGACTCTTGCCCTTTTTTGTGCACATTTTTATGAAAATTTGGGACAAAAAATGTCCACAAAAGAGGAAAATAATTGTATAAAGAAAAAGCGTAGAATAAGAAATGCAGTATTTTATTTTTGTTAGCTAAGGTTCAACAAGAAGTCCCGCAAAGATGATTTCCTCCCCTTTTCGAATAAAGAAGAGAAAATCACCATGCAATTGAGCTAAATAAGGATCATGATTTAATTGTGAGTTTATTTACTCTTGCCAGAATTTTCTGCGGCCACAGTTCCTTCCTCATTGACTCCAACCTTTGCCTTGTGTTTAGCCATTGAAAGGAAGACGGATTCATCGGTCAAAGGAGAGTAGTCGTCCATGGCAGCAGAGAAGACACGCCCAGAGCCAAATTTCACAAAGATTTCTTTGAGATCTAGGTCGGATTCGATCGCGAACTTTGGCATTTGAAAGTTAAAACCTTTTGCGTGTTTCTCAAGCCAGTGAATATTTCTTTGATCTTTCCACCGGTGAGAGATGTTTCGAAAGAAAGAAGGTCGGATTTCGGCAGGACAACAGTCATTTCAAGCCCGTCACTTGAATAGGGCAAGGAAATAGCTTGGAAATCTCCGGTCTGAATAAACATCACGCCCTTAAAATTTGCCCTCGAAAGTTCTTCGAAAGGGTGTTTGCCAAGAGCCCTTGAAGAAAATCGCCGAGACTAGAATCATCCTTGTGTATGCATCTAAATCAGTAGCATCGACCATTTTATCGATCATATTCTTCGTTGATTTTGCGATCCAGGAGTTAATCTCATCCGCTGTTTTCGGATCCGTGAAGTCAACGTAGCCTTGAAAATGAGTAAAGTTAGGCTTCCAAAAATCAGTTTTTGGCTTGAAGAAGATGAAAATTTTCGAGTCCATTTGGAGGGTGGAAAGGAATTTTAATGAGTTGACTCGTTGAGCAGTTTTAGCGATTTCGTCTTGAGACGTCATTTTGAGAATTTCCCGTCTTATTATAAAAGTAAATAGAAAAGCTCATATAAAGTTCTCTTTACCTCGTTTCTCCAGCTGCAGCCGACGCTAGAATGGCGAATGCGTGCTCAACATTGATAGGCCAGAAGACCAAATTCTCCGATGGCTTGCTTCGAAGCAAATTCAGGCGCAGATCAAGCTCTTTAGGTTCTTCCGGGTAAAGGTTCACCCTTGTGAGTATCACTGAAATAATCAGTGGTAATATTACGCTCCCTACGTAATATTGCGTTTTGACCATCACCATTCGTATTTGTCTTTACTCTCTACTAATGCTCGAACTAGGTAAGAGGGTCGACTACTTTCGAATTTTCGCTCAAATTTATAGCGATAGTGATATATAGGAAAGGGCAATAATTGGGGCGAATAAAAATGTTGTCATGGTTGCTATCAACGAAGAAGATACTGTTACTTGTTGCAGTATTGTCCTAAATATATCCGCATAGGAAGATAAGTGCGACTAGTCAGTATCTCTCTCTGTCTCTCTGAAACAACCTCAAGACTACATAAAGAACCGCAAAAGCTAACGAACCTGCAAATAAATGAGACAAACAAAGTATTTAACGCAAATTGATTTTATTCAGGATACTTCAGCATGTCTGCCATTAGCAGGAAGTTTATTCTTCACAATTCTCATTTCCCTTTTCTTGGGTAAATGTGAAGGCGATTGATCTGCTAAACCGCCCTCTTATTGAGAACGATTTAACAGGATCAGACATCCCGTCCTAAAATTCAAAAGTCAGAAAAATCTTCCAAAGAAGCGACTTTCTTACCTGGAGATAGGTCCTGTTCGGACTGTCAAAATCCGAAGACTGACCTGCCCTTCGGCGTGAGCCCTGACATCAACAGAAATTCTAGAGATTTTTTCGAAAAATAACTGTGCTACTTTAAATTTTCTAGAGAAAATCTGCTTCGAATGATTCTTCTTCTACTTCAAAAACGATGGAAATTTTTTATTTCGAAGAAAAAAGGTATAGTAAAAAATAGAGCACAATCTTCGTTTTTGAGTTAGGGTTGCATAAATCGCCCGGCGAAAATGACTTCGTCTTCTTTTCGGATGAAGTATAGAAAGGGTCTATCGCACACGAATTCTTCTGGAATCACCATGCACTTGAGCTGAAATAGGATCATGAATAAAATGGGGGAATATTTACTCTTGCCATAATTTTCGCGACTGTCGCCGCCGCAGCCACTGTTCCTTCCTCGTTGACTTCAATCTTCGCCTTGTGTTTAGCCATTGAAAGGAAGACGGATTCGTCGGTCAAAGGAGAGTAGTCGTCCATGGCAGAAGAGAAGACATGCCCAAAGCCCAGTTTTTCAAAGATATTTTTGAGATCTAGTTCGGATTCGATCGCGAACTTTGGCATTTGAAAGTTCACCTCTCGCGTTTTTCTCAAACCAGCGAATACTTCTTTGATCTTTCCACCGGTGAGAGATGTTTCGAAAGAAAGAAGGTCGGATTTCGGCAGCACAACAGTCATTTCAAGACCGTCGCTTGAATAGGGCAAGGAAATGGCTTGGAATTGTCCGGTCTGATTGTACATGACGCCCTTGAAATTGTGCCGCATGTACTGAACCGTGTGCTTTCCACCATCAAATTTGCCTTCAAATGTTCTTCGAAAAGGTGTTTGCCAAGAGCCCTTGAAGAAAATCGCTGAGACGAGAATCATCCTTGTTAATGCATCTAAATCAGAAGCATCGACCAGCTTTTTGATCATATTCTTCGTTGATTTCGCGATCCAGGAGTTGATTTCGTCCGCTGTTTTGGGATCCGTAAAGTCGACGTAGTCATGCGAAGCTGTGAAATGAGCCTTCCAAAAATCAGTTTTTGGTTTGAAGCAAGTGAACATTTTCGAGTCCAATTGGACGGTGGAGAGGGCTTCTAACGACTTGACTCGTTGGGCGGTCTTGGCGACTTCTTGGGACGTCATTTTGAGAATTTCATCTCTTGTTTGTAAGTTAGGGTTAAGAAATCAAAGCATTCAAACCTTGTTTTTCCAGCAGCAGCCGTTGCTAAAATTGCAAATGCATGCTCAACGTTGATTGACGAGAGAACCAAATTCTTCGATGGCTCGCTTCTTAGCAAATTCAAGAGGAGATCCATTTCTTGCCTTTGTCAAATCTCTTTTGTTGTGAAAAATATCAAGCCGAGAAGACAAATTTAAACTGACGGTTAATGATTCACTGAAGGGAAAACTGAGTGGGTGTCTTCAACAACACTCATCCAGAGAGATCGCGCGATAGAGAACGCCACGTTTTCAAAAAGTAACTCGATTCATATAGTTACTTTTTCCGTATAAGTTCAACTCTCGGCACTCACTTTTGGGATGTCGAGGACACCCTGTCACTTAGCAAGGAAGAAAATATTGGAAAAAGTTTGGAAACTCAAGAATTCATTTTTATATCGGAAAGAAGGGAAATTTCCGCTGTCAAAACGAAAACACTATGATACATTGGTTAAACTGTCAGGGAAGACAGTTACACACAAGTCTGTGCTTCATGGGATCTAAGTGCACGACTTTAGATAGTTTTTTATGTATTTCACTAAAAACCACGGAGAATTATCATGGAACTTTTGATCATCGCTCATTGCCTCAAGGAAAAACATTGAATCGAAAAACCAACAGCTATGCATCGCAACTCAAAAAACAAGTCTCACTGGTTTTAACCCAGATAACCCCAATTCAAAATACAAAGTCTTACACACAAACTCATAAACATCGACCTAAGTTACATGCCCCTGGCAAATTAGAATCAAAAAACAAAGTCTTGAGGGGTTATACCCAGATAACCCCAATTCGAAATACAAAGTCTTTTAAACAAGCTCATAAACATCGACCAAAGTTACACGTACATAGCCAATCAGATTAAAATCAAATGGAAAGGAGCGGGAAACTGGTCTCGTCTATGTTTCAAAAGCGAATATCGACCAAGCTTATGGAAATTTTCAAGAGCTAAATGGTCTCCCCACTAGATAGATGAAAATGGCTTTTGCGGAGCAAAATCGGGACCTCATTATTTTTGTGCTTGTCTTGTACCGCAGGCTCTGAAGAGTCGAACGGTACAATTTTTATGTGTCTTGTAGGTTTTCTATACATATAGTGATCTGTCAGAGCCTCCTCTACAAGCTCATATAGTGGGCTTTCCATTCCGAATGAGCTTTTGAGCTTGCTGATAAGCACCGCGAAAATCGCAGTTAGGAGATTCTAAAGAAAACGCCACAATTAAAGAAGTGCTATTTCAGTGTGACAGATGAGGCAAGTTTACTTGTTGCGTATCAGAATTGTAAATATTAAATATTGACACGAGGCTTGCGATTTCTTATTTTCTAACAAGTCTTCTTGATTTTGAACTTAGAGAATCAGTTTTAAAGGGAGTTGATGACTGTTTCTCTGTTAAGGTTACAAACATATTCAAAATAATAAAACTTGAATTAAATTTTATGTAAAACTAAAGTTGTACCCCTTTTAAAGAAAGATGGCAGATATGCGAACATCGACGAGACTCAATTTGAGTCTAACCAAGGAGTGACGGAAGCATTTGATAAAGTAACAAGAGAGACAGTCATCGTCAAAGCAATTCTTCTGCGAGGCCCGGACCATGCAAACACCACGAGACAAGAAGCTTCAACTCTTCAGGAGCTCAGTACGGATATTTTCTAACTATGTATTCTCGTAAAATTCAGATCATGCTAACATTGTTCGGTTCGTCGACTTTCTCGATCAACAATCTTTCAAATGGGCATTTGGAAAAATGAGTTTTATTATCATGGAAAACTGTGCTGGCGGTAATTTAGAAAATTGGATAAATAAGATAAGACTTGCTGGGCGAATGCCTACGAAAGAAGAAGTGAAACTCTTGGGTGCCCAAATTATTTCCGGACTAAGCTATTGTCACCATAAGAAAAAGCTTCACCTTGATTTGAAGCCTGCAAATATTTTTCTTCTAGCCGATTTCCTAACAGTAAGTAAATATCATCTTGGCCTTAAACTTACGTGCGCAAAGATAAAAATCGGCGATTTTGGGAGTGCACTCTCAATCAAATCAGTGAAACAATCTTTAACATCAACATCTCCAGATGCCATTAGAAGCACGCCTCTTTACGCTGCCCCTGGTGAGCACTTCTCGACGATATAGTCTATATCTTATAGCGCTTATCGATTTGACTTTTATTTTTAGAATTCTACACAGACGAAGATGTAAAAAAATCACCGAGAATGGATGTGTGGGGTTTTGGACTTATATTGCAGGTTTGCTTTTTTAAGAAAAATCTCTAGAAGAAAATGCTCCTTAATAGGAATTGGCGACTCTGGAGCATGCTTTTGGCCGTGTTAATGGTCGACCAGCTTTGATGACACAAATTCGTTAGTGATTAACTTACTTAAATTATTAAAAAAACGAGAATAGAGACGAATATACAAATTGGAAACCGCGTTTCTCTATTTGAAATCTTTGGGGAAAGTGACGAATATGAGGAGCTTGAGAATCTTATTGCTAAATGCACTCATCTTGATCGCAAAAGCCGCTTCAGAAATGCTATTGACCTTCGTTATGAAGCTATTTTTGGGGATTTCTTGAGGCGTATTGAAAATGGTGAACAACCAGCAAGAATTGTCCCTTGCCCGTTTCCAAACGCAGATGAAGAAGCTCAGAAGCGCAGAGTAGATAATTTTCAAAAAGACGATTCAAATGAAGAGTTACAAAATCAAAATAAGGAGTTAATGCTCGAAAATAAAATATGCAAAAAAATTATGAAAGCGATGATAAAGGTAAAATTCTTAACCGCGTGGGACGAATTGATCATTTTGATGTCGTTTAAGGGTACTATCTTCGATTTCCAGAAAATTTTAAAAAATGCTCAATTTTCGCGAAATCTGCGAGACACAATTTTCAAAAATAATTTTCGGTATTTTAAGTTTTTCAATTAAAAATTCCTTCTGTAATTTTAAAGATTAAGGTTCAAATTAAATATAAAAAATATAATAAGGCCAAGTTTTCGGACTCGTTTTTGAGTTATTCAACCGTTTATGTAGGCCATTTTGGCGAAGATGACCACTTCAAGCCAACATTTAGCCGCTTTTCTGTCAAGCAATTAATAAACCCCTCTGTAATAGTTAAGATCTAGGACAGGTCTATTGAATGAGCCCATATGGACTCAGCAATCATTTACAAGTTCCGAGTTATTCAAGGCTCAAGTTGGAGAAATCGAAGATAGTACCCTTAAGACTTTGTAGGGGTCTATTTCGAAAACTTCTTATCCTATTAATCTGAAAATTTCAATGCACCTTTGCACTGCCTTATTCCCTTGCTCTTGAATATTTCAGCGAATTATCGCGCACCACCAGCGCTCTTTTGAAAAGTTAAACCCTTTTTAGCGGAAGAAAAATTGAATTTGAGCATGTCTATAAAATTTAATCAAAAATTTGACTCAATATTATGAAAGCTCTTATGCGAATTAGTATTGTCTGTAAATTTTGCGACATTCGGATAAGCCAGTCGCGATTTATTCCAGTTTTCGCTAAAACGACATCAAAATGATCAATTCGTCCCGCGCTCATACGCGGGGATTCGTCTCACGCGGTTTAGCTCGCATTATTTAAAAAACTAGCGAACTGATATGAAAGATGGAAAAGACACAGTTAGAATTCGAATTGTCTCGGGCTTGGAGTTTGCAATTGCAATCAAAATGTCAAACAGCATTTCTTTTCTTAAAGAGAAGATCAACGAAAGAACAGGAATTAATACTTGTGATCAATTGCTGATTTTTGGTGGAAAGTCGCTCTGTCGTGATGCTAGTTTGTCCAAATATGCAATCAAAGATGGATCTGTCATTCATTTATCTATCAGGAAATTGTTCTGTATTTTCGATTTAAAAAAATCAGATTTTTATGAAAATTCCTTCAGAAAAACGACTGAACCTTTTGTCAAGACCAGAAATATATTTAAAGCAGATTAATGGGAAAATCATTAGATTTCAATTGGATAAGGAAATAAAATTAACTGACGCCGTGCACACTCTAAAAAAACTTGTCGAGGAAATAGAAGGAATACCACCTGCTGGGCAAACGCTGATTTATAATGGGATATATCTTCCTGATACTTTATCTTTACTGGATGCGAAAATTGAAGAAGATTCTGAAATTTGGCTTATTCTAAAGAGAGAAGAATCTATCTTTCTATCTGTAAAATTTGTTGATGGGGAAAAAATCGAATTAAAAATCGGCGAGAAAATCGAATTGACCGACACTGTTCTTACTCTCAAAAACCGAATCAGAGAAGAATCGAGAAAAAGAACCGGTTTTATTCAGCTGATTTGGTGTGGAAGAGTTCTTGATGATAGTACTATTCTATCCTATGCAAAAATTGACCGTGGATCAACAATTCATGCTGTTTATCGCGAAAGAACGTAGTTTCAAAGGAAAGTCTAATTATGTCGACTTGTAGGGTCTCTTTCAATTTTTTCTACTTATTTCGCTTTTCTCTCATTGCTATTTAGTTCGGTATTTTTGATCTGTTCTCATTTCCCCGTCACCTGTTTAAACCCTCATCCCTTCCAGAATTTTTTATCACTGTTCTCTTTTTCAAAAAGAAAAATAATGCTCAACGGAAACAACCGTAATATCTAAAAGTTATCAAGTGTCTTTCTGGATTGGTTGCATCTTGCAGGGGCCAGTTGTAAGTTTTCTAAAAAAATGGGTAATCAGAACGGAATCTTATCGCCGGTGCAGTTTCATGAATTCTAAACGGCAGCGCAATATCTTATCGACGAATTTTTTCGGACACCCCCCATTCTAGGGCCCCTAGAACCTCTAGAAATTAGGGAAGTCCACCGAAAATCGGTAATTTTTACATAAATATGGTAAAACACGTATATTTCTGAACGAAAACAATCTAGGAATAATACAATCGTTTATGTGACCTCAAAAATATATTTAGGGTCATTTTTGGAGTACCTCGGGTGAGTTTTTACGAAATTTTTTTAGAACATAATTTGACTTGAAGTGACCTTCGATGCCCTGTAACTATATTTTGGACATAGGAAACTCGATGATATCGAGAATGATCGATTTCGGACAAAAATTTACACCTTTTACCACATTTCAGTTGAAAAGTACCGATTTTCGGTGGACTTCACTAACTTCTAGAGGTTCTAGGGGCCCTAAAATGGGGGGTGTCCGGTAGTTTTCTACACAGATTTTGAATCGTCAGAGCCTCCGCTACAAGTTGAGATGCTGGGCATCATCAGAAAAGTGGGGAGAAGAAAAGTTATGCCCATTTAACTGAGATCGCCCATTTTTTTGACTCTGGGAGGCATAAAACGCCTTAGGGCATGAGCGAAACCCCCAAGTATTCATAGTCAAAATTATCCCCAGCTTCTAGGGATTCTAAGACTGTATTATACTCTCTATATTGAAGGCTCAAAAATGAGCTCATTTTTCATCAAGTTTACCTAAACATGCGTCATGGACTTTACTTCATATCGAGAAATTTAGTTCATCTTTTTACTAAATACAATAATTACCACGCCTTATCAAACAGACGGCTATATCCATTCGTGAAGGAGTTTCGAAGACTATCTGGGACGCTGCAATCACCATAATTAAAACTAGACTTCGCATTCGTCCATCGGCAACCGCTGAAGTTCTGGGGTATATAATTTACAATATAAATTATTCATGAAATTTTAAACAGGAAAACCCCAACTTAAGGCCATTTTTTGGATGACAGCTAATTTGAAAAGTGGCCTTAAGTTGGCTGATTCTCCGACTAAGTTGGATGACGCTAAAATTTTTCTATTTCTGGAGTAAGGGACTGAATCATGGGAATCAAAAATGAAAGGCGAATGGCCTTATCAGAAATTTCCCGCACGAACCAAGTATGAATTGTAAAAACTGAATGCGCCATTAAAATCAAACCTTCGGTTATTTTTTCATTCTCTTAAAAATTAATTTGGTGCAAACATGTCGCAAGAAGAAAAGAGAATCCACATGACATTTGCCGAGAAAAAAAGATATGCAGAGATTCTAGTGAAGCCGAAGAAGAGTGATGCAAAGAAGATTATCAATGGGCTATTTCGAAAGAAACATGATGGAAAAGACATTCCGACGCGGACATTTTCTCGACTCTATGATCAGCGGTTCAAAATCTTGGATTCTTAATCGAAAGTTTCGATTCGAAACGAAGGTTTCAAATGTCTCAGCACTTCTTGGCGCATCAAATTGATGAAATACGAGCTGCAACTCCGATGGAGGTTGAAGAAGTACCACAAGTTTAAGTGAGAGAAGATGCCGACGCCGAAAAGCCATCGACTTCAAATCGCCAAAGAAGCAGCCGAAAATTACGAGTTTTTTCTGCAGTGGATCTGCAATTTACTCACTGTGAATAAAAATTGCAAAAAAAGTGGCCTTAAGGACCCCCCCCATCAAGAATCGCGAAAATAGGGCATCTTAGTGAAAGTTTTTCTCCAAAACTATCTTAGCTAGACCCTTAATTTTAATTGCATCCTTTAGATCAAACCCTCTACTGCAACCGTTCCCCTTAAGATGATCTCTCGATGCCAAATTTAAGGTTATACAGGCCGTTAAAGGTAAAGTTGCTTAGTGAACGTTTTTTTTTGGGGTTTTCGTTGGGGTATACCCTCAATTTTTTTTTATGGTAAAGTTAAGGCCCTTAGCTACGACCGTTTGCTTTTTGAGAGTTTTTTGTCTACGAACTTAAGGAGGACAGCCCCTATAAAATTTTATAAGTCGAATCTAAGTCGAATTTCCAGATTTAAACTTTCAGTAATTATTGCCTAAATTGCCATGAATTACGTTTTTATACTCGTGTTTATGATATAAATAGTTTTTATGGTTGGTACACCCTTAATTACCATTAAAAAATAGCGAACTCAAGATTTTTATGAAATGTAAAATGTTAATCTTCAATTTTTGAACTCAATTTCTGCCAAAATTTTCTATAAGATCAAAAAAATTTTCTGAATAAAAGTTGTTCCTCGTGGTCTAAACTACCCAAAAAAGCAAAAAAAATTTGAAAATTTTGACTTTTTTCATCTTGATGGGGGGGTCCTTAAGTTGGATTTTTTTCGGATGACAGATTTCGAGGATTTTTCAAAAAGTGGCCTTAAGTTGCTCGGCCTTAAGTTGGGGTTTCACTGTAAGTAAAAACTTTTCATATAATAAATTGAAGACTTTGGCATTAAACTATGATACCCACGTAGGATTACTGGGCCAATATTTTCCACAATTTGAGTAATATGACTCATATTATATGAGTCATGCCCGCCGGTTGGACAGATAAACGAGTGAACGACGCAAGCCATGCAAAAAACTAGAAAAACTGTAAATTTATCTATACTGGTATGATCTAGCGGCCACTAGATGGAAGGACAGCGTTATTTCATTGGCTTTTTAGAAAGCTCAGACGCAGAGCTTTCCAACGCACCTAATCACGAGCTATAAATGCGACCAAAAATTTGATTGAACAGTTCTTGTGCCGATTTCGGAACTTTCGGTCTAGTAATTTGGTTTCCGGGAATAACCCATACCCCTCGTTATGGTGTTCAAATGTTAGCTCAGGTCTTGGGCTATCCAAATTTATGTCAAAGGACACATAAACTAAGCTAGAAAAATGACCCGAATTTTTGTCTTATCAGGGTGGAACATTCGAGCAAAAATTTTGAGTCAGGCCGGCCGATTGCCCGTCGATGCCAAGAAATTTTGTTTTTTTACCCAAAATATGAGCCTCGCGCCGACCAATTTGCCCAGCCGAATGTTCCAACCTGATCTAATAAGCCTAATGATACCCTCAGGTATGAAAACAATCGAGGAATACTAACAAAGAAAAATTGATCTCATCATCATTCGAATACCACTGGTACTCAAATTCTCAAATCGGACGGCTTTTATAGATCAGACTTCATTTGTTTTGTGGTTACTGTGTTTGTTTGCTCAGACTTTTGCTCTTACAGTTCTTGTACAGTACTTGCTCAATAAATTTCCAACTCTTGCCATGTTAGATATTTTTAACAAGCCACTCTTTATGTAAGAATAATCTGCAAACAACCTGAAAAAAGCTTCCAGTTGAAAGTTTCAACTCTTCAGCCAAATGCGTCATTCTTTTTTTTCGAATATATTCCATGATATTGAACAAAGAATAAGTTTTCTTTTTTTGAAAGACACATGTTGAAAGAGAAGTTTTTTTATGAGTGCAAGGTGAAAATGAACCCTCAAGGTTCGCGATTAGAATAATACTCATTTTAATGTCAGTAATACGGCAATAATAGTAATAACTGTCACGCTAACGCAAATTCAGGGAACGCCACCGAGAGATGAGCTGATGATTTAATCTTTTAAAATCATGCCTAATTTCATTTTTGTCAGTCGAATTTCGAGTTTTTTAAAGCAAGCGTAGTTAGGAAAATATTTCTTCTGAAATATTTAGCAGCGGCAGATCATACCAGACGATCGTACCATTTTCTTTTTCATTTAAAAGTACTTTTAGATTTCTTTCGGAAAAGAAAACTTTCAAACTTAAGCACAATTTTAATAGAAAAGCGAACCTTACAAGGAACAAAAAAGTTAAAAAGCAGCGTCAGTACCGCGAGTTTACTGGTCGATTGTTGTTTCTAAAACTACCCTAAATCAAGCAGCGGTACTGTAAAGTTAGGTTAATCTGAAGAAGGTGTCTAAACACACGCCAAAAGCATCCTAGCGTTCTAGCGATGGATCTCAGTGGGACGAGGAGAATAAATAATAATAGTTGTTTTGTTTCAGTTGATTTGTTTTCGGCAATTGTGAAAATCGGAAATAATCTTTCAGCAAGAAGGACAGTCGGCTCTTTACTCGGATGATTCGTAATCCACTTCTCCGATCTAAAAGGGCACTGATGAATCTCTTACTCATCTATTGAAAATTAAACCTCAAGTGCGCATTCGATCTCGATCTTCGCATGCTGCTGGGTGAGTGGGACGAGTTGAGGGAGAGATTCGAGGATTCCCTCGAGAAAGTGCTCTCTGTGATTTGGTGAGTCGATAGGCGAAATCTCTGCGAAAGCGGTAGCTAGGTTGTCGAGAGCTTCGTGGCCGGTGTCGGCGTCGTGGGCGGATGATAGGATGGCGGGAAGGTTCCCGAAATGCCCGCAGATTGGAATGAAGCAACGGGAACTCTGAAAACGAGCATGAGAATTAATAAAAGGGCAGGGTTCATAGTGTTGTTAGTGGGCTTTTCAAACAACTTTCAATGTTGGTCAGTTTTGCCACTGCATCAAAGACAACTTACATCTTTGAAACCGTTTTCAAGCTTGAAAAAAAGCTTAAAAAATTCGACATTATGTTGACCCTAAAATTGTACCTGGTTTTCAAGAGCACTCGACTTCGGTCCTGTTAGGATGTGTTCAATGTGCTCGAGCTTTTGTTGTCTCGTCCAGAAAAGCGAGTCCTTGAACGCATCTGTAGCCGTAATTCGCGACTTCGGGTCCTTCTGCAGCATTTTACGCACGAGTTCTTTGGCGAAAACATTTCCGTTCAGCAAGTTTAGGCAGTATCTTGGCGTCATCATGTTCTGAAGACGAGTTTTTGAACTGAAGTTTTTGGTTGTTTTTTTTACCTTGATGCAAAGTTTTACGGACTCTCTTCTCCCAGACAATCCATAAGGATGCTGGCCATCGGTTAAAATTGTGTAAATCATCATTCCAAGAGGCGGGATATCTTAAAATTGATTGATTCAGACTCTCTTCCATGATTTCTTACCTGATTCAATTTGAAAGTCCTCGGTTATCTGCCATATCGTCTCGGAGGCTCTCCAACATTCGGCACTACTCGTTCTTAATTCGTCCAGTCTTTGGTCAGTCGTTTTTCCCTAAACCTCGCTAGTCTATTTCCCAAAGATTCTATCAGTACCTTGTTTGGTGCAATATGGGGCACAATGCCGAAGTTGGTAACTATAAGTCTGCCACTTTGATTGAGCAAAACGTTTACCGGTCTCAAATCTTTGTGTGCAATGTTCTAAAGTAGAAGTTTTAAGTACGGGGGGATAAAATTTAGGGTTACATTTTCGTGAAGATACTGAATCCCGGCAACGAGTTGGTGGCAGAGGTTGAGTTTGTCGAGCGGCTGGCAGATTGTCTTGTTCTCTAGCCATCGGCCGAGAGAGAAGTCAACCAGTTCTTGAAGCACATACGTTTGGTTCTATACATTGTTAGATTCGAATTGGAAAAGTAATAGGCACCTTGAGAATGATGAACTCTTGATATTTGATCAGATTCGGGTGTCGAATCTTGAGCAAGTTTTTCACGAGGCTTGGCTTGAGCTGCGGCAGTTGTTTCGTCTTGAGCTTTCGTGCCACATGTTCCTGTCCATCTACGCCCAGCGCGAAGTAAACCGAAGTCCCTGAAAAAACGCTTCTTTATCTCTGGACGAAAGAAAACACACAAGTAAAACATGCTACAATCATACGATAAAAAACTACATGAATTGAATTACCTGACTCGGCGGATTTACCTGTCCCGAGTTTTAAATGCCGTTGGGAGTCACAATAGTAGAACTTTTGTTCAATGAAATTGAGCTCGGACTTTTTCATTGAGCTCAACGAGCGGTACCGGCAGTTCCACTTTCAAGATGGTTCATAAAAGGAGTTTTTTTATATATTGAACCTCCGCAAAACGATATCAAAATGAAACCATTTCCTGAATGTTTCTAGGTGTCCATTCAGGATGAATCGCTCCTGAAGTTTCGTCACAATCGCATCCGGCAAATCCGCAGTCGCAGACGTAATGATCAACTGACCAGTCATTGCCATCTTTGTTCAGGATCGACCCTTCAGAGCATGTCCGCACTCGAGAAGGCTCCAAGACCAGCTCCTCAGCCCAGCTGATTCGACGGTGGCGAATCTGAAAATACAAGTTTTAGGCAAAGAATCCGAGAAAATAAACGGCATATAAAACATATTCTATCTCACCTCGTTTCCGTCCCCATCGCATCTCGATGACTTTCGTCTTCTACGATGTTCCGACGGGGCTTCAGCATCGCTTTCCGGGCTTTTGAAACCGTTAATCACGTGTTCATTTGTATATATGGATTGAGAATAGCCGCTATAAATACCTGGCTGTTGCGGAGCAAGATTCATGATTGTTGTTGTTCGCTTCAGAGTGGTTTTCTTCTTCTTTCGGGGTCTCCTTCGGTTTTGAATTGTTGGCTTTGTTGGCCTTTTTCTTGGCGTTTTTCTTTCCTTGCTTCTTTTTCGAAGGCTTTGACTTTTTCTTTGGCTGTGTTACTGGAGCTGAAGTTGATTTAAGACCCGTTATCTGTGCTTGCGAACCTGAGGGATTACGATGATCATCAGACTCGTATGTTGGCGAAGCAGAACCGATGCCTTCATCGTCGTGAAAACTGGAACTTTTTCTAACAGGAACTTTAACCTCGTCAAGATTGATTTGTTTGATGTTCTTTGAGTTCGATTTCTTCTTTCGTGGCAGGACAATTTCAAAGTTCTCGTTTTCTTCAAATTGCATTTATCTGAAATCCGGTTTTAAGGCTTGGCTCAAGCTCTTTCCACGGATGAAAGAATCGATTAGGGGGTTTTGAAAAGATCTAGAAATATTCAGCGAAGATTAATTTCAGGGCCACGCTATTGCGGCGTGACGTAAGAAATCTTTCGTCATGCTATGGTTCGATAAAGGACCCCTAAAGGCTTTTGCCCATCTTTTAAAATAGCTGGGCTCAGGTCTGGCAGGTAACGCAGGACGATATGGGAGACGATATGGGTTTGTTTGGCATATTTATTTGGAACACAAAAAATATCAGTAAAAAAAAGCGAGACTGGCGGGTTAGAATGTTTTTTTCAATAGTTAGTACGGAAATTTGACATGTAAAAAAGCAAGAAAAATAGAAGTGCAAAAATGAAATAATATAATTGGAAATTAACAAGGATAATATTTTTTGTATTTTCTATGAAGCAGACGTTTCGTCCCTTTTCTTCCCGTTATAGCGGGCCTTGAAGAGTTGCGTGATGAAACTCAAGTTACAATCGCCCGAGCAGTAGAGATCGCGCAGCACAGCTGGATTCACGCAGCCTGGGAGAATGCACTTGAGTTGCTCCTTATCGGAGCTCTCCGCGGTAGGTGCATGGATCTCTGACATTTCTGAAACATAATATTTCTTCTCTATTTGGTATTGCGACATTCATCGTTATTGACATGTTCGTAAAGAACCTGAGGCCTCAAGGCGCAATTAGCTGCAAGCATAATTCGTTACGAACTCTGACGTAATATCGTAAAAAATGCGATAATTTAAGTTGCATTAGTCAAACATATTCAATTCAATTATGAAAGTATATTTTAAAATGAAGAGCAAATTTGAAGAGCAACGATTGCTCTTAATAATCGCCGTAGAATCATAGTTTTTCGGGATCGTGGCTCATTTTTTTTTCTTTTTGAAGCAGAGATAAATGAAGCTAAAGCTGAAAATAGACGCCTCGAAGATGGTTGAAAGTTTTTGAAAAGCAAGAATTAGATAAAGGCTCATTTCAGTAACATGACAGTGCGTTTTGAATAATTTTTAAAATAAGAAGTGTATTTTATCATCATTTTCGTCCGGAAAGGATTCTCGCGAGGGCTTTTGTGGCAGTTTCAGAGGCTTCGAAAGGTTCGATGGCGCTAGAACCTTGATTTCTTGGAGTACTTATTCACATATTTCTCGATCGTGTGTGCGACTTTTGCTTTATCCAGAGTATAGCTCTTTGAGCTATGCACAATCTGAATTGACGGATTAACGAAGCTGCTGTTGAAGAAAACGACTCACTTTGGACACGCACTCCTTCATAATCTTCTTGTACTGGTCTTTGTCGATTTTTCTGCTTTTATAAAACCTAAAAACCATGTTTTAAATCAACTATTATCGCATTAAAATTCAGTTACTTACGGCTTTATACTTTCTTTGGAGCAGTTGACCACCGCGCGTTGGAAATCTTTTCGTTTCTATAATGGATTGTAGATGTTGCCGAACTCAGAAATAAGTACCTTGAAAACTTCTCTGCCAGAACTGGTTTTCTTCGACTTTTTCATCTTTTTGTCTTCTTTATCTTGCTGGGCTATCATGTCGTGAAGAGACTTGTTCAAGTTCAGCTGAATTTTATCGATAATTCTTCTGTTTTCCGGAGAGACTTGAGGCTTACCTGATTTTTAATCTCTGACAAATTTTGAACAATATTGAGAAGAGGCTGATTTTCAATCGAAGACGAGTTCTGAAGAGCAGAGAGCAATCCTGCCTTCGAATCTGATCTCGTGATTCCTCCGCTCGGCGACATTAGCGGTGGCTGTCTTGAAGGCATCTGAAGTGGCGCGAATAGAGATGAGGAGGGTTGCGAAAGCTGCGAGGTCAGAAGCGATTGCATTGGCGGCGGCGCTGGCTTTTGAGGAGGTACTACTGCCTGAATTAGTCGTGTTACTGAAGAACTGAATTCAACTGGACTCACCTGTGGCTTAAGGCTTCCACTGTCACTCATTGGCTTTGGGCTTATGTCCGTCACTGATCCAGAATCTATTTTCAGCGCTCCACTTCCCTGAAAGAAATAAGTAAGCCCTCGAACGTAGAAGAAGGTCCAAACCTCATCTTCTGTTGGAGGAGTTACAGGGCTCATAACCATGCTACTGCTTGAAGAACGATTTGACGTTGGTGCTTCTTTGAAAGCGTTTAGCGCTCGCGCCAGTGGATTTGTTGGATTGTCATCTGACTCGTGGTCTAGTTGGAAAAATATGAAACAAGAAGTTTTTATGAAAACTAACCGCTAAAGGCACAATTAGCTGGATCGTAATCGTCCTCTCCAGAATCGTAATCGTTGGTAACAAATGTATTTGGCAGTTCAATGTTCGGAACATCCTTCGGCGTCGTTCTGCTGGCCGAGGAAGTGGAGTCCACAGATGAGTCGGATGTGATTGGAATTTCTTTCGGTTCACTTTCTTGAGCTGTGTCTTTTTTCGGATATGGGTCGCAAAGAAGGGTTAATGACGGAGCTAAACAGAGATCAAGATTAAAAGGGATTCTCAGAATATATGAAGCTGGTTTTGAGAAAATATTGTATGCACTCGGCAACCTGTCTATAAAGCCTGAGTCAGCGTCCTTAGTCGCGTAGCGGGTTCATAAGAAAAACGAGGCGGCGAAGGGGCTTTGCCAGAATTGAAAATTTGTTTGAATTTCATGACCCTAACAGTTAGGGCCTGACTTAGGTTTTCTACGCAGATTGCAGATGGTGTTTGCTTTATCTCTAGAATGAGAAAGATTTTTATTTACCAGATAGATTGGCAACTTCTTCTGTTGGCGGCTTTCTCATTCTCTCCGCTGGTTTGAATTCTCCCGCGAGTGGATTCGTGGAAAGTGCGATTTTCCTCGTGTCAGAATCGTTATTCGTTCTATTTTTCCTCCTCGTGTCTGAATCCTTTCTCTGCCTCGAGAGATTTCCGCCGCCAAAAGAGTCAAACGCGTCAAACGATTCATCAGCGAATGGATCACTGAGAGCCACTGGTTTTGTTTTGCTGATTCGAGGAGTGCTCTCTGCATTTGGCTTCATATTTACGGAACGCATGTCGAGGTCTTTTGAATTTGCGGAAGTGGTGATCGTGATTTTTTCTTTGGGAACGCTTCTTTTTCGAGATTCTCGGCGATTTCGGGTGTCTCGGTCGCGAGACTCGCGCGAACGAGAATGACGATCGCGAGAGGAAGACCGGCTGTCTCGGTTGCGTCTTTTTCTGGTTCATTTTTGATGTTCAGAAAGGGTTGAAAAGGATGAAAAATGGACCTATCCTTCTACTGCTGCTTCCGGATGATCTTCGCCGGTCTCTCGAAGACGATCTCGATCTTCTCCGACGACTAGATCGGCTTGAACGATCATGTGATGAGGATCTGCTTCTCGAGGATCGCCTCCTGTGCTTACGATTTCGTCCATCTCGACTGTCTGACGACTTTCTCCTCGTTCTTCTGTCCGAATCTGCTGGAGGCAACGGCGGCCCGAAATCGTCTGATAGAAAACGAGTCGCGGGCATCTGAAATTAACGAACCATAATTTTTAATAAATTTAACAATAAAAAATGTACTTAATTTAGTTTTCGAACCGAATTTCTCTGCAAATAAAATAATAATTTGATATTCTCTTACATTCAAGTTATTTGAAAAGTGAATGAAACTGCGATTTTTGTGTTCAACGAAGACCTTTCTCGACGATTCCTCTTTCTGCTAAAGGCGCTTGGGTGGGCGCGCGGAGGACCCCAGCGCTTTTGCTGGAAGACTAGCGCGTGGAGGACCGGTGCAAACGAGGTTTACTAAAGGTGCTGTAGGTTATCAACCTTGCTTTCCTTTCGATAGAAGACACACTCAAAGAAGACGAAATCATTAGAAAAAATAGGTTCAACAGCTGCCCTCAATAGCCTGAATCAGGGTTCTGAAAGAACTTCAAGACCATATTCTGGTCAATATGAACAAGAGTTTCTTCACTGCTTGCACGAGCCAAATCAAGAGATTATGAGTTCGATAATGTTTTAGAATTTGTGGCCCTTAAAAGGGCCTGTTTTAGTAACTCTTCCGAGGAAGATTTACTTAGCCTTCTTGACAGGCTTGGCCTTGGCGGCGACCTTCTTAGCGGGAGCAGCTTTCTTGGCAGCTGGCTTCTTGGCGGCGACAGTCTTTTTGGCTGGGGCCTTCTTGGTGGCGGTGGTCTTCTTGCCGGCGGAGACCTTGGGCACCTTCTTGGTGACCTTCTTCTTGGTGGCGGTGGCTTTCTTGGCGGGAGCCTTCTTCTTCATCACCTTCTTGGCGGGCTTCTTTGGCTCAGCGACCTTCTTGAGCTTGAAGGAACCGTTGGCGCCAACACCCTTGGCCTGGATGAGGGTTCCGGCTTCAACGCCCTTCTTGAGAGCAAGTCGGAGGTGATGGCCACCCTTCTCGACGCCGTAGTTGGCGATGATCCACTTCTCGATGGCCTGTCGGGAAGAACCGTTGCGTTCCTTGAGGTTGGCAATGGCCCGTCGGACCATGACGGTGAAGGTGGGTCGGGAAGGGGTCTTGGCCTTGGCGGCGGTAGCTGGAGTTGGAACCATCTTTGCTTTTGTAGATACTATCAGAGAGTGATCGTGAAAATTTGATGCTCCCGGGGTTTATATACTCTGGGGAGTGATGTGAGGGAGACAACCCTCGATGAAATTTTTGGCAAAAATTTCAAAACAATTCTAGAGACTTTACTGAAAATTCCCCACTTTTTCATACCTGATTGCTGCATTTCATGTTTTATGTGGCATTATCTGAGCAACAAGTGTTAACAGAACTGATCTAAATAGCTGGCTACTTGTCAATTGGCAATGGTATCGTCCAAAGAAGCGTTTCGTGTGTTCTTCCATGATTTCAATTAAAAGAATTGAAATTTTCTTTGTTAAATCGTGTTTTACGTGAACGAGATAGCTTCATCAACTATAATTATGAAAAATTTTTATTTTTACAAATTATTTCATGCACTCTTCAGAAAAACTGACTTGAAGCAGCTTTTTTTCAATGAATTCATCAAAACAAGAACAAGAGTCATTCAAAGACGATTTTCTCGAGGAAACTCAAAAATTGCACAGATTTGTTATTTTTCGAAAAAATCTCTAGAATTTTTGTTGATGTCAGGGCTCAAGCCGAGGGGCAGGTCAGTCTTCGGATTTTGACAGTCCGAACAGGACCTATCTCCAGGTAAGAAAGTCGTTTCTTTGGAAGATTTTGCTGACTTTTGAATTTTAGGACGGGATGTCTGATCCTGTTAAATCGTTCTCAATAAGAGAGCGGTTTAGCAGATCAATCGCCTTCACATTTACCCAAGAAAAGGGAAATGAAAATCGTGAAGAATAAACTTCCTGCTAATGGCAGACATGCTGAAGTATCCTGAATAAAATCAATTTTCTTTAAATACTTTGTTTGTCTCATTTATTTGCAGGTTCGTTAGCTTAGATAAATTGCGGTTCTCTGTGTAGTCTTGAGGTTCGTTCAGCGAGTTAGGGTTCCCTAGTTCATCCTTCACTTGATTCAGTTGTCCTCTGCATCCTCTATCTCGAAGCATTTCACATGCCCAGAAACAAGCCCTTTTAAGGGCTACTAATCCGTTTTGAATATGTTAGACGTCTAATAGACGAGGGACCAATCCTACAGTAGATACACTTTGAGGACGAAAAACAGTCGTAGATTAGCTCATGACGAAATACGGCAAGGAACACATCCAGCATTTTCGACAGGGAATTGTCGAAAACACATTTCGACGAAACAACAGGACAAGCTGAAACAGCACGTCGAAGAGGTCACTGGTGGAGAACTATCTGATTGAGATTGCAAAGAATTACAACGTTGATTTCACTCCAGGTTGTTCTTTATTCAGTAAAGCTTGATAATGCAGTCAGGTTCAAAGTTTTTGGTACACTTAGGGCACATTTTACTATCGGAGTTAGAAATTCTTTCTAAACACGAAAAGCAGAATTGATGGCCACAACCTTTAAGGCAACATTTTTTGTTTTTATCGTGGTTGTATTCATTGAAACATACACAGCATGAATGGATTTCTGGCTCCCTTTCAAGAATACTTTTTAGGTGGGATAAATTTGATTCAATAACGAGTTCTTTTTCTTTAATTTTCTTTACATTTTTCTTGTAATTTATGGAAAGAACTAGATTTTTAGCACTATAAACCCTTATTAATTTTTTGATATCGTACAAGGCTCTACGGCTACTTGATTGCATCAGCAAGCAGAACTCTTCATCCCTCGTATCCGGTAATGTTCTGCTTATGAGACGTTGCATTTCACGTTGGAGCTCCTCCGTTGAATAGGACAAGCGATTATAAAATGAAGGGTCAGTTTTAATTAATTTAGCTTTTTTAGCAAACAAATTATATTCTTCATCAAGAATTTCTTGGAGTTTTTGATATTTCTGAATGTCTTCTTTTCTATGTAGAATTTCTTCCTCTATTTTCTTGTTTTCTTCTTGAAGAGATTTTTTTTGCAAGCGGAGAGACGCGGTCTCTTCTTGCTTTTCTTCAAGTAGATGGTGAATTTTATTTTTGAGCTCTTGAAAGTCCTTCATACTTTCACTTGAATCGTTACTTTCTTGATTAGACATTTTCTAATTTGAGGCCTATGAATTCTTTCGCTTCTTCAATTGTATCGCCATTGTGAAAAATAAATACTCTTTCTTGACACTAACACGCTCAAATTCAGATCAAGCAGCCATCCTCGACGATGGCATTCCGGATGAGGTTCGTAATGGTCCCGTTCCAGGAGCCGGTTTCACAAAGAATATTCAACTTTGCACTTGCTATCAATTTTAGAACGGCGCCCGAGGGCCTGCTGTCCATCGGGAGTAAATTGCGCTTAGAAAAAACTTTTAGAGTTTGCACTTTTATTTGCCTATTTGTAAGAGATTAAAGTTATAAGCACATTGTGCTGGTGGCAGCAGAAGAGTGGTGAATTTGAGGCCTCGAGTTTCGTAACTTGACGCGAACTGAAAGGAAATTTCGTTATTTTACTTGGCCAGACGTTACAGCATTACCGCCAAAGATAATAAAGCACGCCAAGGTGAGAGTGAGAATAATTATTGCAATTGTGTTCGATGCAAGAATCGTTAATGACCCAACAAAGCGCTTTAGAACAATGTTTCGGAGTCTTTCTTTGTTGATTTCAGCAAAAAAAAAATCGTGATTTCTTTGATGATTTGGAAATTTTGAAAGTTTCTATCGAGAAATCAAGCCTGAAATCTCAAATTCTTCCACACAAAAATGCCCAAATTTCTCGTTGTAGTCCGGGCACGAGTCGGAGTATTTCATCAGTTCAGCGAGAACATCTTTTGGGGCTGGTTCAAACCTTTTAAATAAACTCTAGCACTTTGTCAAAAAAACTGATTCTTACGGCATATCACAGTTGTAATCCATTTCGTAAAAAATGATGAATGAGATTTTCGACTTTGAATCATCTCGAAGACTACTATTACCATTAGTTGCCCAGATGTTTGAATAAATAATTACTTTGTTGATGAATACTCTACTTTGCTAATCAGAAATAAATGGACAGACGAATGACAGCTGCCTGTTTTATTCAACAGAGACCTTTATTTGTGTAATCAGCGTCTGAAAATAAAGAGAAAGAGTGGATGGAGTGTTTTTTGAAGAGTTCCTAAAGAGTCGATTAGAGCATTTTATACAGGTAGATCTTTTTGGTTGAGTAGTTTATTCAATGACTAATGTAACGGACTCCCCAACGCCACGACAGAAGTAAGCTTTTGATGAGATTAATTTTTAATTACCGCTGCTACTAACTGAAAAGCGCAGCCCTGTTTTAATATTTTTTCGTTCGTCTCACAGTGCCTCCTTGTCTTGAGCTTGTAACTGCGTCGTAGGCGACCCTTCAAAGGTGAATTTATTCCTTTTGTCTTTTTTGTCTTATTCCCTCTTTAAATACACCCAAAAAACTCGGCATAAAACCGTCCTACATTCGCCTTTATTGCCCGATTGGCGATTGCATGAGCTGAATCCGCGTTTTTGTGACTTGAGAAAATTATCCCCCGTCGAATTATTCAATACGTATCCTTATCATACAGATAGATACACCTCCCGTCACCGACACCGCCGTCTTGCAGCAAACAGAGAAGAAACGAGCGAGAATCTGATAGTCTCTCTGTAACTAAAATAAATCGAAAACGAGCAGCAGTGAAGAAAGAATCGAGTTGAAGAAAAGAATTCAAAATGAGAGTAATTGGCTCGCAATTAATCTTTGCAGTCTTGGCGAACAGTCCCAGTATGCTTTCAGACGAAAAAATCGGCAAACGTAAGCACCCCCCTCAACCCTTTTTTGAACCAAGAAAAGAGTCGATTATTACGTAAGACAAGAGAGAGTGCCGTTCATTTGCCTTCATCGGCAAAGAGCAGCTCATCCCTTTATAAATAATTCCTTTCGCGCTCAGAGACTGTCAATATCGAGGCAATATGAATGCCACAAATTTGAAAAGACAATTTCAGATAATTGCTATGAAGGATTCGTGCACGTACACGCGCCCGAGAAAAACATTGGCGAGGGCAAGGAACTCGTCGAGTTCTGCGCGGAAACTTGCACAATCGCTTCCGAAGGTGGCAAAAACGTAAGTGATGAAATAGGGACAGAAGTCATGTTGACGGAGGACTTTCTGGCCAGCTATTATCGCTCTCGTTGGGCACACAAAGCTGCGAGTAACACGGCGATACAGTAGATTAATTGTTTGTCATTAGCCGAGGGCTTATGTCAAAATGAATCCAGCGAGCAAGTGCTTTGTCAATTGCGTCTGTATGGAAGAAAATCATAAAGGTAAATGTATTTGCTTTTTCTCTCCGAAAACGGAAGCGAACAATGAATCAGACCACTATAAAGTCAAGTGATTCAAACACTAGAAACACTGTAAAAACAGTACCTATTCAGTAAGTATTCATTTCAAACTTGACCTTTATGTATAGGTTGGTTGATACTGACACTTTTTGGTTGGATGGTCGTTGGTTCCAAATTCTTACTGTACTTTCGATCGCTCGCCTACAAGCATATTGACAAGAAGAAGTCAAAAGCACCCGCAGCTGGCGACGAAGAAAACGAAGGACTGCTGCAGTCTGATGGATTTAAGATCCACTAAACAACTAAAATTGTACAGTTCCCGCTTCGCTCGACTGATTCTGTAGTTTAGCTCTTCGCCCCGTTACGGGCTGTCCGTCAAGGGTATCGGACAAATTAAGCCAGAGGCCATCAATCATCATACCTCCGACAAATTGATCAATAAAGTAACTCAGATTTCCTCGCGTTCCAAAACTCAGAGGGGCGAAAAATCAGGACTCAGCTGGAGAGAATCAAGCGCAGGAAGGAATTAATCACCTTCGGAAGTTGTTTGCCAGTCTGTTAGAAAGCCACAGGAGTGACAGTTTCAGGGCAGCACTACGGATTACAGTGTTTCCTCAAGCAGAAGCCATAGGCAAAGTTTAAGGAAACTAAACATTGTGTTAGAAATACTGGCAGAAAACTAAGCGGCTTCTCCAAAATTACTATTTCGATCTATTTTCTACCTCTGGCTTTTAAAGTTTATCAAGACCCTGACGCAGGCTACGCAGGTTGCCGAGCCCAGAAAAGCAAACTCGCCGGACATGGCCGGACCCGCGCCCGTGGATCCATCTTCCCACTCCCACGACATCGTCTGTCTGTAGTTTGGATGATAAATCTTCGCCGCACTCCGAAATAGCCCTTTTCTTCTCCCTTTGTTTTCTTCCTGACTCCTTTCGCCGGAAAGGGGATGAAAAACTTCGCCCGTCCGTCCGAGTCAAGATCAATTATCTAAAACGGAAGTGATCCGTTTCGACAGCGCCGGGATGTCCTTGACCCACTCTTGCCGATACACTTAAATTTACGGAAAAGTGATAAAAAATAAAACAATCCATAGACGAACTTTCCTCCCAAAGCAAAAAGTACGAGCACTAGAATCCCCATGTCCGCCGGAACATGTCAGCAGAACCGCGACAGGAACATCTACTCCATCATTTTCCGGATGTGGCTTCTGACTTCCGATCGAGATACTGTGTCATGCACGACACTAGATCATTACTATGTCTTTGAGACATAAGAGAGACCAACTTTATTTTATCAAAAATTCAAGCGACAAAAATTTTGAGAATTGAAAACTTATTTTTGCATAAAAATTGCTCCAAAAATTGATAAATGTTGCAAAAAAGCTAGCTGGGAAGGAAAGTGAGAAACACATCGAAGAATTTTTCTAGAGTCGGTGTTATTTCTCAGCTAAAAATTTAATAAAAACAAAGTGGGAAGGAAAGTGAGAAATACTGCTTTAATTTTTTCTAGAGCAAGAGGTGTTTCTCAGTTGATTTTTGAAAAAGAAAAACAAGTGGGAAACAAAGTGAGAAGCTTTTCTAGAGTTCAGTGTGTTTCTCACTTGAAAACTCCTCCTTTTTCCCTCTAAAAATCAACTGAGAAATACCCCTAGCTCTAGAAAAAATTGAAGCAGTACTTCGCACTTTGCTTCCCACTTCGGTCTTTGACAATTTTTAGCTGAGAAACAACATCAGCTCTAGAAACTTTATTCAATGCGTTTCTCACTATCCTTCCCACCTGCTTTTTATTGAAACTTTGTTTCTATTTTTGGACCAATTTTCTCTCAAACATTTATTTTGAATCCTCTAAATTTTCGTCGCTTTAACTTTTGATAAAAGTCGCTCAACTGACAATTGTCGTTAATTCTTATGGGATCGGGCCGTTACATTTGATTAGGCAAATTTTAAATTTGAAGTTTATAATGTAGCGGCAACATTTTGCTCAAGATCTAACACTGAGACTTGAGAATGTCGGTCCGACTGACCCACCATGGACGAGAGCGGGAACGGTCGGACTCATTACCAAAATTTTTGGTAACCCATTACCAATTTTTGATAGTCCATTATCAATTTATTTTTACTTTTTCGCCAAGTCAATAATTTAAACACCCCACAAGTTTTATTTTATACGGGTGGGGAGCGCACACTCGCTCTTTGAATAAAAAAATTGGCACTTTTTTGACGAATTTGGTACAGTGGGTTGCGCAGGTAATGCACCCTTTGTGATTGAGGCGTTGCTGCACCCTTCGCCCGCACATTTTCTATTGTTTCTTTCTAGACTCGCTCAAAGTGATTGCGTGACTGCTGCACCCTTTGCCCGCTCTTTAGGGGTGCAGTACCTGCGCAACCCACTGTAATGCATTACCAAAATTGGTAATGGGTTACCAATTGGTAATGAGTCCGACCGTTTCCCGACGAGAGTGGTCGTTTTTTTTATTAAATTATTTCTTTCTCAGCAGAAAAACCGTAGAGTGGAAAGTAGGTGAGAAAGACTTATTCATTTTTCTCTAGATTCGATTGTATTTCTCAGTTAAAAATTGAACAAAAACAAGGTGGGAAGCAATGTGAGAAACACTGTTTAATTATTTTCTAGAGCAAGAGGTGTTTCTCAGTTGATTTTCGAAGAAAAACGATAGGTGGGAAGCAAAGTGAGAAACACTTCTGGAATTTTTTCTAGAGCCTAGTGTGTTTCTCACTTAGAAATTCTCCTTTTTTTTCAACAAAAATCAACTGAGAAACACCTCTTGCTCTAGAAAAAAAATGAAACTGTGTTTCTCACTTTGTTTCCCACCTTGTTTTTGTTCAACTTTTAACTGAGAAACACAGTCAAATCTAGAAACATAATGATTAAGTGTTTCTCACCTTCAAAATTTTGCTCAAATTAACGTATTTTTCGTGGATTGATGTCATTTCCTGGAAGTTTTGAGGAAAAATTCTCAATCAAATCATAATTTTCATAAATTTAATCATGTTCTGACCTTTTTCCGCCTATGCCATCACTTGATTTACGATGTCCATGATTTTCACTAATTCAAATCGCCGATTAATATTCATCGATTGATGATTTCATTCTTTTCATAAAATCCATTTTCATAAAAGTCGCCAGAACTTTCAAGTTCTCTTCTTTTCTTCTGACCTTGAAAGGGATTACAGAGCTGCAGGAAATTTGGCTATTGAAAATCATTAGCTGCTCGGCTGAGCCGGTTGGGAGAGTTCGGCTGGGCGTCTTTCAAGCTCGCCGACCGTGGCAAAAGTAAACCTGACCGCGTTTTTCAGCAAAGCAAGCGTCATGCAGCCGCACTTTGATCAGCACTGAAAGAAGTGGCTTCTCGGAGCTGAATTTTCCAGGCCACGAGCTCTTTCCGTAACGAAAGCTTGTTTGCCAAGTTGCAGACTAATCAGCTGTGAATGGCAGGAAATTAAGTTACTAATGGATTTACAAATTGATATGGACCCATTTCGAGTTTGATATCTTTTCGATCACCTTTTTGAATTTCATTCTGAGCTCGTCAATCTGTGTAGAAAACCTGAGTCAGGACCAGAAAGATCTTTAGCGATGCGGCTTTTCGTTGAAGATCTCTGAGGCGCTGACTCAGGTTCTCTACACAGGTTTCGAACTAGGAAATTCCGTGACTGAGAATTGAATTGATTTTGATCATTGTTTGTATCTGCTTGTATTTTGAAGCGTGTAGTCCTGGAAACAAATCAAGATGAAAATGATCATGATTCCCTCTTTCATAATTTTCCGGTGGCAGTGATATTGACCGGAATGTATAGATTCATATGATTTGGCTAATTAGCGTCAATTTGCGAGTCGCGCAAACCTAGGGCTCGGCGCGGCGCTGTGGTGCTGGCCGCAGGTTGGCGCTCTCGAACCTCGTGTCTCGTTGGTCGATGATGGATTCGACTTGCTAGCCTCTTCAGTTAGTTATTTCATCACCTAGAAAAACGTATACAAAACATTCTCACAACAAAGCGAACGGATTGATCCTCAACAATAACGCAAGCAAAGAGACTCGACAGACAGAGAAACGTAAGAGAACTTCGAATCATCACGGCCGAAGCTGACGAAGCGGGGCCAGTCTTTGGCCTGTCCAGGGCGCCAGTCTCGATCCCAGAGGACCAGAACTCGGTGCAGACAACTTCCTCCGGCACAGTTGCTGATCAGCAAGGCCCGTCAGAAGCAGACTCGGCGATTCAGTTGACTTTGACGCCACTTGGTGCTCCTCATCCGAATCAACAAAATCCTCCTCATCCTCAGATGGCGGTAAACTCTCTCTACGACCAGCACTACATCGGTGCTCCCTTGGTGCATTACCCAGCCACTGACTACACCTCGACCTCCGCCTTGTCCCAATTGCCCACTCCGAGCGTCAGCAAACCTGCCAGCTATTCCGACATCTCCTCTGTCGACGTCTCCCTCTACCAAACTTCCTACCAGCCGTTTTTGCCTTCACAGCCCTCCCTCGACCTCGCTCAAAGTTATAACCAGAGCTACTCGCATTACTACTCCAACGGGCCTTACTCGACCCCGTCGAACGGAAACTCCCATCTCAACGCCGCGCTGAGTCCGACTGGCCCCGTGACTTTTGGTGGCCAAGACAGCATCGGACTCAAATCTGATCAATCGTCGCCGACTGGTCTTCAAGGAAAAGATGATGGGCCGACCTACGAATGGATGAAAATCAAGCGAAACCCTCCGAAAACAACTCGTAAGTCTTCGTTTTTATTTTCGTGGGGATATCAGTTTTCAAAAGTAAGCTACTTAGAAGGACCAAGTGAATACTTTTTCTTTCTTACTGGGAACCGGGCTCTTGGGTCTGCCCCGACCACAGAGTAAGTGTTCACCCGATCTGGCTCCTTCATCGGGCTAAGTAGTGAGCCTATCCCGTTAGGGGTTATGATGTCACTTTTGGTGCACAATTTTTGATGGATGGGACAAGGTCAGACGGGACGCACCTCGAGTTTGCGCTCGCGAACGCAATTCTCGACATTCCCAAATGTCCACGGCGGAGTAGAAATTATAGCGCCAGAATGTCAACGCGTTAGGCGTTAGAAAACGCCAAAAATGTGACAGAGCAATTTCGCGATTTTTGCTCTCTCGCGAAATTTAATTTTTGACACCATATCGTCCTTTCAACTCCAAATTGAGTTAATTTGGCCCCGTAATGAGATAAATGGCACAATTGTGGACTTGCTCACACTTTTTTTCGAGCTGCTGGCAGCGAGTTCAGTTTCAGTCTTCGTACTTCCCAAGTAGCAAACACTTGTTGTGGCTTGAAACGCGCGGGCCGACCGAGAAGTGGCTGCTCGGTCGCGACAGACGACAACTCTGAGTTCTCGTCGGCCATTGTCAATCTGTGTACAGTCTAGCTACTTGTGAACTTCAGAATCTAACAGTTCCACTGTTCCGCCTACTGTGGCTTGATGCTAGAAATCTAGGCTCAAGAATTTCTGTTGAAAAGCTGAGTCAGGTTTTGAGGGCTCTAATGAAAAGCCGCTTCGCGGCTTCATTTTTAAGAAAGCCGCACGGGTAGACCTAAGCGCTGGAAACTTCCCAGGACAGCAGTCAGAAACGTACGCATTTTATGACGTGCAGCATTACATACGCGGCGCACGGGCGGGCCGCCATCGCAAGAACTTGATTTATGGGTATCTTTCCGTTTCCGATCGTAAAACATGAAAAGTGTGACTGCGCCTTGCTCCCCTTTTTACTTTCCCTTTCCAAAAAAAAAGAGAGCTAAAAACAGACAGCTCCCGTCGGAATCGTTTCAACTCTTCCGGCGGTGGATATTTTTGAGGAGCCAGGCTGAAATTGGCAGAATAGAAAAATTCTTGTCTCGCTCTCTTCAAAGTCAATCTAACGCCGGAAAACTGGGTGTAATGAGTGCCTTCGCCACCAGCAGCTTGGCCTGCTGGGAACATTCCGCGAGTGTGTTTCGCGAAAATAATTTTCGAATGTCTTTGATGTAAGCGGCCCCCTGCGCACTCACAATTTTCATTCTTCAGCCCTCCTCGCCAAAATTTCGATATTAAAAAATGGGGAGAAAAATAAACAGATAATTGTCGAGTGGAGTTGAAGATGAGTATTTGGAAGTACTCAAACAGCCCTCCCGGAAATGGAGCAGACAAAGCCGTTTGTTCAAGACATATATTTTCGTGTTTCTTCGAAAATGGCCTCATTCTTGGCTTGGCAACATGGAGATATACCCTGAGTCAGGGTTCTGAAAGAGCTTAAATAAAAAGCCGCGTAGCGGCTTATTCAAAACGAAGCCGCGAAGCAGCTTTGCTATGACTAAAATCTCAGTCTCAGACCCTGTTTAAGACCCTGACTCAGGTTTTCTTGACAGGTTTTCGAGTTGAGAACGTCGACCTAAGGCCTCATGCGAGCATAATTTTGAGAGTTCACGAGGCTTTAATCCTGCTTCATTCTATTGAAAATAAATTTAATATTTTGCTTCAGCTCCGAAGATCCCTGAATACGGCGCCTTTCAACCCCAGGCTGGAGGAAACGGGAGCGGTCGAACGACATTTTCAACACGACAACTGACGGAATTAGAAAAAGAGTTCCACTACAACAAATACCTGACGAGAGCTAGAAGAGTGGAAATCGCCTCCAATCTTGCTCTGAACGAAACTCAAGTGAAGATCTGGTTCCAAAATAGACGGTAAGTTTCGATTTGAAATCGTAGGAAGATTCAATTTTCGGCACTCGAATTAAAATCAAGCGCAATGTCAGTTTCGCAATTGATCATCCGTTTTCGTATTAATTTTACGGCATAATTTCTCTGTGAAAATCGTAATTACGGGCGTATTTTTTGCTCGACGAAGATGATCGATCACTCTTTTTGGTCAATTTACAATTGAATTGGCGAATTGAAAATTGTGCCCATTCAATTTTTGTTGAATTGTAAGGCTAGAAGCTTAGCGGCATAGTATTAAGATCTTAGCGTGTAGATTTTCCAGAGTAATCAATCAAGTTAAGAATGAAGCAGAAGAAACGAGATAAAGAAGCGGAGAAGAGAGACCAGCGGCCAGAGATCGAGACCAAATTGGAGCCAACCCAGTCACCCTGAACGCGATCGCTGGAATCAACGAAGAAGCCCTATTTTTCAACAATCGCAATATTCAATTCTGCAATTCCAAAAATCAACCACTTTATAGAAAAAAGAGCCGCTATTTTAGAACACTGCTGCTTTTATGTAAATTGTACAGAATACTATCCTTTTTTTTCAAACTGCGGGAAATCATCAATAAATAAGATTAATAAGTAAAGATGGAACTGCCTCGTTTTTTTTAATCAAGAGTAAATATAGAACTTTTGGAGACAGGTTGTAAAATAAGTTTTCTTGGCTGCGTTGAGATTTTCGGAAGCAGTCGCGACGCTCGGGCGACCAGAGAGTCGCTGAAATAATCACTTCGATGGAGAACAAAATTATTCACTTTTCTTTGTTTCAAAGCCAGTTCTAAAGCTAAACCTAATTATTAAACGAATTACTATTTGACTGAGAGGAATTCTATTATCACTAGAGTATCGAGAAAAAATGGGAATCGCTAGAATAACCAGTGTTTCTCAGCGTGTTTCTCACTTGCCAAAATCAACATTTTTGAACGATAATTATCGCTTTTAGTGTTCTAGAGCTACCTTCGGGGCTCAAAATTAAGGGGACCTCCCTTATAACCGTACCTGATTCAAAAGAATATCTTCATATAAAAATCGGGCGCGACCAAATTATTTTGTTTTCGTCCAAATAATTTAATTGACATTTTAAAGTGGTCAACTTTTTCTTTGAAAAGTTTAGCGAGTTTGTGTTTTTGTCACCTTGATTTTGGCGCACACTTTTGCGGTAGTCAAGGAGTAAAATGAACGTGATGGAGCCGCGATAGATCAAAATCATCCTCGTCAACGATGACTGCAGTGCCCATCCATCAGAATTGGAATTAGGCAAATTATGTCACACACTCTGACACCTACAATTTCGCCTTAATTTTACTTAGACACGAGTTCAAGGAGTTTATTTGTTGTTTCGTGTAAATTGTAACTTTTTCAATTTGTATTTTTGATTTTAGGTTAACATCTGCATGCTAAAACATTTTTCCGCTCGAGTAGCAACGGACAAACGAGGAGATCCTTTGTTGGCGGCGAGGCTTCACAGTCAGGCATGATCAGAAGGAATAAATAAAAGTCATTTGAAGAGCCGCGTAAGGTTCATCCGTCATCGTCAACGAGAAGAGTCTGCTATTCTTAGCCCCTTTGTCCTCTTTTTGATTCCTTTTACGAAGAACACCGCTCGGTCAAACGGGGGCGGGGTCAATGCGATGCAAGACGAAAATATGAAAACAAAACCGTAATGATAAACATCTCAAAAACGACAAAGTTAAGTTTGTCCCCGGCCTCACTTTGGCGAGAGAGCGAAATAAGAGAACGATCATGAATTTGCAAGCAGAGAATATTCCTAACGCTACCCCAATTCGCCCACTTAAATCAAAGGGTCTGATCAAACCTCTCCAAAATCAGACACAGGTGAAGTAAAAACGAAAAGAGCTTTTTGTTAAGAAAATTTGTTTCAGAACAAACAGGTGGTTCAAAACGCGACGGAGAAAATAGCGCAAACGGAGACGAAGAAAAAAGACGTTGAACCTGTCGAGCGAGCGACTTCGGCAAAGTTTCTGGAGGATGAGTGGGAGCGAATGCATGCTGATCCCCTCATCGACTTCTCAAACATCCGCCCTCCTTCTGCGGAAATGTGCTGGCCTTTATCCCGCGTCCGGGTGAAGAGAGCGATGGACGGTGAGTGCTTTACTCGGCGATTTTTTTTCTGAGACCTTTTCTTGTAGATTTCGGTGGATTTCCGGACACGAAATCGTCTCAGCAAATGTCTCCGCAACGAAATGCGGAGGACTCTTTCGACATTGACGATCTCTAAGCTGTAATGTCACTGTATTTCGAATGAAAATAAATGCAATAGAAGGACCATCCAGTCACTGGTCAGCAGAAATTCAAGTCACTCTAAACAGGACCGGCAAAACCGCGCGGTCGAGATAAGCAAGTATCTTTTTTCAGCGGATGTTAGTTCTCCCTGGCTATAGATGTGTGTGTGTGTGATGCGTGTTTGCCACTGTCAGGAGATGGATTGTCGGCAACTGCCGGACGTCCCCTGACTTGATCGTGACGGCCGAGCGGCCCGTATTTCTCAGGATGCGCGCAACAGAACCTGCACCCGTGATTTTTTTGGCAGGTGGTAAAACAATAAATGTGATAGGTTTATTCCCTGTTCTTGAATCGCAAACAGAAACTTTCTGATCAATAAAATATCTGAAAGAAATGTTGCCGTGACGTCTGGGCTCGGCAACCTGTTTAGAAAACCTGAGTCAGGGTTCTGAGACAGTAAGTTCTAATAATTGATTGAGTTGGTAGTTTTGGCGGAGCCGCTTGGCGGCTTTGTTCGTAAAAAAGCCGCTGCGCGGCATTTAATTTAAATATTCAGAATCCTGACTCAGGTTTTGTAGCATGGGTTGCCGATTTGACTCCTCCTGTCTGACAATTTCCGGCCCCCTTCTGGAATCGTCCAACACTCCCAATTCAAAGCATGATTCGTCGTTGATGGATCACTTTTGAGAAAACTTCGATTCTTCGATCGATCGATGTTGGTGCCACCTCGGGAGGTCAGATTTTTTGCGCCATCCGTCTTATTTTTACCAATAACGGGTGTTTCAACATGACAACTGCGAGCAGCAAAAACAAAAAGGAGCCGCAAAGGGAGAAAAAGGCAGATCGATTGCAGACACCACCGCCCGGTGTGGGAGAATGGAAACTGACACTTGCCAATTTTGCGCCGAGACCTGTTTTAGTCACGCTTTTGAAATAAAATAAAAAAACAGGTCGAATATTCTATAAATAATTAATATCAGTAGGAAAACATTAATCTTGCGTTACTTCCGGATCTGTCACGAGTTCTATTTACCCCTCGCCGCTGACCTTTGAGGACGGTGATCGAAGAGGTGAGACAATTCAGCCCTCCCACCGAATACGTTACATCTAACTTTCTCACAGAAATCTTTTTCTTTGCGCTTTTATTCAGAAAAAAATTAATAAAAAAATATTTTTGATTTTTCTTTATTTTCGATTCATGTAACATAAAAATAATCGAGCCTTTGGAATTGAGAATCCCTAGAAATACATTTGCTTCATTTTATAAGGATTAAAATAAGTCAGAAAACAATCTTTCTGGCTAAGATTTTAGATTTACGTTAACAGGACACAAGTGGGTGCGGACATTTTCCGGCAATAAATAAGCTAATTTGCCGAGACAGCGAAAGAATAAAACTGTCTTCATATTCGTTAACCATGATCGAGCGGGTTTGAGCAGAAGTTAGACAATCACCTGAATAAAATAGGTGGTGGTCTAAACTTTGAAGTTCTTACGTGCGATAAGAACTTTGTGTTGCCTAAACTTTGATTCTTCCCATGTGTGATCCTATGAGAAAGTGGCCTAATCTTTGATTCTTTCCATGTGTGAAAGTGGTCTAAACTTTGAATTTCCCCTGAGGCGCTCTGACAAGTTCCAATTGTCATCACCTTGAATGAAAACCGTAAACCTAATTGGCCTGCTTAAGGGACCCGGGCGAGTGACGCGGAGCTGAAGTTCACGCGCTCGCCGTTACTCTCAAACATAATATTTTTGAAATTTCTTTTTGCAAATAATATGTTCAAGTCTTCATCTTTCATTTCCGACTCTAAGTTTTACTCTATCATTAATGGCTGATGAGCTAGAGAGATTAAAAGAAGCGCAACTTCAAAAGGATTCAACTCCTGCAAACTTTATTTTATTTTTTGAAACCGGTACCATTGAAAAGCCCATTAAATTCTGAACAGATTCCACGTAATGCGCTAAGCTGAAACTCTACCGATTGCCCTTAGCGCGCTGATAAACAAAAGAACTTAGCGCTCTTAGTACGGCAGGACGCTTCGATCGGGTTATTTTGGGGTCCCGGGATACAATTCCCGCTGAGCGCGCGCTAAGTTATCTTGTTTATCTAACCTTTATCGCCAATAAGTACAGTTTCAACTTAGCGCATTACGTGGAATCTGTTCAAAATTTAATGGGCTTTTCAATGGTACCGGTTTCAGAAAAATAAAATAAAGTTTGCAGGAGTTGAATCCTTTCGAAGTTGCGCTTCTTTAATCTCTAGCTCATCAGCCATTTATGATAGAGTAAAACTAAGAGTCGGAAATGAAAGATGAAGACTTGAAGATATTATTTGCAAAAGAAATTTCAAAAATATTATGTTTGAGAGTAACGGCGAGCGCGTGAACTTCAGCTCCGCGTCACTCGCCCGGGTCCCTTAAAGCGTAGTGGCCTTAGCAGGCAGTGCTCTAGTCACCGATGGCAGAAGCGCCTCCGGGGAAATTAAAAGTTTAGGCCACTTTCTCAAAGAGTCACACATGAGAACGATCAAAGTTTAGGCCACCCGAAATTCTTATCGCACATACGAACTTCAAAGTTTAGACCACCAACTATTTTAGTAGTGCCTTCATTAAAACTGCATTGATTGCAGATGGATTACCTGGACGGCTTTTGGTCTAGGAGTACTTCCACGCTGATGACCGAGGATTTGGATTTCTCTTTCCGGTGAAGTTGAAGGCGTCAATTGCTCCTTGAAGCTCATGTAGAATCGATTCTGAACCTCTGGTTGGCTTCGGACTTGTGAGGAGAAATGTTGGTCCACGGGAAAGGACTTTTGCGCAACGTTGGAATTTTTCATCAAACTTCTTGCATACCACCACATTGACGCGAGGAGTAAAAATATTCCGGCGAGAAGAGCGAGGATTGAAACTAAAAACTTTGTCTCGAGTTCCATTCAAATCTGACGTTGGTCGGTTCTTATATCGGTGAAAAGTCGGTCATAAGGTTCGATTCTAGCGACGATAAGCTTTTGGTGCACCTGTTATGTACCGTTACGCTTCTATGAAGATTAAAAGGGGTGAAGATTTTTCGGTGATTTGATTTTATGGAACTTTTCGCAGATGATAAAAGGGAAATACTCGTTAATTTCATTATTTTGACTGAACAAAACCTCATACTGGGAATATATGAATAAGATTAATCTAGGGGTATTTTAATTGAAATTTGCTTGAAATTCGAATTTTGAGTTGGTAGTTCTTTTTAAATCAAGCTTCTATCAAGTTGTATCAAACTCTATTGATCTATTTTGGGATGAATCTCAACCAAAAAAGCGCAACCGATGAAGTTGAATGTCCTTCGCTCCCAAACTTTGGTGATAATCCCTCGCGAAAATATTATCGGATCTGCCTCCGTAAAGGCGCACACATCTTGAATTGTCAAAATCAGTTCTTTTTGCTTTCTGCTTTTATTGGCCGCCATTTGAGAACAAAAATGGGGAAATTTTTAGCAAGGAACATTCACCGATATCTGCCTTACAAGTACATTCGCATTTTCAATGAGAAATATATCAGAGAAGATAGGAAGAAAATGCTCGCTATAGATAGGGAAGGACTCAATAGAAAAGGACTTTATTCTTTTGCTGCTGTGGATTACAATGGAAATGAGCTCCTCAGAATCAGTTAATAATTTTCTTGCTTTTAAATATCATCCAACATATTTCAGTTGATCAACCTGTTACCAAAAAGAACATAAAGGCGGTTGAAGACTTGCTCCTCGATAAGATTTTAATTGTGCATAATGCTGGATCTGACTTCGAAAGGTTTAAAGGAGTATCATTTTTATTACGACGGATAGGAAAGCCTCAAGTGGAACAATAAAAATGATACGATTAAAGACTTGAATCATTGGGATTCAATATTGAGCCCTTTGCCTATATTTGTACCAATGGATACGGAACAATCAAACACTCGTCGAAAAAAAAGCATGACCCAGTAGAAGATGCTCTTGAAGCTTTAAGAATCGCGGTATAAAACTATCATAAAAATCAGTTAACTTTTGCTTTAGAAGGAGTGTGGCCTCTGTTAAAATCGTCTCGACGAACATCAAACTTGGATCTTTCAATACCTTCATTTTATTGACACTTAATTTTTCAATTTTCAATTACTTTTTCATTGCCATTCAACATTTATGACGTTTTTTCTGATATTTGATAATATTTTCTGTATGTTAATTTCCAAATTCCTTTTAACAACTTGTTCATAAAAAATTATTTCTATCACTTTTTATCATTATCACTAAAATTTATCTCGTTATTTTTACAACTCTTCTAAAATCGGAAGAGAAATCTTTCACACTTTCTTAATTACCACCCAATTACCGCTTTTAACGTCTATAATAACTCGGTCAAATAACCGTGGCCGGAATGGAATTGAGGTGTACCAATTGATGCAGCAGCTGCTCTACCCCGGGGCGTTTCTTGCTCTCTGTTCACAACATTCCGTGGTCCCGATTCTATCAGTCAGTTACTATGCAAAGATGATTTTCCTCCTTTACTACCTCAGCTGTGGAGCTGTCCTTGCACAAGAAGTAGATGCTGTACCAGAGATTGATCCCTTCGCTGGAATCAACGAAGAGACCGATTGGAACGTCTTTGACCAGGAACGCGATTGAATAAACGTCAATTAAGAGAAATGCTGTATGAAATCATTTCGAACACTCTATTCAATCATAAACTAGTCAAATGACCCAGTCGAAGTTGATGAGGAAGGCTTCGGACACGATTATACGAAGGCACTTAAACTCTGCTATAAATTCTTCTACGCGCAGATGAGCGGCAAACTTCCTGGTAAGGAAATCTCCTAGAGCGCCGAAAATTATGCAGAAATTGTTCGCGTAATTGTCAGATTTACAATGGCAAGCGAAACCTTTTCCCATATGCTCGTAAATCATGCGGGTCTAATAAGTTGGCTTCAGAGGACCACCCACTGGACTGGCGCGGTGATTCGGCGTTGAACGACGGGAAAGATAATGGTGTCGACCTCTCTGGCGGTTATTACGATGGCGGTGGATTCATTAAATATGGCTTTCCAATGGCGTTTTCCACTACGATGATGGCTTGGTCGACGATTCACTATTGGAGAACCCTGAAAGATGTCGGGTAAGCATTCTCTCGCTCTTGGAAGTCATTGAACCAAAAATAGCAATGGGCGAAATTTAAGCGCCTTTTATATTTATATAACACTCACTTAGCGAAACAAAAGCTGCGCTAGAAACGCTGCGCTGGGGAGCTGACTACTTGATGAAATGCCACCCCGAGGACGGCGTTTTCTACATCCAGGTGTCTGACAAGACAAATGACGAAAACTTCTGGGGAAGAATTGAAGACGGCGAAAAACTGAACTACCAAAGAAAGCGGGTACCCTCCTTGTGCCGGGAAAAACCCTGAAATCCCGGCACACGGAGGGTCAAATCCGAAACGTTCTAGAAATCTCCTGTTTCCGGTATTTTAAAGGTTTTGTGAAGAGTTTTTCTTTAGTATTTGGTCACGGTAGAGATCGACATTGTTTTCGCGATGCTTACGAATGCAAAGGATAAATCAGTCTCTTATTCTGATAATAGTGTGGTGAATTTTAATCCATGAAATTAGTTTTCAGATATGTATTACACTCTAATGACGGTCAAGCAGATTTTTAATCTTTTACGACTGTATTCTTCTTTTATTTGGGTTAGGGTTAGGTAAAATATGACAAAAACTGTCTTGAATTTTATTTAACAATTAGTTTTCCTCCAGAAACACTCGATATGAAGAGTTTATTGGTCAAAATCAACGGCTTTTTGGGATTTATAGAACACCACCCTCCCTGTGCCGGGATTTTGACCGAGAATCCCGGCACACGGAGGTTTTCCCGGCACACGGAGGGTATCCCAAAGAAAGAGCTACAAAGTTGATGTAAATCACAAAGGAACTGAGCCAGTTGCTGAGGCTGCCGCTGCTTTGGCCGCCACGTCAATTGTTTTTGCTGAAATCGATGCTTATTACGCTGATGATTGTCGAAGACATGCTATGGAGCTGTTTGAGATGGCGTGGAAACCTGATCAGCGGCGAAAGTATGACCAGACTTTCAAAGGTACTTTGCTTAATTCAAATAATCGAATTTATAATTATTGATTAGAGGCAGCAAAAGCGTACAAATCCTTCAAGGGATTTTATGACGAGCTTGCTTGGGCTGCTATTTGGCTTTATAAAGCAACTGGAAAGCAGAGATATCTCATCAATGCCGTCGGAGTCTACAAAAATCAACATCTTGAGAAAGACATTTCTTCCTTTTCTTGGGAAAACAAGACACCAGCTGTTCACTACTTGATGGCGGAGATTTCAAAGCAAGCACAAGCAGCCAGATATAAGAATACTTTCCGTCTTTTCTGCCGAGATAAAGGTTACGGTGGCAAAGCTAAGCGAACTCCCCTTGGTTTACTCTATCTCAACGATTGGGGACCTCTTCGACATGCTGCTGCAGCTGCTGGTTTATGCTTCATGGCTGCTCAAATGAAAATTGATCCTGATGCGAACTTTGTTCTCGGACAAAGTCAGCTTGATTACATTCTTGGGGACAATGGAAGATCATATGTTGTTGGATACGGAAACGACTATCCGACGCGCTACTATCACAAAGAATCCTTCTGTCCCGAGCAGCCAGAGCCCTGCGGTTCGTTTACAGGAATTCCAAATCGACATCAGCTTGATGGAGCATTGGTTGGTGGTCCCGATGAATTTGATAGATATGACGATGATCCCTGGAAGCAACAGCAGTCATCTGTCGCTATGGACTACAATGCGATGTTTTTATTCTCGCTTCTTGGCAAGATTGACCACGAGACATACGGCGCTAAGCCTCCACCTCGGTTAGCTCCAGGAAAAGGTCTTAAAGTGGGCGACATGAGTCAATCTGGTGCTAGAAGTCAAGCTGATCCTGAAGGTTACGATCCGGACAGACCAGACAGTGGAAATAGAATCGATTACTTCCATGCGCTTCAGAAAACGCTCCTGTTTTATCACGCTCAAAGAGCAGGTGAAATTCCAGAAGACTTTCCGATAGGATGGAGAAAGACTGCTACAATCCAAGGTATAGTACTTCATAAAGATCCTGATTAAAATTTTCAAAAGACATTGATGGAGACGATACAGATTTAACAGGTGGTTACTTTGACGGCGGAGGAACCATGAAGTACACCTTCCCAATGGCTTATTCCATCACCATGCTTGCTTGGAGCGTCATCGAGTACCCTGATTCTTACGGGGAACATTTGGAAGAAGTAAAAGACATCATCAAGCATGGTGCTGACTGGCTTCACAATGCAGCTCGTTCTACCAAAATCGTCGCCTCTATCGGAAACCAGACGTACGAGAATGAGTTTTGGGGTCGCGCCGAAGATATGAAAGCGAATCGGCCAATTTACTCAGTTACAGACAATCAAGAAGGAACCGATTTAGCTGCGCAAATAGTCTGTGCACTTGCATCGACCAGTATTGTCTTTGCTGACGACACAGAATACTCCCAGAAACTCATCTCAAAAGCAGAAAGTGTCATGCAATTCGCAGAGAATAATGAAGGTTTTTTTGCCGAACATGTTCCTGAAGCAGGAATGTATCAAACGAGCAATTTCAAGGACGAACTTGCCTGGGCGAATATTTGGATGTATCAAGCGCTGAAAAATGAAGACTCCGCCACAACCTACCTCGAAACAGCACGAAATATTGCTGACTCCGAAGAAACTCTCCAAAGCAACCCGAAAATTTTTGATGTCGATACAAAAGTCGCGGCCGTTCAACTCATGCTGGCGCTTGAGGAAGATGAAGAAACAACAACTCATTTGGACGAAATCAAGGGCTTCTGCGATTTTTACTCCGAAGATGTTCAAAAAACCGTGTATGGTCTTGCCTTCCCCTCGAAATACGCGGCAACTGGATACGCAAGCTCCGCTTCTTTCTTATGCTTCCTGGCGGCAGAAAAACTCAGCGCGAAGATTGAGCCTGGAATTCGAACTTCTTGGAAAACATTCGGCTTCAAACAGATGGATTATCTTCTTGGCTCCTCTGGTAGATCGTACCTTGTCGGCTACGGCGATAGCTATCCCTTCCAAGCTTTCCATCGAGGCGCAAGTTGTCCGAATAGACCTTTGCAGTGTACCTCCGAGGGCTATAAAGATCGCGACGCCCCAAACATGCAGGTTTGATTTCAGAAATGAAAAACCCAGGCAAAAAAGTAACATCAAAAATTTAGATCCTTAATGGTGCACTTGTCTCTGGCCCAGACGAAGATGGCCATTTCAGCGATAAACGACTAGCGACCAAGTACACTGCGGTCAACTTGGACAGAAATGCGTGTTTTACCGCTGCTCTATCCGCAGCGGAATTTGCCAAAGTATGGTTAAATAAAAACTTTCTATATTTATCTCTTTTTAGAATAAGAAAGACGATGATGCCGACTCTTCCTCGATGATTCCAATCATCAATACAACAAGCATATTAATTCTAACAATACTTCTGTACATATAAATGTCTAAAAGCACTTTTATTTCCTAAAAGCAATAAAGATAACACGATAATAAAGAAAGCTAAGCGTCGCCAATGTAGTTTTCATTCTCGATCACTCTATTTTGGTAGGATTCTTCATTTGGCGTTGGCTCAGGTTCTGGCTTAGGGTTGTGAGCGTCACTTGGGATAATGAGTCCCTAATAAGAATTGTTGAAATCAAGGAAGAGAGTTATTTCAAGATACCTTTGCGGGCCACCAGTCTGGGCAGGGAAGTTCGTCAACTTGTTCTAAAAGCATGATCCACTTGGCGGTTGAGAGGAAAAATGCTAGAATTATTAAAATAAAAATTGTAATTGATCCGAGACGGAAACTTACAAAACCAAGTAAAAGCACAAGAAGCTTTCAATCCAGGCCCGATAAACGGAAATTTCAATTCGTCTGAAGATGAGGCTAAGCAAGCAGCAATAAAAAGGCAAATTGAGAGGAATAGGTTTATCCAAAAGTCAACTTGATGCCATCTTGGGCGAATTCCCAAGTGCCCGGAGAGAACGTCCTTTACGCTGAACATGATTATGATCATCATCAAAGTGACCATCACCCATCCAGTGACCTAAATTCAAAGATGTTTCACTCTGAAATCTTCAGATGTTTGAGTTTAATAAATCAACTGACCTGGACAATAAAGCAGAATTCAAATTCATGGCCATGTCTTGCTCCCACACCCTGCGCCGCAACACATGAAAACGCCACAGTCAAAGAAAACCACAACGAGCAAGTGACAATTCCAAACGGAGATGTGAGGTACGCTATATCTACAAATTTGGTCGGAGATTGAGACATCTTTTCTCTACCAATTTTTCCTCCCGACAGCTTTGACGTCTTCGGCGTTATGTTGGAATGCAAATTATATTTGCTAATCACACCTTTCAATAAAATATTTGACAGAAAAAGATCTCACGATTGGTAGAAAATGACTTTGCGAAGCATAAAAATAGAATTTATTGTTTATCATATGGATAAATGGCTGTCGACTTGTTCCTCGCTGCTATATTCATTCTCTTGTGACTGAATCGTTCAGGCTTGATTCCGAAATCTTCAGTGAGTCCCGTCTTTTTCTTCTCTCTGTAGTCAGTCGTCGGTTGATCTGTGCCAGTGGTTACTAGGTAGTCAGGCTTTCGGGCAGGGAAACCGGAAATGAACATGTTTCCAGTTGAAGCGGTCATTTTTTGGTACGCGAGGTGGTGTCCATACTTCGTTCTAGCAATGTTGGAGATAAGTAATATGTTTTGATTACCTGTAAGATTGGTGATATCTTTCAGGCTCGTGCTGGGAAAAATCATCTTTGTTCGTCGAAACCTTCAGAGGATTATTTTTTTATTTGCGCAAATTGAATTGCTTGTCCAAAAAAAACCCTTCCTTTGGCATGTCTTTTGCGTAGATCTCCTGTCTTTCCTCGTTCCAATTGCCGATCAATGTCTTCTTCGAGTATCGGCTAAAGAAAATTACTGTAACAGGTGCTCAAGAGAAAGAACATGATTATTTTGATAAATTGGAGTATGTTGTTATGTCAGACTGTAATCCCCTGGACAAATTGAATAACGTCAATGAGTCTAACCCTGAGACCATGCGAAAGCTACAGTCAGGCCGGAATGAGTTTTGTCAGCATCACAAACATATGTCAAATTTCCAACTCGAAATTGTCGCGGGTGATTTTTTCAATTGGAATTTCAAATTTTCGAATTTTTAAGGATTTTTTCATGTTTACTTGGAAGCCATCCAAAAAAGAAAATTCAGAAGAGCTAACAAAATAGATCCGACAAAAATATTTAAGTACTCCTGTCACAGGATCGTCTTTTACATTTGAAGCACTAGTCACTGGTCAGACATTTTTTCCAAGTCAACAGCAGCTGTTTCTTTATCTGACACGGTATTTAACTTTGCAATAAGTGACTTTATCAACGGACAAATATGAACATGCTCAGAGTTTCCCACCTTTGGTCAGGCGGCATTTCAGTTCGTCTCGACATTTTCTTGACAGGAGATTTTTCGTGACCTCATTCTTGGGCTCATAAAACAGCGAAAAACTTTGCATAAGATTATTTTTGGAATTTATAGCTTTGTATCAAAAACCATTCCCATAATCTGAAAAAGAAGAGCCCGATCCTTGAAGATTTAGAGCTTGAACTTGATAGCTTTTAAAAGGATGATTTCACGTCTCTTTTTTCTTGTCCCAAGGGAGTTCAATTGATTCAGATGAAAACTATTGAACTGTTGGGTTTTAAGCACTGGACTTAAGACTAATAAGGGTGCGTGCTCCTGGCAATCGAGCATGGAATTGGATGGAATTCAATTTAGTAATCCGAGATCACATTTTTCATCCTTGACCTGTAGCGAGGCTGCTGTCGGGGGTCGGAAACTGACAGCTCGATTCGCCGCGTTTTGTCAACATTTGGGATACTAGAAACTTCCACTAGTCTTGCTCGTGGCTTCCGATGGCTTTCAAATCATTTTTTTTTCTGAGAACTGAATCAAGGCAAATTCTCCGGAATTTTGGACAAAAGAAAGTTCACGTCACTTTTAATTCCTTTTGACAAAACTCAGATTACAAGGTTACTACAATGCCAATCCACAGGTTATTATTATAAAGCCAAGACATTGCGGGAGCTCTTTCTTTTTCTAAAAACAAAAAAATATTAATCACTTCCATGACCGTCTGTTAATGGCAAGTTTGAACGTGCCGACCGTCGCGGAAATAATCAACATTCGATCGACAGCAGAAGTCGACGTCAGGATTGAAATTTGATAGAAGCAAAACATTTCTATCGCTCTCAAACTTCTTGTAACTCTTATATAAGAAGCAGTAAGTAGAAATTTTGTTGCATCGTTGGCGGCTTCTGAGGGTGAAGTTCTTTTGCTATCATTATTTGTTGAGCTTAATTTTTGACATTGCGGAAGTGAGTGGCTCTAAAGTAGACTCAAAATATGGAAATTACTGTGCATCAAATCATTTCTCACTGTAATCTCAAAGGGCAAAAAGAGTACAGAAATAGAGTTCAAGATTATTTCTTTTCTATCTCAGCTCTGTGACAGGTGGTTAAACAGTACTCAAAGAAAATCGACTAAAACGCCGGAAGAAACTCTTCAGGGAATTATGTTTTCTATGCATATTGAAGATCCGGGTTCTTGACTTTTGACCCCGTTAAAAAACTCTAATGTTTTTCTTTCGGTCGTTTTACTTCCTTGACCTACAGTTCGGAAATCATAGCCCACTCGCACCATAATTCCCAAGCCCTGGTAAATTATAGCCTCGTCCAGATGAAAAGGTTGAACTCAGCGGGTTCTATTAGCTTGCCGCCCGTGTCGTCAATTTTATAGCTTCAATACTGAATTTAATGATGCGCGGCTGAGGCTTACACCTCGCGTTTTTAAGTTGATTAAAAGCTTTAGAATTAATCAAAGATATATGTACGAATAAAATCTTGACGCATCGATCTTTCATGCAGTTTTAGTAGATAGACAAGGAATATTCAAAAGAGAGACAGTCTCAAAATGAGGCCTTGGCGCTTGTCCAATTGACGACTGTAATATCGGTAAATAACGAAAAAACAGCTCTTTATTCCCGGATCGTTCCTGTCACTTTTCGAATATTTTATGTAATAATGTAACTCAATTTCGCTGGAAGAAAGAATTTAGTTGGCTTGAAGACATCTCAGGCGCAGCCTCGTGGGACTTTCACGTCACGCGCCGGAGGCGCTGCGCTGATCGTAGAGCTTCGGCGCCGATCGAATGTTTTACATTTTATTTTCACAATTATCGACTTTGCAAAACCATATTTAGAAGAGATTTTCACGAGAAAGAAAAAAAAACGCGCTACTTACCGAAATACCGACGATTGTAAAAGTTCACTTTCACCCTCTTTCGAGAAGGAGCCTCTTAACACTTGAAGAATATAAAAGAAAATCTGTTCCCATAACGACATTCCAGAGGTAAGTCATAGCGCAAAGTTTGCGTCAACGAGCCCGGGAAATTTTTATGAGAAATAACGCATGCGTTGGCTATAATAAGAAAATGCATTCGCCCGATTTGGTAAAGGGCTAGGTTCAAGAGCTATTTTGAAAGAGAAAGTCGTTGGGAAATATACGTAAGTCATTAAAAATTTCACAAGATTTTGTTAATTTTACGTTTATTTTTAATTTAACGACTTTCTTGCGGAACGATAAATATGCCAAAAAGAGTAAGGGTTAATCGCTAAGCCAGACCTCTAACATCTTGAATTTTTGATACATCAAAGTTGAGTGTTTGTGTAAAAGTCTTTGTCCATCAGAATTAATTCATTCGAGTCTCTCCTCCTTGATTTCAGACGAATAATTCAGGTCGAAATCAAGGAGAACAATGTTTAGAATAATAGTTCATAATTTTTTTAAAGATGAATGTTTTATGCGCCCTCGGACTTGACTTTGATCCACTCTAGATCTTACTGTATCTGCTCAGAATGCGTCAATTGATTTTGAGATTTTCTTGAGGGGAGAGGACTGTACGTTTTCTCCTTCTTGACAGATGCCGAGTCGAAGGGCAAATAATTTGTCTTCGGGCTCAGCAGAAAGATTAAAGCCATTCCCAAGCTCATTCATTTTGAATTATTTTCGTCAAGAAAGATATTCCCTTTTGGCACTCTCTTTTCGACTCATACAGTAACTTAATTAGAATCACAGGCGTAAGTTTGGCATCAATTCGATAAAGGATCATCTTAATCTGATGAGGAAGCTCTATCTTTTTCGGACACACGATTCCTGCGCCTCAAATATTAGCCACGGAAGAAAAAAAGACAGAGAGTTTTGGAGGAATACAGGGAACATTTGCTCAGCTTGACTTTTTTTGTGACATTTTTGAGAATTCAGAGCAGTAACCACTTAGCGGAATCGAGGCCATAAATAATGATAAAAGTTGAACATGCCAAATGACCCAGCTGGGTATTTGCCTTTTTGCTTGAAGTTCAAAAAATTAATGGAAAATGATAAAATATGAATACAGTATTGCGAGAATTCCAATAGTGCGTGTGGCGATATTTGCCTAAGTAAAGAAAGAATAAGTAGACTGAAAATATTCACACGGAGATCAGACAATGATTTCACGAGCTCAAATAAAACGTAATAGAGTTCTTGTTTCAATTTCATTTACAGGCGTTAAAAAATTGACCATGGCGGTATTTCCGGCCTAGGAAACATGAAGGAAAGACTGTTGATGCCCTGTTCTTCGAAATCTGAGAAATAGAATAAAACTGAGCCCTGTTTTGAATGGGTAAATGTCAGATGAAGTTCTGCTCCATCTGGCATTCCGATGACACTTGCGTAGAAAAGCGGCTTGACGAATTGAGTGCCAGTCGTAGACATTTTGCGACAGATTAAGCGACATTGTATAAGCAGATAACATTATGAAATTAAAAATTTACGTTTAGCCCGAGTAAAACGAGAACTCGCTCATTCCTGCTCAAATGCTCGAAATGGAAAAGTGATCGATGAGAGACGAAAATATCAGGAGTCATACTCGTCGGGTCGAGATTGGTAAGCATTATTTCATTGTTACTGTATTAGGGTTAGGGTTAGGATTAGCATAAGAATTTACAGTGTTCCTGTATATCCTCTTAGCGTAGAAGAATGTTCAAGTTTACGATGAGTAAATAGGAATTTAAACTTCCATTTTATCACTCCATTTCATCCGGAGGAAGTTGAGTTCCAGATTTTCGAAAATCCTGTCTATCTGAACAGCAAACACTTCAAGTATCTGATACTTTTATCGAGTTTGAACTGGAGTTACTTGCGCAAATTTGGGCGACATGTAATTACGTTATTTCTGCTAGCCGATCATGTTTTGAGAACATGCTTTATTTGACTCTATCATGGTTGTAATGAGACTACAAGTCTAGGAGAGTTTTTACTGTATCAGTTGTCAATTTGCTTTGTAGAACGTGGGCCGAATGGATTTGGGTTCGTGCTACGCGGAGCAAAAAATGACGGGCCGATTGCCGAATTTACCCCTTCTCCTGCCTTTCCTGCTGTTCAGTACTTGGAGTCTGTTGACCCCAAGGGTCCAGCCTACGAAGCTGGCCTGAGAGATGGAGATTTCATCATCGAGGTAAATTTACTTACAGTCTTTTGTGGGGCGTTCCAAACTGGACAGTTATCTGGCACGATTAAAGTTCAACGTGCCGCTCTCTGCCCAAATTTGCTCAGCCTTGCTTGTCAAGTTCAAATACAGCAATACGCAAAAGATAGTTTTGCTGAAAATGTGCTTCAGATCAATGGAATCTCAATTATTCGAGCTGGACACCGGCAAGCAGTCGATCTCATTCGCGGTGCCATCGGAGTACTTCGCATCACTGCCACTAGCGTAATCACAAATATCGGTAAGGAATTATTACAGCGCGCGAAATAATGAGAATAAGACGAGTCATTCGCATTGCAATTAAATCCTTATTCCCAAAGGTGTCTTGAGCTCTTTGTAAAACAAAGCTTCAGACTTACATTTCGAACGAGAGTTTTATTTTAATTGCCCCTTGGGGTAATATACCTGTGATCATTGAAACGCATCTGATTGTTTCCAGCTTCTGTACGGATTTAGCTCTCCCGAATTAGCAAATTGACAGTGACCAGAATCAATTCGATCGATCATCAGAAGACACCTAGATCATTTTTCTTTCGTCAGTTATATTTTTCCCCTTTTCGCCCCCGAACCGCATAAAAGCTAAATGAATCGACGTCCAAGAGTATGCTTTTCAGACTCCGGCACCGGCACTGCAACAATTATTCGCACACCACGAAGACAAATGTCAGCCCAAGACATACAGGTAACGCTTTCTTGATAGATTTACTTAGGGAGATTTCACGAAGGGCTGCATCTATTAACTTAGGATTAAGCTGAGTTCGTTGACCTCAAAGTTTTTGTCATTATTTGACCTTGATTTAGTCTTCGAAAATGCTAGGAGAATAGTCAAATATCTCTTTTGACATTTGACTGTCACAGTTGCTTCGCTCTATCACTTAGAAGCGCAGGAATAGATTCTTTACTTTCAGGAAATGGACGAAAGACATCACGGTCAACGTTCGGTAGGCCGATCGGCTACCTCAAACACTAGAACTCGCCCAGAGAGGACTTCATCGTCCTCAAGAGGCGTCTCGTCAATCATAACCACGGTAAGTTCTCAAGCCCAATTTGGAAGGGATAAGCCGCTTTTTACAAAGATAATTGTGGGAAGCAAGCGAGCTACCCAGGTGCATGAATAAATCTTCTCGCTTTTGTATGTATAAGTCAGAGCGGTAACGTAATGAGTGGTAAATCGAGCGCTTCTGGTCGCATTGTCCTTATTCGTAAATCAAAAGAGCGGAGACCACATGCTGCTGGCAAAAATTCCAAAATCGAGTAAACCAGTTCTAGTAAGCTTTCTGACATCATGGAAGAGAATAATCGCCAGACAAGATTGAGACGTAATTAAATTCTTATTTTCAGATGGGGAGCCGATCAACCTCGCCTGCGCCGTCAGATCAATCTGGCTCGTCAACACAAAGCGGAGGTTAGTCTGATTACCAAAATGGGCAGCGCACAGCTGAAGCCATAATTAAAACACCAAAATCGAGCTTGTGTGTTTCAGGAAAACGGACTAAGCCGCCGCCCCCGGTTAGATTGAATTCAACATTGACTTCTACTCAGGCTTCTCAATACGTCCAGCGTCTGAATGAGACGCCGCCTTCAAGGTACTGTAGGGCTTAATCTTCGAATTGGGTCAACAAACATGCGTACGTGAAATATAAACATTCCTTTAGTCCATCTTTGAGCACCTTCGGCTCTCCTCAGCAATCAAACCCGAGCAAGGATAGCAGCAGGCGACCTTCCGTTGTAGAAATCCCAAAAGCTCCTCCCCTCCCTGTATCAAAGCCCCCAGCATCCCTCGCCGGCTCTACGTCATCATCAGCGACTACCACCATAATACCTCCAACGATTCCAGTCCAATCGAAAACGCTACCAAAACCAGAAAAACCAAAACGACCAGAGTCAATCCGCCGGCTCAATTCATCGGACTCATTGACAAAAGTCGAGACTAAAACTGTAAATTACGACACGGTCGAAGAAGTCGATCGAGAACTCTCCGCCATCGCGAAAAAGAAGGAAACGCTCGACCCTACAGCGCCATTCGCGATTGCACTCAGTGCCAAGTACAGAACGTTAACAAAAAGGTTAATTGAGAAATAAGACATTTATAAGTTGATATCGTGTTTTAGAAAAGAAAGGCTGCAGAGTTTGCCAACGGCTGAGGATATCGCCGAGCGCTTCGCAAACGCAGAAAATGGCAGCAACAAAAACAGGAATCCATCTGACTGCTCGCTTCCGCCTCCCCCGCTTCAACCACAAAAGGAAGCCAAATCCGAAAAAGCGCCAGAAGTCGCTCCTCAAAGTCCCGACTCGTTATTGTCCGAGCAAGCGGCTGACAAAGGAGAAGTGCTTCGCCGTTTTGATCTCTGTCCGCAAGGTAAACTCACTTCATAAGTAGCCACTTCCTGAGTTTATTCAATTAGACAGCCAGGTTAGCAAGACGCAGACGAAGTACCCCTTCGAAATTCCCGAGCCGCGTTTCGACGTGCCGGACTCTGGCACTGAAACATACGGCAGCAGCTCGACTGGCTCATCTGGCACTGCAGAAAAACATCAGGCAAGTTGGAGGATTTAATTAGCCAGCGTTGTGAATAATTGACGCGCCGGAGTGACTGACCCCAGATAGATGGATTGAAGATAAAAGCTTCTTTTGCCTGACTTTTGTCTTTTAGCAATTCTTGCAGCTGCAAATGCGATTTCAGCGAGACGCGCTTCCAGAAGAAACATCTTATCTCTCCACTCGCCAGGCTTCTTGCTGGACGACAAAGGAGGTCGTCACGTGGCTAGAAGCTAACAACTTCGAGCAGTACTCTTCCGAGTTCCAGGAGAACGACATTTCCGGCGAAAACCTGCTGGATCTTACGAAAGAAGAGCTCACCGAAATGGGCGTAACCAAGATCGGACATCGCAAAACTTTACTCAACCTTATCCAACGCCTCAAAGAACCAACTATGCAATGACGAAATCTATTTATAAAACATTAAAATATTGCGTCTTTTGTACAGCTAGTCAAAACGATAAAAGAAAAACTTGCAACAGTTCATAATCTTACCAGACGCTACAAATGAAAATATAATAAAATTTGTAAATATAAACCGCTGGGGCGCTCAGACAGATGATGAGTACCGCGCTTCGTTTCTTTTGATTAGTTGACTTTTATTTTTGCATGTTTAGGTTGATAGTGAGTTATAATTTGACAGGCTATGAAGATATTGGTGGCAAAATGCACAATGCTTGAAGAATGCATCCAGAGGAAAGAATCGCGCCCTTCCATCTCAAAGAAATACGCTGGGAGCAGCCAAAGGCCCTGGCTTCCGAACCAGAGAGCTAGAAAATAAATTAAGAGAGGGCAGATTTAGCACGAAATACCTGATAAGGACATCACTCGTAAAGAGGACATTTTCAAGTTCTTGATAACGAGAGGTAGCAGCGATAAGTACCAAATGAAGTATTGGGACGTAATTACTTTGTTGAATGTAACGAACACAAACGTCTGTAAGAATGAGGCGAAGAAGGGGTCGCTGGAAAACTTGAACGAAATGAGAAGGCATAGAGCGAGTTGGAGGAGAAAGCACAGAAATCCATATGGCGAGTTTCCGTCCATCAGATAAAAGGACAGAAACCAAATCTAAGAGAGAGAGATGTTATTCTCTTGTAAAGGGATTGGCTCTTACTGAAAAATTATGTCTAGTGTCTTGTCTAGATAGGTGGTGAAGATGAGCATGCTCCAGAAATTCTTCTTGATAAAGGGAGTAGCTCAGCCAGGATAAAGATACAAATGTACAAGCTGAGATGATTCCATAAAGAATTCCCTTTTTGCTGTAAGGAAGAAAGCCGAAGAGTTTCTTGTCGGCGTAGTAGAGCCAAACTGTCAGTGCCCAAGGAGCGGGATATGTTTTTAAATGTACACTAGAACACTGAAGAAAAATGGTTCCCAAGAATGTTTTACCTAATAGCTTGAAGAATGGCACTTATTGGGATATTTTCAAGCATCGCTATCGAAAGAATCGTAAATGCCCCGCTAAAAACGAAAATAAAAGCTTCTACTTTACAAAATGACCAGTACATGATAGGTTCAGCATTTCCACGGACGGCGATGCCAATCGTCAGGGGGTTAAATAAATAGAGAAGAGCTGCAGTTTGTCCGGATATTTTGAGGATAAGACCAGCGGAAATCAGGTCAAATAGAATAAAGAGCAGTTTGCCGAAGGGCGGAAACGAGGTAACTTTTTGCCGGTTTTTGATCAATTCCTGACTGAATATTTGCTGAAAGAACTGAATCTGAAACCTATCCTGGTAAGAGAGCGTAGGCTAGCAATGGCGTGTAACGATAGGTATGCCTGAAAACAAGAAGAGTTATTGCTTGGATTAATTGATCTTGGAAATGAACCTCTTGTATGGCGATTGACCCTTGCTAACAAATGCGGATGCGTCAGAAAATACATAATAGTCGACATCGGTGAGCGGTATTTGAAAAAGTCTCTCCGAGTATTCAAGCAAACACAGACAACTGAGCCGAACGAAGATCCCGATGAGGATCAGGTTCAAGCTCGATAGGACTGGCATAAGAACTGTGCTTTCTAGTGTACGTTTATTCCTTCTTTTGAAAGAACTTGGCGCGGCGCTCTTCTGCTTCTTTGACGTCCGCTGCTCGCGCTTCTAGCACTGCTTCTCGCGTTTCGCTGAAAAAAGCGTGAAAACTTTTCGACGTTAATTATTCTCTACCTCAGATCAGCACCAAACTTGGCAAGCTCGTCCTTAGTACACGCCTGATAAGTTTCAAGCAATTTCTCGCACGGAACGTAACCTTCTGGGAATTTCTTCTGCTTGTCAGCAATGAACTCTTTTCGAAACCACTCGTTGAAGCACTCGTCGTAAGCCCACTAGAATTTTACGGTCGTCAATAATTCACGCAAGGGCTCTTCTCTCACCTTTGCCTTATTACACTTCACGTCGATGCTGTTCATACTTTGCTTTCAATCACGATTGGGGCGAACTTTTATTCTTAAAATCAGTCTCGTCATTTCATGATTTTCCTATCAACAGTATATTTTTGATATTTCAGCTGAAACTTGTAGAACATTTGAAAGACAGATGGATTAAATACGCAGTGAGTTTGTGACTGAAGAATTTATGATTTAGGAAATTCGCTGTGTGCTGTCAAAATTCATGAAAAATAACGCTAGGCAAATACACGCTATTATGGGTAGTGGGTGGGTGAGTGAGCTGCCGTCCCAGCCTGGAGACAACAAGGAGAACGCGTTTCGAACATAATATTTTTGCTGTTTTCTATCAGTGATTTTAGGTACTACGGTGTCTATTATAAACTTGTGACAAATTTATTAACGAAGATGTTTTGCTCGGATAAAATGCAAGGAACATGTGTACGATTGAACAGTTCAGGAAGTATAAAATTTTATTTTTATTATCGAATCAAGTGGCAAGTCTGGTAGACGCGTGTGAAGGAGTGCAAAGTTGATTTTTTTGTCATTTACTTCTGCTTCTTCTGCAACATACCAGAGACTTTGTCCTTGACCATGTTGACCTAAATAAACGGACTAACAAGGGGAGCGAGGAGAGTTGTTTACCTTTTGCTGAACTTCGGGGATTCTGAGAGTGCATTTGATCATGAGAGCAATCCAGATCAAGGAGATGATGGAGCACTTTCTGCCGAGGTAAGCGGTCGCGGCGAGGATAGGAAGAGCGTACGAGAGGAATTTGATGGGAGTATCAGCCTGAATTGGATGATAAAATACGAAAGTGTATTTCGATCTTACTCGTTGTTTCTGAAGACATTGAATGGTGGAAGAGAGGCATGATGTGCAACCGCTCAAGTTGGAACAGATTTCGCTGAATCGACCTTCCTGATTTTCGCTCAAAGGCTTTCCAGCAAAAACCTAAAGAAACAATAAATCTTGGTTCGGAGATATTCGTTACCTTTTGGTTGAAAGTGCTGATAAAGGTATCAATGACGAGACCAAAGGCCAAAAAGATTGATACAAGCGTCAAGACAGATGGCTAGAAAGAGAAATCAGTTAGGGAGAGGTTTGGTGAACTTTGATTTTACCTTGCAGAGGAGTAAGATGGCGTAGATAACCGAATAGATAGCGGCGTGGGTGCCAGTGGTCTTGATCACATCGGGCGTGTTGATGAGCGCGTCGGCGTGGACGACGACATATTTGTACTCACTCCATGATTTTTCGAGTTCGGTCATTGTGTTCATGTTTTTAACTGTTCCTCAGGTCTCAAAATATCTCTCTAACCGACTGAGGACTATATCTGCTTATTCTACAAAACAATAACGCTATCCTCGGGGCACGGCTATGTCCGAGGTTGACACTTCTGGTATTTAAGCGAGAGAAAATCTAGCCGAAGATTCTGTACTCTGGATTTGACCCGACCCTTGTCCGTCGCCGCTCATTAACAATTCTGAAAGTAAATTGCGGTTAATTTATGGCTCTCGCGGGAGAGTTCGTATTGATTAGGCGGAATCGATTGAACTGATAGGTAAATACTCATAAAAGGCATAACTTAAATACAGAAATAATACATTTTGAAAGCGCTAGAAGTTCTCTTTGAAAAAGGTAAACTCGATGTGGTCAGTCGACTTTTTCCTTGAAATCTCTCTCAGCTCGTTGGTAAACGGCTTCGGTCCACATGTGAAAACGCCGACGTTGGCGTTCTGGTTGGTGGAGGCGACCTCGTCGAAAATCTTATCCCAGTTGGGACGGCCATAGTTTTTGCGCAACGGTGACTTATTGTTGTTGCCCCCTGAGGAGTTGAGGTCGGCGTAAATCACGTCCTAAAACGTCAGAAATTTAACCATGATTCAAGGTTAGGAAATACGAGGACACTGACTGTTACGTAAGTACTCATGCGTAACTCAAACTAGCTATAAACGCACTCACTGTCTGTGGCTAAAACTTTATCTCTTCTTTATGTACCTGTGCAGTTGCAGGGTCCATATTCGAGAGTGTTAGAAATATCATCACCCGTAAAAAAGGGACTTTGCCCTCAGCTTGGCTCAAAAGCTCATCAAACCATTCAAAGCAATCCATCTTAGGCGCAATCCAGACGAAATATATCCGGCTCTCTAGCTTCCTGATCATCGCTGAGCGCACATAAGAGGCGAAGGGTGTGATGCCTTAAAAATAAAATAAATTTTCTGCTTGTCTCCCGGGAGGAAAAAATCTGCTCTGTTAGACAGTGCCACGTAGCGAGCTTTCTCCTCGAGCAGTGACCGTTGGAGATTCGAAATCTCAAAAACAACGGTGAAAACGACACGGCTCGGAAAAGTCAGGGAGGTGCATCTTCAATGGGGCAGTTTGCCGATTGATTATACGTACCAATGCCCGTGCCTGCGCAAATGATCGTTTGGAATTCGTCCAGGCCCTGCGCTGGCGCTCCATAGGGACCATCTATGATTATTTTCGGTATTGCCTGGTTTTCCTTGAACAGTCGGATGGCATTTTGCGTCCAGTCGCCAACGGAACGAATGTGGACTTGGAGGAAATCATCTTCGGGTGCAGAGGTCAGGGTGAATGGATGCCATTCAAAGATGGAAATGCTAGGGAGTTTTACGTAAACGTACTGGCCGATGAAATGAGCATTTTTTCGCAAAGAAAGCGTCGACTTTCGAACTTTTAGTTGTAGAACATCTGAGGGTAGAATTTCGTGGGAGACGTAATCGACTGGCCATAGAAAGTGAAAGAAGCGGATGATCAACTCGATCGTATAAAAAGCGACACTAGCGATGAACCATTTCCATGATTGCGAAGAGAAGCCCTGAAAGGCCGGCTCTGGGCAAAGCGAGCCTGGTTGATTCCAATTGTCGGAGTTGATTGGCAAGGAACAAACTTCTGGGTCGTGAAATTGCATGTTAATTTGACTTTTGACAGCGCGCCCGTTTCCATGCCAGTAAAGAAGTGGAAAGATGAGAAAAGTGAAGTGATGAAGGTAGTAGAACAAGTTGAAAAACGAGCGGCGAATTGGCTCGGCGGAAGAAGTGAAGACAACGAAGAATACCAAGGTCAGTAAAATTCCACTTGTCCCGGCTTGAAGGAAGAAAATCTCCATCGCAAGCTCGGCAGGATTAGTTTTGAACAATGAAAGATTTCCATGAATGACAAGTTGATGAGAAATAAGCGAATCTGGAGCGGTAAAAGCGGCATAGTTGTGTAAAAAGTTGTAGTAATGCGCACCGATGTGAGCGAGGGACCAAAGAATAATGGCGTAAGAAAGGCGTTTGTGAACATAAATTGCGTTGTCGAACAGAAAACCGAAGCCTTGTGGAAGAATCCCGCGGAGAAAGGCGATTAGGTTTCGGCATACTGTGAATAAAAGAATGGAGACGTTGAAGTTAATTGCTTGAGCAGCTCCGCGGGAGAATAAAATTGATTGTCCGAAAAGCTCTCGTGTGTAGAAATACTCTTCTCTGAAGAAAAAGGTTGAACATTCATTCAAGATTGAAAAATTAACCTTTGCTTGAGCTTGAAATACTCAAAAGTAAAGCATGCAATGTTTGCTAGAATCCAGCCGCCAGTTATCAAAAACGATAGCTGAAAACGCCTCTCTCTTTCAAGTCCCATTGTCTTTTCTTACGATTCCCATTCGAATGGAAATTGATGCGATTTCTAAATATGATTCATCACAACAACGAGGGACATGTTAAAACTTCAGCTAAAACTCTTTATTCTGTATAAGAGCGGTTGGTGTATCTGTAAGGTTGAACTTGACAACAGTATCAAAAGTACATTGCCACGAAAATACATGTAAAGTGGATCAAAGAAAGGGGCGAGTCGTGAAAAATTCTATTCTCAATTTAGGAGTCGCGGGCGGCCTTGGACGCAGCTCGTTGCTGCTTCTTCTTCTCAGCTTCTTCGGCCTTTTCTTTTTCGATCTCTTCGACCAACTTGGTGACTTTCTCGAGTGGAACGACTTCGAGGGGCGAGTTTGGTCGCATGATCGCGAGTTCAATATTTTTAGACGAGCTCTGGACGACTTCCAAAAGAGCCTGGCAGACTAATTTAAGCGCGTCGTTTTCTGAAAACGTTGATTAAAATAGGCTCAACTTTATGTGCGCTGTAGATCATTACCTGGGACACCTTCTTCGTTGTAATTCTTTTCGAGAAACTCTCGTACAGTCTTGGAGCTTCGGCCGATGGCGTTGGCTTTCCATTCGGAATAAGTACCAGAGGGATCGGTTGTGAAGAGCTTGGCGGCGTTAGTGTGGGGGTCAAAGCCAACGATAAGGGAGGAAAGGCCGAAGGGACGTCGGCCATTGGACTGGGTGTATTTCTGCTTTAAATTTGCTAAAATATAATTTAAATAATGCAACTTGAAAAGAACTTACCCAGTGATCGGGTAATGTATTCAACTGTGACAGCATCCTCAACAGTAAGTCGATGCTGCTGGCATTCCGTTCGAGCTCGATCAATCATAACTCGCGCATCCGCGGTCAGACCAGCGAAAGCAAGCGCGATGTGGTTATCTAAACAAATTTTCCTATGAAAAGCGAACTAAAAAGCGATCATTTTACCGATGGAGCAGATTTTTCTGACTGTTCGGTCTTCCTGAAGCTTCTGGGTGGCCTTTTTCTCAACTCCGAGAACGACCACATCATCGCCACGAACGGCGACGGCAGTGGCACCCTTTTCGACGGCTTCCTGAGCGTATTCGACCTGATCGAGGAGTTTTTACTAATCACATATGAAAACAAAAGATTTAGCGCTTCAAATAACGCGAAAATGTAAACTCGTTGCCTGGAAAAGATGCCCGTCGGGGGAGAAAATAGTAATAGCTCTATCGTATGCTGGCATTCTATAAAAAGACGAAAAGTTTAATCCCCGAAATTCATGTTTGAATTGAAAAATAAATTTTTGCGATTCAGAAGTTTTCTTTATTGAATACAAATTTTGTGCTGCCGTCAGTGTATTTTATACAGTTCTCTCTCAGCTGCGTAGAGATGACCTTCGGGCCACAAACGAAGACTCCGTTAGTTCTTCCGTGATGCTTTTTGCTGAATTCAGAAAACAGCTTCGACCAATCAGGCCGACCGTAATTGGTCTTTTGCCTCAGGCCTGTGACCGGATCAAATTCAGACTCTTCTTCTTGTTCTATCAGTATTTTCTAAACAAAGCATCTAGAAACAGCCAATAGAAAAAGAAAATTATCCTTACTCTTGCGAATTTATCGTCCCAGCCGCGGCTCAGATAGATCCTCAAGTCGAGAACATCAAGTTGGTCGATAGACTCGAGTTTTTCAGTCAGCTTTGAGACGAGATCAGAGAACCATTCGAACGAGTTGTAAGTCGGGCAGATCCAAATCAAGTAGATTTTTTCCAACTTCATCGGAATCCCATTCGCCTTTTTGTAATACACGGACTTCAGAAGGCTTCCAAAAGGAGTAATGCCTATTCCAGCGCCAACACAAATAGATATCTCATAATCAAAGACATCCTAAGTCAAGCAAGATTAAACCGTTATCCTCAGTGAGCTGAAAAACCTGACTAGCAGCTCCGAAAGGACCATCGATAGCGATTCTCGGTGCATTCGTTATATCCCCAGATTCAAGTCGCTTGGAGAACAAATCATAGAGATTGTTTGTCCAGTCTCCAGCGGATCGAATGTGAACGGAAAGGAAGTCTTCCTCTGGAGCAGACGTGAGAGTGAATGGATGCCACTCCAAGAAGGCGAGTTCCCGGCAGTTGAGGAAAACGTACTCTCCGACTTCATTTTTATTCTTTCCAAAGCACCAACTAAAAAGGTTAATAACGAAAGCAGTTTTTGATGAACTCACCGTTGTCGATGCATTTGGATTTCAATGACTCTTGAAGGATGGAAGATAACTTTTACAACTTGCGCTGGATTGAGAGAACGGGACAATCGGATAATTCTTTCGAAGAAATAAAGCAGAACAGGTCCAATCACCCACTTCCATGTTCCAGGATCACTTCCGGCAAATAATGGCGTTGGACACTCAACAGAATTGTCGCTCCACTCTTCTGGCACAAGCGAACAGTTTTGCGGATTATGCTCGTCGATATTTGTTTGCCCGCGTATTTGCTTCTTCAGTCCATGAATGAGTAAGAATGCGTAGAAAATAACGAAGAGGTGGTGGCAGTACCAGAATATTTCGAAGAACGAGCGCCTGATCGTTTCTGTTGCTGCTGTTATAATTACAATCAGAGCAATTGTGATGATGACTCCCGTCCATCCGCCAAAAAGGACAAAGACTGAAATTATCAGGTCGACGTCTGAGGATCGGATTGGATTCAGGTACGGGTCTTCCAACTTGTTCAGCGCTTGAATCAGTGGATCCGTTGATTCGTGACTTTCTGTTAGCAGTTTGACGTTGAAGAGATGAGCGAGGAGGTGTACGAAGGTCATTAAAGCGATCATGTATGCACACTTCTTGTGCATTTTGATATTATGATCGAAAAGCGCTTTGATACGTCTTGGTTTCGGTGTTAATTTATGGCTGCTCAAATACAGCTAGGTATTTGAAGATACGCTTTTTTAAAGAGATAACATCGTTGCCTGGAACAGCCGAAAACATATCGTAGGAAAACGAGCAGATTCCGACAAACTGGAAGAAGAACGAGACAGCAATTAAAATTTAAAACGGCAGCCGGTGCTCTTGCTAAAGCCAAGTAAGGACCGACAATCTTCCGCAAGTAAAACCACTCGTCTCCGTGATGATACTTGAGGAAAAACCAGACAAAGATGAATATGTTCGCAGCATGCCATAAAATCTAAAAGAGAGCTTTTTATTGGTAGCGACCGCAGCGCAAATTTTGTCAAAATCGGAAAATCGAGCAAAGTTCGAAAAATATTGACTGCGGTAGAGATTATCGTCATCTTCCTTGAATCACCGGAAGAAAACGTAACAAAAGGGGCAAATCATCGGGTTATTTTGTTCTCCGTAAATGGTCTCGTAAAAACACAAAGTGGACATTAGACAACTTTACGGCGTGCCATAATATCGAGCAAAGATTGAACTTTTTAACTCGCCTGTTTGAATTAAAAGATTAAACTAAATGAACTAAATCTAAATATACTAAAATCCTGAAGACTTTATTCATGTCACGATAATTTAGTTAATAAATAATCAAGGCTCGTTTCTATTTCAAATTCTCAATAAATATAACGGTACCTCTATTATATTCGGAAGGATTGAATTTCTCTCAAAAAACTTAAATTTCATCAGAACCAAAAAAGCTCTCTATTAAAGGTAAAAAATTAAATTGATCATTGAGATCGTTGATATCTTCCGTTAGATTTTGAGTTGATCCCGCTCTAGCGCCGGCGCTCCCGTTTTGAATAATGATCAAACAATCGTAAATTAAATTCGAGAGTTACCGAAATGGCCATAAAAGAAGTCATTTTTTCCTTTTGAAAGTAAATTGCTTCGCTTTTGAAAGAAATGAAAGAGAGGAGATTGAGACTTATTCTAACATGTTTAAGTGCGTATCATTTATATCATTGTTTGAGTACTCTCTTCGCACAGAGCCTCAGTGAACAGAATATATTGTGTCGCACAGTGTAATCTTTCAACGTTTTACATTCGTGTTAACTTGAAGATTTGTCTTCACTGTCCTGAAAAAAGAGAGATAAAAGTTAGTCTTCCTTGATTGCAAAAATTGAGCTTACTTGGTCGCTTGAGGTATTTCGGCGTCGTTCATCGCGACTTGTTCTTCTCTGTTCTGCCTTATTCAAAGTTTCGTTGTGCGGTCTGAAGTGATCAAGCTTGAGAATGGATGTAACAAAGTCTGACTACCTGTAGTCCATCTGTGGGCCGTTGGCGCCATTCCCGAAATTCAAAATTCTTCTAAGCGAGTCCGAAATCTTCTTGACAGCAGATTTGTCTGCAGCATTTCGGTGCCAGATAGAAAGCTATCAATTTGATCAAACTCTTGAGACATCTGATGAATTAATACCTGATCCCAAGGATTGCGGAGCGAAAGAACGATTCCACAGAGTTCGTCGCCGACGAGAAATTGCTCTCCAACCATTGCCATGATGGAGTTCTCCCAATATCTAAATTGATGAATCGAGTTCTTTGAAAGGTGAAGGAAAGACTTACCTATCGGTACTGTGACGTCGGACACGAAGAGTCCATCGTCCGCCATCTTTGTTAGCACTTTCTTCCCAAAGAGGGCGAATGCCTCGTTTAAACTAAAGTCAATTTAATCATCCTGTCAAAAGGGACGAAGAACTTACCAACATAAGATCACACGAATCGTCAATCTTACTCGGTCGTTTCATAAAGCTGTAAAGTTTCCAGAATTCTTGGACGGTGTAGACCGTGCCAATATCTTTCATACAATCGTTGTAGTTCTTGCCTTTGAGAACTGACTTCCGTTTCGAAATCCAGAAGGTGTAAGGATGCTCCAGAGGATTATGATCGCTCATAATATACCCAGCATCTGGGCTAAAAATCATTTCAGAAAACGCCTCGAGAATTTCAAATGCGCGAAATGAAGCCAACTCGACTCACAGTTAAAACGGCTGCCGTACCTGCCGTAAGAGTTGCTGATGATTGCCGGATCATCAAAGCTTTGCGGTTCGTCATCGTCCGAACGCAAGAGTGCGAATTTATTGCCAGAAAAACTATTCATTTTTGAGTGTTTTGGTGAGTGTTGGAGGGTATGCGGGGTTGAAGAAATAAGCCGAAGACTAATGTCTGAAAATAAACGTTTTCCAGCTGCTATATTAATTCAAGCCCTTTTTGTGGGGCTATTTTGAAGATGTATTCGGAAATGATTCAAGTATTGAGAAATGAAGGTGTTGACATTCAAGAGCGAAAAGAGCGACACACAAATGTTTGTGCAAATGTATTTTTTCTATTACAGCACGTATTGAGAATACAAAGACAATTTGAAATTGATAGCTTTGAACAGAAAAATATTTTAGTCGAACATAAATGGGTTGGGGAAGGACCCGTTAGTCGACTCAGCCAGTCGTTGTGCTGGATGTTTGATGTTAGCCGGTGCGTTCTGGCTTGGAGGTTGAAGAGTTCCTCTAGTCAGCGCTTCAGCTGGTCCGGCAGCTAGAAATGTATATCAGGAAGTGGTTAATGTTGACTTGAGCTTACTCTTTGACCGTTCCCGTTGAGCAGCGGTCCAGTTCATTTTTGGGTTACGCGCTCTGGGAACGTTTTCGTCGAAGCCCATAATTGGGAGCTCTTCAGCATCTTTGACGCTGTCGAGTGGGATGGTCGATTGCGCCAAAGGGTCGGCGCCGGTTTTTTCTTTAGCAGATGTGGCTGGAGTGAAATTTGAGACCCCATTTTTAGACGTAATCGGCTCTAAAATCAAAAGTTACCAAGATTGAAGTGTCCAGCGTTTCCTTACCTCCTTCGGCTCTGACTGTCGCCTGATTTGCTCTAGGAGCCGTCATATTAGGTCCAGTGATCTTTGGTCGTGTTCCTCGTTGTCTTCGCGTCGGAGGTTTGGTACCAGGAAGATTTGAAACACTGTCCTGGAGATTTCCACGAATCGCTAGCTGAAGCTGGACAACATTGGCCTTGATTAGCTTCTTATGGATCATTTCCTCTTGTAGAGTGAGGAAATTCCGAGAGTCCCACTGACTTTTGAGGACCGGATGGTAAGGAATGACGAAGGCGATGGCATCTTTGTCGCCCATTTCAACAAAGCTGAAGTTGATTTCTACAAAAAAAAATTGTAATTCATCAAACTAAAAGAACACTTACTGAATTGTGAGAATGTAAGGGCTTTCTTGTCGCCGTCGAAAGTAGCTTGAGTCGCTCCATCATTCTTGCAATGGAAGAATTCCCAGGAGGTCTTTTCCTTTAGCTGAGTCTGGGAAAAGTAATTCTGCTTTTCTCCATATAACTTGCAGGTTCTTGACAGCTCGGGATACTTCGTGAAAGATTCATGGAGGAAAAAGCAGTCGTGGACCTTCACTTGATCGCTTTCGCCGTAATCGGTGTAGCCTTAATAATTTTTCAATAAGAATCTTTATGAATTACTTACAAATGGTAAGGTCCTTGTCGTTGGCAGTCGGGGTGACGCAGTGTGCACGGCACCATTCGTTGTAGTTCTTGTTCCAGACGACAATTGGAAGTCCCATCCTCAAACATCCAGGCTGCAGTCGGTAGTAGCTTCCATTCCTTATGAGAAATTTAAGCAAAGAAAATGATAGATTTACTTACTCAGAAGGATCTTGTGAACCGTTCGGTCCGTAGAATTCCGAAAGTTCATGGCGAAGGGAGTCCAAAAGAGGTTGATCTTCATCTAAGACAACAAAAACTATCGGCCATTACAGACATCGCCACTCCAGGAAGGGTCGCTTTCTTTTTGGCGAGGTTCGGAGTCCAGTTATCCGGCTTCCTGAATCGAGAGGATGTCCAGCAAATCTCGAGACGATCGTTCTTGCCAAGGTCTGAGAGCAGCTCTTCTTCTGGGAGAGTGTCGACGTCCAAATTTTTGCCGGGGTACTTTTCTTCCTCCATGATGACCCATTCGCCATCTTTCGTGACGCCCTGAAAAAGGATATTAGAAATTTAAAAAAAATGTAGAAAAATTACCTTGCCCGTCGTTTTATGTTTACAGATCTTGAGCTGGGGATGGCCAATGTGCAGCATCGCGTCTTCTCCATTCCGATATCCGAGATTTTGAACAAGCTCGTCGAAAGTGGCGATCCCGTAAACTTTATAGCACTGATCGTTCAACTCCTGGAAACGGATACCTCCATCCTTATGATTCTTGTACAGACGGGCAAGTGAGAAAAGCCAGCTTTTGATTTTCATCCGCTTTTGAACCTGCTCGGCCAATTCCTCGATGTGAAGATCAGCATCGTCTAATTCAAGGTCCTGTTCAGAATTATAATCCGCGATCTGGTCTTCGTAGTCGAGAACAGGATTTGAGACATGGGATGAGGACTTGGAGCCAGGGTTGGAGAATTTTTTCAGCGCGGCAGATGGATTGATCACAGTCGCACCATTATCGGACGAAGAGGCTGGGGAGGACGGAGCGTCGCTTGTATTCGGAGAGCTGTTAGGTGATTTTTTCGAGGAAGGGGCAATCAACGAAGCACGCATTGCAGAACGTGCTTGCGTCAAGCCACTTTCCTCAAAGTCGTCGACCATAGAAGCGATTCCTCGAGCAATTTGCGGATTAGCCCAGTCGGATTTCTGGGCGATAAGGAAGTTTTGCATCAACTCTGGAGTGATTTTCATGTAGAGCTCCCTTTTGTTCTTGTCACGGTAAATTCCAGGATGGTTCAGCTTGTTTTCCTTCAGCGCCAGAAAATGAAAAGCAGACTCCTGGAAGTTCAACAGATTGGCATCCTCGCTCTTTGCGATCACGTCATCAACCAGTCGGTGGAGATCCTGCATGTCGGAGTACGACATGATTCAAAAGACGTCAATTGTTTCTAAAAGTAAAAAAGTTAGAAAAATATGACAGCTTTTTAATTTATATTGCACGTCTGTGAGACTCGGAAAACCCCAATTTAGCATTCACCAGGGCGCTATAAGTAGTAGTGTTACGAGATATTTGCAGGGGTTGGCTACATAAGAGGTTATTGCGAACAAAAATATGGTTTACAAAGTATTTCGGAAACGTCAAAAATGATAGAATTGATGTGAAAGAGATGGCGTTTCATTAATATATGAAAAAGAGAAAATGGCATTTACGGAGACTTTGGTATATCGAACTTAGCCATGTGTGAACAGATGAGACATTTTGAAGAAAAAGATACGTGATTATTAAGTTATGAAGGGATTAACTTTAAATACTTTGAAAGCTGCAAGTTTGTTGTAATTCTGAATACTCTAGTTTTGTTTCTCCGACTTTCAGTCTTTCTTCGCCACGGTTTTCTCTTCTTTCAGCCAGTCCTCGAACTCGCCCCAGGAATCAGCTTTCTCGGCCTTTTTAGGGTTTTACAAGACTCTTACCACTATTCTCCCATAAATTATGGGACATAAATATGTCACATTATAAAAAGACTCTGAAAATTCTAGAGAAACTGTGAGTTTCAACCCTCTCCCTTTTTCGCCGCTGGTTTACTCTCTTTATTACCCCAGTCATCGCCCCAATCTTCATTCCATTCGGCGGAAGGTTTCTTCTCTTGCGCAGGAGCGGGCGATTCCTTAATTCGAAAAGTTACGTCGTTTTCTTATCCAATCAGAGTTTATAAGATTTACGCCTACATGGAAATAAATAAACAGCGACCACCCACGCTTACCTTTGCGAACAGCGAGCTCCCCGACCTCGAGGGAGCTTTCTGCCCAAAATTGTCCCAAAAGTCGTTGGACTGGACATCCGCTTTTTGGGTATTTCCCTGGGTCTAAAAATCAGTTAAGCAAGGCGTTTTGCTCGATTGGACAATGAAACGAAGAACATACGGACATATCATTTAACTATCTTTATATATACTCAGATAGCGTTAACATCAATACCCCGAGTAAGTCAGAAGTTGCCTTTGTCGCAAAGCCCCATCCAGTTTTCGTAATATTCGAAAGAGCCCCAACGGCTGATCCTAACGCTTGGCTTCCCTGGTTCGCTGAAGAAACGACTCTCTTGTTGAAATATTTCATTCAAACTTACCCAAAGATCCATCTTGTGCTTTGTTTGAAATCTGGGTACCAGCATGGGCCGCTGCTTCGCCAATTTTAGACGCGCTCTCTTTCGTGAAAGTGGCTGCTTTTGAAACGAAGCTCGAGCCAAATGACAGCGCTGGTGGTGATTTCAAAGTTTCGAAAAAGGTAAACATGAAAAAAAGGGAAAATCTAATGACGCAAACAAGCGTTTTTTTTCTTCCGAATCGCCGAACAATCTTTGATCACATTCCTGAGCCGAAGCCTTTTGAAAGCGAAGCGAGGGGGTCTTCTTGGGGTTTTGGGCTGAAAATATTATTACGAACATCTTCAGAATCCGGAAAACTTACGCGAATGTTGAGGAGACAGAATCGTACGAGCTTGAACTTGCGGCGATAATTGGTTCTTTCTTTCTCACGACGTAATTCTGTGCTGGCGATGAAGCTTCGTCCCAGGTCTAAAAGACGTAATCAGAAAAGGCTATCTTGAGTACTTTCAAAATTGATAAATTCACCACTTGGTTTTTACAAAAATGGACGGCTTAATCAAAGCGTGGCTTGAACATTCTTTAATACGAGTAGTTTACGATTTTCGGGGGAATCAGCAAAGTGCTCAATCAAAGAGAAAGATCAAAGTAACATTTTATTTCGAAGAAACATTCCGTAAGTTTACCTGTCCTTGAGCTTCAGTTGCAATTTTGTCTCTGTAAAGCGCCGCAGATTTGGAATTATACTTCTCTTCTATCGTCCAGCCAGGATTGTAGTCGTCGTGTTCTTCGAGAAAATCGTTCCATTTGCGATTTCCTCCGCACTTCATTTTTTCCAACTCGATTGTTTTCCACTTGTCCATGGAAACTGATCTGACGAAACTCAGGTGGACGCCGAGGGATCTGTGGCGGCCAGAACATTGTAAGCAGATCCATATTCCGTACGAGACGGAAACCCACTGCGGATTGAGTGCTTCACAATCTAGCGGAAAAGATAAATATGAGAAGAATTCAAAACAAGGCATTCTCCGATATCAGGTAGAATTTGAAAACGATTTTATGAAAAATAAAACCGCTAGATAGAGCTTTTTTCACCTGCACAACAGTTATTTCCATCGCATCCCTTCAAGTCCTTGAGAACGCGTCTCGTTCTTGGTGAAGCCATTCTGAAAAATGTCAATTGGTAATTTCAAACAATCGGTATATCCAGTACAAATTTTATTGGGAACATTGCTGAAGTATTTATTCATTTTAAAGACGCGATGATACGTATACAATCATAAACTCAATCAGAAACATTTTCAGAAGATTGTTGCAAAAGTCTAGTGGTAGAAATGTATTCGCGAGTGAAGCCAGCTTCTTCGTCAGAATCGGAAACTTGAATCGATCCTCGTCGGAAGATATTTCTCGCCGGAGCAGTTGGAATTCTCGAAGCCTTTGCCGTACGATAAGGAATCTTGCTCTTGCAGCAGCAGCAGCACCATCGTGTTCCGTAGAAAAAGCAAGCAACGATGAGCGTGAAAAGAATGAGTGTCACAACGCCGAATATGGATGCGGAAAGAATGATTGTCTGCGTATCTCGTTGCTTGATTTGCTGAATTGTCGCTGAAAGAACTTTGAGGAAAGCAGCATTGAGGCTGGCGAAAATCTCGTTGGTGAAATCGTGCGTGCTCTGGAAGAGAAAATCCATCGTCATTTTTTGCGTTTTTTTGAATATTTGGAAATCGAGAAATGAAAAGCAGGCGCTTTATATGTGCCTTATCGGCGGGATCTGAGTGAAGTTCGCCCCAAAAAGGGAGGAGCGAGCGAGCGAATCAGATAACCAGATGGCCTACTTTTTCGTTTTATTCTCCTGCTTGCCGGTTCCCATGTGTGGTTCGATCGAAAATGGTCGGGATTTCATGCTATTTGCGATAACAATAAACTGCGTGGAATAAATCAAAATGGTCGAGTAGTCAATTTAGGTTGTGCTGGTTTTCATTCGTTTTTGAAAAATTGGCAGAATTGATGAACAGAGACCAATCACAATAACGAAATAAGGGACTTAGAGTTTTCTTTTTCTTGAGTGGTTGGTCAGCCCAAACCTTAAATATTCAGCGCAGCATCAGGATACCACCCGTTTGGTACCATGACTATGTTCAGTTTGACAGTCAAAATATATAAAATTAATAAATATAAACAATACAGTCAGTGGCAGTTTCGAAGTTGAAAGTTGGGAGTTTTAACAGTCGCCAAGTTATTTTTTGTAAAGATTGTCGTGGCGCGCGAAACAACGGGTACTGGTAGCAATAAAGAAAAGTTTAAACGGGTTCAATAATTAAAGACTAGTCGGTTCCTTTTTTAAAGTTGTTTCCGTCGAAACAGGTCGGTGTAACAGAAGCATTTTTGGTGGTGTGTGTCAGCATTTATGAACTGGCTCATTTTACTCCGAAATGAAATACTCGTGAAAAGAGTGTAACTGACGGAAATTGACGTATCACTAGAAATTTGCGCCGGAAAGGAATATTCGTGAACTTTGACATTTCTGGTGAAAGTAATTTTGGATAAGCATCGTTCCGTTTTTGACGACGATGACGATTATAGTGGTGAGTTACGCTGCTCAGTCTTTTCATGATGCAGCCACAATGAAATATTACTTTTTTGTGAAACAGAAGAATCTGATTGTTTTTGTGAGAGAGATGGGAGCGCGGCAGAAGGATCTCAATGGTATGGTTGTCGCCAACTTGGATAGCCACCCTGGCCATAGCCGTGGTGGCCACTCATCCCTTGATTGGTCATCATCGGTGGATTCATGCCCATCATTCGGTTGCCCATTGACATTCCGGGGTGATTCATTCCTCCCATACTAAAGTTCATTAGTTAGTAAAATTCATTCAATTCAAAAACTCACCCAGGGTGCATTTGTCTAGGACCAGGGAATCCATGATAGCCGTGTTGTTGTGGCGGCATCGACATTCCCATTGACATGGGCGGAATCGATGGATTCTTTTGAGGCTCTTGAAGGAAGGATGAAATATCCGACGAGTCGGGCAAGAGTCTATTTTGCGGATGATTATGCGGCGAAAACGGACCCTGCTGCCCCTGTGGAGTCATCGGCGAACATGGCATCACTTGAGAAACGACGGGTGTGCTGTTGTTGTCCATGTTCTCTACTGGCATTCCCGGTGTTGTCGGATTTCCTGGCGTCATTGGTTGACCATGCGGGATAGCAGTACCGCCTGGCGTCTGTGGCGCTTGATTGGGAGTTCCAGCGAAGCTATTCGGATCACCAGGAGTCATCGGAGCGCCGGGTGTATGCGGAGCCTGCGGCGGGACGGAAACCGGAGTCATAGGGTTGGTATGGGCTGGCGAAAGAGGCATGCCTTGTGGTGTCGAAGGGTGCATTTCGGGGACTGACGGGGGGATCGATGGTGTTCCACCCTAAATAATATCGATCAATATCAGTTTCATACATTATCAGCTCTACCTGGCTTGGCGAAGGCGAATGAATTGGTCCGTTGACGAGCGAATTGGCAGGACTTTTAGCTTGATTGGGATAAGGCGAATCTATATTGCAATTAAAATCATAATAGTTGTGATTTTCAATACCGATGGCAGGATTTTGTGGCGCCGATGGAGTTCCAGGTGGACCAGGTACGTTCATCGGGGTCGTCTGCGGACCGCTTTGACCCATGTGAGGATTTTGCGTGATAGGACTTGGGGACATCATTCCTAATTGTTGATAGTTACGCGCTTGAAGAGTAATAATGGTTTTACCTCGGGGTTGCCCTTGATGCTGCGCACTGGGGCTGTACGAAGATGGATAGTTGTTCATTCCCATTCCATTTGGCATCGCTTGACCTGGATGATTCGGCATTCCTTGCGGATGGTTTCCGAATCCGCCATTCTCTTGTGGAGCACTGTAAGGGTGTCTGTTGTCACTCTGGGGTCCGTTTGGAAAGTTCATTCCTGGAGGTCCCTGCTGAGGATTCGAGTACATCGCCGCCTGCTGTCGCAACTGTTCTGAGTAGGGCATTTGGTTCGAGTTCGGCATCATTCCTCGGTTAGGGAAGCGCATCATGTGCGGTCTCATCATTGGATTCTGGCCGTAAGGGAGACGCATTTGCGCCATTTGCTCATATGCTCCAGGAGGCATTCTGTGGCGCATCTGGTGCATCATGTGAGCATTGTAAGGCATTTGGCCGGCAGGACCTCGTGGCATCCCTGGATGATAACCGGGTGGACCGTGACCGTTGTAGGGAAAGCGTTGCATGTTTGGATGCATGCCGGGATGCATTCCTGGATGATGTCCAGGCTGCTGATGGTGCCCAGGATGTTGAGGTTGTTGAGGATGCATTGGTTGGTGCATTGACGCTGGTGGTTGTTGCAGAGGGTTCATTTTCTGTTGCTAAAGATTGTGTTTATTCAAAGCAAAATTGTTCAAGCAGAAACTTACATCGATCATATTCTGAATCATGTCGTGATTTTCAGGAAAGCTATTCGGTCGTACTTGATTAACACTTGTTGGAGTAGAAGGATTTCCCGGCGTCATTTGATTGTTCGCCGGTGTTTCTTGGCTTGGGTCCTTCTTTTCGGATTGAATCTGAAAATATTTTGTTTAAAGACGGCAAAAGATATTTCAAGCTACCTCTCTCAGAGTATCCATCGTATTCGGCTCTGGATTCGCATTCTGTGAGGTCGGATTCGCTGTTGAGTTCGGCGTTGAATTGCTCTGATTGTTCATTGTTGCTGATTGATCTTTTAGTTTTACTTCTTCGGTTGTAGGAGTCATTTGAGGAGTTAACGCTGGCGGTGGCGGTTGCTGAGTGTCGCCGGGAGTAGGTGTCGCCGGCGTCGGGGTCGTCGATTGCGCCGCCATCGGTGAAGGCACTGGCGCTGGGGACTGTGGTATCCTGGCATCCTGCGAGAGTGCAGGCGACGCAGGTGGATTCGGACCTATCCCCATGCGCGACGAGGTCGAGCCGGGCGTTATTGGACGACCATCTTGTTGCGGAGTTGGAACTCGATGTGGCCCAAGTGGCGACATCACGTGATTGCCCATACCAGGAGACATTCCACCAGGATTCATCGGCGACATCGGATTCGCCATGTGCGGGTTCATACCTGGCGACATCCTGTGATGAGGCATTGGCCTCTGGTGCCCGGGCATGTGGCCCAGTTGCGAGGCTGACGGAACAGGAGGAGTTGTGTTGGGCGTCATCTTCGGCTGGATTCGTTGAGGCTGATTTCCTGTGTACTTTGACTGGTGATATTGCACTAGATTGGCCATCTTCGGCGAGTCGAGCCCCTTGGCAGCGTCGTTTAGCATTTCAGTAGAGAACATATACATGTGCCCTTCAATGACACCTCCAACAGCGGTCTTCTTTGGCGGACGCTTGCGCTTCGGAGGTCCTAAAAACAGACATAATTATTGATGAAATAGCGCCTCAAGCTCCTTATTCGAGTGATAATTATACCGGCTCAATTGGAAAGTTAACGATCATAAACTATTGTTTGTCACTTTTGTGTGGTCTACGGCCCAATAGGGAATAGTCTGGATATAAATGTGGATATCTACTATTAGCAGCACCATGGCTGAATAATTTTTACTATATCTGGTAGTGATAACCCTCAGAATTAGTCCAGAATGCGGAACAAACATGGCGAAACGTGGGTGGACCACATCAAGCTATTATTAAATAATACCTACTACGGCGACAAAAACGTGAATTATGAATAATTAATGCATTCCCCAGGGGTTATCATTCTGCTTGGAGGGCTTTTCTTACTGGGCCTTCCACGTATCTACTGGCTAAGTGGCCACGCTAGCTTGTAGTAGTAGTCCTTGTTTTGCAAATCAAAGCTGTATTCGGAAGAAAGACAAAATTGTTTATTTGCCGAGCCCCAAATCTACTCGTGCTTCTTCCAATAACTAATAAGCAGCACTTGGAAAAGTGAGTTATAGCCCGGAAGTTATGCTCAAGGTGGCACTGAGGAGGTACTAAGGCGATTTATCGCCTCGCGCGACCAGCTCATGAGATTTCCGAAATTGAAAGAATTGTCGCCAAACCCCAGTCTAGTCGGAACTAAATAAACAGCTTACCATACACCAGTTGGCATAGTAACTTACTAAGTGACAACAAGATGAAATAAAATAAGCATTTCGAGCTCACATTCTTTGGAATTTTGGGGCCACTTCTTTTCCCTATCGCCCTGTACCTCCTTATTCATAAGAAATCTTTACGAGCTTGGATAAAAAGCCGCGTAGAGGGTTTTCCCTTATATAAATCGGCATAGAGGCTTCGCCAAAATAACTTTTTAACCATTTTTCGAAATCCTGACTCAGGTTGTCTACACTGAGTGCCAAGCCCACTTGAAAAAAACAGTCCTTTTAATGCTTCTTTTATAAAAAAGGGGTCATCGTTCCTGGATGAATTTGACAATGAAACAAATGCGAGCAGTCATTCACTGTCAGTTTTCTTTCTTTCTACAGTAGAAACTGCATCAAGCGAGCGTCAGAACATTTCCGTTACTTATCACTGATCCTGTTTTGCAAACAGCGACTTGGTGGCATGAAATAATTATTATCGCCCTGCGAGACAAATAAAATAATGCCCTAGATAAAAGCAGTTTGGATTAAGCAGAAATAATTCACAGGAAGGAAGGTCCAGCAGGCGGAAGGCCTAGAGCTCAAAAATCAACTCAAGGGGTGAAAACGCGACTAATCCGATTATATAATTACACAAATGTTTACTGAGTTAAAAATGATGGGTCAAAGATTAACACGAATACGAAAAATAAAGAATGACTAGAAGAACTCTAGTTAGTGTAATAAACTCAAGTGTCTGCAAGACTCATCACATGACCCGAGGTTACAGTCAGATGGGTCCAGTCCAATCTCCCTCAAGTTATTTATCATTGCGTCTAAATTTAAACGAGTGCTAAGCCCCACAAGAAAGAATGGCTCGAGTATTTCGAAGCTTTGCTTGCTAGAATAGTGCTACTACGTGTGTGGATTTTTATTTTGCAACAAAACGGTTCGGGATATTCTAATTGAAATATTGGAGTTCTATGGTGGAGGTGTAGATGGTTCTATAACTGCCGTTTCAATAAAATCAGTAACGCCTACTCGATTTGATGCGCCGCGGGCCTGGCCGAGTACAGCGGGGCTCTGCATTTTGGCGCCCATTTTAGAGGGAAAGCTTGAAGCCCGCTCAAAGTATAGCGCCACAATTCATTCCAGACTATATCATCATCAATCGCCCGTATTATCCTTTCCGAGCCGATTTAAAAACCAAAAAGTACAAATCACTACTATTTAATCCTCATTAATTGACAGTAATTACCTTCGCTGGGATCCTTCTTTCCTCGTTTCTTAGCGCGGCCTTCTTCTTCTGCTCCATCTCTAGAATTCTTCCGCGAAGGTCTTCGATTTCTCTTGGCGGAGGGCTTCGTTGGTTCAACTACCGGCGGGGTTGACGCGGGGCTGACACGGGGATTTAATGAAATGAACGTTCAAAATAGAGCACGAAATAGGGGGAACATGAAGGGGCAATCTGCGTCAGGTAATGACGCAATCTGCTCTCTCCGACAGACACGACTTCCCCCAAGTTCAACTAAATAGTAACAGATAAAATAGACCGATTAAATCCGTTCCTTGTAATGTGGGACTGATCCGGGCCGCCAAAGCCCGGACCAGGGTGGCGCATTGGACCAGGAGGGAACCTGAATTCATTTTAGTCTATATTCTATATTAGGCCGTATTTATGCAAGCCATTTAAAAGATAAGGAAATTATTAAAAGAAAAAAGGTCAGATTGAACTTTTCAAATTATCCGATAAAAGCATAAAAAGGAGGGGTGCAGAATAGATTTTTCCTTGTTTTGGGCTCGGCAACCTCTTGTAGGCTCCAACTCAGGTTTCGTGCACATCTTCAAACCGAGTCCTTGTTGATTTTCATAGTATAACTGCACCCCCTAATTATCGGACAAGAGTTTCCTTCATTCTTTAGTTCATTGTTCAAAGAGAACTTTATTTCAAAATTAGACAAAATAAAATAATAAAAAAAGGTTAAAAATAGGTGTTTCATTCTTTTTGTCTCACCTGAAATTGGTTCCCTGGCCCATCATGCCAGGATGATTAGGAGGAAAGTTTCCAAACTGCTGGCCGAAGCCTGGTCCGCCTGGGTGCATGCCATGCATTCCCTGTGGCATCATGCCTAAAAACAAAAACCGGTCAGTTCTTGTTCTACGAACAATCGATCATACTCTGGCACAAAGCCAGGACAATCATTTTATTCATTTCTACTCACCGGCGGGTCCATTTGCTCTGGTCATTCCTGGGTTTCCAGGGGTGGGGGACATGGTAGAATTGGGAATTTGGGGGCTTCCGGAGATTTGGGGACTCATTCCCGGACTCTGAGAGTGACTCATTGGTATGTTGCCACTGTTGGAATAGGGCGTTGGGTTGTTGGAGTGGAGGCGGGACATCTTCTCCAGCTGGGACATTTCCTTGTTGCCGAGGATTTTTGCGAGCTCGGAGGTCTGCTTGGGCGCTTGGCCGGGGAGGCCAGCTGGCGTCGGGGCCATTCCCCCCATCGGCATCGTCGGTGGTGCCATCGACACTGGACTGATAAAGGGTTGGATAGAGGCCAATAATCGACGAATTAAATCAACACACTCGCGCGTGCCCAATCATTGGGCCCCAATGCCCTGGGGAGGGATTAGGGCGCGCACAACTGGGCAGCCAATCTCAACCTTTCCTTTGCGGGTGTGGGTTGCTCCCTGGCTCGCCTGGGGCGATACTACTCGCGCTAACGCCGATAGTTTCATTCAGAGCGCCGAGCTCGCCTGGGATTTCTCCTGCGCCGCTCGATGGTGGAGGCGTCGGATTTGGATTGTTAGCCATGGCGAATCCAAACGCTTCTTTTTCAAGAGCTCAGAATGATTTTCAAAAAAAATTACAAAAAAAATAATGCCTCGAAATTACTAGACTTGGCAATCTGTGTAAAAAACCTAAGTCATGATCTGAAAGATCTGTACTGAAAAGCCCACCCGCAGGATTTCTACACAGGTTTTTAGAGTGACGCTTCGGAGTATCAATTGAAAAAATCTATGAAATTGACGTAACTTTTGTTTAATTTTAATTCACAAATCATCAAATTTTGTTAAATTATAAATTTATAAAGATATTAATTGTGAGCCCAACCTTGTTGTGCCTTGGGAGAAACCTGGGAGAGGTTCATCGGCTCGTCTTTCTTTTCTGATTCGACCGCCGCGGAGACCATTTCGGACATTTGGGTTCGTAATAACTAAACGCCTAATTCGCCAAGTTGTTCCATATTTTCTCTCTTTCGAAAAATAGAAAAACAAAAAATCGAGGCCTCGATCTGTTTACGCCGCCTTCAGAGACCTTTTTGCTCCAGATTCGGTTAACCCTAAAACGCAACTAAGCGTAACCGACCAGAGTTTTCACTCTCTTGTTTCTCTCATTCGCTGAACAGCTGTTTCTGGGTTCCGCAATATTACTATTTTTAATTTAATACCTACTTTTATACTAAATTTAATTTAAAATTTTGGCGAAGCCGCTCCGCGGCTTTTTATTTTGCATTTTCGAATCCTGATTCAGGAGTTTTATACAGGTTGCTGAGCCCAAAACTATTTCTTCAATTTACAATTATGAACAATAAAATTTGAGATTACAATAATTGAAAAGAATAAAATAAAGAAAAAGTCGAGGATTGGATTCTGAATTTATCGAATTTTTCAGCAAGCTCAGCCAATGAGAAGGAACGTCCGGGCGCGTAAATAGAAAAAGCGGAAATACAACTTGCCCCGAGGCGAGTGCCCTTTACCTGTCAGTAGGTTGTGTAGGAATTCTAGCGCGAATTCTTCTCAATCTGCATCGCTCTTCTCCCGTTCGACTTTCTCTCTATTTCCCATTTTTCTCAGTTTTCTTTTCTTCTGAAAAATCTCTTTCTTCTTTTTTTCTCTCAATTTTTGTTTGTTTGAAATTTTATTTTTCGTTGTAGTTTTTTTTTTTGCGCGTCGGTAAGGTCGATCGCACGTGTCAATTCGGCCTCGGACGAGAAATAATAATGCTCGGGACGGCGGCACGCGCGGGTGCTGAGACCGAGAGCTGGGGCGGGAAGAGAGCTGGGGCCAGCAGCGACGGACAAGTCTCGAAAACTGCAAAAAACAAAACCGAGTAACGCGAGACACTGCCCCAGGCCAGGCTTCGGCCACGCGAGGCGCCTAACGCACTCAGGCCGCTCCGCACTACACCTACTACACCGGCGAGCGCGTACACAAACATGCACCGCACTTGGGCGCGCGAGGGCCAATCAGCGCCCGCGATGGACCACCACACTCGAAATACTGCACTAGCGCAGCGGCGGTGCTTTAATTTTTACTTCGACGATTCGAAGATCCAATTCTGCAGACGAATCGTCCTCTTTTTCGAACTCGTCCCTAACCCGAACCATTTTCGAACCCTAACTGGCATTCATTCTTGATGAGTCATGATGAGTAATTTCGCGCGGGCCTCGTCTTTCTAAGCTGCTGATTTAGAATGCGCGCACCATGCGCACTTCACCACACTAACACCACCAGAAAGAGTAGCACCAGTTTTTTATAGAGCTTGTGCGATATATTGCACATGTACCCAGTTTTCTGTCAATCGCCCGCCCGGTCGTTCAAAATCCGACTTCCGATATTAACAGTTCTGCAAATCCAAGAGCTTTAATTTGTTTTTACTAATTAATTTCACGGGCGTAAATGTCAACCCTTTTCTCGCCCGGATTGAACCGGTGGTAATTGAATTGACCGGTAATAACCTTAGTCTCCCCTCGAGCCTCCGTTCAGCATTTGTCTATAAAACCTGAGCCAGGATGAGGTGCTTCCATAAAAGCCGCGTAGCCTCGCTGCTTTTATGAAAGCACTTTTGTATTCCTTACTCAGTTTTCTAGACTGGTTTCCGAGCCCGGGTTCGAACTTTTACGCTCAGAGAAAGAACTGACTGTTCTTCTTGTATTGGCTGCTAATTGATAATTAAAATCATTGAATGAATAAATTACATGTTTATGCATACACAAGTCAATACTGACCAAGTCCAAGCGGCTTTTTTGCTGGTGTTATCTATGGACAAGTCCAAATGTAAAATCGAAACGAAGGACTCTTGATTTCAAACCCTCAAATTAACATGTCCAAGGACGGACTAGTTAGATAAGGGTGTCTTAGATTCAACCAAGCAGAAGATAACCTGAAAGTGACAAGACTTGGCTGAAGTCAGAATAGATAGAGGGTAAGTTCGTTCAATAGCCTTTCTTGGTGAGTACAGGACTGGTCTGTCCGAAACTCAATTTTCTTTATTAGAAAGTCTTCGATAAGAAAATTGTTTCTTATCGAACATTTGTTACTAAGAATGAGGATATCCTCTTGAATTGAAATGGCCTTTGATATTTCTTTAGTTATCTTATTGATATGCGTAATTGCAGGGGAAATGAAATGTGCACTCGAGAGGAAAGTGTGAGCGCCAATAATTCCACCAGTAATTTATTGTCTATTTGGCCAGCAGTTGTTGGATCGTTGTTAGAGGTCGGGATCGTAACTGGGGGCAGCGGGAGTAGTGGCGTTGTGGTGTCACTGGAGCTGCAGGTCTCTGCAAATTTGTACTGCGCATTGGCACCGGCCTGGACAAATTGAGCCACATTTAGGATTGATAAATAATCCGCCTTCACGACTCTACTTGCTCATTATATGGGCTCGGAAACATGTCTAGAAAACCTGAGTCAGGGTCTGAAACAGATTAAATGAGAAGCTGCGTAGGGCTCTGCCGACCCTAACTCAGATTTTCTACACAGATCGCCGAGCCTAGACTCTTATGCGGTGCTTTATAATCGATTTGGAATACAATTTTAGTTGTAGTACGTTTTGATAGTAGTTGTAGTAAGATGCTGCTGAAAAAGAAAATCACGTAGCTTCTGGGTTCGATTTATTTTATGTCTATTTCGAAAGAATTAAGCAATTGAAAAGTAGATTTATACACGCTAGATAAGTGCTTGTAGTGAATTTACTACTGCGGCAAGCAAATATTATCGTTATTCTGAGTGAATAATGATTTTAAAGAAATATAGAGGCTTTACTATAAACTTGACAACTTTACAGCAGTTTATGTAAAGGTCTGTAATCTTATTGAATTTTTCCACATGAGAGCACTTTCAAACATAAATATATCAAGTTTTAGTTATAAATAAATCGATAATATAAGTAACAATTTAATTGTTATAATTTCAAAGAAGTTTGATTACCAAGAAGTGTTTGGGCAAGTCGTAAAATGGAAGGTACCCGGCGCCATTTGAATGTAATGCCAAAAACAAACATGAAAATAGAAAAAGAGCAATTGCAGATACACATTTTCAATTTCTAGCTTTGAGCGATTGATAACGGTATCAGTGTCAAAGTTGGTGGAACACTACAAGTCGCCGCCACTGGTGCCAACACCGACCGGCATCAGGAGCACTTTTTTTGGTCGGCGTCCAATAAATTCAGGAGAGAGCCTATCCCGCGCCGGGTTGATCGCGCGCTACCCCGCGCTCTCCTTTTTTTCCAGCGGAGGACTCCACCTGCCGGCCTTCATCCCTTTTCTTACTAGACGCACCTGACCGGAAACACTAGCCCAGGCGCGTGACAATTAGAATTGCGCCTGTTTATCAGGAATTTTAGATGCATCGTGCTATCCACATGACTTTCAGATTGCCATATGAATAAATACAGTAAAACCTTAATTAGAAACTACAACCAAAAATTGCCCTGCTCGATTCATTTTTTTTGGATATTGTGCCCTGCAGCGGAGCTTCCGCATTTTCTTATCATTACCATAAACAATTTTATACAGCACTTTTTCTGAAAATTTGCGCCCTTAGCCTTGGAACTCAGAGATATAAAGAAGACCCTCCAAACTGGGCTCGGCAACCTGTGTTAAAAACCTGTGTCAGGGGCTGAAGGATCTTTAATGAAAAGATCAATCAGGCCCTGACTCAGGTTTTCTACACAGGTTTCCGAGCCCAGCCTCCAAAGGGACTTTTTCATATCATTGTTTGTTTGATGAATAATAAGTTTATTGCACCTTAGATTAACTTTTGAACTAGTGTAAATTGGGCGAAGAACTAATTGTTAATAATAGTATAGTAGGAATATTTTATATCGATGAACTGGAAGCAGTTATTTTCTGTATAAGAAGAAAGTAGGACTTGAAAGTTTGAAAACTTGAAAAATTGAATTGAAATAAAAAAAAATGCGCCTATTAACAATTGTTACAATCGTAGCTAAGGCTTGTTGTTTCGTTTTTGAATTGATAGAATAGCAGTGTTGATAAATTTATTTCCGTAATATCAAAATAATAATGTTGGTCTATTTACAGAAGAAAATAAAAGTACGAGTTTGGTCATTTTTACAGTGAACTTGATTATGATGTTAGATACTTTTTTCGTTAAATATTTTGAGAAAAAATATTGAGTTTTTAGGAAGGGATGATGAGTGAAAAGAAGGGTTTTTAAGGATTGGCATTTTGATTTTTAATTTTAACGAAGGGGACGAAAGGAGAGGCCGGAGGAGCTAGAATTATTTGACATTCTGGGTCTTCGGCAGGTATTTTTCCCACATTGCGACGACTTTCTTTTCTGCCTCGAGCATGTGCTTCATCCATTTGAGAATGAACATCTTTGTTTCCTGAAAAGCGCGATTGAGGTTTCCGCATGTTGTGGACCACGGATCGAAATTTATAGTCAATAATTATTACGAGTGTTGAAACAAATCCAACAGGAAAGCTGTGCATTTTACTTACCGCTACACGCTGCGTTTCCCACGTATTTATTTCCTTCTTCGCCACGGCGCTCATGTCTTCAAAGCCCTTTTTCGCCGTTGCTGCTTTTGTTTCCCACTCTTTATTTAATCGTTAGTCAAAACGATTAATTATTTTTATTCAATTTTGAATGTATATTATTATGAATCTATTGTCTTTAACTCTGGCCCAGTAACCTGTGAATAAAACCTGAGTCAGGGTCCTAAAAGAACCCGATTGAGGTTCTTCCGGATTCCTGACTCAGGTTTTTACACAGGTTTTTGAGCACTATATTAAATTTAAATGCTCTAATCAAGCTTGTCTACCTTTAATTTCGAGCTCTGCGCCGGGGATCTTCTCCGTCCTGCCAGTAGCTTGGAGCTGAATTAAGAACTTGTTTGAGAACGAACGCAAATCCGTTGGATTACCCTTGTGACCGCGTCGCGCTTCTTCATGAGACCCTGCTCAGACGATTGCCAATTTTGCCACATTTTCTGGCGCGCTTCGAGGATATTTTTAATTCCATCGAGGCCGCGTACCTAAGTTCGGCGTAAAACACCAAAAATAGAAAAAGTAATGACCTGGTCGGAGAGAAGCTCGCTAAAGTCGTAGAGGTCTTTGTCCGACAAGTCGGTGTAGATTTCTCCCAGGTTTTCGTAGATCGTTCCTACATTTGCGAGCCTCCTTGAAAGGTCTTGTTTGTCTTCTGCATTGGCGAGCATGTTGCTAGCTCGAGCAAGGTTGCCTGATGACAGGCCAAGCTCGCGCCTGTGAACCGACAGATTGCCGGAAGCCATCGACAATCGCTTCAGCTGCGCCTGCAAAAGTGTTTGACAACGATAACAAGTAAGGGGGTACCTGAAGGTTTTCAACGGAAGCAGATCGATCTTCGAACCAAGAGTCAGTTTCTGGCATCTTCTGAGTGACCTGCTTTGTAATCACATTCTCGACTTTTCCGACAAGACGGAGCATTCCAGCGGCACTCAAAGCCCGAGTGCTAGAAGCAAAATTATAGAAACAAGGATTTAAAAAAGGAAACTTCTATTTTAACAGGCATTTTTATTTGTTTACCTAGTTGATGGCGCGATGGTATCCTGAGTGAGGAATCCCTGGAAGTCGATATCTCTCGTCAGCGCTGCGTGTTTGGCGATGTTGTTGATCCATCGTTGGAGCTGCTGCTGCCTGCGCTGGACAAACATGTCGTCTTCATTTCCGATTTTCACTAGAATAGCTTTAGCAACAAATTTTCAGCAAGAAAATGAACCTTTAGTGAATGAGGAGATCGATTTCTCAGGCGCTGGGAAGATGAAGTATCCCTTGTGTTGATATCGCCCAGCTAGCTTTTCATACAAGCCGAGAAAGTCGGAAAATCTTCTGTTAACTTCAAACACTTTTCCTCCCCAGCCACTTCGGCTCGTCTCAGTTTTGACGGTAAAAACGATGAAGGCGCCAATTCCATCGCCCGCTTTTCGAGGATCGCTGATGATGATCTTGATGTCGTTGACGGTGCCGGACGGGGCGCTGGCGACACCGTTCGAGGGTTGAATCGTTGGGGCGGGAGCTTTGGCTGGAGACTCGTCGGCGAAAAGGTCGATGGATTGTTTGGGAGGGGATTTTGGCACTGGGGCGGCGGGGGTTACTGCGGAGGGGACGGGGGTCACCACTTAAAAAGTAAAATAGCCTCCTAACTGGTTCTGAACGGCTTACCTGGGACAGGGACAGGAACGGGTGCAGAGGCTGCCTCTTGGGTAGAAACAGCCGAGGCAAAGACATCAGAAGACTCGGTCGAGCTAGCAGCGGGTTGAACCTTATTCGGGTCACCGAAAACATCACCACCTAATAAATCCGCCATTCTATCTGTTTCTAAGAAAACATAAAATACCGGTAGAACTTTTTTTTTTGTAAAAAGAAAAATATAGAATAGAATTGGTGTAAAATGCGCAAGCAAGAAATAAATAAACAGAAAACAAGAAAATAAGAAAGAAGCTTGAGATTTCGGGACATTTTTGAGGTTTTAGAGAATAAAACATAAAAAAATAACAAAACAAACACGAAACGGATTTACTCATGACAAAAATTTGACTGAACAAAATTTGAAACTGAAAAATGGAAAATGAAATTTGCAATTTGATGATTCATAGCCGATGAATCGAAATCGTATTGTCCGAGTATACAACTGTAGCACGATCATTACTAAAAGTCGATTATTTTTACCTTGAGAAAATAAATAAGAGAGGTACCTTAATCGAATTGGAAGTTGAGAAACAAGCGGGCCACTTTCAGGCACACGGTTGGGCACAAGCTTGTCCAGACTTTCGCATTCTTTGCAGACTTCCTGCGGGTCGCTTCGGCTCACTTCCAACACTAGAAAAATGATAGGTTCTCTTCAAAAAACGGTCTTTCACAGGTTCATTTTCATAGGTTCGTTTTTCAGAAAAAAATGGGCTGGGCCAATTTTTCCGAACATTCGGCTCTTACAATGCGGCGATCCTGAGTTCACACTTTCCTTCAAACAATTTCAATCTAAACAAGAAATCCGCCATGCCAAACAAGCGAATACTTTTGTCACTTCGAAACCGAAAGTAATTATTTGGCGGTCTACACTGATTCTATATGAAAAATGACAAATGGCCTCATTAAAAATATTGCTGTTTTTAAGTCTTACCTTTGATATCGCACAAGGAGCCGGACTCGATGGATGCTATAAGAACTGTTTGGAAGGCGATAGTTTCTTCTGTATCGATAGCCTAAAAAGAAAATTATTAAAAAAATCTTTGGAGAAGCCGTCGTAAAACAGGATTTTGGAGATCAGTGCTATAATTGCTTCTTTTTAAACCAAAATTCTATTTTTTCCTATAAAAAATTCCAACAATGATGTATAAGGTGCCTCAGTGCTGGTTGATGTCAGAGTCTGATAATGATTTCAGATTATTTCTGATTATTAAAACAAAGGATGGCCAAATTTGAATTATCATAAGAATTTTCCCAATAACACATTTGTCAATTTACGTACCCAAATGCTCTCTTCATACTCGATGACGATTAAAATCTTTGGCCAGCAGCAATCTGCTGCTAAAATTCTCGAGTCATGCTTTTCCCAGTACAGTAGGGCGTCAGCATTTAGCTCTAGTAGTAACGTTCCGTCAGCCAAGCTAAAAACGGTTGTTTTTCTTTTGGAAGACAAACTTGCTAACCTCACTCTTAGAAGTCTTCCTGCATGAGAGATTTCACAGAAATGCGAAACAAGCTCGTTGATGGTGTAGAAGCGAGAAGTGGAGAGGGATGAGCGGTACTGTCGGTAAGACCTGGGCTTGATTCGCGGAGAGACGGCCCGCGTTACGTAACCGGTCTTGCACTTGATTTGTACCGTCTCAGAGTCGATGGGTGAAACTACACTAGTCGGTTTATCCTTCAACGTGCTGAAATCGTGACACTCCTAGCACCGATCAATACTTTTTACTTTCCACTCTACTCACCTCTTTCCTTCTCAAGGGACCGCCTTGCGTACAAACTGGATGCCAAATGGACAAGCTGGCTTTCTCGTTGTTCAGGAATTCCAGCAAGCTTCCTTGTCCAAACTCCTTGTCGAGCAATGAAGCCTTTGATTTGCTTTTTTCGTCGCGGATTACGAGAGAAATTACGCCTTTTTCTTGATGAATGGACTAAAGAAACATTTTTATCAGAAGGGCTGATCAAGAGAGAATCGGTAGTTACCGGTATGAGACTGTTTTCTCGCTCGATGACGACGAGGATTTCGTTCTTTTGATTGTGGAATAGACGGACAGGCTCGTCATCTGAATTTGAAATACTCAAAACGAATCGACTTTTTCAGAAATCTCGCCTGAGTCATAATCGTAATCGAGCTCATTCAAGGCAATCGGATAAAGAAACTGTCCAGTAGAAATGGAGAAAACGTTGAGAAGGGAAACTCTCTCCGCGACGTCGCTTGATGACGTCGAATTTCCATCTGTATCATTCAATCCTTCCCAAAATTAGCAAATGAAGGAGAAAATCATTAATTTTGTCTGGCATTTGTTAACTTTTCCTGAGTCAGAGACAGACAGCGTCTCGAAATATTTAGTAAGCCGCCTACTTTGCGTCTCGATCGTCACGACGAAATTGTCGGTGACGCAGAATGATACGAAGCCAGTGGAAGATGTCTGGAGCAGGATTGAGTTCATTGTTTCTACATTTTGGAGCACCAGCTCTTTTCCTTTATAAAAACGTAAAAAGAAGCAACATGAAGGTTTTCAAAGAGTACCTCTTCTGAGCGGAACCCAAGGCCACGCATAAGGACAAGTGATCAAGTACGACCCCGGCAACGGATGAAGAAGCTTATAAGACGGCTTTTCATTTCTCGTAAAGCAATACTCGTCAATCGCCTCGTTCAGCAAGTGAAGACGGGAGATGAAGGAAAGCGGCGACCAGCAGGATGCTTCGGAGATATCACCAGCAAGCATTCGAAGAAGGGATTCGTAGATCAAGTAAACTGCTACTCCGAGCTTTTTCAACTGCTCATTTCGAAGGGTTTCTTTATCGCTGAAGATTGCCATGCGAACGATTTTTTGGCAAATTTCTTCTGGCAACACATCTCCGCCTGATCATAATTTAAAAGTTTGGCAACAAAGTGAACTAAACTACCTATTATTGAAAGACATTCGCGTGATTGATCTGCAAAAATTTCCGCCGCCAACTTGAGAGCTCTTGAAGCAAGATAAGTCCAAATAACAGAAAGCAATAAAATACATTCTTTTCGAAGTGATTTGAATGGTAAATGAAGGAGGATAATTTTTCATGCCATGAAAAGTTTCAATTTGAAATTTTTTCACGAGAACATTTTTGTTTGGTAATTGTGACTGTGATTGTTACCGGCGACACGAATCCAAGTAATCAGGACTATGGACACGCGACAGGGCTCGGTGTGCGATTATCGATGATGCCCAGCTCTAAATCGTTTGACTAGCTTCTTCTGCGATTCTTTCAATTTTTGGGGAAAAAGTCTTGATAGCCTGAGCGATTGCTCACCTGACATTGAGGGGAATGATCAAATCGCGAGTTCCAAGGCGAGTTGTGCTTTCGATTTCGTTTGTCTTTCATTCTGCAAAGGTAGCACTTCCTACTTCGGCTGTTTATGCATGCGGAAAGGACACAGTCGATCATTTGGTTGTCACCAACACTGAAATCCGCGAACTGCTCGCAAATCTACCAATTCCAAATGAATAAATCAACGACCAACGTTGGGTTACTAACTTTCAGTAGCTCAATTCCAACTTTGCTCTCATTGCGACTCCTCCAGAGTTGAACGCACCTGCTCGAGGAAGCCGCCAGCTGGACGAAGGTGGAAGCCGGTGCCGCATCAATTTGTTTAGCTGTAAGTGCCTGCTCTGTTGACAGGGTGGTAAGAAATCATTCTAACTAGACCTCAATTTTCGACAATTATTCATTTAAAAAGTCATCGAATATTCTTACTTGACACGATATAGAATAAAACTGAGTTTGCTAGCCAAAGGGAATTTTCTTTCGTTAAAAAAACAACACTGGAACCTTGGCTGAAATTAAGACACAAGGAAAACTGATATTCAGAGAGGAAGTTTCCCTCATAGCATTTCCATCATCATTCTTTCAAATGAAAAATGCTTACAGTCGACTGCCAGAATTATGACTGCTACAATTTGGTCCGTTTTCGTAAATGGTCCGACTCCAGAGAAATTACGTTTTATCTTTCTCTTGATGCAATTTATTTTAAACTTTTCGCTATAGAAATAACCACCCTGCCCTGCTAAAATGCCGATGCCTTTCAAATGTGAGATCTCTCGCTCCTCATTACCGAGTAACTCTCGGAAGCCCATCCGAGTCCGGCTAAACTGACATGTAAAGAGGAGACAATTTTACAAGGTGCGCGTTTTTTATGTTTTTTGATTCATGTATTGAGTTGTGCGGGCAGTGCACCGCAGGTGAACTTCAAATGGACATGTAGAGAACAGTAGAGAGAAAGAAAATTTGTGGCAGATATCAGTGTAGAGATTTAAGGGCAGTTTGGTAATCGCAAAGGTACAGAGAGGGACGATTTCTGTACATAACTACTACCACCACGGCGCCTGGGAGTTGGTTTTTGAAAAGAAAGCAATAATTGCGGAAAATGCACTTTACACCTCGATTAAGCAAAAAAGGCTTGAGCTTGAAGCAGTAGTTACTATTTTTATATGTTGTATATTTACTTAATAAATGACTATTGAATTGAAAAATAAATTTATAAATTTGTTCTAGGTGGGGTTTTTTCACATTTAGGTAACGAAAAAGGGGCGAAATATATTTATAGAAAAGGGGAAGTTGATCTTTCATTCAGAAAGTCGAACTCTGGCAGGATGATTCTCTTAAGCTTCCGAAAGTGGCGGGGCTTTTTGGTAGGCAACACCCTGGCGGAGAGCTTTTTCGTAGAAAAGTTCCAGTTGCTTTCGAATCTGAATTTATCAGGTCAAAAAAGGCTAATATTCTTCGCCTTACGTTTGGATGAGAGTTGACAAACTCGGCCTCCCAGAAGTCCTTTCTCTTCATCATCAAAAGGCACGTGACAAGCGTACCCCACGGATGAGGGGCCTGTAGCAGCACTCGCTCAAGCATAACACTAAATTGAATTAGACGACTATCAAGCTGATTGATCTTACCGAGATATCTGCTCGCGAACGGTAGCGCCAGACTCAGCGAAAAGATGGAGAATAACTTCCATAAAGTACCATGTATGAACGTTGGGGTATCGAAGCTGGTTAGCGATCGCGTTCAGGAACATGTATCGACCTTCGGTGTCCAAGCTGACTGCGAGGCTCTAGAATATTGCTTTAGATCCCAAGCCAAACGAATTGATGCAATACCTGGTAGATATCCATGAATGAGTTGTGGGCAACAGTGTCCGGATTTGGCGCTTGTTGCTAAAGAAGAACATTGATAGTCAGTTTTAATGCAATTTATTGTACCTTTCCGAGTATTTGAGCGATCGCTTGCTCACCAACAAAGATGACAACGGCGTTGATGACCAGGGTGTTCCACTTGGTGCCAGTTGTTCTTTGGTCTTCCTTGGTCTTCATCAGGTAGTTGACGAGATCAAGAGTGAGGAACTCGGTGTTTTGGCGGTCCTTGAGATAGCTCTCGAGTTTCTGCTTGAAGTCGTCTGGTTTGATCGAGTTCTAAGGAAATTAAGAAGGGCCTTTTGATTTTCTTACGAACCTCGTATTTCGTAAGAATTGATGGAGCTCGGTACATGTCTCCCATGAGCTTGAGCTTCTCGTGAACATCATTATCCAAGATAAGCTTCTGAGTATTGTACTGCGGATCATCAGCAATATGTTTGGGATACGCCGATAAGATAAGGTTCCTAAGCTGGATGCAGTTTGGCGGCACAATATCACAGAAAGCTGAACAAGTTTGGGTCAATTACAGAAGTAATTCTACGATCTTACCGTAATGATAAGAAAGAAGGAACTGTGGATAATCATGGAAGAGCACCAAGAGGAGGCGGAGCATGCCGTCGTAGAGCTGCTTGAAGGCGGGGCTCATCGTGCTTGGATTTCTAAGATGAGGCGCCATGAACTTGATCATGTCAGACAGAAGCTAAAGAAGCGGTTGAATAGAAGAGTCATTAAGAGTTTTTGGTATTACCTGGGCGTACATGGGCCATCCCTTCTTCTCTGGCGTGTGGCTCATCATTCTGCTGACATATGTTCGGTATCCGATGAGCTCGATCCAAGCGAAAACGAAACCAGGCGCTAATGGTAAAGTATAGAGCTGGTAATCGGGTTCACTTTTTACCTTTCGCTGGTCGAAGGTGATGGTAAGCTTGGGTGAAGGCTTGAAGAGTGTGCCAGTTGATAGAGACAAGAACTTCCTCAGGAGCACAGAGCTCGTAGAAGAGCATGATGAAAATACGCTGGAAGGGCATCTGATCAAAGTCCTTTCCACGCTGCTGCTGATGCTCGAGGCAAACACCGATAACAATTCCAAGAACCTGGTTCAACAAATTAACTTTCGTGCCTGAACGAAAAAATCAAAGCCGGAACAAGGGAAGCGCAGTGTTACCAGGGTTAGTTGTATCGCCGGAATGCTTGATAAGAAGGCAAACGAGCCTAACAAATGCATCAATTTGTTGATAGACATTGAGTCGCATTTTCATATCGTCGAGGTTAGAGGGGACATCAACACAAATTTCTGTACAGCAGCGGATAAATCTATAAAAATATCGGATTAGAAAAGCTTTTTAATGGCAAGACGTACCTTTTGATGCACTCGTCGGTCTTCAAAATGTGCGCTTCGTTGAGAATCGCAACATAAGCCGAGAAGCCTCTGGTCGAGTCTCGGCCGGCATCTCTTCCTGAGAAAATTTTGACCCACTGTTCCAGCAGTTGTCGAGCAGTATTATTTTTGAATTCAGCGCCTGCTTGGCGAAGGTCTTTCTTGGCTTCGGACATGCCAGATTGCATCATTTGTTGGGCAGTATTGCCGTTGGACATTTGGATTTTGAAGCGAGTGTTTTCAGCGTCGAGATATCTCGTTTTGAACTCTTGAAAAGAGTGATTAAAAATGGCCTTTGAAAATAAGTCTTTACCGTGAACTTTAGAACGAGTTTCTTCAGAAAGGGAGTTGAACGGGTGGCTGTTGAAGTTATTAACGATGATTGGAATCGTTTCCGCGAATTCCTGAACTAGCTCGTCGCCCTTGTTCGGCCCAGTTTGGGCTGGATTGGCCAGTAGTGATACCCACAAGTCTATGCAAAATTGAATGATTCGGTCCAAATACTGTCTTGGCGAAAGGGCTCCAAGCTTGAACATCGTGGCGTGCTGATCAAGGGTACATTTGGCGACTTGAATAATAGAGTGTTGAAGAAACTTGTCGTATTGGTCAGGTAGGACGATTTTGTTTAATAAAAGAAGCTTCATTTCTTCGGTGTATCGAGGGTCAAGGTAAAATGGATCTAAAAAGTGTTGAATAAACAGAACTCGTGTACTCCTTTTACCGATAATTCCAGTCGTTTGGGAAGAAGAAGCCTGAATATCCATGGAGTAAAGAACTCTGTTAGCGAACCAGTTGGGAGAGACTTCTTGGTCGAAGCTTGATTGCATTTCCCTAAGACAGAGCGCAAATAGCGAAGCAAAACTCTTCCAGTATCTATCCTCGTCACTGCCCGCATGGGGATCATGTGACTTTCGGAACGCAACGATGAAACAATAATGAAGATTTTTGATGAATTTCGTAGTCGACTCTAAGTCTCTCGTGGTAGCGGCAGTTTGAAGACCATCGGTGAGGGTTTGGAGCACTTGCATCATTCCGCGAATGTCGGCAGCCGGGATCGCAACGTCCTGACGCGGGATTTCGGCCATTTTGCTTTTGAAAGTTTCAAAATGCTTCTTGTATAAAGGCACAAGATTGCTGCTGAGCCAGGCTTGACTCGTTGGTCCTGAAGGATTCAGCTGCGGTTGAGCTGGCTGTCGCTGGTTGATCGACATCGGCGGGCTGGGGATAAAGCCTGGAACGTTGACGGCGAATTCTTCATACACACGAAGTTGCTCTTGCTTAACGCCTTGAGGAGTGAGACGGATCTGCTCGGGCATAACGGCGAGGTGATACTGTCGAATGTTCGACAAACTCTGGACAAATTGCCGCTCTAGGCCTGGATCAGTACGACATCGTTGACGCGTTCGGATTTCAGGCAAAAGTCGTTGTTCTACTTTTCTTATAGCTTGGTGCGAGGTGCGTTTTTGAATGAAACAGATAAACAGCTCGATGTTGTCCTCAACGAGGATCTTTGCGTTTTCATTGATGATTTCATCTGGCGTCGAGACAAGCTTCTGCTTGATCAGCTCCTGTAGTCTGTCTTGGATGTTACGGGCGAAGCCGATTTCTTTATTCGCAAGCGAGTTCATAGACATACCAGCAGCCAGGTATCTGCTCAAGTAATTCGCGCACGAGGACATCAAGTGATCATCGATTTCAAGAGCAAAGTCCTTCTTGATAAGAGCCTCAGTAGCAATGGCAGCGATTTGCGAATTCCTGTCGATTTGACGTTCGATAAGATCACACAAGGGCTGTTGCTCGAGGAAACACTGCGAGAACGCTTTGGCGAGAAGGAAGAGCTTGACTTGTTGAGAGCCGCCGAGAGCCTGGACGATTGGCAAGTTTTCTCTGACCTTGAGGTAAGGAAGAAGAGTGTTCATATCGTCTGTCGACACGTCAATCTTGTCGTAATAGAACTGTGGCGTGTAAGATGGCAAAGGAGGCTGCTCCATTGATGTTTGCGAGGGCATTCGCTGCGGCTGGGGAGGATGGATGTTACCCATGCTGCTAGGGATACTGCGTGGATCGACAGGGGTCGTAGCAATCGGAACCTGGAGACCAGCGTCTTTGTTCACGCTCAACTGAGACTTGTAACGAGGAGACATGATTGTCTCCATCATTTCTTTGCTCTGGAGGACGCTTTCGTGCGCTAGTATTTCAAAGTGCTCCATCGACAATTTCTGCTCTTTCAACAACAGCTCGACCTCGAATTTGACCATTTCCATGGCATCAGGGTCCTTGCAGAGCTCGATAAGGGTGCACATGACACCTCGGGTCCAAGCGTTACCGGTGGCGATGAGTTTCGGCTCTTGACGATGCTCTTGGACGGTTTCGACGCGAAGGGCGAAGACTTCCGACTTTTTCGTCGATTCAATCACTTTGGCGACGAAAGGGACGACAAACTTGAGCTCGACATTTGAGTTTGGACTTCCTCGACGTTTTCGAAGGTGAGCTTCGAGCAGAAGTAGCTTGAAGTCGATCTCATCGGCAATAATGGGACGGTTTCTTTCGATGGTTATTAGGCCTAAGAAGCGACCCATGTATTTCAGTCGTTTTCTTGAGTCCATGTCTCCGGATTGCTTCTCCTGTTGAAGCAAAGCCTTGATTCCGGCAACTAAATCAGTTCGAACAGTCTGCGTGAACGGAGGATCGATAGCAGTCTTTTCCGAAAGCGCTTCGGTGAGCTCGGCATAGAGTCCAAGGAAATTCTCCTCCTTGAGGATTCGCTCCTTGATCATATAAGTTCCAAACCATCTGTAGAAGCCTGGATTATCGTCGAGCAGACGACGCACCTCATTCGCCTTTTCTTTGACATTGTTTGGGCTCATGTTGTTGATGATAAACTTGATCTTGTCGGACACATCGTTGGGTGGATGGCGCACATCTGCCAAGGCAGCGCATTCCTTCATAAAATATTAAATTTTCCGTGATTTAAAAAAACTGTTGCGCGCGTTCTATTTTTTGACTGTAAATCTGGGAGTGTTCAGCGGGGGCTGGGCTAAAGGGGATACGATTTCGATCATCGACTCGACTCGGAGGACCGACGGCGTGGGCGGGCGCGGCCAATTACGGACTCAAAATAGAAGGTGCGCGAAAACTAACTTACGAACCGGTCGGTTAAAACTTAAGGATAGCGTAACAATTGTTTCATAATGGATTACTGACCTTGATTCTTGCGATCATAGACGGCGGCGTGATGCGTTTTCCCCGCCATTAGCAAATATTTCACGGACGACGCGGGCACAGAACTGCTGATAAATCGCTTTCTTGGCAAGCATCTCCTGTGCATTGCTCGATTTGAGGATGAAAATCTGAAGTGCAGTTTCACCAAAGAGCAGCATCTTGTCATTTCCTTTGAGGCCTTCTTTTAGCGCGTGATAAACATGATCCAAGAATTGCTTGAGGTCTCGCGCATCGTCCAAGATCTCGTCGGAGAGAATCTTTCCCCAAACTTTCGCGATGCATTCGACTTTATCCGTCGGGAACTGCGAGTAGTGTCGAAATTCTTTGATCAGCTGGCTGAGGATCATTTTGAATTCTTTTTGCTGATTCGGGTTCGTCTTCATTTGTTGGATCTGTCCAACGAGGTACTCTTCGGTGATCTTTCCGCTGAATAATTCGCGATAGAGGTTGTCCACAGATCTCATCAAAGGATCCATGACTTCTGCTTCTTCTTCAGGCATTTGCATTGGTCGCTGCATCGGGTTCGCAAGAGGCTGGCCGAGATTCGGAGCTGGTTGAAAGTTGAATCCTGCGTTGCTAACTGGCGGCTTTGGCATTCCAGGAAGAGCGCCAAAACTTGCTGGTGTCATCAAGCCCGTTGGATCTTGTGGTAATCCTTGAATGAAGCTCAAACCGGGAACTGACGAGGGTGGCACTCCAGAAACATTGGGTCGATTGAGATGAGGCAGTCCGATGTTCATTTCAGCTGGGTTGTAGCCGCCGATGTTGGGAGGCGAGGTCTGACCCATTACGCGAAGATTGGCTTCAGAGAAGGGCACACTTGGCGAAATCATTCTCGGCTCCATGCCCTGCGAGACGCCGGGTGGCTTGCTGCTCATTGAGCTCAGTTGCGAAAGAAATTCGCGAATGATTTCGATTTCTTTCGGCTGCTCCATTGGCGACATCGTATGCGCGCTGACCATGAGTCGGTATTGATTGAGCTCGCGCAGGAAGGTTACGTTTGAGGAGTAGTCCTCGAGCCACTTTTTGAAGTTCAGGTAATTATGCCGCGATGCTTGAATGGCGAGTTTAATGGCAAAGGCGAAATCGGCTTCGGACTGGACTTTGAGCAGAACCTGGAGCGCTTTGATCTCCTTGGCAATGTCGCAGACGCGTATTAGTGCCGCATCACTTTGGTTCTCCCGGTAGTACTTCTTGAGCGAGTGCACGAGAAGGTCTCTAATCTGAGGAACCTGCTCGCAGTTGGTCCAGATGAAAGTGATAATGGAGAGAGAATTCGGGTGTTGATTAACGACGTATTTATCCAGCAAGAGCTCGAGCAAATCCCGCCGCAGCGCAGACCAATGCACCTGGGCTTGCGCAAGAGCGAGGACGATCACATCTGGGCAGTAGTTGATTCCGTCGTGGATCAGTTCCTTGACGCGTTCTCGTACACTCGCGTCGTCGCCAAGGTTGAGCAGTGCCTGCATCAGATCAATGCTCTGCCAGCACTTGACTTTTGGATCATTGGCGTCTGGAAGGGTCTTCAGCGCAGATAGCTGCGCCTTGTTGCATTCGTAGATTCCGAAGGGGATAATATCTGGTGATAAGAGAGCTTGCTTGAGGAAGGAGAACTGGCCTTCGCGGTTGTTCCATCGCTGAAGAATGCGATCTACTGGAAAGGGTATCTTGTCATAAGGCACACTTTTGTCCCGTAAGTGCAGCCCGTACTTGATACAGCTCACCAGTAGATTGAGCGCGGGTTCGTTGTCAACTTTGAAACCAGGGAAGTCGAAGGACTGGACGACATCGTGCCAGTTGAAGTGGGGATCGCTTTGGTAGACGGCCTCCGCGAGAACTTCGGGATTCCAGCCCTAGATTTGAGAAATTGAGTTAAAAAGTTGAGAGATTTTACGGTCAGGAATAAACAGCCATTGGTACGTTCATTGTGCGCAACCGGTAAGTAGCCTGCTGCTTCACACGGTAATTAAAGTCCTCCTTCCGTGGTCAAGGAAGGGTTAGAATTAATACCGGACGGTAAAGGCCGTAAAAATCTTATGGTTATTTACCTTTGGGATGTCATTGGCAGAAAAGTCCCTTTCCAAGAAACTGGAGGTAATTGCAGGCTCAGAAGTTAGTCCAACAACAGTCTTTCCCATCACAAAAAGGGTCTTTGCGATTGCCGAGGGCGAGATCTTGTCGCCTTCCTTCGTCCATACTTTGGAGAGAACCTTCTTGCAATCGGCGACTGTCGATGTGGAGCCATAACCGACTTCACGGAACAGATCAGGAAGTTGATTTGCGTCCATTGGCTGGATGAGCTTCAGGAGATCGTCGGTTTCGTCTTGTTCGGTTTTGTATTGTTCGCTTGAAAAGATTTAACTAACATCGGTTTTTTAAGTGGGCGACTTACAAGTTGGGAATGAGAGGTCGATAGATAGTCGGAACAAAGGTGAATTGATTCACCAGGTGCTGGTAGAACTTGTCCTAAAGAGCAGTTGCACACGTGAGAAGAAGCAATTTTTTCTCACCTTTGTTTCTTCGTCGACTACTGATGGATTATTCCAAAGATATAGCAGTAATCCGTGTACGATGAGATCTAGGCCCTAGGATAAACGATTTTAGGGGCTTTATCAACTGTACGAATATTACTTGGAGGTTGTCTGTGGCACAAACGTCTTCCAAGACTTGCGGGAGAGTTTTTTGAATGAACTCTATTCCAGCGGCTCGTACTTCGGGCGATTTCGCTTTCGTGAGGCTTAGCGCAAGGGCAAGACTCTAGAATCAATAGCTAGATTTTCGTTGTCTGAGAGACACGCACCTGAGCGGATGATAGGCCTAGACCGTCGGTGATGAGCGGGAGTAGGTCTTTCGCAGCAGTTTGGTCCGCTGAAAAAGGGATGAGTGTGGATAAGAGGTTCTCTAGGTGGGGAAGTACCTGCGGTGACGAAAGCAGCGCGGCCGGACTCTGAGCTTAATAGCGATGCAAGTTCAGAGAGGACTGCTGGCTCGACCTAAAAACAAATAGACTTTGAGCCGACCGGTGGCTGCTATCTTACCGGGTGAGCAGACTTCTCCTGGAACTGGAGAAGAACTTTGAGCAAATGAACGGTCGCCTCCTGCCCTAACGATCTACAGAGTGAGCGTATCTCTTCTTCTAGTCTTTGTGGACTCTGAACATCTTTGTCAAAAGCTGCTTTCTCTGAGGCCTGTTTGTCTTTTTTTTCAATTTTTCAAAATTTTTCCTCGTAAGTTGGCGGCGACGGGGAAATCGCTGCCGCTGATTGCTCTTTTTGGTCTCGGTGGGCATTTTTTCTCTGTCACCCAAAAAGAGTGAAACCAACAACTCTCGAAAAGAGCCGGCCGCGGGGGTCTTCTAGAGAGATCCCGGACGCAAGTTCAGTTGAGCGGTGGGTATTTTTAAGATTTGCAATTCAACATGTGACCTGTTCTAGTGATTCTTTGCGTACCTTTTTCTGATGTTTACTTTCGACGAACTTTTTCAACTGGAAAAGATTCAAACTGAAACAGTCCAAGTTCATCCTAGCATCATAGGATGATTCTAGTGCTCTCTGAACGCAACAATTTAACTCATCTGAGGCCGCTCATCCAAACTTTCGGTCATTGAAAGTGAAAATCTATATTTCTCTACCTCCATTCGGGAAAATAACTGTTTAGGTAAAATATAGTTTGACAGAGATATTTTGGGAGGGAAGATAAACACGCTACAGTAGGGTTACATAACATGCATTAGTCAGCTATTCTAACTTCGATAGAACAAAAAAGATAGCAGAAAGAAGAAAGGGTAAGTTGATCTTGAAAAGGAGCGGAGCAAGTAAGTTTGAAATATAAATATTTACAGATAAATAAATAGTTAACTGTTAAATATAAGGATTGCACGTAGGTAATTTTTTGTTAATAATGAAGGTAAAATTGCATTATCAGGTTATCAGCTCGAAAATAGGTAAGTTAGTAAAGCTGTTAAAAATATATTGCACCATATTAATCAATTATTTATTAAATAATTATTATAACAACATCGCTTTCAGCCTCAAAAATTCAGGTATACCGAGGAGATCAGAAATAAGGTCTCTGACGGATAACTGTTATTGGTCCATAGTATCTAAGGCTCATTTTGGACCAGAAGTTTACCATCGATCGGTATATTATTTAAAAATAAATAGGCAACTGGATGAAAGATGTTTTATTGAAACCATTTAAAAATGAAAAATAAAATTATTACGAATACACGTGATAAGCCAGGAATCTTTATGAATTGGTCAGTTGTTTTCTATTTTTTGTTTGATTCCGAAGCTAGAATAATAAGGCCACAGAAGGTGGAAGACAGAACAGGAATTTTTGAATTGCAGAAGACGGTTTTGCAGACTGATTTTTTAGGGTTTTGAGTTTTACTCGACTGTCACCGATTTTGCGAGATTTCTCGGGAAATCGACCTGAAATGGAATGATTAATTTTGTATTTTCTGGGAAGAAGTTAGCTTACGTTGAGGCCTCTGAGCGTAGCTAAATGATAGGACATGAGTTGAAGCGGGATGATTGTGAGAATCCCCTTGAGACAGTCGACAATTGGAGGGATGGAGAGAATCTTGTTGCCGAATCGGCTCAAGTCTTTGGTCAGACTCTCTTCGCAAATAAATACTGGCTTGCCCTAATAATGGTTTTATTTTTGCCTATTCCCGATTTTGCTCGAGGCTTACATTTCTGGCTGTGACTTGTTGGACGGCGTTGAGGCACTTTTCGTAGGTGTGGTCCTTGACGACAATCATCATTACAGGCATTGTATCGTCGATGAGCGCAAGTGGACCGTGTTTCAACTCGCCAGAAAGAATTCCTTCCGAATGCATGTACGTGATTTCTTTAATTTTCTAAAATGAGGATGATTATCAATGAATTCTCTTTCAACATGCGACTTACAAGGGCACCCTCCATACAAGTGGCGTAGTTGTACCCTCTTCCCATCACCAAGATTGATTTGTTGTCCTTCATCTCTTTTGCCAGTTCCTTGATTTCGTTGTCTAACTCGAGTACCTTCTTGATCTTTTCCGGCAGCTCTCGAAGCCCCTCGAGGATCTCCATGTATCTGTCGCGCTTGGAAAACCTGTCTTCGGACATCATCAGGGCGAACATCACCAGAGCGACGAACTGACTCGTGTAGGCTTTTGTCGAGGCGACGCCGATTTCCGGACCGGCATTGATGTGAACGCCGCAATCGGTCTCACGGGAGATGGAGCTGCCGACAGTGTTGGTGATTCCTACCGTCAAAGCACCACGGGACTTGCAGTAACTGAAATGATAGAAGTGGAGTGAAGATAAGGTAAGGAGCAGACGTACCGGAGTGCCATGAGAGTGTCAGCAGTTTCGCCAGACTGAGAGATGAAGAAGCAAACGTCATCTCTGAAGATGGGCGTTTGTCGGTCCAAGAAATCAGAAGCAAGCTCGACCATCACCGGAAGCTCGGTCATTTCCTCGAGCAGCTGCCGGGTGGCGATGCCCGAGTGGAAAGAGGTTCCACAGGCGATAAGAATGATACGACGGCATCGTTTCAGCTCAGCGATGTGGTCCACAAGGCCGCCCAATACGACGCGTTCCTAGAATTTTGAGTTGAGAATGAAGCAATATTATGTAAAACTCAAGCCAATGTATCAAACGATAATTTGGCGAGTTTCTTAGTAATTAATTGAAAGTCTAATTGAGGAGGACTAAATGATTGCGGTAAATTAAATCATAAGTGCCAGCTCCATTCGGGATGGGTTTTTTACCGAGTTAGAATCCTTGTCGTCGCCCTAGTTGAACTTGTGTTAATAAGCGTTAAAAATACAATAAAGCAATAAAAGAAATCTTTCTCTAAAAACCTTTTCGAAGGACACTCGTCCTCGCATCGTATTCACGACGGATTCGGGCTGCTCAAAGATCTCTTTCTGCATGAAGCTGTCGTACGATCCTTTCATAATCTGCTGAAGCTCGAGCTCGATTTTGCTGATGTTACGCTGAATTAAACTTGAATGGAGAGCGATTACGAGTTAAGTACGAACCTGTGTATCGTTTACACTGGATGACGAGCGCACTCTGTGGAGTGAGAGACCACCATCGACAACGGATGCCACGTCGTCGTCTTCAAGGTAGATGACTCTGTTTGTGTGCTCAATAATGGCGCTAAAAAGGAGTTAGAAAAGCGCCACTTTTGTCCTATCATTTATTGAGTGTAGGAAGGGTAGGATTATTACCTAGCGTCGGAGGCAAAAAAGTACTCAATATCAGTCTCCATTCCTTCAGCGAAGAGGGTCATCGAGGAGTTTCGTCTTGGACCCAAAGATTTTCCGGATTCTTTTGTGTTGGCTGAAATGACAGTTCAATTAGAGCAACAAATGTTTCATCAAAAATAATTTTAGACCCTAATAATCAAATGGGCATTTTATAAGTGATTTGAAATTCATTTCAAGCATATTCGTGCGTAGTAAAAAAGTGAAAAACCCAAATTAATTTTTTTGCAAATTACAATTAAAAATGTTGTCGCTGGAATTACGAGTAATGAGTTTTCGTTGTTTCGGATCTTTTCCGATTGGAAGCTGGAATCTGGAGACTTTTGAAAACGAGTTAATATAGAGCGATAGGAAAACATGGTTAGGAAGCAATAAGCAACTGTAGGAGTCGTTAACTCCTTAGGAGTTACTCCTAGCTATCGGTATATTTTGACGTTTTTCGTACCTGCGGAGTACATGATAGGAATATGGTCGCAATTGAGCTTGGAGCTTGAGCTGATTCCGATGAGCAAGGGCGATCCTCGTCGAGTAGCAATCACCTCCCCTGGGAACAAGTGGGACTGAAAATTTCAGCTCGATTTGCGATTAATTTTTAATGCTGCTCACCTTGACGCAAATAGCGTAGGCACCTTCGAGCTGCTGAGCACATCTGGTGACGAGTTGGAGGAAAGTGAGCTGCTCGTCGCCTTTTGTGTCCCACAAGTATTTGAGAAGAACAGGAATGCACTCGGTATCAGTGTCGGACTCGAATTGGTAACCGTTCTTTTCCAAAAAGCACTAAAAATGAGGTTAACGCTGATGACGCACGCAAATGAGAGTGACCTTGAGAGGATAGTAGTTGGTCAGGATTCCATTGTGCACAACGACAAAATCGTTGTTTGAAGAGCGCTGTGGGTGCGAGTTGAGTTCGCTTGGGGGACCGTGCGTGGCCCATCGCGTGTGCCCGATGCCGCAGTGGTTGTTCAGCACCTCGTCCATATCCGTGTCCATCGCAAACGTGGCATCTTCAAGCGCCTTCACTTTGCCGGGCATTTTGCAGAGCTGCGTCTTTCGGGAGCCATCAGCTTCATCCGCTGATCCGTCAAAAGCAAGACCTAAAGAAGGACTCTTTATAATTTTTATTCTAGATTAACGAGAGTTTATTAAAACTAAAAAAACTCACCTGCAGAGTCGTAGCCTCTGTATTCCATTCGTTTGAGAGCATTGACCAGCGTCTGGAGAATTTCTCTTCTCGTCTTCGGCGAGTTGAAATTCAAATATCCGAAAATTCCACACATCCTGGCCCGGCGATTACTTTTATTTTATCTGAAAAAACTCTTTTGTCTTCAAAATTTCTTCACGTTCAGACGGCGTTTCGGCGAAATTCCGACTTCGCCTCCGGTTAAAAACAAAAGGCTGACAACTCAATTATCTCAGCGTTCTTTGGTGCATTCACCTGCAATTAAAATTACAGCCAAAAATAACCTGGGTTGGAATAAAAACGATGAAAAAGCTGACTGATTCCTTGCCCAAAAAATGATGCTTTACGACTCCGAAAGTTTTATAGATTTCTACAGCTCAAACTCAACGCGCTTTGTTTCAAGAATTTTTGGCTTATTGCCACAAGAACAAAGCTACCAATTTCAGACTCAAGAATTCAAAAACAACAAAAAAGTTTCAGAATTACAAAATCGTAAAAAAGAAATGACTTACAATTGAATTTGGTAAATGAAAACCAGGTAAGTTGATGAAGCTAACTGAAGAAAATCTCTGTTGGCACTTTACGAAAACGATAAAGATTTACGAATCTAGAAAAACGTGGTAACTTTGAATCTGATGGTATTATTAACTTGTTTCGTTGAGCAGTTTTTGGACCCGTTCAGAATGTCTTCAAGCGATGCTTGTTCAAATAAATCGCAAAGTTCCATTTACGTGAACATAAAAAAGAAAGAAGCTCGTGAGCTCTTCGTAAATATTGAACTTAGAACGGGTGTTTTGATTTTGATTCCGTTCGCAAAAATACATCCTCAGTACCAAAGTTCTAATAAACGACCAACAACCTCAGCATTTTTTAATTCAAAAATTTTATTTGTAAAAGATAGGTTTTAAAATTTGATTTCAGGATAGCAAAATTCTAAATTTAAAGAAAAAAAAAGAAACGGAAAGTAATTTCTAAGTTCGCGGTTTTTAATCTAATGTTGAGTAGATTATTGATGAGAGAGCCTTAATTATTTCTGGATTCACCTTTTATCAGCTCATTTTTGGATAATTAAAAGCCATTCTTGTTAAAAGGCGGCGTTGGGCATTTTTGTCAATATTGTTCGATTAGACATACTTGTATGCTAAGCCTAGTGATCATATGGTACGTCTCGTTCGGAGGAAATAATTTTGCTCCGGGGCTGGTGCCCAGGGGAGTTCAGCGCTCGCGGAGGCGTAGAACGTAGTGCGCCTGGAAGAACTGTCGGACATATTTTTTGCCAAAAGCGCGAGCACCGATCGATCGACCCCGCTCGGGCCGGATAATTTTTTTGTCGATGAGCACCGTTACAGATAGAAGCAGTAGCACCCCGCTGCTCGTACAGAGAGAGATTACAGAAGCATCCGGGGATTTGAGCCAGAGCTTGGATTCAAATCTAATGACCAAAGATTTACAGACAGAGAAGCTTATCCTCGTGGTTTATTCAATTATCGAGCTGGTCGGAATTATTGGCAACCTTTATGTGATTATTTGGAGCTTAGTTGGCTCAAAAAAGGTTTGAAGGAGAATCAAATTGAATCCCCCTTGATAAAACAATTAAGACTCTTACAAAACACCTGTTGGGAAATGTAGCATGTGCGCATCTAATATATTTGCTATGTGTGCCAACGTTACGAAACTGGAAGATGTTCACAGTTGTTTTTCCAAAAGCAGATGTGGAACTTCCTTTTTCCCCGTGTGATTACGTAGCTCCAGTTGAGGTAAGTCTAACTATTTAAAATTTAAAGCCATCCAGCTCATTTAAAATTAAATTCAACGAGGAGAGGTTGAATCCAACGCTGATTCTGATCAAATAAAGGTTAAAAAATGACGATCATAATAATCATCATCGTTCTCAAAATCATGATGATTGGACTTGTTTTATTGGAAATTAATTATGCAGCGGACAGATGCAATAAATTGATTATTAAGACGCTCACGGTTTCGGTAGTGGTGCTGTCCTTCTACGCTCTTGGCATTGAACGGTTCAACTCGGCCTCAAGAATTAATAAACCCTATTCGTCGGTCCCCAGTCATGTTATTGGAAGGCTGCTGGTCATTTGGCTCTCCTCCATTCTACTGGCGACGCCTGATATACTTCTGTTAGGGGTGCGCAAATTAACGCTTAATTGATCTTATTTTTAATAGAAATGAACGGCGTTTACTTACAAAATAAGTAACTCGCTAGAAATAATATGCAAGCCCTGAAAAAGCAAGACTCAAAAGTACCCTCGATTCGATGTGCGGACAAACTTTTCGCGAACCCAGAGCTGAGCACCTCCTTGCCGTGGCTCTACAAATTCACTGCCCTGTACAAAAGCAGTAGATTACTGTGGATGATGACCTTTTTCTTCCTAATGCCAGTTATTTTCACCGCTCTTGGAGCAGTTGTGATTGCACTGAAAAGTGCACAGTACAAATATCACGGGCCAGCTGGCCGGCTCAAGGCCAGAGACGAGCGACGCATGAATGCGCTAGTCATTGCCATCTACGTCGGCTTCATTTTATGCTGGATACCGCACTACTGCTACGAGGTACAAAGTGAACTCTTCCTTGATTTCTTATTTATGAGTGAATTAGCTAATACGCGAGTTTGGAACTGACCAGGGCCGCGGTATACTCGGCAGCTTCTTAAGAATCTTTGCTGACATGAGATATTATTTCTGCGCCTTTGGGACAGCCATAAATCCGATTCTACTGGGACTTGCTGGGCCCGGTTTTTGGTGCAGCGACTCAAAGGACTCATCTCAAAAAGAACCTCTTCTCGGTCAAAAAAGCGACCGCCTGTAAAAAATCTTTCACAGCCTTCTTCTTTTTCTATAAATAATGCAACGTTCGATAATTATTAAGCCTAATTTATTAGTCACTTGCATTAGCCGACTTCAGCTCAAGCAGAACAGCGGACAGGTCAAATACAGTGAGCACCCATAAGTATAATTAAAAGAAAAGGGGCAAGAGTCCGGTTTCAGACTGTTGAGATCCCTCTGCGGATTAACCTCCCGAGCAGGTTTTTTTATTCGCGCGAAGGTACTGCCCGGACGGTTCTTACCGGCGAGGGAGCTCAAGAAGCCGGACTCAAGCAAGATGGTCAACACCAGCACGGCTAGCCGACGCAAAACCCATCCCTACCTCGCTCGCACACTCCTTACTGAGTTTATTTCTTTACTTTGATAATTGTGGTGCATTTGAGCGGCGGTGCACGAGAGAGGGCGTAATGAGGTTTGCGGCCCGACAATTTGAGTACTCGACCAAGGCTCGACTGGATCGCACGGCGAGCACCTAGAATCACTAGAATCCGGCGCTCGATGCTTCTTTCCAGGGCCGTTCAGTTGTTGCGAGGCTCATTAGACGTGCTGGTCGAGGGGAAGAATGGATAAAAGAGAGAGGGAGAGATTGAACAAATTCAGAATTCGAAAATGGACTAATGATGAGCTAGGAGAGCGGTACACATTTGGTACACGTGGTGGTAGTAGAGAGCAAACAGAATTGTCGAGATAGGAGTGATAATTTCAGGTCGAGGACGGTTACATTCTAGCCTAGATCATCTAAGCAGTGACGCCAGCATCAGCAGCGGCTTTCTTGGCAGCCTTCTTCTTCTTCTTTTTGTTGCTCTTTCGGCTCACTGACGATGCCAAGAGAGTCTGAAGGAGGCAAATTTAGAAACTTCTATGGAAGCAAAGTTGTTACCTTGATTTCTTCGCACTCGATCTTGAACTCAGATTCGTACTGGGAAGGATCGAAGGGAAGGCCAGTGATCTTCAATGGACCGTTGGGCATGAGAAGCGTCGTGAATTTGAATTGAGTGACGACGTCCTTTTCTTGCTCGAACTAAGAGAGATTGTGAGTTGGTGGTGTGATAATAATGAACTTACGAGGACGGGGAAGGGAGTGATGAGACCGTGGTTGACGCACTCGTTGATGCCCATCTTGGCCTTCTTCTCGTCGTCGAGAGCTCGGAGGTTAAAGCACATAGCGTCGAACTTCTTTTCGACCTCGGAGAAGATAGCTGAAGAACATGATAAATTCGGCTTTTGGAGCCTTTACTCACCTCGAGAAGCCTTCATTTTGAGCTGGTAAACCTGGTCTGGTTCTCGCTTGTAGATAGTAGTTCGGACATCCATATCACGGGATTTACCGTCACCAGTGGAAATCAACATATCGATAGCGTAAACTTCGTTGACGGCGAACTCGCACTAGAATTCACTTTTAGATAGGAGGAAACAGAACCTTATCGACATCGATTTTGACATTTACGCGAGCAACATAAACATGCGACAAAATCGCGCATGTTTACCTCTGATGAGCTTTTAAAAATTGGAAATCGGAGTGGATGCTTCAAAATTTTTTGTGTATTTTGTGAGGAAGGAATTTTGAAGACTTACCTTTTCGTGTTCAAGTCGCTGCTTCTCAGTTGGGTTCTGGATGATGGTCTTCTTTCCGTCGATGGTGTCCTTCTCCATCTGGTACGAGAGCATACCTTCGACGGCGCGGCAGTTGTATGATTCGGAGATTTTGGAGACAACATCGGTGACTTCGTTGTTCTTGAAGAAAAGTTAATAGGCTCCTTTCGAAATTTGAATACTCACTTCTTTGCCTGGTCGAACGAGTCGGAGAGCGGCTTCAGCGCAGTAGTGGGCAGCAAGAAGAGCATCAACAGCTCGTCCCTTCTTAGCGTCACCGAGGATAACGGTGTGGGCGACGACAGCGATGTATCCGTCGACGTGGACACCAAGATCGAGCTTGACGACATCGCCGTCCTTCATGATGACGTCCTTCTGAACGGAAGAGAGAGGAGCGTAGTGGCAAATGCAGTGGTTGACGTTGGCCTGGGTGGGGAAGGCAACACCCTTGGTCATGTCCTTCTCTTTCTTGTAGATTTTGTCGGTCTCCTGGACGATCAAGTCGTCTCCGTATTTGCAGATCTCGAGGGCGCTCACTCCGACCTTGGTCTTCTCGATGAGGAGGGCGAGGACTCTGAAAAGAGGGAACGTTCAAAATGGAAAATTTACTAGTGGGGCTTACCGGTTGGCGATTTCGCCGGCCATCTTGTACTTGGTGACGACCAAGTCATTGGCGATGGTGATTTCAGTATCCGATTCGGAGTCAGACATTTTTGGCTTGTGAGATTCTGAAAAGAAAAAGGTCAGTTGCGATTTTGAATTTGGTAAATTGGAATTGTGAGGTGTGATAAAGGGCAGTGATAGAAAAATGATTTCTAGTGAGAAATGAAAAGTTCTTCATTCTTTGAAAACTCGGTTGAGGAGTTTGGTGAAGATTTTGACGGAGTGCTTCATTTCTCCGTGGTAGTACTTCTTGGACAAGTCTCCTTCTTGCTTCTCGATCACTTTTACGAGCTCTTCATCGTTTTTTCGGAGGCTGAAAACGGTCGGAACAGCTTCTGGATCGAACTGGTCCACTTCTTTGGAAGTGAAAGGGACGCAAACTAAAATGATGTTAGAGAAAGATTATAAGAAAGATGTCCTACCTTTTCCAGTCTTCGGATGGACGGAAAACGGTGCCTTGAGCAAGTGATTGAATCCCTCCGTGACTTTGATATCAATCCTTGGGTAGGTCACCGCCAGCTTGATTCGCTCGATGAAAAGTCGGTCTTTGTACTTTTTCGTATGCGCTTCTCTTTTCTTCTGCTCAAGAACGCTCCAGCGCTCCATCGTGCTGCCATATCTGAGCATATGTTCCTTCCATTCATCTCTTACCGACTCGTCCATTTTCACGTATTTCAGGATTTTGTCGACTTGTTCTTCTGAACCAAGCAAATCTAAAAATTTTCTCTGTCAATTTCTTTTGTGAAAAAAAATTTTACCTTGAGATTCGAGATAGGCATCCCAGTACTCGTCGGTGATCTTGAGCGAGTTTTGGATGTGTGTGTGGAGTCTGTGAGAAGTGCCAATCTGTTGCGCCGTGACCTGGCAATAGTGAGCCAGTGCAAACCGCTCCGGCCCGTTTAGCTTTCGTGCTGCCTCGTCAAACACCCAGCAATGGATTCCTCTTCGCCCCGAAAACACTATATTTTCTCATTAGTTGTCGGAAAAGAAAAAGCGCGGCTGCGATTTTCCGCGATTTTCGATGTCAGTGCCCAGTTTGCCGACTGACGGACGTAGGAGTTGTAAACCACCCTGGGGCGCAGGTATCAATGCATTCACTTCCGAAATAATGAACTGGGAAAAATAATCTTACCGAAGAGTAATTTGTCGTAGCCAAAAGTCTTCTTCATCGTTTGCTCCAAGACCTTGACGCAAATCGACATCAGGGGCCAACATTTCTTGCAGATTCGCGCTTCCTGACAGCAGGTTCTCACATCGTCGTAATCCGAAATATCAATATCGAAAACGAGCTGAAAGATGAATTTAATTTCGCGGCTTTCGATAAAAGTTCCTTCAGAACGCTTTCTACACAGGTTGCTTTTTTTCAAGCGCATATGAAAAGATTTCTCTACCTCTCGTTGCTCTTCTTTGAAATCCGGAGACAAGCGATGTTTACAGCTGTAATTGTAGATGGCTCCAATATCGATCTAAGGGGAGGGAAGAGTAAGTAAGAGTCACATACAAACAAACAGAGTAGCGGCTCAAGGTCAATTTTCAATCTTACCTTTTCTGGTTTGGTCTTGATAAACGCTTGATGCAGTTCTTCCTTGCTCGTGAAGCTTCGGAATCGAGTGTAAACGTCGTCCTTGAGGGTGAAACTGAATTCTCGTCGGCTCAGGGTCTCGTCGTTTCGGTAACCCAACCATTCGATAAATGGGTCCAGGGGAAAGTACTAAAATTTCGTTTTACTGAAAGAAAATCTACATTTTTGTAATTTTGATTTAATTGATACTTTAACAAAAATGACGAGAAAATCGAAAAAAAAGAGGAGTTTCGAACAAAAATTCAAAATTTCTAGCGCTAAATCGCCATTTTCTCTTACCTCCTTATAGTAACTCGATAAGATCTCTTCTGAAACTGCAATTTCATCGACTGCGATAACGCCAACCATTATGAAATCTCTGCCTGAGCTCCCCGAAGGTGAAAAACACGGTTACACGACGTTTTCAGCATACCGACGTTTTCAGCAACCGACATTTTCAGCGTAACGACATTTTCAGCGCCGCTGAATTCGTCGGTTTGCTGAAAACGTCGGTTTGGCCAATTTTAATAAGGAGTAGAAATTTCAAATCCTAAGCCCCCCTTTTTATTGTCTGATTGGAATCCCCATAAAAAGTTACACTAGAAAACATTAGGTAAAGTGACTTAGTCATAGATTATGACGTCATTATCGATGACTAAAGTCCCAGATTTTCTAAACTTTCGGACGCTCTTATTCCTAAAATATTTTTCGGAAAAAACATTAGATACAGGGTTTTGACCGTCTTAGGCCACTCTACGCAGGCAACCAAAAATGAAAAAAATTTGAGTCGAAAAAATTTTTACATCTCTAGAAAAAATAGTTTTACATTATTGATAAGATTTTTTTTGCAGGCCTGCATAAAGGAGCGTAAGACGATCATTTTTCATCTTCGAGCTCTAATTTTCCTTCAGTAGAATAAAAATGAGAGCGTCCGAAAGTTTTGGGACTTTTGGAACTTCAATCAATGTCTGTGACGTCATCGGACATGACTCAGCATACAAGACTACTTTTTCTGGAATAACTTTTCATGCTCTTTCCAATGAGCTAAAATAAGGGGGGTTTTTGGTTTTAAGTTTTCAACTTCTTATTGAAATTGGCCTTTGCTGAAAACGTCGTTTTTCACCTGAAAACGCGTGGGTGTTTGCCGTGACGAAATTTTCTAACCAAATGGATCTAAAGGCGACGTTCTCGCAATTTAATTGGCTAATTAAAAGTTTAAAGCATTTCTAAATGAGTCATGAAAAATGCATTATTTAGAAAAAGTAATACGAATAAGCGAAATATCTTTCTTAATACATAATTATCATAATAATTATAATCACCAGTATGTTAAAAGTATTAACTTATTATTCAGATTCGTGAATATGTTTTTAAAACATTGAAAATAATGATAAATCAATATTGAAAAAGATAAAAATAATAATTTTATCAAATACAATCTTTTGTAACTGAGTCAGTTAAACTGACTCATTAATATTACATCGATTTTATGTTATTTTACGATTCACGGAAATATCTTTTTCAGATGAAGTTTGATAAAATGGTTGCCTCTCTAAACGCCCACGCGTTTTCAGGTGAAAAACGACGTTTTCAGCAAACCGACGTTTTCAGCAAACCGACGAATTCAGCGGCGCTGAAAGTGTCGTTATGCTGAAAACGTCGATTGCTGAAAACGTCGGTATGCTGAAAACGTCGTGTAACCGAAAAACACGCAGTTTTGTTGGAAAGAAAAAGTTTGTGAGTGACCAAGAGCAGCCAATCAGGGCGCTCGAATCGTCATGGAAATCTTTGTCTTTTATTGTTGGAATTAACCGCCGGAGGAAATGACATTTTACCGTGAAATTATGTTAACTAAACAAATAATTAACAAAATATACGCGCAGTTGTTGTTGGTAGTATTTTTCATAAATGCAATAAAATAATTTTTTCCGACTTATCTGATTCAAGAGTCCTCAAAATTGTCGGTTTTTTCAGCTTAGCTCAAATCCCTAGCCTAGCTCAGCTAGCTTTGTACAGCTTAGCGAACCTTGCAAGCTCAGCAGCTCGGCAGCTGAGCCCGATCTTAGCTAACCTTAAGGTGGACTTTCAATTTAATCTGCCAAGGGTGCACCTTAATTTCCACCTGATTGTCCCAATCTAGTACTTTAACAACTTTTTAGAATCCTCTCGACGAGATATTTTTATTTATCGAGCAAAAAATTAAAAAACTAGAATCGTTTGGAACTTATAGGGACTTGAATAATGCATTAGAAATCACAAAAACCGATAAATATCCGATAAAAAGTCCGAAATTCAAAAATCGGCTTCCATATGGGAAAAGAGCAGCTAAAGACGATTCTAAAAAGGTATGATACTTGGGGGGTCTAATGGAAACTTTTTCCGGAAATCGAAAAGCAAATCTGGCAGATTAAATTGAAAGTCCACCTTAGTTCTTATAACAAAGATTCAGCTCGGCTTAGGTTAGCTAAGCTAAAAATAAATACGGCCAGCTAAGCTGAGCTTATTTTTTTCCACAGCTTAGCTGGCATGGAATTTGAAATTCTGATTTTTTCAAGCTAATACTTTATTGAATGATATTTATTTCGTTTGCTTTAATACGAATAATGCGAATAATAAGATTTCAGACTGAAGTAAAGAATTAATAGTCAAGATCTTTGATTGCTCAAAACTTCTAAGTAGCTGAACGAGTCGCGCGTTTCGTTAGAATCTCCTCGAATGTCCACTGCTCCATTCTTTGAGGAGAAATCTGTTTTCTTTTTCTACTCAATGGAACTTACGCGGCCGATGTTTCGAAGAGTTGGGCGCGGATTTCGATTCTCGTTGATGTTGATCGTGATCGAGGAGTTGTTCGAGATGATCATTCCTCCTGAGTGCGCTTCTGGGTAGACATTTCGGTAATATCTTAAAATCCTTTACTTCTTTCATTTTTTATTTGCTTTTAAACCGAAGATAGGGAGATGGGGGTCGGGAACTGTTCGCTTCATCAATTGAAATGTCGTTCAAATTTACTGAAAACGCCCGTTTGAAATCAAGGAAGAAAACTAAACATACAGGAAAGACGTTCGGTTCGAAGCGGCTCAGGTTGATCAAAGTCTTGTGATTGATAAGAAGAACTTGGTGGAGCTGATTCCAATTTTTCGAATGGTTTTGGCTCATTTCTTATAACTGTAGCAGGCGATTTGGATGACTCCTTATTTTTATTCTCATTCTTTATTTTCTCAATTTCTTCATCGTTGAGGCCATCAGTCGAGCCCTAAATGACGATTGTTTTATTTTTAAGACCATCTACGAAGACCTCTACCAGAATGGCAGTAGTTTTGAGAAACGTGGTCAATGCTGGTTTGATGAGGCCAATTGTTGTTAGACTTCTACGAGTAGCCTTTGCTATTCGTCGTCGATTTTTCCATCCTGAGCGTGTTCCTGCAAGCAGACACTCGCACATTTCGAGAAATGAGACTGAAATCAACGATGAAAATCAGCCAAAAACAGTGTTTTACCGAAAGAAACTCCTAGTACCAGGCTCATGGCTCCGCCAACATCTGATAGATACTTGTAAATATCGTAGTCTGCTGTTTCTTGATGCTGATATTCCTGAAAATGACGAATTAAGAAGGAAGTCTTTGAACTCAACTTACGTAAGGATCTGGCAGGGAAATTCTAGCAGAAGCGAGCTCAATGTCCGGAAATCGCTTGAGCATTTTCGCAGTCTTATTTCGGAAGTTCTGGTGAATCTCCGTGTAATACACCGTCTTTTGATAGTACAACTCTGAGCATTGAGTTTGGCACACACAGTTTGCGTAGTCAAAGTCCTTCAACTGCTTGGAAACACAATTTACGTGCTGCGAAAAGGTGCACATGGGAATTCCCTCTTTGATTGGAAAATAAGGAGGGCCACATTTGCACTCCTCGAAGATCGCATCGATGAGGCATTCCAAGTGGCAGTTCTTCTTCGTGTAGCTCTTGAAGTATTTCAGATGCTCGTCCGAGATGTTGTGGCAGATTGTGTATGGAGAGCCAAGTTTGATATTTCGATGTTGTTGGAGAAGCAAAACCGGTACTATCCGAGAATTGACTGTAACAGACGTCATCGGGTCCAGCACAAGTTCCCCTTTTGGCGTGTAAAAGATGGAGAACCCGTCCATCATATAATTCCATCCGTAAGTCCAGTCAGTCTTGTTGTACGCCAGAACAATTTGTAGCGACCTCATTGATGAAACACTTTTCTTTTCCCGTTTTGGCGGGTAAAAACGCTGACAAATCCCGTACATGGTCAGTTCTTCGTGCCACTGGGTTCGGCAATTGTCTTTTCTGTACTTGCATAAAATTATCAGATAGTTGTTTTTCGTCGCTTTGAAAAACTCGCCGAGGTTGATGTTGTCCAAATCACTGTAGTTCGCATGAGGTCTTCGGAAACAGAAATCTCAAACTTTTTCAAATAAAATTTTTTATAAAGAAGAAAATAATCCGAGAAAAGAATTTACAAAGATGATTTGAGAGCTCTTAATTATTTCCATAGAAATCCATCAAGCCAGATTTGTCATTTTCTTCTTTGCCTAAGCTTTCCATCCCCAATTCAGGGTAATATGCTTTCGTTTTGTATCTTTAGAGTGATTTAGACAGGAAGCTAATAATTTAACTAAGTACTGATAAAAGAGTGTTCTATCTTGTCTCATTTCTTGAGTGCATCGAGTTGAGACAAATCGTCACTACTGGAAATTTATCCTTTTCATCAGACATTTTCTCCTTCATCGAATAAGGGTATTCAAAGTAGAGCTTCGTGACACTGCAAACATGGTAGACTGCGATAACATTTCCAAATATAAAAAAGCAAGCCCATAAAAGTCTCCTGCAAGCGTTTATTTTTCGCCCGAAGATGTACTTGAGCCAGCCGCACGAAGTTTTATTGTAATCATAAAAGCTGTAAAAAGGTTTTTTCTCGCCTTCCATTTTTTTTCCTCTTGAAGCGAATTTTTAATGGCAGGGGCAGATTATATCCCTTTTCGATGTTCTCTGCCATGTCTTCATCATTCATTAACATTTTCAATCGAGATTCAGTCAGTTTCGAGGTTTATTGAATCTAAGAAGTTTTATTGAATACGTGGATATTATCGTAAATGACAAGATCAAGGCCGAGATTTCTACAATAGACTCTGTTCTCTTCGTAGTTCAGCAAATCGCCATAAACTCCGATGACCAAGTTCCTGTCGCGAATATCCTTCAAACTCTTCTCGAAGGTGTCCTTTTTCAGAGCATCGTTGACGAGAGTATTGACACCCGCCATGTCCAGAAACTCGCACCAAGCAGCAGCATTTGAAATGGTCTTTACTCGAGAGTCGTGGTGGAATCCGTAGTGTCCGGAATCGCCCCAGACAAGTTGGATGACTTCGAATTCTGATTGCTTGAATTTCAGGCAGGCGCACACTCGAGGCGAGAACGAACTTTAAATTTCTTTTTCAAGAAGAATTTTTGAGCAAAACTAACCTGTAAACGATGCCTCTTGTTGTCTTGCTATTTCTGACGACATCAATAATCCTGTCACAATAGTCGTTGATTTCAAAGAATGCCTTCTCCTCTGCCGAGTCCATCGGCGGCCACTTGAGTTCCACATTGAAATCAACGCCCGAATCGACATCATCAGAAACAGCAGCGAAAGTTGGAGACGTCTCTGATCCTGGAACTTTGTCTGTGAGGTCAAAGGTCGGCGTGTGTGTCAGGGTTTTTCGGGACATGTCGCAAACGTCACTACTTCGCATTTCTTCAAACATTTGTCAAGAAGTATGAATTTTTATGCAATACCTTCGAGCGTGAGATCCTTGATCTTAACTTCATCCCCTCTTTGGAGAACTGACAAATCATGGTAAATAATCGGCACCAAATCCTTCGTAATTGTCACGTCAAATTCAACCATATCAGCATTGCCGATCGTTCTCGCCGTAGTGAGAGAATGAATCGAGTTCTCACGGATCTAAATAGCGTCTTGAAGTCAAGAATAACCATTGACGAGCGTTACGTTGGCCATCAAACTTGGATCGACGACATTATCTTTGTTCTTTGTATTGAAAGAATTTCCGCATCCCCGATGGCCCACTTCCAATGGACGCGATTTTCGCCAAGATCTGTTTCCTGTTTTTGAACTAGAGTGGAGTAAAAATGAGGGAAAAGATTATACAACATACTTTTTCGATGAAAGAGGAGTAATCAGCAAGTAATTAAGTTTGAGTTCTTCCGTCCCAAGGGATTTTGAAATCGATCCGAGGCCAGTCAATAGCTCGGATGTATCAATTTCTTCAGCTGGTCCGCCATTTCTTCCGAATTTAATGATTCCTTGTCCGTCAATTTGCCTCGCCATAAGCATGTAGCCAGTTTCTTTGGGTAAGGCGTTGGCCAAGTCAAATCGTTCAAGTTGACCATCGTTAATTCTCGCGCAACTTACGTCTTTGAAAGAGTTGTCGACAGTGACCTTGAAATTGCCGACTGGGAGGTCGAAGGTTAACAGCACTTGTTTCTCGTTCGATTTCAGCGCCATTTCTGGGGAGGGTGCGGAAAATGTCCTAAACTGGGGCTTCAATAATTTGGCAATGAAAAATCGTTTCCTCGGGCCAAACAAGGCGGCGCCAGAGCTAAAGAAGCGTACAAAAGCGTCAACTCTGGACCAGTTTGAACCCAAAATGGATCTCATTCCTCTACTACTACAAACTACTCAAAACTCTGAAGCCCAAGTTATGCAAAAAGGATAAGTTTCTCTTTTCTATAAGGAAAAATATTATAAAATCACTAGTGCTCTAGAAAACGAGCCAATCTTACCTCTTTTTCCTGGTCACAAGACCAAAAAATGTAGTCTTATTTTTGGGAAAAACTCCAGACATGCCCTTGACAAATGGGGTCAGGGACAATATTGACAAAGGCTTTATAATTCGTATTTGAAAAAAACATCACATTTTTGTGCGACACTTTGGAAGCTTGGAAGTTTGACCCCAAAAATAAGTTTGCTTTTGAAATTCCTGCTTTCGGAATCATCTCTTTCTTCTACAGTAATAAAGCCATCAATTTACCTATATACCTATTAACCACGTGATAATTTCAGCAGTTTTATGATCTGGAGGAGTAGTTTTACTGCCACGTTTAATGCATTTGGCCAAGGTTTTTAAAGACGAGCCGGTTTTTCCGTTGTCTATCGAAAGAGACTTGCAAATCCTACGTTTTTTATTCTTTAAAAATGGCAGTTGATAGTAAGTTTTAAACATTCAAGTTTTATTCTTGCGTGTTTTAGTCAAAGACAAAAATGTACAGATGATGATATTTATTCCCTGTAGCGTCTTTTTCGCGCTTTTAGGATTGATTTGAAAAATCGAAAATTTCAAAATTGAGATTAAATTTGTAATCAAATTGTAAATCAGTCAAAAGTAACTGGTATCGTTTGGTACTGTATACGAAGAAAGCGACGAAATCAAATCAGAAGAATCAGTCCAAGCTTCTTCGACCCGCCAAGCAAAAGAAACAGTCCGATTTGGTTAGATGAAGGCTTTGGAAATCGCCACGTGACCCTTGTCAAGGCCGATCCTTACCGAAGTGAAAAGTTTGACCAGCGACATCGCTCGACAAATGTTTTGACGATGAAGGTAATGTTTCTTGAATTTGATTTATTTTTATTTATTAAACATAGCACAAAGAATTCGACGAGTTTCCAGAGTACATAGATGCACCGAGAATGTACTACAGTACGCCACATTTGCTGGACTACAGTCATTCCGGCGGGATGCATCGTCCTCTGTCTATGCGACACATTCGATTCGACGAGGTTGATCTTTATCGTCCGTCTTCTTACAACACAAAGCCTTCTTCGCCTGATGTTCCGAGGTTAGCAACTTTAGAATCATTTTGAAGTACCTCTCGAAATATCATCACGGAAAATATCCATATAAATCGTAAAGCGATGAAAATTAGAACGCCAAAAACGCAGCTAAACTTTCTATACTTTAATTCTTCGCTAAAATTCACCTAATAATTAAAGATATTCCAGTCACGGAATAATAAGGTTTCCAACTCTCTGACATACTCTCAAAATGAATTATACACACCACACTAGCAACCTTCTTTTGATTGGGATGGATTTTTATATCAGTAAATTAAATTGCCGCTAGTTACATCAAGAAGCGCCAGCGAAGAATGGAACGAGATCGGCGGGCAAGGAGCCTCGATATTAATCCTGATGATTTGGAGGATATTTTCTTCGAGGCTTATGGAAATGAATCTACTTAAAAGTCGACCTCACCACTTGGCTTATTCATCCTTTTTTGTTGTAAATAAAGGCAAAACTGTTTTGTTACACGAAGTTTTTTTATTCAAAGAATTTTTATGAGCATTCAATCTTTGTCATTTTCTTCTTTTCAACTTTCCAAGTGTTCTTTTTGTTCTGACACTTTACTCTGTAGACCTTATCCGCATCAGCTCCATTGGTACAAGTAGCTTGACAGACATTTTGTTTTGAGGTTGTGCTGCAGTCCCAAACGACTGAACCATCGGGTATTAAATCTGCGTCGATGTCATCTTGGTGGCAAATCTTTGGTCCTTCCGCGCCACAAAGAGGAGGATCTGTTTTTCTATTTGATTTAACCCACGTTGATTGACCGGTTTTGGGAAACTTGCACTTTATTTGGAATCCTTGACTGTCGCTTCCGTCGTCGCAAATTGCCGTGCATTTTCGATCTTTTTACTGTCTACACAAGTCCACGAGTTTCCGCCAGGAGACTTTAACTTGTCTGGAATCGTCGACTCTTCACATCCGGCTCTTGGAGGCTCAGGAGCACAGCTTGGAACTGAACCTTTACGAAGAGTCCAGATATTGTCATTCGTCTTGCAGCGAATGATGAATTTTTGGTCCGGTTTAGCTTGTCCCTCACATTTAATCTTGCAGTCGGTGAATTTCGACTTCTCTGTACAAACCCATTCAAACGTTCCAGAGCTTGCGAACTCAGGTGGAATGGCACTTTCAGAACATATTTCAGCAGGTGTTGATGTCTGGGAAGTTGTTGTCGTAGTTGTTGAAGTCGTTGTGCTTGTTGTGGTAGTCGAGGTGGTCGTAGAAGTCGTTGTTGTGGAAGTTGTTGTGGTAGTCGTAGTTGTCGTCGTTGTCGTAGTTGTAGTTGTTGTAGTCGTTGTAGTCGTTGTTGTAGTTGAAGTCGAAGTCGTACTTGTAGTCGAAGTTGTAATTGTAGTTGTAGTTGTAGTTGTAGTTGTAGTTGTAGTTGTAGTTGTAGTTGTAGTTGTAGTCGTAGTCGTAGTCGTAGTAGTTGTAGTTGTAGTTGTAGTTGTAGTTGTAGTCGTTGTAGATGTTGTTGTCGTCGTTGTCGTAGTTGTAGTCGTAGTTGTCGTCGTTGTCGTCGTTGTCGTCGATGTTGTAGTTGTAGTTGTTGTTGTAGTCGTTGTTGTGGAAGTTGTTGTTGTGGTAGTGGTCGTCGTAATTGTTGTCGTACTTGTAGTGCCGATAGTTTCTAATCTACAAGAGTAGTGCAGTTTTTTGACTTGTTTGTCTATATTTGAATCATCGAATAAATGATCGCAATCGACATCATGAAAGTCTCGCGAAAATGTATAACCAGTAATAACACATTGTTGAGTGTAATTATTCGGCTGATCGTACTTCGCCTCCCAGTTCAAAAACGTCGCTTCAGTGCCATCTGCGTTCAGCCAAAATTCAGTGGTATTTGAATATTTCTGCTCATAACCGAGCCATTCTCGGCGGTGCGTAACTGTTTTCGAGTAAAGATCCCATTCATGCTTGTTTCGGAAGAATGAGGGATAGCCGACTGTTCCTGGGTAGTTTTTCGCATATTCAGCACAGTTTTCTTTCACTATCGTATAGTTGAGGTTTATCTCGTCCATTTCTTCGAACCAAACGGTCCCAGCTGACATGACTGTTGATGTTGTAGTTGTGGTTGTTGTGGACGTAGTGGTGGTTAGTGTCGATGATTCGAAGCGGCAAGAATGACGAGTTCCGCCGTAGGTGCAATGGATATCATGCCATTTTCGAATATCAGACCAGCCAGTTATGACGCACGGCTGGTCATTTCGATTTGGCTGCCAGGGGGCATCCCAATAGGTGAAGGTGACTTCTGAACCATCAGCATGAAGCCACATTGTATGATTTTCCTGCTGCTCCAGTCCAAGCCATTCTCTTCGAACAGTCACTTGACGGCTGTAGAGGTCCCACTCTTTTTCATTTCTAAAAAAAGATGGATATCCGACAGTATTTTCGTATTCAAGTGCTTTCGCCGCGCAATTTGCCTTCGCCGTAGCGTAAGAGACTGCTACGTCTTCTTGTTCCTCAAACCAAACTGTCCCCTCAGAAATGATTGTTGTTGTAGTTGTCGTTGTAGTTGTCGTTGTGGTGGTTGTTGTGGTAGTAGCAGTTGTTGATGTCGTACTCGTAAATGTAAATGGTGTGGTTGTCAGTGAAGATGACTCGAATCTACAGGAGTAAACGAGATCTGAATGACATTCAACGTCATGCCATTTTGGATCTCCACCATAGCCAGTGATGACACATGGTTGGTAATCATGATTAGGCTGTGCAGTGGAATGCCACAGATCCCAGTGTTCGAAGGTAACTTCCGACCCATCAGCATTTAGCCATTGAGTGGTGTCACCATTTTGTTGCTCAAAACCGAGCCATTCTTTACGTTCGCCAACTTGGTGGCGAAACACCTTGTACTCTCTTTCGTTCCTGAAGAAAGATGGAAAACCGATTGTATCCGGATAATCCAGCGCGAGTTTCGAGCAATTTTCTTTAGCTTCTGCGTAGTTAACCGTTTCATTGTACGATTCAAACCAAACAGTTCCTTCCGAGCTTACTGTACTTGTGGTTGTGGTTGTAACAGTTGGACGAGGAATGCAGGAGAACGAGGTCTCATCAATGTTGACACAACGCTCATCATCAGTACAATTATGATCAATACACGGCTGAAGACGTTCTATACCGTAGACGGGACAAGAAAGCTTCAATTGATGCTTGCCCCAGATGAAAAATTGGTCGAACTCATCATTGTCACCTACGCATGGAAGATCACTGTCGCCTGTATAACTCCATGCTTGTTTTCCGTTTCCAGTTTCGCTGTCGAACATTGTCCACCCACGATCGGGAACTCAAGTCGCTTTGCAAGACTTCCGTCGCACCAGTATACATCTCTTCCGTTCGCCATTGTTCCATTGGAAGTGCAGATCGCGCCATCGTCCCATCCCTTGAGTCGTTTGCAGCAGCCAAGATCGGTTTTTCCGTATGGATTTTTGCAAACAGCAAGGCTTCCGTCTTCATCTGAACCATCGTAGCAATCGACGTAGTTGTCACACAGACGGTGATGGAAAATCGGCCGCATAAAACCAATTACATCTGGTGAGAGACGTTGACTTTTTGGAGGCATCGGATGGTAAACCTCGAGGTCTCTGCAGTAGAGCCAGTGAAGTTGTTCAGCATCGGTGGTGGTGAGCATTACCGCTGATTTGTATTTACCTCCGTTTCTCAAATCATATCCGTTGGGCATCACGCCAGAATAGGGCTCAAATGGATGGCCACTGTCGATCCACTGATTTTTGCTCATCGGATAGTGCCAATTTGTATTATTTACCACGTACTTCCAGACATCTGGTCGCTCTTGTTCATGGAGGAAGCCCAAAGCGTGGAGAAACTCGTGGTGTACACCGCCGAGTCCAGTGCACCAGTTTGGTAGACGAAGTGGTTGCCAACCGTCACGCATCCCCTGGTGGTTGTATTTATGCATGTTGCAATTAGGACATTGTCCTATAAAAGACCAGCATCCTGGACTGGTACCTTCATCGTCTTCGCCGAAAACATGGATTCCGTGCCAGTGAAAGCGCTCTTCATCGAAGTAAAACTCAATGCAACCGACAGCTCGATTGAATTCAAGTAGACCTTCGTGGATTCCTGCGTGGTATTCCTCTGGTACCGTGTGGTCAATGTAATACGGAACGCGAATTCGACCTTTTTCATCGATAAAGTCCCAATTTTTCGAGTACATATAGGTTGGAATCGCTCGTCCTTCCATTCCAGGTGGCTCTGACAGCCCATTGTGGTCGATTCGCATGTGTTCCAGCTTCATACCGAAGTTTTCGGAAAGAATCGGAACTTGCCATGGAGCTATCATTAGATCTTCATAAGGTCCTTGATTACCACGTGCATCAGCGATTCGCATAGGCTCCTCACCATCATCTTCGGGAAGAAAAACTTGATCTGGGTCCCTTTCATGTGATTGAGTCAGCTCCAATGCAACCTGAATAAAGATAAAGTCCGTCCATCTCTATATTTTTGATTTTCTCGTACAATCCCGACAATCACCGCCAAGAATCTCATTTCGCAGACTGAAACGTAAAATGATTCTAGGGTAGCTCTCGCCAATTTTGTATGTTAGCGCCTCTAGTGTAGTCAGAAAATTATCTTATTTTGCTGATTTGAATATTATCTCGACTAATATGTTCTCTTAACCGCGCTGAACTAATCGATCTTGCCCAAGAAAACCGATCAGCGGGTTAATAAAATAACGACTTGATAAGAGGGGAAATTGGAACGCTGTTTTTACGAGTAGAATTAAATGAACCTAGAAAGCGAACCTCAGTTATTCTTCGTAAATCATTCATGAATTTACAAAAAATAATGATATTGATGTCGGAGAGACTCATTGCAAGAGGCGAGCATGCAATATTTTTCTCTAGAAATTTAGACTATGTCTAAGCTAAGCATCGCGGAGAACCCTCACTCCTAACTCAGATCAACGAGAGATGCAGTCCGCCAGCAACGCAGAAGAAACCAGCACCCAAATCAAAGAAGACCCAGAGATCAACATCTTCGGCTTCGAACTCCAGCCCTTGTCTGCCGCTCAAAAGCAGCAATTCGATGTTGCTTCAAAAATGCCCAAGCGAAAGTTTTTGAATTTGGACGATCCAAGGCCTTACAACATCGTTCCAGTCGACCTGAAGATTAAGGAGATCATCAAATATCTCCTCGTCGATGATTTACGAATGGGAAACGATATCATTCACTGGACTTTCACTGATCCTTCTGGCGACTTCTCCTGGTTGACTTCAATTCAGCGACACGAAATCTTTCCTTATTTTCTCTACAAAGCGGTAAGAGTCTGATTCTTAGAAAAAAATGCAAGTTATCTTCAGGTATGGGACGAAGACTTCGAAGCGATTCAGTGGGGCGATCACAATCAAGGAGAAACGATACTCGTTAACTTCGAGCTCCTCTTCCTGGTAAGCAAACGTTAGGGTCGTCTTTACTCAAGAATATTTCAGTTTGCAAGAGGTCACGGACAATTTGCTTCTTACCGTCCACCAAGCTACCAGGACGACTTTATCCCCGGACAGCCAAACCGACTTGAGCACAATCTCGTGCACATTTACGGCTTCAACGGAATCGGCTGTTGCAATTTGGAGGAGGATCGCGTTTTGAACGAGCGATCTCACGTCCGTAAGTAATAACCTCTTACATCTTATGCTCAACAAATTTTAGTTGACGATTTCTTCGAAAAGCTCGACAAAATCTGTCAAAAGTACAACCTTAATTCGAAAGGGCGATGGCACGAGTTCCACCACTCGGACTTCTATCAAGCCGGTAAGAAAAATCACTCTCTTCCTTGTTTTCATTTCTTATGTCTAGATAATCCTTTGATCGAGGATCGGCACAGACCAAAGCGAAAGAACTCGAAGTTCTTTAAAATCTGCCAGACACTGAAGTTCGACTATCGCGTCCGAAAAATTTGCTTCGAGAAAAACGCCGTAAGTCTTAAAAGCTATCCTCACTTATTGATATTGTGATTTCAGGAAGACAAAGTCCCCAAGCCGATCCGAAAGAAGCCTGAACGAGTGCAAAGTAACGCCTCTAACAAAGCGAAACGCACTCAATCTCGCTCCACAGTTTCCTCTTTGGCTTCTGCCTCGGCTGACCGGGCGATCTCCCCCGAACGCGTTCCAATCGGTTAGTCAAAAACTTGCCCTCGACGGAAACATGAATTAATCATTTCAGAAGCCGAAAAAGACTCCTGAGCCTGCCAGAAAGAACTCTCATTTATTTGTGCAATTATTTCTACACGCATTTAAATCCTGTCAAATATAGTGAATCTGAAAATGCAACATTTGTTTTCATGTCCAAAGATTTATTCCCCATCAAAACGGATTGCCCTCTCGGAAATTGCATAATCGTATGCGTATGTACAGTCGTATGTACAGTTGAATTTCGTCATGCAGACATCGATCGCACTTTTGACTTCGATAAAAGTAGGACAGAGATAGCGATTTACATAAGAAAATATAGAATTTATCTAGAAAAATAAAACAACAGCAAGAACGCTGAAAATTGAGCTAAGCATGATTTCTTTGGCGCTGGAGGTGGTTGTGGTCGAGGACTGGGTGGAGGATTCTGTTGAAGAAGACTGGGTAGACGATTGTGTTGAGGAAGATTGGGTGCTTGGTGGTTCAGTTGTTGGAGGCTCTGGATGATACTCCGGTTTTTCAGCAATATCATTCGTCGTAAAGCAGTCCGATTCGGCACAGGTTTCTGTTTGAAAATCTTCAACGATTTCATCGACACCGCTGTTGAAAAGCTGAGCTTCTTGGTAAGAACCGCACGATTTGCTAGTCAACTTTTCGATTCCATCTTCTGTTTCTGTTACAGCCGCACAGACTCCATTATCTGCAAAACATGTGTCCTCCGGTGCTTCGCAGCTGACTGCATCATCACAAACATCACAGATGAGTGCTCTTACAGACTCGCGTGCCTCAGTCAACTTAGTTACTTTCTTGAGCAAACCATTGATGACCTTGCCTGGTTCATCGGTTCGAGCGACACCAGCTTTCAGGAAATAAGTTGGTGTTTTTCCAATAACACGGATTCCATTTTGCACAGAGCACTGGTTGTACCAGAGGCTAGAGGTTTGTCTTCTATTCAGATAATTTGCTCGATAAGATTCGGTGGTGCATTGTTCTTCGAGAACAGATTGCCCGGGCTTGTTCTGGTTCACAGCGTAGCTGATGTCGCAAGTAAGGCACTCGATGCAATCAACCCAGTTACAGATCGTGGCGACTTCGTCTCTTGGAATCGGCTCTTGCCACCTTTCATCGCTTATCGGCACATCTGGGTAAGGTGGCGGCTGGGCATCCTCAGTCTGTCCATTACATAAATCTCCAAGACAAGCCCATGTCTCAATTGTTCGAGAATTGAAAAAGAAAGAACCATAGTAAATTTGAGGTTTGCATTGTCGTTCTACTTCGTATTTCTGGGAGTTAACGAAGGTACTTGTTTCAAAATCGATAGTTTCAGTGACACGAAGGTCACAGTACTCGGCTGGTCCGCATGTTGCGACTGAGGATGGATCAAAGGCACATTCTGTGTTGCCGCCATCAATGTCGGTAGAATAGGTACAGTTGTAGCACTGAAGACCGTCATTTTTCGAGTCTGTGGATCTTGGTAGACGAATGGGAGGAACTGGAAGCTCGTTGATTGCGTAACTGTTGCAGAGTTCATCCTTGCAATTCAAGTGGCTCGATCTGAAAATTTCTAGCCGATGATTTTTCTCATCGGTCACACTCAATGGGTCAATTCCACTGTAAGCTGTTCTTTTGATGACATAATGGTAACCATCGGTAGAAACCTTTTTGTCAACTCGGAGGCCACACATCGTTGGGATTCCAGCAGTTGATTTGAAGAAGTAACTTTCAAAAGCTGAATCCAACTGGTTGTAACAAGCAACGTCATCGGGGATGTCAATTTCGTCAACGACGTTTTGGCAGTTGTAGCATTTGATGCAGAGATCTGTATCAACACCTGGGTTCAGTGGATCATCGCATGACTCTGGTCTTGGAACTGGAGATGGCTCTTCCATTGGCTCGAATGCTGGTGCTTCGTCGTAGATTTGATTGTCGACGCCAACGAATTTCGAATTACAAGAATTTCCCTCGCAAGTTTCTACATGTTCTTCGACGGTGACATTGAATGGAGTTGTCTCCTCTTGAGTGCTGAATATATCGTTTGCGTAGGTAAGAATGACCGGACTGTCAACGCATCTCCTGATGACATTTTCTCCACTCCATCTTGTCTCGCAAATTCCACTCTTGCAGAACTCACTTTGTCTTGCTGCCGCGACTTCATCGAAAATGCCACTTCTACATTCAGCAGTGTTCTGACACAAGAAACACATTCTCGGGCTCGCTGGCGTTTCTACTTCTTCTTGGCCATTACACATGTGACCTTTGCAAAGTGTTGAAGTGTAGGAAGAATCCTCGACTCCTGCTTCACTCTGGCTTACTCCCCGGTCCATGATGTTGATTCTATTGCCGAGAGGGCCGCTGATAGTTGCTGTTCTTGTTGAACATTGGTTGATGACCCAGTCAGATCTCAACGGATCAAAATAGCGTCGTCTGAAGATTCCATTTGTAATCAACTCAGGGCTGTATCTGCAGATATCCGCGTTTGAAGGATCAGCATGATCAGACTCGCAACTCAAGCAACCGATACATTCGTTATCGAATGTTCCGCAAGAGAATGGCACAAGAGCGGGATCAATTGGTTGATCCCAAGATCCAGCCTGTGGTAGTTGAATAAGGTCTTCTGCGTCAAAGTCAACCAGGAGACTATTGCATTCGTTGGTCAAGCAAACGACGATTCGGTTTATGTCACTTTGCACTTCTGGTCGGAGTCCTGGGATGCGCCATGGGATGCAACCACGAGAGATAGTATCGACTCTTGAATTGAGACCTGGATTGAGATTGTTGAGATTATGTGCGATTTGATTGATTTTGATAGTACACACTTCATTTTCATTGCATCTTCCAGAGCCAACATCTCTTGGATTATCGAGGCAATCTTCATCGCCAAAGTTTCCGTAAAGAGTGTATGCATTATCGGCTCGTTGATAGAAGCAACTCTTGCAGTAAGTCTCATTACTAAGATCCAGGATCGGCAAAGATTGATCAAGAGCGATGTCATTGCAGTTATTGCCGGGGCATTTGCCTACGACGTTTGTTTCTTTAAGGATATTGTAGACACCACCAAATTCAGGGATTCCGAATTCATACGTTCCAGCAAAACCGGCGTAGAAGCGATTTACTTGAAGCATTTTAGTTCCAGCGCCTGCAAATCGATCTACGGAAGTGTCGACTCCGCAGGTCATCTGATGCAAGCTCTGTTCTTCGTGACATTCTAGGTTGTCGTAGCTTCCGTGAATTCCATCATATCCAACATCAGCGAGTTCGGGCCAGCAGAAAGTATTCCAGACTGGAATGAGGTCCAGTGAACTGGTGTCTTGGTCGCCTTTGCATGCAGTGCCGGATTCAGTCACTACTCCATCGATTTCAAACAAGACATAGGAGCATTTGTAGCAAGTGAGGCACTTCGAAGGGTCAGTACAAGCTGGAGTTGAGCCTTGCATGTCGATTCTAACTTGATCAGATTGACCTCTTGTGAGCATTTGTGGCGGGTACTTGAGATTCGCACTTGGTTCAAAGGACCATTCGTAGGGATTAAATCCAACTTCATTGCATCCGGCCGAGTCATCACACTGACTTCGCTTGAGCTGTTGAGTTATGGACCGTCGTCCATTATGGAAATCATTAATCTGCTGTGGTGTCGCGCATTTTTGAATAACTACTGTTTCGGCGTCTGATAGACGAGTAGTCACGACGGAGGCGCAAATGTCTTCGACAGCGCAGTTGTTGAAAACAGTAACATTGTTGCAACCCCCTTCGACACAAATAGGACAGCCACTGGCACTTTCCGCTTGGCTTAGGACAGTATTAATGGTGTATTTCTCGTTTTCAAGAAGAACTGATTCTTCTAGCTCCGTACTCATCGGCTTTGGTGTCACTTTGTGCTCAATGAAGCCAACTCGACTCCATCCACCATCTTCGCGAAGCCCAAAATCGGTTGTGCACACATTTTCGATTGTCTGATCTCCAAGCTTATAGAATCGTCTGAATTTTCGAAGGCCACATGGATAGCCCTTCTGACGAGGATCAGAGTAGATGAAAATATGGACACAATGTTGACACTCAATGCATTCTTGCTGAGCACAAAATACCTCTTCCACATCGTTGGGAATCGGATCATTTGGAAGTTGGCGTTCGGGCAGCATTGGGTCGTCAAAGTAATTGCAATCGTGACCGATACATGCCCAAAGTTCTTGGGTACTCACTTTCAATGGTTCGTCGCCACAACCTCGAGTGACCCGAGATTCGGAATCGCCAAAGAAACTGAGAGGATTTTTCTTTCGATTCATAGTGAAACGAGTTTGACATCCTTCAGTACATGTTGTCGTTGAAGCATATTCGCCAATATCGGACTGATCATAAAAACAAGGGCCGATTTCATCTGAGCTGCAAGAGTAACACGTTGAATTCGTTCTTTGTGCGTTCCTTGGAGCTTGAATCGGCCGAACAGGAAGAGATGTAGCAGATAGTCCGTTGCATTTATCTCCGACACAAGAAACAACGGTATCTTGCCGGGTCTCAAGCTTGGCTTCGTTCCAGTTGTAGAAATGAGCTGAAGAAAGAGTTGAATTACGACGGAATCATTCTTTTTCAAACGGAAATTTAAAAAGTAAAATCAATGCGTTTATTACCTGGATTCACTTTTGTGATGGCGCCACGCTCAAGAGAATATTTGAACTCGCCATAAAAAGTAACACTGTAGTCTTCTTGGCTCTTGAGAATTGCACAAACCACTGGGAGCCCATTTTCGTATTTTGGGTACCATTTTGATTCAGTAACATCTCCTTTGACGCAGTTTTCGAAGTCTTCACTGTCTTGGTTGAGAGTGACGCTGCAAGTTTTACACTTGATGCACATATTTTCACTGCAAGTATCGAGCGCTTCAACACGTTGTGGATCGATGTTTTCGAAAGAAATTTCATTATCAAAGTCTGTATCCACTCTTATCGTATGAGCTGCATCGACGTACACATCATTACATCCGTTTGTCCTGCAGGCAAAAGAAGTAGCACTACCAGAAGTCACATTGACATCGCCGGATGATGGATCCAGTCCAAAAATCTTCTTGGGTCGCACAATCTCTTCGGATGATCTCTCCATAAGTTACAGTTTTGCAAAGACCACTCGCACATCTGACGGCAGGATCTTCGTAAGCGTCCAAATCTCCTGTAATACAAGGATTTGTCGGATCAGAGGTCGAATTTGCTTGACAACGGAAGCATTGCGTGTCAGTATTTGGCCGATCCCGAAGATTTCCATTGCAGTAGTTTCCGCTGCAACCAATTATTGATACTGTCTCGTCATTTATGTAAGCCGGTACGTCTTGATCGACTTTGACTTGAACAACATTTCGTTTTATCATTACTTCTGGAAGACCTTCTCCAGAGACGGATCTAAGGACAGTCAACGTACATACATTTTGCAAGAATACACCAGCATCTGAGTCGTAGACAACTCGCAGAAAAGTAGGTGGTTCTGGTTGATTATATTCTGGCATCGTCGTGCAAGAATTGAAAGGATCCGAGCTATCTACACATGTGTAGCAACTGATGCAATTGTCCTCCAATCCGCCGCACATGAATTTCTTCTCGTTCTCGCCCAAAGGTCGGGAGAAGTCTTGACGACTCGGGATAGGAAGATCTTCGATGTAGTTGAAGGGCATGTTGAAAGCGTTGCACGGAACATTTCCCGGTTCACAGATGTTCCTTTCACTCTGATCTGTGAGAGTATCAGAACGAAGTGTTCCTAGATCTTGGTTGGAGCAATTTCTGGAAATCCCCGTTGTCGCATCCCATGTGCCTGTGACAGTTATGTGGCAATAGGGGTAATCTTTTGGGCACGTTATGGGATCGACAAGAGTTGTTTCCCAGCAGTCCGCGCAGACAAAACAAGTGTTGGTCCCTAGATCATCAATATCTCCACCGCCGCTTCCATCTATATCACCACCACCGGTGCCAGGTTCATACTCTTCAAGGTCAGAATTTTTCTGATTGATAGTTCTGTCATTACAGTCGTCACCACGACAAACAGACTTTGCATTCCAAAAGGAATACACTGGATATCCGACGCCTGGTTGTACCAATGGGAGTTTGTCTTCGTTCGATCTTTTCACCGCCACAACGCTTCTAGTAATCGTGAAAAGCCAATAATTACTCGACCTGCGCATTCGATTGTAAACGGAACAGTAGCTAATGTATTCTTCATCAGTTCCATCGCATTCCATGACACCGAATTCATTTATATTTCCTTCGTAGACACTGCTATCAGTGCCATTGATGCAATATTGCTTTCGAAGCCGAACTTGGTCCACGCTCATCGCATCTCCACCATCCTCATTGAAGCAATCCGCGCCACCAACGACGCCATTACTGTCAGCAGAGTAGGTACAGGTCCAACAGCTACCGCAATTTCCCCAGTTGTTCTGGCAATATTCATCGGACGCATAAGCGTCTATGCTCACCCCGGCTAACAAATAGAGTCAATAAATTTAAGAATACAGGTTACTTACAGAGTGGGACATTCTCTTGCGCCAGAATTGCGCCCACTAGGGAGGCAAAGGCGAGTTTCCTGTGCATTTGATCGCTTGAAACTGCCGCATTCGCCTGATGCGGTTCTCTTTATAGCACTTATTTTTTTCACGGTGCAAATACATTAAAAGTTCTCGCACAAAAAAATTCTTGAAGTAAAGACCTGGCTCGTTCCCAAGAACGGTACGTATGGTCGTGAAATCTTTAAAAACATGTTCAGTACTCATCAAGAATTTCAAGATGTTTTTAAATCTGGTCATAGAACTTTTATTCTGTCAGATTTAGAGCCAGATAAATGTTTTACAGAATCAATTTTTTCTTTCAAAAATCTTCCATGTTCTTCTCGTAAGTTCTCAACTCTCTCATCGTCAAACCATTTTATTGCGAATGTTTCGCCCTAGGAAGCAGTTGTAGGAAAAAAAAACAAGGAATTATTTTTACCTTGAAATTGACGAAACTTAAGTTATTCGGAAGAATCATCCAGTCCCAGATAAAAATTTGATCCGCATCAGAAATAGGGATTCCATTGATTCTTGGACGAGATGATTTTACTGATCGCCACAGCTTTTCTTCAGCGTCGATTTCATTTGAAGACATAAGCCCTTAATTTTCTGGTTGTCTTTTTTTTTTCTTACCAAATCCTTACCAGATTCAATTAAAAATTCTCTGAATGAATAATCCGCCTGCTTTTTCCAATCATATGTATCGACTTTCGCAGTAATCAGCGCGATTTGATCGTCATCGAGCACAGAAATCGCACTAAAATCGCCTTCCAGAGCAAGATGCGTCAGTCGCGCGTGTTCCACTTCTTCCGCTCCTAGGAGGGACCTGAGGATTTCATCTGTGACTTGATGAAGGAGCTTGTTTTTGGAGAGCTTGATTCCTAGTTCGCGACGGGTTTCGCCTCGTAGAATGGTCTGATAATTATTGAAATTGGAAATAAACGAGTTTTTGAGCAAATAATCGTTATTATCTGTATTAGGGTATCGGACCAAACCTTGAACATTCATAATATGCCTCTTAATTTGATCTTCGTTCGCTACCGTCAGTTTCCTCAGAATCTTCTTGCAGCCTTCTTTATCTTCTTTATACAATCGCTTCCAAATGAAATCTTTGACTCCATACGGCTGAACTTCTTCATTCAAAAGATAGTCTTCTGTAAAATCATTGAATAGCGAGGAATCCAATTCAAACCAGATATTCGAACGAAGGGCTTTTTTGGGCGAAAATTCGTTCATAATTTCTGCGACTTCGAATGCTTCTTGAGTGAAAGTTGTGTTTCTGTCGTCGATCAGAAAGACATAGGCCCCGTCTAAAATAAAATAAGGCTTTGGGAAAGAATGATTTCGTACCAGAAAGATTAAGATTTGAAATTACGGCGGCAGCTTCTGCTGTTTCGTCCGAAACCAGTTCATTTGTTAATTTTTTGACATTTTTAAAGTCATCTTTTGAATTTGAAGCAAGTCGGAATGTTATTTCTGGAAAATTGTAATACTTTGACTTGGGGAACCAGGAAGAAAGAAGAAAGTTTTTGTAGATTCGGGCGACTGGGCGAAGAATAGATTCTACGGCCGAGCGGTGTGCTTTTCTGTTGCGGATTTTTCGATCGTCAAGGAGAATTAATGGCTTGTGGCCTAATTCGCCTGCCAGAAGAAGAGCTGTCACTGAATGAAAATTTTGAAAGGCCAGTTTTTGATGTGGAATGAAAAAGAGGCAAAGAGCTCAAGAACAAAAAGCGTTCAAAAAAGACCTTTGAAATACCATGTTTGACATCTGTCATTATAAAATAGGTGACATGTGAGTTACCGACCTTCCGTACTCATCCCGAAGACGAAATAATATTACGTAAAAAACGAAGCAGTTTTACTTGACAAGAAGAGAATGAGAGCCAAGGATGGTGATTTTTTTAATATTTTAAGATTCATATTATTCAATGTTTTATCACTAGAAAAGTGCTTGGACTGTAACTGCGTGGGGGAGCTTATATTGAGAGATGATAAAGTTCTCCTCGTCCCAAAATTTCCCGTGGTTTATGAAAAATACGATGATAAAAGCTACCTCGAGCCTCAGTAAGAAGGATATCTCAGAGTTACTCTTAGTTTTATTTTAGTGGAAATGCGACAACAAAACAGAAAATCATCTTTGTCGGACTTGGGAGTATATTTTGGATGACAATAGTTCTAATAGCGAACTATATCGGCCTCGAAAAATTAAACGTTGTCGTTTCAGACTGCAATATTCAATACCGAGCGTGTTTGAAGAATCACATTTATGACCCTTGTACTCTTTCATTCAACCATTGCCGAGCAAAAGGGGAGTTTATCCAGCCAACCGAAGAGATCAAAAAATTCTGGAAGAGAGACCAGCGATCGAAGAAGAAGTGTTTTCAGGAATAGATCAGAAAATGAATGTCCGAGCCTGCAATCAGCAATTTTTCTATGGCAGAAAAATATGCGAGGGACTATGCGGAAATGCTCTTGAATGTTTTACTTTGTGCGCCGCGATGGCAGACGAAAAAGAGGAGCTTTCATCGAAAGTCTGTCCGTTTGCTTCGTTATGCCCAAAAGGCTGCCCTTGCCCTTACTTCAAATGTACGAAGCAAGGAAAAAGAGGGCTGCAAGTAGTTCAAGATGTGCAAAAATTCCGTCGGAGAGAGATTCCAAAAGTCTGTATTCATGACTTTTCTAGCCAAACTGAAGAGACAAAATGTATGAATCAAACTGGCCTACTTTCGGATAATAATATAATGATATGGACTGATAGCACCCTAAACGATTACGGATTTGATTGTTGGTATTACTACATGCGAATGACAAGCGTTTTGTTTGAGGGGAAGTTTTACTTGATCAGCTACAAGGGAGGCTTTGCAGAGTTCACCGGGGAAAAACTCATCCCTCGTATTCCACCACCGCGAGCGGGGTAAATTCCACTTTAGAAATGTGAAAAAAGTTTAGGCGCATGTTTTACAAATTCAACTTTCCCGGTGGATCATCAGTCACAGGTTCAGCCTGGCTTGAGAAGGATTCACAAAGACTCATTATTTTATGTGCTCCAGTGAGTTCTGCTGACCAATGCTTCTACGTGAATCCTTCTATTCACAAGCGAACGATCAGCCTTAGACCAAAACTAAGACATTTTGTCTCTGGAAGATCGCACATGTACTCATGGAAAGGAAAAGTGTTTCTGATTTTCAAAAACTTTGAGGAAATGAACCTACGTTGGGCTACTTTGTCAAGTGTAAACGACAAAGGTAACCTTCGCGCTTTTTGAAAGAACGGTAAATAGATGTCTAAGAGTGGTCCTACTCCTCCTGGGGAAATAAATGCATGGGGAATAGTGTGATTTTTTCACACGATGAAAATTGCCAGATCATATTTACGGACGTACAAGATACAGTGCCGATTGCAGATAAAACAGGCGTGAATTTTTTCATTGTTGCAACGAAAAAGCAAGAATACAGCTTGTGGATAGTCGTCTATAGATACACTCTCGGAACTGGTCTTTTTGCTTACTTAAATTTTTCAAGTTCAAACGGTATTTTCACTTATTTGACCTAAAAAAGATCGATGGATATACATGGGAGGTCAAAATCTGGACGTTCAGTCTAACTCTGTACTCGCTGGAAAATGGAACTTTTACTTCGATTACAACTTCCTAATCAACAGTCATGGCCGGATGATGCTTTTTGGGCGGAATCAAGATGCGTTTCTTGAACTACACATGAACATGTCAAGTTACAGCATCTCCTTCTCCCTACAAGAAGACGTCGGTTATGTTTTAATGCCGCAAATTTACGATGCCGGTGGATACGATAGCTATCGGCTTTTAAACAAATGCTAGCATACTAGCGTAGTCTTGTTTAGAGTATAAAAACTTCTTGTTAATAGACTATTTAGTATCACTGTCTCATAATTTTAATAATATCATTCAGAAAAGAGCGTTGAAAAATCGGGTTAGCCGGATCTGGGCTCGGCATTCTGTGAATAAAACCTTAGTCAGGGCCTGAAGGATCACCAGAATCTAAAAATAGACTGGAAAGGTAATTTAAAACTATGCGGCTTTTCATACGATATTTCAGGCTTACTCAGGTTCTCTACAGAGTTTGCTGAGCCAGGCTAGGGTTCGGATTCAAACTAAAAGTTCTTACCTGAAACAGCATCTCTCATCGTAAACGCCTTTGAAACATCAAAAACAACAACAATCTTCCTCGCGTGATTGTTAACCCATTGATTGATCTTCTTCGCTTCATGCAGTGGCCAGTGATTTCTGATAATTCCTGTTCTCTCCAAATTCTGAAGCAAGTCGTATTGATTCTCCAAATCTCGAGTTTGAACGCGCTTCTTTCGATTTCTTCTGAAGAGATCGCGCTTTTCGTCGAACTGGAGAACTTGCAATTCTTGCGTTAGTTTCTCGCCTTTTGAGAGTTTTGAAAGTTGAGAGGAAAAGATTTTCTCGGGCTTAGAAGATGCAGCTCTGATGATTTGAGTGACTCGATTTCGAAACATTTTCTGAAGAGAAAAAAACCATAAAATTCTGAATTATTGAATTTTATTATTTAGAAAGACCAGTTTTCAATTGAAAAATGTCTCAATTTAAATACCATTCCATTTCCCGATTATAAAAGAAGTGAGTACTACAGTAACCTGGATTGCCGGAATTTCTGGGTACAGTCCAAAAATCTCTTGAAGGAAAGAATCGGGCCAATCAGCGCTGTCGCTTGACGCTTGAGGAAGAATCGCCCTTTCGAGAAGTACAAAACGCTAGAAAAAGCACGGATTAGTTGCTGATAAGAAAGAGAAAATGTCGGAGACGAAGAAGTTCAGAGTTCTGATTGATATGGACGGTGTTTTGTGCGATTGGGAACGTAAGAAATAACCTATTTTTACCTTATTTTTGATTTTAACTTTAGCGACTTTCTTGAAAACCTACCAAGAAAAATGGCCAGGTCGACCATTCATCCCTCTCGAAGAACGCAAAGAATTCTTGGTTCGAAACGATTACAAGAACCAGCTCGGAATAACGAACCCGAACGAGGTCTACGAAGAAGAAGGCTGGTTCCTGAATCTTCCTCCAGTGAAAGGAGCCGTTGAAGCATTTGAATATCTCAACAGTCGAGAGGATATTGAAGGTTATATTCAATTAAAATATTGATTAAAAGCTTTATTTTAGTTGTGATTTGCTCGGCGCCAATTACGAACTACAAATTCTGCGTGACCGAAAAATACCAATGGGTCGAAAAACACCTCGGAAAGAAAGCAGTTTCCCAGTTGATGCTGACCAAGGACAAGACAATCGTCCGCGGCGACCTGCTGATCGACGACAAGCCCGGAATCAAGGGCCTGGATTCACCAAGCTGGTTCCATGCGCTTTTCACCGCCGCGCACAATACCTGGTTCACCGACTATTCCTCCAACCAGCGGCGGATGGACTCGTGGGACATTAAAAAGCTCGACGAGCTGATTAACGACCTCCGAACCAAGAAAAACTAAGCTTACGAAAATGATACTATTGTACGCTTTAGTGGTGCGCTTATTCTTATTAGAATCTTCCCCTTTTTCCTTCTTTAGGCTTTCATATTAATCCCGCTCACGAAAAATCCAATCACTTCCAAAACATTTCGAAATTTGTGAATAGTCCGCAAGTTTCGACTGTCTAATGCTACTTATTTATTTATCTCCTTGAGTTCCTGACGAATAAACTCAATCTTGACCTACTAAACCTGCTCTTTTTGGACATTTAGCTAATTTGTAAAGCCTTTAGTATGGAAAAATCGACAGTAACTGTAACAATACCGCCAAATTTTGGAATCAAGAATTTCTTCAACAATGAAAGAAAAATCTTCAAAGGAAGAATCAAATCTCGACCAGAAGATTTCATCGTTACCGAAATTATCGACCAGGCGATCATTGAATCAGGATCAGAAAAGAAGCAGAAACGAAAGATCGAATCGGTAGAAATCTCAAAGGATAAAGAAGAGGTGTTGATCTCGTCGATTGAAGGATTTTCAGAAAGAATCAAAGAGGCGCTGAAATCAGAAAATGATGGAAGAAAAGAAGATCTTCGAATTCCTCTTCCTGTGCTAGAAGAACGAGAGTTTCACTACAAATTAGTCGGAGAAAGATTTCCCTGGCCAGAGTTGTAAATTTTCACTTTTTCATTTTTCTCGCTTTCCACGAATTTTCAAGATTTTCATCTCTACCAAAGCTCTCGATAAAACCCGTTAGTCAGCCGGAAAACAGCGGCAGTGGTTATTTTTTGCTTGCAGAAGCACCGCTTTTCCGAGAATTCCAAAAGCTGACTAGCTTCGAAAACTGCTGCGAAATATTCCGCCTGAGCATCGTCAATCAAAAGAAAGTTGAAGTCACCGATCCTTCTTTTTGCGACAAGAATGTGCGTACTAAACTCCACGCTCTTATAAAGAAGAAAATGGGGAAACTCGGGCGATCTGATTATGACAAAGAGCGAAATGTTTTTGAAATTTGTATCCCACCGAAACAAGAGCAGTTTTTTCATCTGGTCAAGGTTCAGAAGACTGGCTTGGAGCACAATGAATTTCTCCGTCTATTGAGCAGGAAGATGAGAATAAGAGGTAAAAATATAGAAAAATGGCAGTTTTTCAACTGATAGGATCTATTGAATGTTGTTATAGAAATCGACATCGCGTATGCTGGTACAAAAGACGCAATCGCTGTGACAACTCAATACTTGAGCATCAAAAACTGCCCAGAAGACGAAATCAAAAAGGCCCTGTCAACCATTTCGTCCCTAGAACTCCTGGAAGTGCATAAGTTCAATCGGCATTTGAGCATCGGCGAATTGGAGGCGAATCAGTTCAAAATCAAAATCGAGTCTGAAGAGAAACTTGGTCCAATTCATCAGAATTCATTCATCAATTACTTCGGGCTGCAAAGATTCGGAAAGGGAGAAGAGGTCAAAGCTGGAATTTTACTTCTTTGCGGAAAATTTGAAGAAGCGATTCTTGCCCTCATTCCCGAAGACTCGACTCTTGAGAAAGAATGTCAACGAGAGCCAAAAACAAGCTACAAATCCTTGTTCTTCAAGAACTTTCAAAAGTCAAAAGAAGCCGTTTTCTCTTGGAACCTGGTTCCACTGACGAAGAAAAAATTCATGCTTCATGCGACTGGGAGTTTGCTTTGGAACATTTTGTGCAACAGGGTTGAAACTGATGAGCTCGATTTCATTGGAAGCGCTTCTGATTCAGTTTTTGAACTGTATCTTGCTGAGCTGAAACAGATTGCCCCCGGTGTAGAATTCTCAAAAGAGCTGATAAACAAACGACTGGGGAAGATAGGAATGAGTTTGGAGAGCATGAATGGCTCTAGAAGAATAATCGTGGAAGCGGAAAATGTGAGGCAAGAAGAAGAGAATACGATTTCTTTTCAGCTTGGCAAAGGAACTTATGCAACGATGTTTCTAAGAGAACTATCTCACGGCGGGATTGTTGGATGACGACTTTTTTTCTTCCTTGATTTCCGCGCTTGTATAAATAATAAATTGCTTGACGAAATTTTATTTTACGAATATTTTAGAATCGAGCTATTTGATTCTTTTGAGAGGATTGTGGCTGATATCTTTGCGCTCGGCCTTGGTAACTGCAGCAAAATCGAGCTTTACTAGCGATGGAAGCAGCTGTAGAATGTATTTTCTGTACGCTGATTGAGTTTCGATCGGGTTGCCGTGGACGGTTAATTTTGTAAGAGGGAGGCGACTTAGATGTTGAATTTCTTTCAGTTGACTTTTTGAGGCTAGGAAATGCTCATTAGTATTTTTGAATTTGAAAACTATTCATTCCTTTCCCGTTATCGATTTACTAAACTGTAGCCGGGCCTTATACTGTTCCCATGAAGATAGAGCACTTTTAGCGAAACCAGATCGTTGAAGCTGTTTCCAATCTTTGCGATTTGGTTGAAGCTCAAATCGAGCCACTGTAGTGCTGTGTGATCGACAATCATCGTCGACAGTTTCTCAGAGAGTCCGTCAATCGAGGCTAGCTGATTGTTCCTAGAGAAAACTATCTCCAAGATCACCAAAAGAACAATATACCGTAAGCGCAGCGATTTATTTGCTGTGTAGAGTCCTTCATCATTTTTAGCGTATTCCGAATCGTCGTAAATACCTTTCGTTTCAAGGGAAAAATCCTCGAGAGTCTCTAAATCTCGGAATCCAAAATCAAGAACCTCTTGTGTCATCGTTCAGACTTTTATCTTGAAGATCACTTTCCCTTGTCGAAAAAAGGAACGTTCCTATGGAAACGAACAGTGAATCAGAGCTCTTCTGAAGAGATTGTGAATTACGATTTTTGAACGAATGAATTTTAGACTGAAACGAATCGAAATCGTGAAGAATGAAAGCGATTTACTTCGTTGCCTTCTTCGATCTCTTTGCAGTCTCCCTTATAGTTCCTTCTCTTTCTGGTACAATTAAACGCTTAGACAGTTTTAATTTAATTTCTTCAAGGTCACTTCTTGGAAAATAACGTCGTCTGGGTGGGTTCTATCTACGGCATCGCCCAGCTGTTCTCTCAACCTTTCTTCGGGCGACTTGCGGATAGTTATGGCACTAGAAATGTCACTATTTGCTCTTTGCTGATCTCGTCATTCTCTTACTATCTACTTTCTCAAGGGACCGGCTTGGCAATTCTCATCCTCGCGCGTATCATTGCTGGTGGCTCAAAGGTACAATGAAAACCATCAGTTTTGAATCGAATTTGTATTCTAGCAAACGCAAGAACTCTCCCGTCTCGTTATCGTAAACGAAGAAACAGAAGAAAATCGAGCACGCGTGGTCGGCCTTTTCAACTCCATCGGCTCTGCTGGCTTCATCCTCGGCCCAATGATCAGTGGATTCATCCGAGAATCATTTCCAACTGATGGATTTTACATCTGCGCCAAGCTGACATCGCTCATTTTCGTAATGAACGCAGCGCTCGTCTTTTTCTTCGTCGAACAAAATAATTCGATTTCGCAAAAGAAAGAAAAATCGAAGAAAGAGCAGCCGGGAATCAAATCGACAGTGTCGCAATTGTTGAAAATGTGGGACTTGTGTCTGCTGCGGTTGATGCTGACAATGGCGATTTTGATGGCGCGATTCGTGATGCCGATTCTTTCGGAGCGCGCTTTCGGCCCTGTCAGAGCGGGAATGCTCACTTCCTACACTTCTTTGGCGGGCACTGTTTCTGCCGCTCTGGCTTCTAATATCATTCCAAATTTGTCGAAAACTTACGATTTGAAGCAGCTAGAATTGTTTACTTGCGCTGGTCTCGCTGCATCTGTTCTAGCGCTAGGTAAGACAAGAATATAACATTTCCAATTATAGTCTACTGTTTTAGCACTTTTGTGGGGAAATTCCTTTTGGCTCCTTTTCCTCGCCGTTCTCTTCATCAACTGTTTCTTCACACAATGCTCAAGAATCCTCCTGACGCAATTAACCGTCGCCCGCGCGCCGGTCGAAAACCGCGGCACGATCATGGGCTCGGTTACTTCGCTCACAGCAGTCAGCCGATCCTTATGCGACTTTGCGAACGCGTTTCTGCTTTCCTTTGGCGATCTGGGTCCGTTACTTGCTTCTGCGCTGCTTTGCTCATTTTCAAGTCTACTCGTTGCAAAGGCGATTCCCAAAACTAAGCTCAAGGCGTCTTAATTTTTTCCTGTTCCGTCTTTCTGCTGCAATTAACAATTGATTTATTTCCGTGTAAATAAACAGCTAATTGATTTTTATTATGATTATGAAAAAGAAGCAAAAATGCGAATTCAAGTTTGAGAAAGCGCATCTTTGAAAACAAATGGTCGGCATTTTTACTGAAAACTTTCAAGCAGGCAAGAAAGAGGAAAGATTTTTTGAAAATATTAAAAATTCAGTAGGGAGCAACTTTCATATGCGCATCAGAGACTTAGAAACGTCCGAACATCCTAAAATCGTCGGTAATTTATCACAAATAATCGCTTCGAATCTTCTTGTCTCTCGAAAAACTTGCTCAATTCTGATAACTCTTTGATTTCTTGATTCGGGGTGAACTCTTCTAGACGCGAGTTAGTTTCAGGAAGAAAAAATGGTAGACGGTTTTCGACAAAAACTCTACTTTACGAGAAAATATTGAACAAGAGCGTCTCAAAAAACTCAATTTCCTTTGCTTTTTACTCCAATTTAAACCTACAGTAATTCCGTCTTGTTTTAGACAAAATAATGTCTTCGTCTTCCGACACAGAGCTCGAAACGTCGTCCTACACAGATTCTGAAACGTCGCCCGACACAGAGTCTGAAATCTCATCGAACTCAATCCCTGAGTCAGAAATGATTTGCCACGAGTCCTTGTTTCCAGCCTCCTTCAATCGCTTTTGCAAGTTTCGAGAAGAGTCGAAAGGGATTGACGTTGTGATTAAATCTGGCTCGCTTCGATTCGAAGCCCATAAACTCGTCCTAGCGTCGGCCATTCCGTATTTTGAGGCACATCTAATGACATCATGGAAAAACGGAGCAGAAATTTCCCTTGATATTCCTGGGGTCGATCCAGAGATCATCATATCAGGTATTATTCCAACTCCTTCCCAAAAATTGTAAATCGATAAATAAGTGATCAAGTGGGCATACACTGGCGAAATTGAACTTACAAATGAAACCGCGCAATCCATCCTCGTCGCTGCTCAATATCTCGGATGTGAGCAAGTGGTCACAGCTTGTTTCGATTTCATTGAGCGCCGCATGAGTACGGAAAATGTCCTCGATGTTCTTCAACTCGCTGAGAGAATTTTCCGACCGGATTTGGAACGTCGGGCACGACAGTACATTGACCGCTACTTTTGCGATTTTTACCAACTTCCTGTTTGGACAACCGCGCCAGCTAAATTAGGTACAAATCAAAAAGACTGTTTTGTCGACTTATCCAATTGGCTTTCTTGTTCTTAAAAATTTTCAGTTATGAGCATTCTCGGTTCTTCTGATCTTTATGTCAAGGAGGAGGCAACTGTCTGGTCCGCCTTTAAAATCTGGCTCGAAGCGAACCCATCGTGTGAGGACAAGCTCGTTCATGAGATGCTTAGTCAAGTTCGTCTGCATCTGCTTCCTCCGCAATTCCTTCAAGACGAGGTTCTTACCTTCGACTTGATTTCAAGCAATGCCCAATGCTGCGCATTGATAGATCAGGCCAAGGAACCCAAAATGAAAAAGCGGAAACGAAAAATTTCCCAGGTCAACATGGTGGGGAACGGGAATGATGCTGAACGATTGAAGCCGAGATGGTGCTCGCACTTGGAGAATGACATTTATATTTTGACAACGTGGCCTGAAAAGATTGAAAATGGCTGCGGATTCTTTCAGGAAAACTATCAGTTCGTTCGTTTTGATCCAGATTCAAAGGTAAGATTTCGTGCGAATCAATTGATAACATTTGTTAATCGATAAGAAATGTAAAACAATGCCTCCGATGAAACATTGTTGGACAGAATTCGGAGTGGCCGTCTTGGATGGAATGATCTACGCAATAGGTGGAAATTACTCCGGGAAGGCTGCTGAACGATTCGATCCGAAAAAGGGCAAATGGGAATCCATAGCCAGTATGATTAGCGAACGATATTGGCCGGCATGCTGCGCGATGAATGGCCGCATCTATGTGTCTGGTGGCGGCAAGACATCACCCGTAAACGAATGTTACGACCCGGAGAAAAACATTTGGCAAGAAATTCCATCCATGAAAACATATCGAAGCTCTGCAGCAGCAGCTTCCTTCGAAGATAAAATGTATGTCACTGGAGGTTATGGCGATTTCAGTGGAATTCCACATTTAGACTCTGTCGAAGTCTTTGACGGAAAGAAATGGACCGAGGCTCCCCCAATGCTGAGCCCTCGAGCTGGTCATGGAAGCCTGGTCTTCCAAGGCCAGCTTTGGGTTATCGGCGGTGAAACTGGTCCCAATCCTATGAGAGACTGCGAGCAGTTCAATTTCAACTCTCAGCAATGGACACGCGTTCAGGTTTCAAGCTGTAGCTGTTTAAATTAAACAAAATTTAAGAAAATGAGTTGGGGGCGAGACAATCTCGGCGTGGCTATGAATAAAAACCGACTTTTGTTTTGGAAGGCGACGGCGGAGTTGGCGATTCCTTCGAAATTTATGATCCTGAAAACGGCTGGTCTTCTTCGAATTTTAAGTGTCGGAAGCCATCAAGCGCCTGTGTTCTGGCGGCTGCTATTCCTAAAAATTGCTCTTCCCTGCGACTCTAACAAATTAACTGCCGAAGAAAATTCAAAACATTTTCTTTTCATGACTTGTATTTTTATTTTTTCGCCAAAATAAACTCTTCAGTGTGGTTAGAAATCAGTTCGCAAAGCAGGGGAGATTTAACAATAAATTCCAACGATTTCATATCTTTCCCAACAAAATCATGGATGTGATAGATTTTTCCATCATTTTCGAAAAGTTTTAAATTTCGATCGTCGAGTTTTTATGTTTTAGACAAAATTATGTCTTCGTCGTCCGACACAGATTCTGAAATCTCGTCGAACTCAATCCCTGAGTCAGAAATGATTTGCCTCAAGTCCTCCTTGTTTCCAGCCTCCTTCAATCGCTTTGGCAAGTTTCGAGAAGAGTCAAAAGGGGTTGACGTTGTGATTAAATCTGGCTCACTTCGATTTGAAGCCCATAAACTAGTCCTAGCATCGGCTTTTCCGTATTTCGAAACACAACTAATGTCATCATGGAAGAACGGAGCTGAAATTTCCCTTGATATTCCTGGGGTCGACCCAGAGATCATTATTTCAGGTGTTATTTTAATTTTTTCACACAAGTAGTAAATCGAAGTATAAGTGATCGAGTGGGCTTATACCGGCGAGATCGAACTTACAAATGAAACCGCGCAATCCATCCTCGTCGCTGCTCAATATCTCGGATGTGAGCAAGTGGTCACAGCTTGTTTCGATTTCATTGAGCGCCGCATGAGTACGGAAAATGTCCTCGATGTTCTTCAACTCGCTGAGAGAATTTTCCGACCGGATTTGGAACGTCGGGCACGACAGTACATTGACCGCTACTTTTGCGATTTTTACCAACTTCCTGTTTGGACAACCGCGCCAGCTAAATTAGGTACAAATCAAAAAGACTGTTTTGTCGACTTATCCCTTCGCTTTCTTGATCATAGAAATTTTCAGTGATGAGCATTCTCGGTTCTTCTGACCTTTATGTCAAGGATGAGACAACTGTCTGGTCTGCCTTCAAAATCTGGCTCGTAGCGAATCCATCGTGCGAGGACAAGGTCGTTTATCAAATGCTTAGTCGAGTTCGCCTGCATCTGCTTCCTTCAGAATTTCTTCGCGACGAGGTTCTTACCTTCGATTTGATTTCGAGCAATGCCCAATGTTGTGCATTGATAGATCAGGCGAAGAAACCCAAAATGAAAAAGCGAAAACGAAAAATTTCTCAGGTCAAAATGGTGGAGAACGCAATTGTAGGTGAACGATTGAAGCCGAGGTGGTGCTCGCATTTGGAGAATGACATTTATATTCTGACAACGTGGACTGAAGAGATTGAAAATGGCTGCGAATTCTTTCGGGAAACCTATCAGTTTGTTCTTTTTGATCCAGATTCACAGGTAAAATTTTGTGTGTCAATGTCGTTTATCGATAAGAAATGTAAATCAATGCCGCCGATGGAAAAATATGATTCAAATTTCGGACTGGCCGTCTTGAATGGAATGATCTACGTACTTGGAGAGATTGCAGAACGATTCGACCCTAAAAAAGGCAAATGGGAATCCATCGCCAGTATGATTTGCAAACGATTCTCACCGGCATGCTGCGCGATGAATGGCCGCATCTATGTGTCTGGTGGAAATTCGAGAAGGGAAGATCCATCACCCGTAAACGAATGTTACGACCCGGAAAAGAACGTTTGGGAAGAAATTCCATCAATGAAAATGTATCGAGAATCTGCAGCAGCAGCTTCCTTTGAAGATAAAATGTATGTAACTGGAGGCTATGACAGCTGTGGTCTATATTCTCCACGGTTCGACTCTGTCGAAGTCTTTGACGGAAAGAAATGGACGGAGGCTCCCCCAATGCTGAGCGCTCGAGCTGGTCATGGAAGCCTGATTTTCCAAGGCAAGCTTTGGGTTGTCGGAGGAGAAAACGGTCCCCATGTGAGGAGAAGTTGCGAGCAGTTCAATTTCGATTCGCAGCAATGGACACGCGTTCAGGTTTCAAGCTGTAGCTGTTCAAATTAAAAATGTTTTTAGAAAATGAATTTTGGGCGATTACATCCCGGCGTTGCTATGACAGGAAACCGACTTTTTGTTTTGGAAGGTGACCGCGGAATTGGCGATTCTTTCGAAATTTTCGATCCTGAAAATGGCTGGTCTTCTTCGAATTTTAAGTGTCGGAAGCCATCAAGCGCCTGTGTTCAGGTGGCTGCTATTCCTAAAAACTGCTCTGTCCTGCGATTCTAATAAATCAACTGCGGAGGAAAATTGGAAACATTTACTTTTCATGACTTGAATTTTTTATTTTTTCGCCAAAATAAACTCTTCAGTGTGGTTAGAAATCAGTTCGCAAAGCAGGGGAGATTTAACAATAAATTCCAACGATTTCATATCTTTCCCAACAAAATCATGGATGTGATAGATTTTTCCATCATTTTCGAAAAGTTTTAAAATTCGATCGTCGAGTTCTTCTGGATGTTCTTTGAAATAATCTTCTTGGTCTAAATAATCTTGTTACTTTCCGACACTTGAAATATTGAATAACCTTTTTTGGTTATTTCAAAGTTCCAAAAATTATCTTTTCCTAATTCGCGCATCACAAAAGACGGAAATGAAGCGTCGACGAACTCTCTATTGACCAAATAATTAACAACTCCAGCTTGAGTGAAAATGATCGGCCAGGAACAAATCATCGTCGCGGAGAAAAGAGTTGTATTAAAGCCTCCTTTGAACTTGACTTGTTGGGAGTAATTGAGGCTCTTTTGGATGTATCGCTTGAAGACGGAAGTGGCGAGCGCGGTGACGAAGAATCCAGCGCCGAAGATTTTTACTGAAGCGCTGAGAAACGTTCTGTTCTTTTCCCACTCTTCGTAGGATGCTGGGATCAAATACTGCTCAGAATTTAGATGCTGAAGTTTTCAGTGATTGAAAGCTTTAATTTCGAGGACTTACTTTTGGGTTTTGAACCGATGGAAGGAGCTTCAATTTCTCATCAACAGGCAGTTCAATCGCTGAATTTTTAATTCGCTCGAAGAGCCTGACCTAGAATATACAGGCATCCGATTCACTTCTACAGTTCTACCTTTTTATCCTCCGGCAGAGGAGCTATTCTCGACCAAACAGTTGCCAAGATATCATTCATGCTAAGAATTCCAACGTAAAAAAATGGATGAAATCAAGGAAGAGAGTGCAAGTAAAAAAGAAAAAGATCAAAAATATAAAAATAGAACAGGGCTACAGGAAAGACGGTTTTTAGGAATTAGCAGGTAAGATAGAAAACGTAGCTTTGACGGAAGCGGCGATTATTTTCGTCTTTGATTTCTTGTTCAAAACTTGGCTGAGTTCATTCGAGTCTCCAGCAGCGCCTGTATTCATGAAGGATTCCGTTAATTCAACATCGCTGATCGACTTGAGCGCTCCTAATCTGACGCCCATTTGTTTCGCCGTAGTTTTTGCGTTGTTCTTGACTTTATGGAGCGCGTAGTTGGTTAGTTCTTCGCGCTTCTTGGCGACTACCTCTCGCGAATGATGAAACTCAAGAGGAAGAATAGTTGTTCGATCGCAGTCGAGTTTTTCGACAAGATGAGAACGCAGTTTCTTTGAAAGGTTTGAGTTTTGCTTTGAAAATGATGAAAATACCTGCGCAGATTTGTAACAACTCAATTTCGTGTTTATTTGCAGCTCAAACGAGTATCCTTCCGCAGTTTTCTCCATGTTTTCATACGTCTAAAATCAGCTTAGAAAATGACGATAACAACAATTTATATAAACATACGACTATCTGACTTCTCTCAGTCGCTCCAGCTTTCTTTGCATGAGTGATGATATAGTTTCTCCATTTATCTACCGCAATTCTGACGTCTTCCGCAGTCGGCTTTTCGTACCTCAGGATTACGATCAGCTCGATAATGTCTTCAGGAAATTTTATTCACCGTCCTTTTAAATATGCATACCTGGCGCTATGACAGTACTAGTACTTCCAACTGCGTTTAAAATGCACTCATCTATCATTCTTTTATTGAACAAAAATATGACTTTGTTTTAAAATAGTTATTTTTATTAGATACATGTGCGAAAGGAGGCAGTGAACAATTCATATGATATGACACAGCAAGGGGTTCAACTGCTCTCAAAAAATGTGATATTTCCTTTTTAAAACTTCAACAGTTGAAGAGAAAGAGCAAGATTTGAAGGCACAGGGCGTTTAACAGGATTTAACAGGAGCAAATAACGACAAGTGTTTTTATGGCGAACGCGTGTCAATAACATGGATAGTATGGATAATATGGATATTTGATGGCTCCTTGATTTTTAAATTTTGAGCTTTTTTTTCTGACAGAAAAAACTGCCGCAGTGGTAGTTTTTTCAGAGGCAGGTTTTCATGCACCGTGTGAAGTGAGCTGTGTCAAAGTTGTGAATACTGCACTGACAGCGTTTTTTTAAATGGGAACAACCTGGGGAGTGAAATTTCTCATAGTACAGTCATAGGAGAGAGCACTGCTGTCACTGCAGTCTGCAGCGGCTGGGTTTGGCGGGCGAGATTATTCGGGCAAGGGATTTGGCAAGTTTCGGACAGCAAGCGGATGGAAGGGCGAATCAAGGGGAACCTGATCGTGGTCAAAATGAACTCGTGCTTGGTAGAAAGCAATCACTAGCTGCGGGATTTTTTTATTCGCTACTTCGCGTTCGATGAACTCATATTTGGGATAGTCCTTCCACTTGACCAAAAATTTGAAGCCGTTGATGTCTGTTGCACCGACGATTTCCTCGGGAACGAGACCTTGGTCGAATCCTGAGACATGCTTCCTGGGCGTAGTTTCTTTCTCATTTTTAATCTCTGCTGAGGTAGGTTCTACCCCAGAGGTAGATGGGGTGTTTTCTTTGGCAGCATTTTCCTGAGATTGAGAAGTTTGAGCTTCGACGGGAACTTGAACTGGGAGATTTGTTTCTGTCGGCTGGAAAGGTTGCTTCTTTTTGGTGCTGGAAAGAGTATCAGATTTGTCTGATATTTTCTTTTCTTTGGCGATCGTAACTGTGCCAGACATGCCGGATATAACACTGTCTTGATCGTCATCAGAAAGAGCTTCATTTTCTGGAATAAGGTTACTCCATGTTCGCCGTTTTTGTGTCACTCGAATTCGTCTTTTGCTTATCTTCTGGCTTCCCTCTGATCCTTCAGAATCCAGATCGATCACCTCGCTCACCTTGCGCTGCTAAAAAGTTTATTAAACTCACATTTCCTGAGAAACTACTACCTTTGCTATCCTATCACCAGACTCTCGCTCCTTCTTGATTTTTCTAGCCGCTGAATCTTCTTGTGGATACACCTTCTGTGAGTCGTTATGCTTCAGCTTCTATAAAATATATCAGTTACTGAAAACAATTAAAAAAACTTACCTTAGGATGAATAGCGGTCGACTCATCTCCGAGATCAGTATCTGATGCATCGGAGATTATCTTTTTCTCTTCGGATTCAGGGCGCTTTCGTTTTTTCTTGTTATTCTTTTCTTTTATTTTCTTGGCCAATCTTGGCAAATTCTTGGAAAAAATGATTTTAAAACATAAGTCTTCCATGATTTCAATACCTTTTTCTTGAACTCCTTTAGAATGTCCGTACAATCGAGATTCTCCTCTGGCTCCCAAGTGTTGTCCTCCTCATTATCGTAACCCTTCCATTTGATCAGATATTCTCTAACTGCTCCCTTAATCTTTTTCTTTCGAGTGTCCAAGATGGCTTCAACCTCGTATTCGTCGTCAGAACTTTCGACCTCTGACATTCTAACGCGCGAAGAAAAGGTCGTTTATTAACTTATTTATAATAAGTTATAATTATTGCAATATTTAAATCAGCAAGGACACGCTTAAGAAACGGTCAACTCGCCGGGGAGAATATTTAAATTGAACAGACACCAAGTTTAGGGTTGATTTTGTCTTTAAAATCTCAGAATAGTCTTGAGAAATACAGATGAGGACTGACAGTACAGAAATACTCCTAAATAAGCAGCGGCTTTTTGCTTAACTTGTTTTTCCTAGAATTGTTAGCTGCAAATGTCTCAACGCAATACGATATAAAGTTAGTTTTCTGTTGAAGAAATAACGCTGTTAGCTACATTAGTTTTCTGGTAATAATAATAAACCTAGAGGTAGTCGATGAAATCGCCTAGAACTTAGAATTTGCCATCCGGGAGGAATTCATATTCGCCTTTGTAAGTGGCGATATGATTCCACCATCTAGCCACGTGCGCGTAATTATCGACTAGTTCGGGTTGAACATGCGCGTGCGCTTGAACATCGAGTTTTGTCGCTACATCGTCGACGAGGTACGAGCGCTCGCTGAGCCAAGAGTTCAACTTGCGCAAATTCGTTTGCCGCGACAAATCGCCGAAACGCGCGCGCACCGGACACGTTCTACAAAGTTGAGACATTTTCCTGGAATTAACGGTAAACGAAACATTACTTTCGCAATCTCTCGAAGTCAACGCGGCAGATTGAGGCATTTTGACCGTTTCGAAGGTCGTATTTGTAGCCACAGAGCTCTCTAAAGAAAACAGTTGGAGACAACAAGGAGAATTCTCTAACGCACCGAATATTATTCATTTTATATTTGATCATCGCTGGGCGTTCTAGCGACAAGCCCCAGGCAATGACGGACACGTTTTCGGGCAATCCCATCGGCCTCAACATTTCTGGTCTGAACATTCCAGAGTTGCCGATTTCGGTCCACTTTTTCAATCCTTCGTGATACGAGAAAATTTCCATAGACGGTTCGGTGTATGGGTTGTATGCAGGCTAGGACGATTTGAGCGTTGGAAACAGGAACAAAGAATACCTTGAACTTGAGCTTTTCGATTCCGAGTTTCTTGAAGAAAGTGTGGAGGACGCCAATCAAGTCAGCTAACGAGACATTGTAATCAGCGATGAGTCCCTCGACTTGATGAAATTCTGCCAAATGAGTGTTGTCCAAAGTTTCATTTCGGAAGACGCGATCGATACTAAAAGTTGGCCTTAGAATTTTCGCAATATTTTTTTCTCCCAACCTGAAATATTTAGTGGGCTTGAATTCCTTCTGCTGAGCAAGTTTGTAGAGCATTTTCGCGGAAACAGCGGTGGTATGAGTTCGGAGAACATTTTTCATGGCTTCTTCTTTGCTCCAGTCGTAGCCGTAGCCTTTGGAATCGAAACCACCGTGACTGTGGATGTTTTTCACCCGCTCGAGGTAATCTGCTGGTGGATCGTTCAAAGCCGATGCTTGGAAATATTGGAAGAGAGCTGGGGAATGACTTTTACCTGGCTCAGAAAGGAAGAAAGTATCATGAGCATCTCTCGCTGGATGCTGCTGGGGCTGGAAGAGGGCATCAAAGTTCCAGAATGATGATTCGACAAAATTCGATGTTGGCATCTCTTCGAATCCCATTTCGAGGAAGATATTTCTGTAGGCGCTTCGGAGCTTCAAAAGAGGATGGAGGAATCCATGTGGGGGTCGAACACCAGTAGCGTTGTAGTTGTATTCTTTGAAAGTCTTGCTTTTCCACGCATCATTCGCTATTTTGAAGAAGTAAAAGGAAAAGTTGAGTTTGGGAAAGACTCACCGAGAAGTTCTTTTGTAAGTTCCGTTTCTGGCTTTTCGACGGTCGTTTTGAAGCCAGCTGATTTCTTCAAGTCAAAGACGGTTAATTTCTTCTCATCAACGAGCTTTCGTTTCTTGGCATCAGCAAGCTCTTTTGCTTCTAGTGGCTGGCCTGCAGCGACTTTCTTGCAAATATTGCCGATAGTATCTTCTGGAGTTTCCTTATTTAGGGATAAGTGATAGAAAGGTTTTTGGGTGTTTACCTTGACTGCTCTGTAAATCTTTCCATCTTCCTTGTTCTTTGAAATCCACTTCGCCGCAAGTGCTTTTCCCATTCCAAGTTTAGCATTTGGAATGTTTTTCATCGCGTCTCCTTGAGTAATTCCCTCTTCCGGCACATTCGACCAGAAAACGAATTCGTGGCTACCATTCTTTGCGATGCCTTCTCCCTCTGGCTTCAGCGTCACGTCGACCTTGACCCTGTCGGTGGCTGAAATGTAATCTCCGGCTGCTTGAATCGACTTCATGAAGCCAACGACTTTCTGGTGCTCAAGCTGGAGGTCTGATGCAAGATCAGTTGTGCATACAGATGCATCGCTGATGAACAAAGCTTCAAGCTTCACTAATACGTCCTCTACTGTATATTCTGGCATTCTGAAAAGAAGAAAGAGAAGGTTATAATTGAACTTATAGTTTCAGAGGAATGAGCAAGTCAAGCTCATCCACTCAGCCGAGTTTCAATAGTTTTAATCGCAGAAGTAATAACGCTTTCCGTCGTTTCCAGAATTTCACTTTCAATAACTGTTTCTTCCTTTGCCTTTCTAAGCTTGACGGCGAAGGACTTGAGAACTAGTCTACTTGGGCCGCCAAAAAGTCTCGTTGCGCCTTCCAAGTCGCTATGAAATAAAAACTAGAAAAAATAAGGGGTATTGTGAGTACCTAATTCCGATTTCCGCCAAGTTCTGTGCAATATTACACAGTTGTTTACACTTCTCTTCTTCCAAATACCAACTATTATCGGCCATCAAAGCGCGGATGGCCTTTTGAAGTACACTCGCTCGATTTGACAAGATTTTAAGTTGGTCCTTTTGAGATGGATCGTCGATCATTGCGATTTCTGCATAACATGCCCAGGCTTCTTTAAAAGATGGCTTCGCAGCGACAACTTTGTGAAGCAATTCTTTCATTCTCGACAGTTCATTTCTCGCAGGTTTGTCCGCGTAATCTCGTAAATCTTCCACAATAGCTGAGAAGGGAAAAATGAGAATTTCTTATCGCTGAAATATGATGAGGTACCTTGCGTCAATATCCTCAAAACTGGCACATCCTTGAAATCCTTCTTTGGGTGAATGTCCAACAGCGTGCTGTAGGCCCTTATCGCGCCATTGAAATCGCCACAATCGGTCGATATCGTCAAAAAATTCTCCCACAGCTCCCACTTTCCGTAATTGCACTTGATCGCTTCTGCCAAGCTTCGGTGCGCGGCTGGTTTGTTTCCAGCTTTCAGCTCTGCATTGGCCAGGTTTGCCCACGCTTCGAAATTATCATACTCTTAAAAATTTGATAAGCCTACGTTTCTTATGGAAAATCAATCAGTTCAGAAAATCGTACCTAATGTAACGCATCTCCTGAAGGACCTGGAAGCTCCCTTGTAATCCGAGCAAATCAAACTCGCGCATCCGTGCGCAAACCAGGTTCCAGGCTGCAAATGGTTCAATTCCAGCGCATTCTTGAACGCCGCTGCCGCCTCGTCGTATCTTTTCAAATGAACGAACAGGGCGCCCAAAGATCGCATTGACCGTGCGTGCCGTTTTTTCGACAGTTCCCAAGCTCGTTCGTAGAATTCTACTGAATTGTGAATGTCGCCTTTGATGCACCAGAAGTTTGCTTTTCGAGCATCATCAAAATCTTCTCGGGCGAGACATTTATCCGCCAGTTCTTCAGCCTGTTTATTCATATCCGCGGCGATATAGCAGTAACATGTGTCCTCAAACATTTCCAAAGCTGAAATTTACCGTTAAATCTCCTCTTTATCCTTTCCCTCACCGATAAACTCATCAACAGCTGACTTTGCGAGGCCCAATTTTACGTACGAGTCACAGAGTTCTTTCCTCAGCACCCATCTTGGTGCAACTTTGCTCGCGAAGAATAAATCAAGGGGGATGATATCTTCTTCTTTTGAATTCAAAAATAAGTCGTTGATTGCTTGCAGCTGTTTCATTCCTCGCTCCACTTGCGAAAACTTGTACACTTCCAACTTGCTTCTGTATCTTAGAGCCTCGGCAACTGAAGAATTTCTTTAGTTTGAAAAGACTCTTTCTCTCTACCTGTATAATAAGACGCGCAACGAGGATTCGCAAGGATAAAATCAACCATCGCAAGTTGCTCCTCCTCGTTGAGTTTTTCCCGGGTTGGTTTTGTTTTCATATCGACGCACAACTTCGCTAGAACTCCAGCGTGGCCGAGCGGCGTGATTGCGCCCATGGATTCTTCGATTGATTCATCTTCGAATTTTATACGACTAAATTAGAAATTTTGATTTTTGAAGCTACCGAAACGCATGTTTAAAAATTCTCTAGAGATGATTGTTTTTCTCGGCAGGGTTGTCTCCCTCACAAGCTGCAATGCCAATTTGTTTTTTGATGACAGCTCTAGAAAGGAAAAAAGAGGATTCAGTTCTACGAGTCTCTAGAACTGTTGTTTTTTTGAAAAAATCGGGCAGCAGGGTTGTCTCCCTCATAGGCTGCCCCTGGAAATATAAACAACGGCGAAAGCCGAGGTGGGCACACTTCACTCAAAGTCAAATTTAGTGAAACATGTCTGGACGAGGCAAAGGCGGAAAGGGTCTTGGAAAAGGCGGCGCCAAGCGTCACCGCAAGATCATGCGAGACAACATCCAGGGCATCACCAAGCCCGCGATTCGACGACTCGCTCGACGAGGTGGCGTCAAACGCATCTCTGGCCTCATCTACGAAGAGACCCGAGGTGTTCTCAAGGTCTTCCTCGAGAACGTCATCCGTGACTCCGTCACCTACACTGAGCACGCTAAGCGAAAGACCGTCACTGCCCTCGACGTTGTCTACGCTCTCAAGCGACAGGGCCGAACTCTTTACGGATTCGGTGGATAAGTTCACTTGTCTTTCCTGTTAGCAAAAACCGGCCCTTTTAAGGGCCACAAATATTTTAAAAGAACAGGAATTACCTCATAACTGATTCGTCTTCAAGTGCAACATCAATGACTTTACTTCCGTTTCGTTTGACACAGTCGTATTTCGACTTTTCCAGCTTCTTCGAATCATCATTTTCGACCTTGAGATAAAGCTGCGCAAGACTGTCTTGCTGGAAGCGCGTTCTTTTTCCAAGAGCTCCAGAAAGTGAGAATGTCTTTCCATAGAACGCCTGGAACTCGTTGATGCATTTGACTGCCGCGTCGTATTGATAAAAATCGAGGGTCGTATGAGCGGCCTCGATGAGAAAGAGCAACTTAGTGCCAGGTTCCGCCATGATGCACGACTTTTGAATAAAGGAGAAGGCTTCTGAGAAAAGTTTGAGAAGCGAGGGACATTTATCAGAACCGACGATTTGCTGCATCACTTGAGCATATCTCCAAAGCCACCAGTGAGTTACTGCCTTAGTTGCTTCATCCTCTGAGATTTTATTAGCAAAGATGGTCTTATTTTAACTTGAAAACATACGAGTATCATCAAGAATCGCCGCAAAAACATCCCTTGCGTACAAAAGTAGCGGAATTGCAACTGCAAGAGGAGATGTTGGTTCTCCATCAATGTGAATTACTTCCTTAGCTTGAGCCCAGCTTGGCAGGCGATCAAATACAGTCGGGCCCAGGGCTGGTAAATTCGCGTCCTAAAATCTGTCGAAAATTTTTAGTGCACTAAAATTAGTGCGCGAATTTATTTTGTCGAGACTTTAGTGACTTTCGCGTCTCTTTCGCGTGTGTCTCGAAAAGTGTCGAAAATAAGAGCTGCTGATTGGCCCGCCAATGAGCGCGGGCTCTTTAATTCTGAAGAATACGTAAGTTTGAGAATTTCAAACTTCGATAATATTAGAATTTCAAAGAGTTTCAATAAAGTGGATTGGGTAATCGAGGGCGTGAATTTTAATATAAAGTCAAAAAAGACTTTATCAATCCATTTGTTAATTTTCTTTATAAATATAAAGTAACAAATATAGCTTATATTATATAGGGTAAAAATTGAATTCATTTTTGTTTGCAACTCTTTCTGTGCTGGATTTGAATGATAAGCTTAGACTCTTAGACTAAGATTAGCTTTCTAAGGGAGGTCTTCTCCCGAATTTTTTTATTGAAGCTTGTTCTTCCTGCATTTTCCCTTTCTTGTCAATCTTCTTCTTGTCGTCGTTCGACTAATCTTCGGTGTCCTCAAAAGTCTGTAGCAGGAGCAGCCTTGTGCAGATTGTTAATATAATTCATAATTAACAAAATCATATTTATTTCACAATTCAGAAGGGAGATCTTCTCCCAAGTTCATGCTTACTTTATAATTCAGAAAGCAGATTTACTCCCGATATATTTTACTCTTAAAATATAGCATTGCTATATCCTAGAAAACTAATAAAAAACTTTGGGAGGAGTTCTTCATTAGCAGTTATCAAGTAAGCGTGAATTTGGGAGGAGACCTCCCTTCTATATTGTCAAATATATATAATATATAATAAATATAATAATATAAATATAAATATAATAATATAATATGATTCTGTAAATAAAGAATTATGTAAAGATATTGAGAAGAGCTCTTAGACCACGAAAGTAGGGGAAAAGATCGCACTCAGGGTTCGAAATCGCCTAGGCGAATTCGCCTAAAAAGCTAGGCTAGGCTAGGCTAGGCGAATTCCTCGGAGGACTCTTGAAATTTCGCCTAGCCTAGCCTAGCCTAGTCTCATACTGGTGCCTTAGGCGAAGCTAGGCGACAAGGCGAAAATGAAAATTCGCCTTGAATTTAGCCTAGGCGAAGAAATTAGGCGAATTTAGGCGAAATCTAGGCAGATCTAGGCGAAATCTAGGCAGATCTAGGCGAAAATTTCGCCTAATTTTCGCTTTTCGCCTAATTTTCGCCTAATCGCCTAAAAAATTGAAATGAATCGCGTTTCCGCTGTGACAAAAAATTCGCCTAGCTTTTTTAAATTGATAATCGACAACCGAAAATTGGTAATGGGTTACCAAAAATTTTGGTAATGAGTCCGACCGTTCCCGGAAAGTAGAACGTATCAGTCAAGGCTGCTCCAGCTTCAGAGACTGTTGAGGACAGCGATGAGAAGTTGTCGGACGATGACAAGAAGAAGAAAGGCAAAAAATGAAGAAAAGCAGGAAGATCCAGCTGCGGATGGCCCTGCGATAAAAAATTAGGAGAAGACCTCCCTAGCAAAGCTTATCTTAGCTCATCATTAAAATATTCGACAAAAGAATTTCCAACAAAAGTTGACTTTTATTCCTTTCAACTTTTTTGTTTCTAAATTAGAACACTGGAAATATATTTTTTCGCAAAACTGAAAAGTACTTGTTTCAGAGAACTAATACGCTCAGGTGAAAGAGGATGATCGATAACCTTAGCTGACTTAATCTGGTGGGGGCTAAAAACGATTTTTAAAAATTAAATTGTGTCATATTTATGATTCATTGATTTTTAAATATCTAGCAGTTTCAGTTTGAAGAAATTCTTCCCTGACAAAAATCGTCTTCCATGAAACTATCATCCGGGAAGAGCCCATTGGATGATGAAAAAGAGCCTCTTTTTCGCGTCTTTAGTGCTGATCAGCTCTCGAAAAGTCACTAATTTCCCCAAGAGGAAAAATTAGTGTCATTTTAGTGCACTAAAGGCGCGAAAGACGCGAAAATGTCTCTAAAAAATTAGTGCACTAATTTTTTTTCTTCGAGAGAAAATAGTGCGCTAATTTACCAGCCCTGGTCGGGCCTGTGAAATTCTCTCTGATAAACAGCTCCAACGCAGCAATACCGACATCAAGATTGAATCCCTCACTGAGCTCTCGAGTGGAAGGAAGGAGAGAGATTTGACGGGAAATGTCAAGATCGGATTTGCTGTGAATTTGGTCTAAGTACGATTCCATTCTATTGAATCTACTTTGAGCCTTGACTTCGAGAGAATAACTTCTTTCATCGTTTCATTATTTTTTATTGAAAAGAAAATATACAGAATACTATTTTAAATGTCCTGGTTTGAGCTTTGTCAAAAGTTCGAGACTGCCATGGCAAGATTAGTGATCGATAGGAATGGAAAGGAAGAGCGCAGAAATACGCAAAAGGTAGAAATAGTTTTTGAAGAAAAGCGCAAGATTTATTTTAAAGAAGGCATCTTCGGAATGGATAGTTTCATATTTTGGAAATTCGAGAAGGATCAGAGGGCGAGCGAACGAGCTTTGAGGCTTTGTGTCGGATGGAAAGAGGGACCAGGCGATTTTGTAGCTTCGAGATCGCGTCGAACTAGGGTTGGATTTGTTAGGAACTTTGCGGAGCGGAAGGGACTTACTCTTGGAGAGTTCGTGGTAGGCTTGACTGGTTGGAGAACGCGCGACTTCTTTTCGAGCTCATTCTGCAGCTAAATATACTTTTTAAATGCAAGAAAGACGGAGCTATGGGAACCTCGTTTAGTCGTCTTTCCCGATCATCTAATGACTTTTCGCGCTGAACAAGGCGTTCTTCCCAAATTTTGAGCTCGAGTTCTGTTTTCCTTCTTTTCGAAGGACTCCTTTCAAGTGGTTTTATTGGAGAGGGACTGTCACCGGCAAGATTTAGATACGGCACGTTGTTATTCGACCTGTTGAAATTAGCTGTTGAGAAGAAATGGAATTGGGAATTACCCGGATCTAATCGGCTTCGGGAGACTGGAAGGTCGTTGACTAGAAATCGGAGGAGAGGGCTTTGAAATCGGCGTTGAGTTATTTGTGTCGTAAGATTTGTAGCCGCTGGAGTTTATCGAATCTTTCGTAGCACTGCTAGCAGTGCTTTCTCGCTTCAACGAGCTAACACGTGACACTTTTGGCGTCGTGGAACGTTTTGGCTTGGGCATCATCAAAGTTGGATTTATGTACGGCATTTCTGAAACCAATTTGAATAAGTTTTAATAAGCACTTTGACTTACGAAGTAGACTTTCGACGGAAGGCCGTTTTTCCGGATTCTGTTTGAGCATACTACTCAATGTAGTAAACAACTCCTCCGAGTACGCGTGAGGTATTCTTCTGAATTCTCCCTTTTTGATCTTGCCGTAGAGTTCTTTTTGGTCCTTCGCGGTGAAAGGAGGATGAAGCGCGCAAAGTTCGTAAATGAGACAGCCGAGGGACCAGACGTCGGACGACTCGTTGTAGCGCATCTTTGCCACTTGTTCTGGGCTCATGTAGTAGGGAGTGCCGACGTAGGAGATTGCCATGGACACTTCGGAAGAGAGGACCCTAAAGTTCAAACGATTAGGCTTCGGCAAAATTTTTTTGCTAACCTGGCAAGTCCGAAATCTCCCAATTTAACATCACCCATCGCCGAGGTAAGAAAAACATTAGCGGGCTTCAAATCGCGATGAAGAATTTTTCCTTGTTGATTTTGATGAAGTTCTTTCAGCGCTAATAGCAGCTGGTAAAATACTTTGAGTACAAATTCTTGAGGTAGCATTGAGTTGAGCCGCCCGGCGAGGCGTTTTTGTTTTCTGTCTTGAATTAATTGCGCTAGATCGCCGCCTGCGCAGTATTCCATCACTAGAATTAGTTTGAAAAGGGTGTCCAAACGCCTAATTTTACCAAGATAAAGGGTTGAAGAAGATTTGACAACGATTCTGTCGATGTAGCGGACAATGTGCGGGTGCCTCAAGTCGCGTAAAAGATTCACTTCTCTGACAAGCGACTCTTTTTCCGCCTCCCGCATATTTCCATACCGGACTTCTTTCCAGACAAATTTTTGGCCATCGACAAGTCTCTTCACTAAACAACACGTCCCGAAGCTTCCGACTCCGATTTGCTGCACCACAGTATAATCAGACTGCCTTCCCGGCATTTCTATTCTGAAGAAATCAACGATTAGCTTCTGAAAATGATTAAAATTTTAGTCAGCAAGAAGTTCGTCTTTAGAAGTATCAGCAGTTTTCTCCGCCGTTTCGAGCTTGGCCAAATGCAATCTTCGCTGCCAAATTCTGTAGCGCATTGGTCCTTTCTCCTTGTCGACCCATTCTTTCTTCCAAGAGTGGCCTCCGATATTATCTTGGGACCAGGGAGACATTTCTTTGTATCGCTCCATCACGACTTTTTCCGTCGGCCAGACTTCTTTGCCTTCTTCATTTTGAGTTGTAGAGATTAAACAGGTTTTTTTTAAGTGTGCCCAAAAATGGTGGAGCGTTTTTGAAGGTGTTAGAGTCGAGATATTTGAATTCTCTCTTTTGCACCTTGTTGGAGAGGGTCTGTAGTGTGTTAAATAAGCTTTTGGTGATATTTGCACCAGTGAAGGTGGAGTTATGACGTAACAAAGTTGAAGGCCCCCTTTTATAATGCATTTTTATGACGTCATAACTCCACCACCAGAAAAGATATTGACACCAACTCTATCTAAAATGAGTAAACTTATACCCGGCTACATTCTGCAAGTTACAGATTGTAATTATATTAACCCAATCAAAAGTTACGAAAATTCTTGGGCACACTTAAAAAAATCCTGTTTTATTGGATCTAAATTTGGGTTAAAACTTCGATCTTATAATAAGATTCTTGCGGCTTCTTTTTACTCGAAAAAATGTATCAAATTCTGAGTTGATTACCTGTAGCTTTCATTAGACCAGGTTCAATAGCATCCAAATTCACCAAATCGTCTTCGTAATTAACAAAATATTGCCGGAAAAACTCCAAATGCTCCTTTTTCTCGTCCACCGTATAAAAAGGGTTTTGCGAAAGACCATAGGCAGCAGATTCCATGAAGAGCCCGATCGCTCCGTCTTTTGGGATGCCCTTTAGATACTTTTCCGTGAAGACGTGGTCCCGCCAATCGCCGGCGTATTCTTTATGACGGGCGCCCTAAAAAGTAAGTAAATTTGGTAATCGCGCGAAAGAGCCGTAATTGCTCTTTGCTATTTTTTGGGAAAATATAAAACAAACGATCTTGATTTATTGCATTATCTCTGAGTATTTCTCTGACAAACCTCTTCATTAGTAGTTGGCAGCGAAACAGATCTTCCCTCTTGAACAGCGGCGTACTTTTTGTTCCAGCCATCGTCGTAACACTCGTTTTGAAATGTTTTGTATCTGTCTAAACAAACACTCTAACTCCTGTTTATTGTCTCTAGAATCGCCAAATCTCTTCTTCTGAGGGATTTCTTACCGGCGAGGAACTTTTGAAGTTTCGGCGCGCCTATTTTGTCTCTTTTTCTGTTTTCTTCCACCTCAGCGGGGTCAAAGTAGCAAACTGAATAATTCATTAAAAGAAGAAGACTTTCCCATATTTATCAATTCATCAAAATATTGATTTTTTTCGAAAATAATCAACATAAAACTTGATGATCTTTCCTTTTCAAACATATTTGTAACAATTCTTTTTGAACTCGAAAAAGGGATGATCCGATTTTTTGACGAAATAAAAAAAATATCGAAATTTCTCTTATTTAAAATCTCTTCAACTTCGATCTTGATTATTTAGCGAAAAAAATCAATGGTTTAGTATTTTTCTGTTTCTCATATCTCCCCATATTACTGCCCCATTGGCTGTGAAACCTTACCGGTTTCATGGGAAGCTAATCCTTGCGTGAGAAGTTCGAGTTCTTTAATCTGTCCCAAATCCGCTTTAGCCTCGCGCGTCTTCGTTGATTTCACCTAAAGTTCACCTTTAATTTCTCAGTCTTCTTCTTTCTCTGTCTGATGAGCAGTGGTCTTAATTGCTCCCGAAAAAGCTCTTATTGATTTCGGCAGTAAACATTTCCTTTGTGGGAGAGACAAAACATACGCGCCGCGGTTTATGGTCATCGAGGCTCAAAGGCAAACATATTGAAGATGGACCCAATCCAACAAATTATCATATCCACTTCATTTATCAGTACAGTAAACCTCTTGTGATAAAAAATGATTTTATATATTTAAACTTCGCTTTTCTTAGTCGCTAAAATTAACTTTTACGATTTCCTGCGTTATTCACGCGTCGTAATTACGAATTATGAAGCGCCAACTCACCTGAACCATATTATAAAAATGAAAAAAACAATAATCATCAAGGAAATCGACTTTTTACTATCGATAGAAGAAGACTTTTGAAGCTTTTTTTCTATTAAAATGTAAATTTTTGTTTTTAAAAACAGTGGGTGGTCTTAATTCCGTTTTTCAGTACGAAATAGCCTCGATTTCGCCATTTATGAATGGGCCCTAGATTTTTACCTGTCCTTTCATCATGGAAGTAGTTTCAAAGATTTGATCGAGGATTTTCTGTGCCTCCTCCATTGACGCTTTTCTCTTCTCTTCTGGGCTCTTCTGATTTCCTCTTCCTTGATTTCCATCCTTTTCGCAAATTCTCGCCGAAAGAATGAGCTTCTTTCTGCTGCTGCAAATCTAAAAATGTGGCAAAATATAAACATGGCCCAAAAAAAGAAGGCGGCAGTTATTTGCTGTTCCACAAATCACCCACCTGCGCTGCTTTTCTGAGCATATTTTCTCTCCTCGCTTGGCTGGTTTTCAATCAAGTAGTCCTTCGCCCGGAAATAAAAAAGAGGGTTTGTATTCTGAACTGTTCTCTTTTCAGTATTCTGGTTTGTTCCACCGGCGTTCTTTTTGATCGTTCTGGTGGAATGGGGGGAGAATTGGGAGCAAGTCAAGTTGAGAAAGGAAGACGATCCCCGGTCGATTGGATTATCCGAAATGAGCAGTCTTAAATTTGACCGTTGATAGAAATTAGAAATTAATCGATTATTTGGTCAAGAGCTTTGGCGGAAGTTTTAATGAATTGATCATGGCTGTTGATTTCGAGTCCTTTGGTTTTACCCGGCATTTTTTTCCGGGCAACCCGCAGATTTTTTAGCGGGTTACTCGCACGGAGAGTCTTTTCACGGGCTACCCGCGCTACTTGTTTTCTCCTTTCCGCCGAGTAGCTCGCGATTACCCGCAACCCTTTTTCTCGAGCCAATCAGACGAGCGAATTTTATTTTTTCTAGGCGAAATTTTCGCGAGTAGCTCGCGATTATCCTTTACTCATTTACTCGATCTACTCGGACGGGTCTCCGCGCGAGTAACCCGTAGAAAAATCTGCGAGTTGCCCGGAAAAAAATGCCGGGTAAAACCAAAGGACTCGAAATCAACAGCCATGGAATTGATTGATTTTTTCAGAAAAATATTTTCAAAAGCAAAAGCATAAAAATAGTTTACAAGTAAGGATGCCCAGGCGCTATTTTGAGCTGCACATTGTATTTGTACAGAACTACAGTATTAAGATCATAGACCCAGACAGTGTCTATGCCGCGGCCGATCGTGTCTATCGGCTTTTTATTTGGAAATTTAAAGCGGCATGCAATAATCTTCGCGTCCCCGTCGATTTCCGCAAATAATTTATCTTCCAAATCGGCCATCATTGGGCCAACGCCGAAAATTACGATGTTGCCGTATTTGTCGAAATTGTGCTTCCAAAGATCGGACTTGAAAAAGCGCGTCGAAGATGACTGACCGGAAAGGAGCGATTTAACGCTAGAATAATAAACCAGCCAGCGATTGATTTCGATGCCCCAGCAAAGTGGAAATTTCTCCATTTCAGCCGCCATTCGAGTTATTCTAAGAAATGCGTTCAATTTCTTCGTCGAATTTAAAATCTTTACCTTCCATCACCAGAGCCAATATCAATCAAATCCCTCTCCGTCCCGTGTTTCTCCAAGGCTGTCTTGATATTCTCGAGTTGGAGTTCTGTCGCTGGAATGAAGGGAAGAGCATGTTTCTTGAGACCAGGAGCGACAAAAGGAACGCAAACCGCGGTTATCGCCAAAGCAGTTCCACCAAATCCAGCTGCGATTTTCAAACCAACAGATGAAGCTGAAATTGAAATTTTATAAAAAAATAAAATAGGAAGTCCGCATTTTAACGGATTTGAGATTCATCAAGAGGGTCTCGAAGTAAAAATATAACGAAACAAAATTTATATAAATCCGTTAAATTCGAGATAATGCATTATTATAGTAACATCAATAAAATCAATTAGAAAACCGAAATCACCTCTTACCGCCGCCAAAATCATTTCTCTCCCTTTAACCGTCCACTTTCATATTTCGTCCAATTGGAGCCCGCGCGCCGCTTTACTTGAAAAGTTGAATTTATTTCTATTTTTTGAATGGCTGAGTTATCTTTCTGAACTAGAGACTATGAACTTCTTTTAGAATGGATCCGGAGAATTATGACGAGTTCGGAAATTATATCGGTCCGGAGCTGGACAGTTCCGATTCGGAGCCGGAATTGGAGGAAGAAGAGGAGCAGCCGATTCTAGCGCAGGAGGCTCTCGCCATTGAGGGTACTGAAGAAACTCATGAAGATGAATCCATGCAGGTACGATTTACTAAAAGACTTTCAGTCACCAGATTCAGAACCAGTTCTAGAGAAAACATGATTTTTGGTCAGAAGTTAACCACCAAATTTAATCCCTTTGTTCAGATCGTTCTGCACGAAGACAAGAAGTACTACCCATCGCATGAGGAAGTCTACGGCCCAGGAGTCGAAACAATGGTCGAAGAAGAAGACACCCAGCCCCTCTCGGAAGCCATCGTCAAGCCGCTCAAAGTGAAAAAGTTCGCTCTTGTTGAACAATCTCTTCCGGAAACTACGTTCGACTTCAACTACATGACGCAAATGCTGGACGAGCCTAACTTGGTGCGAAACATTGCGATGGTAGGAGCTCTGCATACGGGAAAGACGGCTTTCTGCGACTGCCTCTGGGAAGAAACGCACAAAGATGTGATCAGACACGATCCTTGCGAGAAGAATCCTCAGCGAAACACGCGCTACAACGACACCCTGCACACCGAGCGCGAACGAGGCTGTTCGATCAAATGCACTCCGTTTACAATGCTCCTGCCAAACACCAAAGGCAAGAACTACGTGCTCAACATGATCGACACTCCCGGCCACGTGAATTTCACCGGCGAGGTCTCCGCAGCGCTGAGAATCGTCGACGGCGTCGTTCTCTTCGTCGATGTCGCGGAGGGAGTAATGATGTCCACAGAGCGGCTGATCCAACACATATGCCAGCAGAAGATCCCCATCACGCTCTGCCTCAACAAAATTGACCGACTGATCATCGAGCTCAAGCTTCCACCAGAAGACGCTTACTACAAAATCAAGCAAGTCATCGACGAAGTCAACGCGTTGATCAAAACTCACGCTGGAGACGATCTCGAACTCATCTCCCCATTGAAGAAGAACATCATCTTCGCTTCTCCGGAGTTTTCTTTCTGCTTCAATCTCCATACATTCGCGGAGATTTACTCTGATTCGCACGGCAGCTCTTTCCAAGCTTCAAAACTCGCCGAGCGTCTTTGGGGAGACATCTATTTCAACCCGAAAACTCGCAAGTTCCAGAAGGAAAAATCATCTTCCGAGTCTGTCCGCAGCTTCGTCCAGTGGATTCTCGAGCCCCTCTACAAGATCTTCGCCCAAACCATTGGAGACGTTGATACTTCTCTAGCAGAGACTGTTGAGCAGCTCGGAATTCGACTGTCGAAGACGGAGTTGAAGATGAACATCAGGCCGCTTCTGAGAATCGTCTGTTCTCGATTCTTTGGTGACTTTTCGAGTTTTGTGGAGATGATTGCTGAAAAGGTTCCCTCGGCGAAGGAAGGAAATGGAAGAATAATGCAGGATGCGTATGCTGGAACGATGAAGTCGGATTTCGCCCAAGACGTTGTCAAGTGCGATACGAATGGACCACTGGTTGTTTACGTTACGAAGATGTTTTCTACTGATGATGCTACAAGGAAAATGGTCATAAATCATGAAAACAACGTCTACTTAGACTTTCATTTTTGACCACGAAAAAGATTCAATGCGTATGGACGAGTTATCTCAGGAACCATCAACTCTCATAGCGAAGTAAAGATCCTCGGCGAGAACTACTCCCTTGACGACGAGGAAGACTCGCGAATTATGCGATGTGGACGACTGTGGATTACTCAAGCGCGGTACACCTGCGAGGTCGATCGAGTTCCTGCTGGTTTGTTTTTCTATTCTTTTCTAGCTCTTATTTTTTCAAGGATCGATGGTACTGATTGAAGGAATTGATGAGCCGATTTCAAAGACCGCGACTGTTGTTGGAATCTCTGAGGATTGCTGCGATGGTACAAAATTTTTGAGAATTAAAGTTTGATCCTTTTTCAGCCGAGATTTTCTCGCCACTGAAGCACAACAGCATTTCGGTTATGAAAATTGCCTGCGAGCCGATCAATCCTTCCGAGCTGCCGAAGATGCTTGACGCCCTGCGAAAAGTGAACAAGAGTTACCCAATGGTGAAAACACGAGTTGAGGAATCCGGTGAGCACGTCATTCTTGGAACGGGAGAGCTTCATCTCGATTGCGTGATGCACGATTTGCGCAAGATGTATTCGGATATCGACGTCAAGGTAAATCGCAATGGAGATTTTTCCCTTTTTTACGATTACCTTCAGGTAGCCGACCCTGTTGTGAGCTTCTGCGAAACTGTCGTCGAAACTTCCCAATTGAAGTGCTTTGCCGAAACCCCTAATCGAAAGAACAAGATCACAATGATTTGCGAGCCGATGGAAAAGGGCCTCGCCGAGGACATCGAAACGAACAAAGTCAACATTGGCATGGATAAGAAAACGATAGGCAACTTCTTCAGAGAAAAGTACGACTGGGATCTACTCGCTGCCAGATCGATCTGGGCTTTTGGACCAGAGTTCGAAATTTTTGCGGCTCCCGGGCAAGGGGGCGGCGGGCGGGCGGGCACGGGCAGAATATTTAAGATTCCCGGGGGCAAAAACGGTCACGGGCACAAAAACGAATTTTCCCGCGAGCCAAGCGGGCACGGGCACTATAACAAATTTTCCCGCGGGCAGATACGGGCACGGGCATGAATGAGAAGATTCCCGCGGGCATAAACGGGCACGGGCGGTTTGCCCGCGTTCCCGCACGAAATATTCCCGAGGGTAGCCCGGGGGAACATTTTTTTCTACTGCTAAATCTCCAACTCGCGCTCGCTCGTGGCTCGCACTCACCATTTTTTCAAACACTGATCATCGCTTCTCGAATGTCGATCATGGCTTCTTCAAGATAAAATTGGCGTTGAAAAAGCCGAGATGGAGATGGATGAAGCCGGGATCGACGATGGAGAAATCGGGATTGACGTCGAAGAACCCGGGATGGACATTGGAGAAGCCATATTTGAAGTCGGTGAAGCGAGAATTGGCGATGGAGAAGCCATAAATTATGGCCCATAATTGATATAGTGTCGATGATATTGGAGAAAACATGATTGATGTTGGTGAAGCATCATCTGATCGAAACAATTCTGCATTTTGCATGCTCATGGACCATGAGTTTATTTTTGCATATAGACGTGCTTTTTTAAGGTTAACGAAGTTTTCCAGCCCACTTCCGCCTTATAGACCCCCGAACACCATACTTTTTTAGAATCAGCAGAAAATTTCAAAAACTTTGACGGTTTAAAATTCTAGAGAACTCCACTTCCGGTCGACTCTAGAGCCGGAAGTTGACGAAATTTAGTTAAAATGGTAGTGTGACCTATCAAATTGATGCTCAGAAGATTTCGATTCATCCTAAAATCAATATTTCTGAAGAAACAGTCCCAAACCTGGTCAAACCGACCGTTAAAATTATGTAAAAAAGGCATAAAGTGATGAATTTTTTTTTTCACTTTTTTCCGGTTTATTTTACCGCGGTTGGTCTTGATTATTGGTCTAAAATGATAGGAAATCGTCTGAGCATCAATTTGATAGGTCACACTTCACCATAACACCTAAATTACGTCAACTTCCGGCTCTAGAACCGACCGGAAGTGGAGTTTTCAAGAATTTTGAACCGTTAAAGCTCTTAAAATTTTCTGTTGATTTGTAAAGGTATAATGTTCGGGGGTCTATAAGGCGGAAATGGGCTGGAAAACTTCGTGAATCTTAAAAAAGCACGTCATAACAGTTCTATATGCAGATAAGTTTTCAATATACTCCCTCAAGTATTTGGTGTCTATTTCCACGCTATTTAAATAGTTTAAACACTTTTTCATAAGGTGCATTGAATCTGCCCGTGCCTGTTTAAGCTCGCGGGAATCTTGCCCGTGCCCGAATTTGCCCGCGGGAATATTTTTTATTGTGCCCGTGCCCGCTTGGCCCGCGGGAAAATTCGTTTTTTTGCCCGTGACCGCTTTTGCCCTCGGGAATCTTCACTTTTTTGCCCGTGCCCGTATCTTCCCCCGGGCAAACGCGGGATTTCGAACTCTGTTTTGGACCGTCAAATAATGGGCCGAATATTTTGCTCGATGATACGCTGCCGTCGGAGGTCGATAAGGCGCTCCTTTCATCTGTCCGGGACAGTGTTGTTCAAGGTATATTTTGTGCGAACAGGACAGGTTTAACTCTTGAATTCAGGTTTCCAGTGGGGAACGAGAGAAGGTCCCTTGTGCGACGAGCCGATTCGAAACGTCAAGTTCAAGATTCTCGACGCCGTCATCTCCTCCGAGCCTCTCGCTCGTGGTGGTGGTCAAATCATCCCCACGGCTCGCCGAGTCGCTTACTCCTCCTTCCTCATGGCTACTCCAAGGTTAGTCCCGCTTTCAATGGAGCGTGTCTAGGTGCATTTTAGATTAATGGAGCCATATTTGATCTCCGAGATCGTTTCCCCCGCTGATTGCGTCGCCGCTGTCTACACCGTTCTCGCCCGTCGTCGTGGTCACGTAACATCCGACCAGCCGATTGCTGGATCTCCGTTGTACACGATCAAGGCATTCATCCCTGCCATCGACTCCTTCGGCTTCGAAACTGATTTGCGAACACATACCCAAGGACAGGCCTTCTGCACGCAGGTCTTCTCCCACTGGCAGATTGTTCCTGGAGATCCACTCGACAAGTCTGTCGTCATCCGACCTCTCGAACAACAGCCCGTAAGTACTCACCAAAAATAGAATCTTAGAGCCTTTGAATATTGATTCCGTCGTAAAATTAATTACTATCTTTAGGTCACGGCTCTTGCGCGAGAATTCGCCATCAAGACCCGACGAAGAAAGGGCCTTACCGACGACGTCACCTTAAACAAGTTCTTCGACGAGCCGATGCTGCTCGAACTCACCCGACAGGATGTGATGACGATGGGAGGCGGACTCATCTAAAAATGATCGATTGTCGAGTTCAAAATTTCTACTATTTCCATGCATTTTGTCACTTGTCACGAAAGTGTGTTTAGGATAATTTTTCCCACAATAAACTGTCTACTGCCCGTCTTTGGATTGTTATTTTTCTTCTTCTCCCACCAGTTAGTTGTTCGAGCAAAGGTTAAAAGTATTTGCGCCAAATCCAAAAAAGTATTATCGATTGGCGAAGCAGCTATTGAGCGTGTTACTCAGAAATTAGCTCCATCAATAAGAGGATCAAAAGTTTGCCCTCTATTATCCTTTCAAATAATCATAAGAGCTAATGTTTAGAATAGTGGGTCAATAGGATTGCATGAGATTTACCTCTGACGTCTGATTTTTTTTTATGTCCAGACTTATTTCTTGATAAATTTAGATATGAATTGAGCTGATCATAAATGGGAGACGCGGAATTGAAAGACCACATTGAGGGGCTCTATGCTAAGTTTTTGACGGGGGACGAAGCTGCTGGCAAGGAATTTGCAGCTTATGTTCGGTTTGATTATATTTTTTCAAGACCTAAAAATATATCTTAATTTCATTCTTAGTTTAAATGCCGACGTCCCTCTTCATGCACAACAATTGTTGGCTTACAAGATCCAAAGCCCGTTAGAAAAAGAAGCTGTCCGAGGCCTGGATCTGTTGGAAATCTGCGTTCGATCCTCTGGAAAACTCTTTCACAATGAAATCGGAAAATATAGATTTTTAAATGAACTTATCCGCGTTGTCTCTCCAAAATATCTTGGACCAAGGTAAACTCATAAAGAAAAGCCACTCGATCAAATTTAATGTTGTTTTTAGGTCATCACCGCAGGTTAAAACTAGAATTATTGAATTGATGTATGGCTGGACTATTGCATTAAAAGGTTGAGCCTTTCTTATTCTTACAGCTACTGACTTTGACTTTAGATCAAATAAAGATTGCTGATGCGTATTCAATGCTGAAGAAACAAGGCATCGTCAAAAAGGACCCAAAATTTGACGACAGACGATTTCTCCCTACTCCTCAACCAAAAGAAAGGTACCAATTTAATCAAAGTCAGTGTTGAAACATTGTTCAGGTGCGCATTAATAAAAGACGATGCTGAGGAAAAGCGACTGGCGGAACTTCTTGCGTCCAAGAATCCAGAAGACATCGCCCTTGCAAATGAAATGATCAAAACCATGTACGAGCAAGACAGTAAAAAGACCGAGCGAGAGGCGCGCAAGATGCTTTTGATGACAGAAGCGAAGGAAAAATACATGCTCATGGATGATATGATTGCTGCTGGAGCTACGTAAGGCCAAGTTCTTCTCTCATTTTTTAACACTCTGAATAAAGAGCGAAATCGGCGATGGCAACAGTCTATTCGGACTTGGAATCAATGAGGCCACAGCTCTTCCGTCTCGCGTCAGAAGCAAATGAAAACAACGATGAGTTGATGGCGGTCCTCAGGTTAACAGATGAAGTCAATCGAGTCATCAATGTCGTGAAAGATAAATACCCCGATGTAGTGGAGCTTTCGAAGTAAATTCTTTCTCATATTTCCTCCCTATTATTGCATTCTAGCGCTTCTACGCCAACTTCAAATGGCAGCAGCGTTCCATCATCTGGCCTCACTGCAACATCAAGTCCTGATACCCAAACTTCTCGCCTCCACGACCTCGGCGTCGACTTGAATCTTCTCGGCCTCGAGGACGATCCTCCATCGAACAGACCAGCTCAAAGTAGTGGAAATGTGATCGACGATTTGAAAACTCTGAACAGCATATTTGGGTCCTCTCCAATAGGAGGAGCACCGTAAGTCTCACGAATTTTCTCGTAATCAATTTATTAGCTACGATCCTTGGCAGAGGTAGTTTTTATAAAGGATTTTGTTCATTTATGCATGCATTTATCATCAGCTAACAATTTTGCCTTTACCCGTCGATTTTGATGATTACTGAAGTTCTAGCAAAATTTTCAGTCAGCCAACTCTGCTCGATATTAATCCATCAGCACCTTCTGTATCCGCCATGACGAGCCAAGCAAGTCCCCAAATTGCTGTCTGCCCAACTCCATCCGAAGTGGCGGCTTTGACGGGAATCAAAGTCAATCTCGCTGATTTCCAGGCTTCTTCGACGACAAGAACTCTTGTTGACGATGATGGAGTCAGAGTCATCCTTGTCCGAGGAGAGAATAAAATTCCAGACAGAAGTGATGTCTCTGTACTGTTAGTCACTTTTGATTCGACAAATCCAGCACCTATCGAGAATTTAATGTTCAATGCTAAAGTTGCAAAACCTTTCAGGTACGGGTCCCTTTCATTTCCCATTCTTACCATCGTTTTCAGAATAAAACTATTACAGCCATCAGGCAACGAGTTCCCTGCGTTCAACCCCGTTTCATCAACTTCTTCGCGCATTACACAATTGATTCTAGTGGGAGGCCGTCCTTCCCAAATCAACTGGCAGCTCTCGTTCGACATCAACGACAATACTTTATCTAAACAAGGAGTTATAAACTTGTAGATCACCTTCGATCAAGCCCTAGCTTTCCAAATAATCGATATTATTATAAGAAAATCACTTGTGTAAAAATCCCCTTTTCGTGATAACAGCCTGTATGAAGCCTGTTTCCCAACAATAAATACATCTTCTTTATAGAGTTTCTTCTTTCTTCAGTGGAATATTTTGACTTTAGTTGAATACTGTCCCAGTTTACCTTGATTTCTATTTTTTCCTTCGTTCTGCAATAAATGCTATAGTTCAATAATAATAAATAAAAAGGGATGAAAATGAAACAGATGTTCCTTCTATGATCAAATTTGTTTACATCGACGTGTTTAAACGTGTTTAGCTCGACAGAGACTTTGCAAGCCTAATATTTATACAATTGGCAGACCACCAAAAACTCGAAATCGAGAGAAGTTTTATTTAAAAATGCGACAGAAATGAACAGAATTATATTTGAAATTTGAAGTTTTAACGCTTTTCGGAAATCGTGCCTATCGTACAGGTTCCCATGAAGTCGTGAATGCCTTTTCCAGCCGGATGATAGCCTCCTGCTGGGCGCTAGAATTCAGCGTCACAAAAGTCTGCTTTCATTAGTTTCACCCATGCTTTAGGTCTTTCTCCCTCGTGCAAAATACCCTTAGTTCTCTGAAATCTTAATATCCGAATATCTAGCCGTGTGGCTTCTCCTTCCCAAAGAGGCAACTTTTTCACTTGAACTCTCTTTTGTGACGCTTTCCGATTTTGGCTGTGGCAGGGGACTGAGTGCATTTGCCTTCACAGTCTGCAAATTATCAAGTCCGTCTTTGCCCATTCCGACGACTGTCTTTTTGTCGAAGTATTTATGGTCAGTGTTTCCATCTGTTGTTTTAGCTTCTTTCGCTTGTGGATTTGCTTGTTCCTGAAAATGATGGGTTCGCCGAAGAATTTTGAAATCGAGTAACCTTTTTTCTCCTGTGTCTTTGATAGAAGAAAGTGCCAATAGAAAGAGACGCAAGGATGAAAATAATCAATCCAATTTGCCCGGCTGGGTTGACTCCTCCAGCTGTAGCATCGCAGACAGGCTAGTATCAAGGCTGGTTATAAATATTTCGAATGCGATAGGTACCGAATCAGAAAAGTCCCATCCCCCAGAAGTGCAGGTAATTTCTGGCGGAATCGCATGTGCTGCTATACATTCGAGCTTGCAAACTTGTGAAGTCTTAACGTCGGTAACTCCGCCAGAGCCTTAAAAAATCAAGGAGTAAGAACTAGAATTGAAATAGCAAGGTTTCTTTCAATTAAGTTTAACTTTTCTACGCCACATCAAGGTGGTAAAATGGGGCAGAGAAAAGGTCGCCTTTGGTTTCCACCAAAAATACCACCAACCGACCAAGAACAATCATTTAGAGTTGTTGCATTGGAGGATTACCAATATCATTGATATTTTGAATCGAAGTCTTCAAGACATTCATGGCGAACTAATGATAGTTTTGTCCATTACTTACGCCATTAATTGTTTTAATCATAAATTTTAATCAGTCCTTAGTCAAAGCTTTCTTATTGGTATTATTCTGCGAATTAGATGAAATTTGGAAAGTTCTTATTCGAAATTTTCGATTTAGCTTTTATGAGAAGACCTTAATCTGTCTGATTTTTAAGATCTCGTTCATGACTGCAATCCCGATTTTAAACATTAATCCGCAACTTACCCGGGCAAACAATGTCCATTTCTTTCGCTGCAAAAATCAAATCGGCATTACACCTAGCTTGCTTCATGATTTGATCTCTCTGACTCTCAAATTAATTTTTAAAAAAGTTCAATTCGAAGTTTTTAGTTCGCTGGCCAGATAAACGTCCGGTAAATTAGATACTCAAATGCGGATAAGCTCGCTAGCGCCGACGGCACTGATAGAACCCGGAGCATTTAGCGCGGTGGCTTTTTTCTTTGCAACGCTTTCTTTGATTCTAAATTGTCTCTAGAACCGCATCTTGTTGTTCTGACTGACTGCTTGAGTTGCTCAGTTTGAAAGGAGCACCATGGCCAGCAAGCCAAAGCCAGTTGAATCGTCGGTCTTTCGCTCCGAAGTTCGCGCTTCTGGTTTCAGCGAGGTCTGGACGCACAGCAACGACCTCAACAAATTCCAACAGGTTAATATTCAGATTCTCAGCTATACATACACATATTTCTTTATCATCAAATCTTTTCGCTTTTATTTGTAGATCAGCTAAATAATGATGATTTTACTCGTCTTATTTTTATATAAAATTCCACTTTGCTTTGTTCCATCATATCAAAAACCTTATTAATTTAATTTTTTCTTCAAAATTTCCAAAGTATGGCTGGCGATGCACCAACAAAGAGGACTCCTACTCAAACAACACTCTGGTCGGAAACTGGAACGAAATCCGATGGGACTCCACCGAGTAAGCCTTCCTCCCTCTTCGTTATCGAGTAACTCCAACATTTTCAGATGCAACAAACGCAAGCCCATTCCGAACAAAGAAATCTTAGAGCAGTGGAACTCGTCCTACCGAATTGGCTACAACAAAAACGACCAAAAAGAGCGAAATCAACAAAGACTTTCGCAGCTCGAAGAGTCCAAAACAACCACTCGATCGTTTCCCAGACACCAGCCTGAGTTTGATCCTCTGGATTATCGAAAGAATTACGATTATCAATCAACGAGGTATAATTTTTATTGAGGCTTTCCGAATTTTACTGTAATTATCAGCCGACTCGCTTATGGAACACCATCAGAGGAGGAAAGATACGCCAAGTACAAGAAGGAAGAAGTGACTGGACCGATCATTCCTTTGAATCACAGCTTTCTCTCCCAGGTCGACAATGCTACGCCCCGTCTTGACTAATTTATAAGTGTACTTGATTTATTATTTATTAATAAAGCTCGATTTTCATTAACAACTCCATCTCTTGTCTGTTTTCTATCTTTCTTCCTTGCGATGATGAAGAACTACTGCGTTTTTTGGGTAGATCGCTTTATTTACAGATTCTTCATTTTATTCAGGAAAAATTCGGCGAGTAAATAATGATAATTGATTACAAAATGAAAATATATTAAAGCGCGCTTTCAGCAGATGGCGCGCGCGAGCGCAGTCTGTCCCTAGGCGCGATTCTTTGGAAAGCTCTTCCAGGGATGAGTATAATTCGCTCTGGCTTGAAAAAATAATCCAGAAGATAAATTAGAAATTTAATCGTTTAACCTTTAAAAATCCCGAAATCAAAGTCCTCCTTGATTTCTCAAAACCACAAAAGAGAGAGAGATTTTTGGATTCGATTTCCATTTTCATGCTAATAGAGAGATCACTGGAAGGCGGATGAAGCGGGTGGAAGAACGCCAGCGATTGTTTTTCCAGAGAAGGAAAATTCAAAAGAAAAGAAGTTATGAAGATCTTGAAGATATGTGGTGCCTCCCTCGCCCTAGCTACTATAGGCAATGAAGGTATTGAAGGTTTCTGTTTTCCGGTTCGTGATTTCTTGATAACAGGGCTCGGCAACTTGTTTAAAAACGTTAGTCAGATTCCTAGGAGAGCTTTGATAATAGAGCAGAAAAAAAATAGATTGAAATTGAAGTTTTGGCAATGCCGCCTCGCGGCTGCGTTTCGAGGAAAGCCGCTACGCGGCTTTTTCAAAGCTCTTCAAGGACCCTGACTCAAGTTTTCTGCACAGGTTGGTGAGCCCAACCGACTAATTTATCATCAGTTTTAGGATAAATAAAATTTCGAGCAATATTTTTTTAGTAAAACAAGTATTTTTATTCAGAATATTCCGTATTATATTATATTACTCGTTGAGGCACAATTTTCATCAATAATAAACTCCTCGCTAATTAATTTATTAGTCGCATGATGCTCTTTAATCTTATTCGAGAAATAAACAGCGATACTTTCTTGTCAGTTGCAAGTTGTCTACGATGGACAGGCGCCAGAACAATATTTTTTAAAAGACGAACAAACTTATCGCTTACAAATTTAATGAGTGGCGAAGCGACCTGAGAGACTGAGTATTTTTTCTAAACGTCAGCGTTCACACACTCGAGCTATCAATATAGATTAACCTTTAGCAATACTTTTCTTATTGATTTTGTACATGAAACTTGTCTCCGTTCACATAAACATAGACAGTACTTACTAAGGACTTTTTTGAGCTGGTCGGACATCGGATACATCAATTTTACAGACCTTCAGCTTGAAAAGAAGATTTTCCGGGGATTCATTTCTTTTTAGTTCCTGACATGGCTCCAGAGTTCCCGCCCGGCACGTTCAAGTACTTTTCCGTCGAGTTTGCATCGAGTGTCGCCTCAAGTTCGTCGTCGAAGGAGCTCCAGTCAGCGGCACAGAAATATTATTCGGCGCTTGGCTTTGGCGTGCCCCGGGTAAGTGACGGAGATGATAGCTTTAGCCCTGTAAATCTGAGAGCGGCTAATACTATCAAAGTGTCAAAGGGCCGCTGGTTTTGGAATCAACCATTTTTAACCCCTTGGATTCCAGAAGCCGTGTTGCTGTTCTGACCAATCTTTTGGTCAAAGGATAGAAAGACGCTACTGTATCTGTATCGGAGCTTAAATTTCTTATTTTGATTTCTGAAATGGAACATGATGTCGTGCCCATCTGGCGACCGGCTAAGTGGTTTTGGGATAATTTGTAATGTTGGAAATTGATCCATCAATAATTTTATTCAGCGATTGATTTTATTCGCGCTTCAATTACTATTAACACAATCTCAATTATTCACCCGTCAAAATATTGTCCGATCTGATAGACAGACTTAAGCTACTGTATCTTGCAGCAAATGATTTCAGATCGAGGTCAAGCAAACAAATGGAAGGCTTGTGTTACGATTGGGCTTTGCTTGGGAAAAGTTATATCTTTCCAATGTCGACAAGGTAATTTGAACGCGTAGATATGCATAGCTTGGCTTGTGGGGATGGTAATTCCCCATAAGTGGCCTGAATTATCGGCGGTATCTGCTTTACTTGAAAATCGATGCGAATGTCACCCTATAAATTTAAAGATAATTCTATTTGACGAGTGATCAGCCGCGCATTATACAGGCATAGACAGACCCTGTCCGAAAAATTAAGGGAGGTTAAATGAGTGTTCAATCTGCTTTCTACGATTCTACTAGTAGTAGAAGTAGTTTTACTGTTGATAAGGGTTGTAAAAAATGAGGATGCGGAGAACAGGTGCCATGTCTTAATCTATATTAATTGGATGGAAAACCGCGGCGGGGATGAATAATTCGAGGCGCGCGAAAATTTCCTCTGGGGCCATTTAATCAAACGAATCAATTTAAATCAAAGGTCATCGGGTCATAGAATGACGAACAAATCAGGCCCAATTCAAATCAGAATCAAAACCCCACGGGCCACTCGCCGCAGGCTTCATCTAAAATTAAAAACCTACTCCAACAAGTGCTACTCACTCATCAGTTTATTAAGCTGGACGTCTTCTAAAATTGAATGTGATTAAAATTATACAATTTCAAAATTTTTTTTCTTCTTCAAAATTTCAGTAAAGAACTAACATTCTTTTAGTTTGAACTATCAGATTCCCTGCGGCTTTTCTCCTACCCCGGACTTTTATCTGGACAAATTTACGGAGAACCTTTATGTCCCTTCGCGGAATGCGTCCTGGGCGACTTTTCCATTTGCACAGAAGACGAAGACTTCTACAAGCCAATTTGCCGATCTCCTTGTGCAACGGTACTCCTTGTTGATTCCAACAAGATAAACAAAAACCTATTCTAGGGCTTTTGTTCGGATGACGCGAGATGTATGCATCCGTCTGCCACTGTTTCGCCTAAATGCTTTTGTTTGGGTGCCGCTTCCTCGGTAAGCTATTTAAAAATGCATTTTCTGCATTTGGAGAAGCTGTATTAAAAAGCAACACACTAAATTCCACCTCCTTTAGCTGACGTTTGGAAATAGTTGCGAGTATTCACTTCCACTCTGGTTGCTCCTCATCGGAACGACGTTTCTCGTCCTCGCCGTTTTGTGCCTTGCTGCTTATGCCCTCAAGGTAGCCATCAGCAGTCAGAGTCTTATTCACTTTTAATTTCGCTTAGAATAGCGCACAGCAGAAATCACAGCGCCTGTCTCAATACATCGACGAGAGGGGACATGCTCGAGTAGAACTAGCGCCAAGCTGACCTCCTAGAATCTAAAAATTAGCGAAAAATAATTAATATCAACCGAAACTGCGCCTGCCTCGCGAGAAAGAATACGCCTGAGAAGCCAAACTTCCATGAACTGCCAATCATTTATCTAATTCTGTATTTATAAATAAAGAAAGTACTGAATTGGTTTCTATATACCCGGAAAATGATTCAGAGATAACTCTTGTAAGTGTTTTTCATTTTCTACTAAAATCAAAATGGACTTTTGAAATAAATGAATAGATAGTTGCACAGTTTAAAAGGCCTTTACTTGAACAACCAGAAGAAAAGAGTCAAGAAAAGTGGCGCTGTTGTTGTAGCAACTTGTTCTCCTCCAGCAGTAAGGCCACAAAAATCAAATCCACAGCCGTACCATGCGGAGTAAAAGTCGAGATCCTCTTGCATGAAGATTGAAAATTATTAATAAAAAAACTTATAATAAAATGCGATTTTTCAAAACTCAGCTTGAATATCATCAAAGTAGTGTTCGTAGTCGGCGCAATTGTAGTTATCTAAATCGATCTTTTAAGAATTAATTGTGGGATTATTCTTACCTTCGAGATAGTCCAGATATTCGTTTATGCCTTCGCATACTTTTCCACCATGCTTTGGATCCTTAGCTATCAATTCTCCTTGTTCCTTGTTTTTGGCATTTTCTACAGCTGATTGGAAAGGGTGGTCTCCGTCGACAAATTTTTCCATTTTCGTCTCTTAGAATTCATGCATCGTTTCGTGAATTTAAATCCCGACTAGTTAATAATAAGCTAGCAATACAGTAAGAGCGAAATCGTTGTTGTCCAGGTGACTAGCTTGAGGATTGCTGTAGGATTATGGTGACCGGAACACTTGCGCATTATGTGGATTGTTGACAGCTTCGCTAAGGAGACTCACCGAGTCAGGTGGATTGGTATTTACGGTTCGTAAATCTTTGATATGACCAGCGATTGACCAGAATATTCCTAGACTGAACTGCCAAGGAAAAGTACAGTACAGAATCTGAATCACAACCGAGTCTCGTAAATTCCTCATTTTATGTACCATCTTCCTGATCGGAAGCTATTCTTACGAATGAATTGCCTACGTGAGGGAATAAAATTGCTATCTTTAGCTTCTAAATCTCATCATTATTCGATCTCAGACACTAGGATAACCTCGCATTTTCAGCATAAAATGGACATGAAAGCTTTCAAATCACATTTCACCGAATTCTAACCGAACATTATCAAAATATATTCGAAATTATTGCGAAGAATTCTAACAAATATGTTTTCTTTTTGTTTGTTCTTTTATTTCGCAGATAATAAATCAGAAAGTCCCAATTCGAGGAGAGCTTTTCATTTGAATAGCCACAAGAACAGTGTCAAGAACAGTGGTGCAGTAGTTGCAGCGATTTGCTCGGCGCCACCAGCAGTCATGCCACAAATTTCCAGCTCGCATCCGTAGTACTCAGCGTACAAGTCCAGGTAATCTTGCGTCTCCTCGAAATAGTCCTTGTAGTCATCGCAGTTGTAAACATCTAATCAATCGTTAAATAACCATTTATCAAAATTAGCTTACCTTCCCACATATTCAGCGAGAGATTGAAGTATTCGCAGATGTACCCCTCATGCCTCGGGTCTTTCGCATTGAAGTCGCCCTTTGCCTCGACTTTTTCAATAGCAGCCTTTAGTGGGTGGTCGTCTTGAAAAATTGTATCCATTTTTTGTGTTCTGAATGAGCTGGGTCTCGATCGATCTGCATGGATTTAATATTTTGATAAGTTAATAATAAGCTAAAATTGTCGTCCTGGTGACTACAGCACAAAATAACCGTACCCTGCTAGTAGAAGGCAGGTTCTTCCTGTTCCATAAAACTATAGGAAAAAGTCGATTAATTTTAGAGATACTGCAGATTTACAGTACACTTGACATTTGTTTGAATCATCTCATGATGAGATTCTCATCATATGAATCGGGATTGGGAGACTAATTCTTACAATTTGATTTTTTTCGTATTCCTTATCTTTGTCGAATAAGAATGATTTGTGGCCCTTAAAAGGGCCGGTTTGAGCTCTTCGTAAATTGAAAATTTACTTAGAAGCTTGGTACTTGGTCACAGCCTTGGTTCCCTCGGAGATGGCGTGCTTGCCGATCTCGCCGGGGAGAAGGAGTTTGCAGGCGGACTGGATCTCTCGAGAAGAGATGGTCGATTTTTTGTTGATCTTGGCCAATCGGGAAGCCTCGGAGCCGACTCGCTCAAAGATGTCGTTCACGAACGAGTTCATGATGGACATGGCTTTGGTGGAAATTCCCTGCTCGGGGTGCACCTGCTTCAGGACTTTGTAGATGTAGATGCCGAAGGACTCCTTTCGGGCCTTTTGGTACTTTCGGGCACCGGCGGCGGGCTTGGCGGCTTTGGAAACGTTCTTGGGCATCTTTTTTGTTTTTGACAAAAGTGAAATGTGACTGAAAATGAGAAAAACACGCGCTTATATACAGTCACGTGGGAAGAACAACAATCATTCTTCTAGAGAAAAAATCAAAACGAAAACCCTTTTTTACATTTGCTCAATACATCTGACTGATTTGCTCTAGAAAGAATTTGTTTATTACAATCATTCAGATGATGAACATTTTAAACATTTACGATCAGAAGACAAATAAATCACACTAATTTGTTTTCAAATATTGACTCCAAAGCATACCCCGTCCACAAGAATTCCGAAAATTTTTATTGAGAAAATAGATTATGGACTGGGTGATCAGAGTACTTGTCAACCTTTTTCATTATTATGGATGGTTATGTTTAATCGTTGCGCTTTTGAGATGGTTGCTCAGAACGCGGTATCATTTGAACGATGCTCAGAGAAAAGGGTCTTCGAAATATCGGTTTGTAGTCGTTGGAGCAGGAATGGATTTGTCACTGAAATCAAGGAAGAAAAAAAAATCACCAGATTTCTTCCATATAATTCTAAGTTTGAAATTCTAATAAGGATTCTCTGGCATGATCGTTGCGTATTTCTTCAAAATGATGGAACTGAACTTTACAGTGATTGAACGAGGATCGAAAATTGGCGGAGCTTGGTACTGGAATACATATCCTGGAGTTGGATGCGATGTTCCTAGTCACTTGTACTCTTTTTCGTTCTTTCCCAAATCGAATTGGACTCATTTATTTTCTCTAGGCGGAGAAATTCATAATTACTTGATGAGCTGTTTTTACCATTTTGGGCTTGAAGAAAATATAGAGTTTGAGACGGAAATAACTCGAGCTTTTTGGAATGACAAAGCTCGACTTTGGGAGATAACAAAAGTGAATGGAGGCAGACAAACGGAAGAGACGTTCAATATCTTGATCTCATGCGCTGGTGGACTTCATCGACCAAATTGGGGAGGCATTCAAGGCTTTGAGAATTTCAAGGGACTGAAGATTCACACGGCCCAGTGGCCAAAGGATCTTGATTTGGCAGAGAAACGTGTGGGGATCATCGGTTCAGGAGCATCCGCTGTCCAAGTTTTACCCACAATTCTCCGTCGCTTCAAAGTCAAAAAACTTGTCCATTTTCAGCGAAGTCCGGCATTTATTCTCCCTCGGAATCAATTTGCATACTCTTCCTCCGCTAAAAGCATTCTAGCGACATTCCCATTTGGAATGATTTACAGATGGTCTCAATTCATCTACCGAGAGATCCGATACTTTTTTCTCTTGCGTTTCTGGAAAATTGGAGTCAACAACTGGATATGTAAAGAGCATGCCAAGAGAGTCAGAAAAGAAGTCAAAGATGAACGGGTCGCAGGAGCGATGATTCCCGATTTTCTTCTTGGCTGCAAAAGGATCATGATTTCTGACGAGTTTTACTCGGCTCTCAATGAGCCATGCTACAAATTGGACAACTCTGGAATTATTGAACTGAGCGAGAATGGAATTGTTACGAAGGATACTCAGCATGAACTCGATGTGATTATTTTTGCAACAGGATTTGATTGGACTGCGAATCTTAATTTTCTGATAAAAGTTTTTCTTACATCATTAATTCGAATTCATCATGTCATTAAGGACAACACGCATCTTCAGATGCTGAAGCCAGGAGCTGAGAAGAGGACCTTTTGGGGAGTATTTCATCAGAAGGTGCCGAATCTTGTCCATTTATTGGGCCCAATGACAGGAGTAGGGCACAATTCGGAGATATTTATGATAGGTAGGAAAGAAGGATTGCTATTTCAAACAAATATTCTTATAGAATGCCAATTGCAGGTTATAATAAATGTCATCAAAGCGCTTTTTGAGGAACGGAAAGACTGTTTCATGGTTACTGATAAAGCGTAAGCGCTTTTTCTTTTTTTTTGATAAGAAATGTATTCTAATAAGTGTTGATGAGTGGAACGAGGAGTGGAATGATCGAATAGAAAGTTGCATCCTCTCAAGAACAAACTGCGTCAATCGATATCAAAAAGGAGATCCGAAAAATCGAGCCTGGGGATTTTGGCCTGGGTGCACCTCTGAATACTGGTGGCGAACGAGAAGAATTTCAACGAAAAATTTCAAGTTCTTCAATTAATCTTTTTGAGTAATTCTAACTGATGACATTTCTAATGCTCCATTAAAATTTTTTCTTTATAAATTGTGCCAGTGTGATTTCATGGCAACGCATATTTTCTTGGATTTTTTGGCAATTCTTAATTGCGTTACTTGAACCAAACGTATCAATACTGATTATTACTGAAGATTCGAAGTGATTTTCCACACTGGCCTACTTCCATCTGCTCAAAACCAAGCGTGATTGCATCTTTCTCGCCTTCGTCCTCAAATGCGCCACCTATCTAGGTTTGCAATCTATTTTGAATAGATCTATTATTGAATCTATTTTGATGGTAGGCTATTTACACAGTGTAAATACTGCAGTCTGCAGAAACTTAGCCGAAATTCGTACAAGACTAAACAAATTTCGGTTTGGAAAAGCAATTTTTTGCAAAAATTACTCTTACAAAGCCAAGCAAAAAGCAGAGAGAAATGATCACTATTTACAAATTATTCGAAGAAGATGCCCTCGATCAAAACAATAACAAAAAAGGTAACATAGACTCTATGTCATAAAGATAATTCCAGAATGCTTACTGATTTCAAGGCTACGAAAACTGGGTCTATCAGAAATGGGAGGAAGAAACGATTGAGTTTGAAGACTCTTTTAGAATTCTAGACAGGCTTCGATTACTGGAGAGCAAGCTTGCCCAAGTGATCAAGGTAGGAAGCCCGAACCCTACCCTCGAAGAATGAAAATCAGGTTTTATTCTCTTATTTAGAATAGAAAGCAGCGACTGGGCAACTTCGAGGACAAAGTCTTCTTTGGAATCTGGACGGCAGACGACATGATCATCAAATGGGAGAAACAAAAGCTTGAAAAAGCTGTCGGTGAACAAACGGCTATCCTGAAGAATATAATGAAGTTGGAAAGCGATCTTTACAAACTGCTGAATGTCGCATAATTTTGCTTTTCTTCAAAATTGATGAACAGATAATTATGAAATAAATTAACAGTAGACTCATCATTCTTTCAAATATTTGCCAATTTGCTCATGCCAGAAGAACTAATTCTCAAACCGGACTCAAAAGGATATAATGAAAATTTTACTGTCTCTTTTTGCTTCACTTCGCGCAGAAAAATGTGCTCAGAGCTGTCCGATGCATATTGATACAGTTTGTGGAACCGATGGAGTAACCTACACGAACTCTTGTTTACTGGAAAGCGCTGCTTGTATGCTGAGGCAATCTGGGGAGGAGAAGGCTTTATTGAAGGTAGTTTTTCAAGGGAGTTGAAATATTACTTTCGAAGTAGGCTTATGATGGCGATTGCGTTGACTTTGGAAACTGCAAAGTTGCTTGTCCGCGAATTCTAGCTCCAATTTGCGCCTTCGACGGAAAAGAAACTGAAAGAACTTTCTCGAATTTCTGCGAATTTCAACGAGAAATCTGCGAAGAACGAACCAAATCCGCCCGTGTCATTCACGAGGGGGCCTGTCACGATTCCCTGTGAATTAGAAATAAAAACTGATTGGCCAGTCTCTTGGCAAATAAGAAATCTTCTGTCTTTTATTCTTTTCCAGAATAGTTTATGATCAGTAGACAAATAAAGAGGCCCATGCTTTACAAATATTGGCTCTGAGACAAACTCGTTACAGCAGAAAAAAAATTTTTCTCTGAAGAGATTTTCGAAGAGAATCAACTCTAGGAGAGAAAAAGATGATCGACTGGTTGATCAGTCTTTTGGTCAGCCTTTTTTATTATTATGGCTGGCTTTGCGCGATCGTAGCAGTTCTGAGATGGCTGTTAAGGACGAAGTATCAGTTGACAGATGCTCAGAGAAAGGGGTCTTCGAAATATCGGTTCGTTGTTGTTGGCGCAGGAATGGATTTGTCATTGAAATCATAGAAGAGAAAAATATACGCTAGAGAGTTTTTTCAGTGATTAATTCTATAACAAGGCTTCTCTGGCATGATCGTCGCATATTTCTTCAAAATGATGGAATTAAACTTTACCGTGATTGAGCGAGGATCTGAAATTGGCGGAACTTGGTACTGGAACTCCTACCCGGGAATTGGCTGTGATGTGCCGAGCCATTTGTACTCGTTTTCTTTCTATCTCAAGTCGAATTGGACGCATTTTTTCTCCTATGGTGGAGAAATTCACAAGTATATGATGAGCTGTTTTTACCATTTTGGTCTCGGAGATAATATAGGAAAGGGATCAGCATTAATTCTATCGATATTAGGTTAGAAAATTTTGAACCCAAAGAAAGAGTTTGAGACAGAAATAACCCGAGCCTTCTGGAATGATAATACTAGACTCTGGGAAATCACAAAACTCAAAGATGGCAAAACAACAGAGGAGTCGTACAACATCTTGATTTCCTGCGCCGGAGGACTTCATCGACCAAACTGGGGTGGATTCAAAGGAGTTGAGAAGTACAAAGGCCTCAAGGTTCATACAACTCGCTGGCCTCAAGATCTCGACTTGACGGGAAAACGAGTTGGAATAATCGGCTCCGGAGCATCTTCAATTCAGATTTTACCGTCAATCGTTCGTCAGTTCAAAATTGAAAAGCTGGTTCATTTTCAACGAAACGCAGCATTTGTTCTTCCACGAAATCAATTCGCTTATTCCAATCGCGCGAAATCCATTCTAGCCGTCTTTCCCTTCGGTATTCTCTACAGATGGTCTCAGTATTTGATCCGCGAAATTCGATTCATCTTTCTCTGGCGATTTTGGAAGCTTGGAGTAAACAAGTGGATCCGAGGACTTCATGCGACGGGGATTAGAAAGCATATCAAGGATAAACGAGTGGCAGAAGCGATGGTTCCTGACTATGTTATGGGATGCAAACGAATTCTTATATCGGACGAGTTCTACTCAGCACTCAACAAGCCCTGTTATAATTTGGACAACTCTGGCATTGTCGAGCTCAGCGAAAAAGGAATAGTAACGAAAGATGCGGAACATGAGCTCGATGTCATCATTTTTGCAACAGGATTCGACTTGTCCTCGAATTTTAACTTCTTGGTTGAGGTTCACAAGAGATTTTTATTCAAATTACTGATATGATTCTAGCACAACCCCAACCTCGAGATGCTGAAGCCGGATGCCGAGAAGAAGACTTTCTGGGGAGTATTTTATCCAAAGGTGCCGAATCTTGTTGGTTTATTAGGACCAATGACTGGTCTTGGGCATAATTCTATCATTTTCATGATTGGTAGGCGTGGAATTCTGAATTTATAAATATGAATATTGTAGAGTGCCAGCTCCAAGCAATCATAAACGTCATCAAATTGCTTTTTGAGGAACGAAAAGACTGCTTCGTGGTTACTGATAAAGCGTAAGAACCTTTTCTGCTAGAAAATGTTAAATCCGAACTAGTGTTGATGAATGGAACGAAGAATGGGTCGAGCGAATCGAGAGTTCCATCTGGGCCCGATCAAACTGCGTCAGTTGGTATCAACAAGGAGATCCAAACAATCGAGCTTGGGGACTTTGGCCAGGCTCTACTACTGAGTACTGGTGGCGAACCAGAAATATTTCTAAGAAAAATTTCAAGTTCTTCAATTAATTTATCTCTGTTAATAACAGACTGTTATGAATAAAATGAGCCAAGGCAACAAAATGACCTCGTTTGACATTTTTTTTAATTATGCTGTGGTAGAAATCCTTGGCGATATTTTTCTGTTTTCAGACGAACCAACGTCCTGTCTCCTTGACTCCGGGTTCGCTCAAGACCCCAAGGGATATGACTTCAATAAACGTACAGTTTGATGAATTGGTACTAAGCAACTTGAAGTTCGGGCTAAGTTCAAACTCATACCTTGGCAGCCAAGGCTTGACGGAGATAGATCAAGGTAGCCAAAACACCAACCCCTCTGTAACCATCTTCCACATGATCTCGGATTCACACACCTTCTTTGATCTCAGTCACGAGATATCAAACATTGGGAAGACTATTTATAAGAAGTTACAGTCATTTTTCAACAACAGAAAGAATCTTTCTAGTGCCAAGAGATTTGATAAAAAGCTCACCTCGACAAAGGTGAAAATGATCGACTCGTTGATCAGTTTATTCGTCAACATTTTCTATTATTACGGCTGGCTATGTGCAATAGTGGCTGTCCTCAGATGGTTGTTCAGGACGCGGTATGAGTTGACAGATGCTCAAAGAAAGGGGTCCTCGAACTATCGGTTCGTTGTTGTTGGAGCAGGAATGGACTTATCATTGAAATCATAGAAGACAATAATGTATTTTTGTCATTTTATTCAGTGATGAGTTCTATGAAAAGGATTCTCTGGAATGATCGTTGCAAATTTCTTCAAAATGATGGAATTAAACTTTACTGTCATCGAACGAGGATCTGAAATCGGCGGAACTTGGTACTGGAACTCCTACCCGGGAATCGGCTGCGATGTCCCAAGCCATCTCTATTCGTTTTCTTTTTACCTCAAGCCCAACTGGACACATCTGTTCTCTTATGGTGCGGAGATTCATAAGTACATGATGAGCTGCTTCTACCACTTTGGTCTTGGAGATAACATAGGAAGGGGTCAGTTTATTTTCAGGGTCTGTAGTATCAACAAGACGAGTTGTTGGTGTCTGATCCCAAAAAAAGAATTTGGAACAGAAATAACCCGAGCTTTCTGGAATGATAAGACTAGACTTTGGGAGATCACAAAACTCAAAGATGGCAAAACGACAGAAGAGTCCTACAATGTTCTGATCTCATGCGCCGGTGGACTTCATCGGCCAAACTGGGGAGGATTCAAAGGAGTTGAGAAATACAAAGGCCTCAAGGTTCATACAACTCGTTGGCCTCAAGATCTCGACTTGACGGGAAAACACGTTGGAATAATTGGTTCTGGAGCATCTTCGATACAAATTATACCGACTATCGTTCGCGACTTTCAAATTAAAAAGCTTGTCCATTTTCAAAGAAATGCAGCCTTCGTTCTACCACGATATCAATTTGCATATTCCGATCGGGCAAAATCGATTCTGTCCATCTTCCCCTTTGGTATTCTCTACAGATGGTCCCAGTATCTCATCCGTGAGATAGGCTTTTTCGTTCTCTTGCGTTTCTGGAAACTTGGCGTTAACAAGCTCGTTCAAAAACTTCATGCGGCTGGTATCAGAAAATATGTAAAGGACAAACGCGTAGCAGAAGCGATGGTACCCGATTACACTATGGGGTGCAAACGAGTCTTGATATCGGACGAGTTCTACTCCGCACTCAATACGCCCTGCTACCATTTGGACAACTCTGGAATTGTTGAACTCAGCGAAAAGGGTATCATTACAAAAGATGCAGAACATGAGCTGGACGTGATTATATTTGCAACAGGATTCGACATGTCCTCGAATTTTAATTTCTTGGTTGAGGTACATTCGATATTATCTGCTGATTTGACTGAAAAAATTCTAGCACAACCCACATCTTGAGATGCTGAGGCACGATGCTGAGAAGAAGACTTTCTGGGGAATATTTTATCCAAAGGTGCCAAATCTTGTTGCTTTATTGGGGCCTATGACCGCTCTCGGACATAGTTCAATTATTTTCATGATTGGTAGGGAAGTTCTGGACTTCATATTCATTAAAATTGTAGAATGCCAATTGCAAGCGATTATAAACGTCATCAAAATGCTTTTCGAGGAACGAAAAGATTGTTTCGTGGTTACTGATAAAGCGTAGGGAAAATTCTTGTTAAAAAAGTTTTAACAAGAACTAGGGTGAATGAATGGAACGAAGAATGGATCGAGCGAATCGAGAATTCAATCTGGGCCCGATCAACCTGCGTCAGTTGGTACCAGAAAGGAGACCCGAACAATCGAGCATGGGTGCTATGGCCCGGCTCCACCATCGAATACTGGTGGCGAACCAGAAATATTCCAAAGAAAAATTTCGACTTCTTCAACTAACTTCTCTCTGTTAGTCATTAAATACGAAGTTACAATGTCACTATTCTTTTTTGCTTTTATTTTCTACAAATGAAGATGAAAAAGCCCGTTTGGTCTTTGATTGCAAACAGGGCATTTTCGTTCTTTCCAAAAATGGTCTGTACAGTCTTTACAAAACGTATGTCCGCATGAAAGCGCCATTCTTCCATTTTTAACCGGCTGAACGCAAACGACACAAGCTTCGTACGAGTCCACCTGAAAGACAAATGAGATCTCCATCAGTATTTTCGTCAAACCTGTTGTCTCAGCTCATGCATTTGCCCCTCGACTTGTTTGATCCTGCTCTCAGCTTGAGCCAGTTTCGCTTCCAATAGCCAGATTCGCTCTTTGTCTTTTATATTTTCAATTTCCGGGTAGAAATCCGCTCCTGACGTTAGGCCAAATCTTTCGGCCGCCTAGTGAATGGATTGTTTAGCCTTTTTCTTCAATATGATCAGTACCTTTATGTAAGTAAGCGGTAAAATTCCAAGGCGATCTTTTTCGGCTTTTAGGCGTACTACTGCCCAATCTCGGTCGACTTTGGATTCGCACAAGATTTCCAGCTCTAAATTATTCATCAGACCATTTTTCGGCTACAACAGAACTGAGAGCGCTCGACTAAGACTACCGAACACTTTTGAAGCTTCAAACTTACCATCATTTTGAAAAACTTCGAGTTCAAACTCATATCTTGGAATAAAGTCAAACTTTGCATAGGCTGTGTTGATATCGAATCGTTCTAGCGCGCTTGAATTTTGTTCATTTGCACTTGAAAATTGATCGACTTCTTTTCGCAGCAGCTCCAGGAGATTTTGAGGTACACTCATTTTTTCTCTCCAAACAAATTGTTTTGAAAGAAATTTTCTGGGTAGTTTTTAGCTTTTCAAGTCACATGTTCGCACTTGCAAAAAAGGCGTGAAAATTGCTCAAAAAGTGGATCAATCAATTTTGATTCTTTTCGCAAGTTTCTGATATTGTTTTCTCTCAGAAGAGGATTTGGTTTCGTTTCTCTTTTGGATCAGAAAAGGATCAAATTCTTGAGGGGTCAGAAAAGCGAGGGTAAGAGCGACTTTCGTGGGGCAAAAGCGCTTTGTCTTGGATAGCGATGCACCTGGCACTTTGCCATAAATGGACCTTGAGGCTTGAGAGCAAGAAAAATATACCCTTGCTGTTTGACAAAGTTGAATTGACTACAAATAAACTCAGAATACTGACGCGATTCTAGTTGAAATCTAGAACGAAAATAGACAACGAAAAACTCCAATCAGAATAACTGAAACAAAACCTACTTGAGGGCAAATTAGCTTTTTCATACAAAATTTTATTATAAATTAATTAAATTTATAGCGATTGTTACAAAAGTCAAACGTTACGTGATACAAGACAGGCCAAACATCCAATCCATCGTGGCTCCCAATTGTTTCTAAATTTTCGATTTTGTCTTCTTCATCCAAGTCTATGCGCTGCAACTCGTAATTATCGGTGCTGTCACCGGGAATCACATAAACCGATGCTCCAATCTTGATTGAGGAATAATTGTAAACTCCCTTAAAAATTTTTCTGTCTCAGATATTGTGTTAATAATTACTTTTTGTAAAGTTCCATCCAGGGTCCATTCTTGGTTTTCGAGCCGCCAAATATTCTTCTTGGTGCTATCGCTATCTCCCCCTATAAGAAGCAAAGAACCAGAATCCAAGCCAACAAGGCCATGGCGCGAAGAGCCTCTTATCAAAAATACAATAGCTTCCGAAAATTAAAGCATTTACGTTGGATGGTCGACGAGACTAGTCCATTGATTATTTCTAAATGTCTCGACTTTTGTGTTTCCGTCTGAGCACCAGCTTCCAACTGTCGTTGGGTTACCTTCGTAAAAAGCAAGATAACCAGTTGCATGAGTGAATTTAGAAGAATTCGTTGGAGAGCAAGTGGTGCCATCAAATTTATCACATAAATTGGCGAGTTCGCTATTTTCAGGAAAGCATAATAATGCTTTTTTAACTCAATCAAACTTAACCCAAAATAATAAAACTTACCTTCGGTACCACCATACAACGCAAGAGTAGCCGGAGGAGCACCTCGAGAATAAAAGCTTAATTCTGCTGAAAGTTGAATGAAATTGCACCCTTCAAGTCGTGCGATCTAATAAGCATTTCTTAGCTGATATTATTACAAAAATAAACTTTTTGCCTGTTATCTCCTCCACTAAAAATGTGAAGCTTATCATAAAGAACAGCATAAGATGCTCCTTCGTAAACATAATTGTCTGAAGGTGCTGTGATGCTCGGTTGATAAGATGACACTCCGTCTCCAGATATGACATATGAGTTCGAGATACCGCTACTCAGAAGAATCATGATTGCAGTTTCCTCCTTAATGTCGTCTTATAATAAAAAATTAAAAAACTGGTTTACCGGAGAAATCGAGGGGGGTTTCGTTGTTGTAGTAGAGGGAGTTGAATTTACCTTCAATAAAATATTTATTTATTTATTATATATATAATATATATATATATAATTATATACTTCTATTTGAATATAAATTCATAAAAAACAAGCCCACATGAGCGCGGTATTTTTAAATTTCCCATGCGTTCCGCTGTTAACCTCTTCATTAAAACAAGGACACAATGCCATTTGATCAAGGTACTGATCATAACAATCATTGAAACAGTCGTTCGTTGGTTGACACTCTTTGGAGCATACATTCTGAGAATCGAATTAATACGTGAAGATAAGAGGTTTCTTACAAATTTTTCAAGAGCTAGAAGCAAGCAGACTCGATACTCCTCATTTTCCTCCTGGGCGTTTTCGCAAGAATTCTCGCAAAGATAATTTTCACAGTTATCGCAGCCACCAGGACATTGAAGTCCACACGGACAGAAAGAATCACAAGCTTTTAATTATAAGATTTTTCTTTGTTAAAAGTCCTACATGAAAAATTGTCCAAGCATTCGCTATGACAATAAGAACTCTCACAATCAGAAAGACAATTAACGTAGCTCATTCGGCACTCAGTCAAGCACTGATCATAAAGATCCGGCACACTTAGTTGGAAAATTATAACTGTTATTTTTGATGGGCGCTTACTTGCATTCCATGTCTGTTTTAGGGCCGAAAGCCCTCACAGCATAATCATAGCAAAGTATTAAAAATACTATCTCTTTCATTGTTCTAATGCTTTCGCAAAAAATTGCAAAGTATTTATTAACGTCGTTTCTTACAAGAACTGTGGGAACGATTCAAGCCCGGACAGAAGGAGAAATTCGGAAAGAGAATCGTTGAAGGAGCAAATACCTTTCGAATATACGGTATACCGTGGTTTTCCATCTTAAGAGCGCCCAACTTAAGAGCGTTTTTGCCAATATTTTCCATATTTTGTCATCTGCAAAAATTCCAACTTTAGAGCGTTTTTGGGTATTTTAAATCATCAAATCAGAATAACGTCTATTTCAACCTGAAAAAATCTTTAAAAAAGCTGGTTCATACGCTTTTTCTTAGTTGAAATTAGTGACTCTGATTCAAAGATCGAAAATATTTTATCATAAATAGGTAAAAATGACTTCGGATGCATTGTTAGAGTTTTGGAAAGAGCTCATTTTATGCATTTTCAGCATCATTTTTTCCCACTGTCATCGTTGCTTGATCGTAAATTTTCCAACTTAAGAGCGTTTTGGTCAACCCTTGTCATCCGAAAAACGCTCTAAAGATGGAAAACGACTGTACTAGTATTTACGCAAACACGAACAGACTCAGGAAACGAAGATTATTCGACCCTCATGCAATAGTTTAAAATCAGTTTTTTTAATTTCCTAATAAAAATTCCCATCAGTATTCCTCTATGTTGTCAAATTCGATTGATCCTCCTTAGCAGATCCGGCTTAAAATTAAAAATGCTCCGCGTCCTGCTCAAAATTCGTTGATCAAGGAGGCCTTCATGGCTTTTAATTTAACGACTCAAGGTCTGCTGCCATTATTGCCATTAACCTGCGCCAGGGCGGATTGAGTTTCAACTTACAAAGAAACGTAAAACGTCAAAAACGCCAATTTCAGCGGAAGCTGATTTTTTGCATATGCAGTAAAAAATAAGAGAGAAAAGAATATCGGAAAGCGAAGAGGCGAAAACAAAAGAAAACGATGATTTTGAAGAGTTTCTGTCAAATGCCGATTATTTTATATTATATCGGAGCAGCTGTATTTTCCGGCGGAGTTATTTTTACGAAAGGGCTAGGAAATTTAGTTGTAGTAGAATTTGTTTAAAGAATAATTGGAGTGAAGAAGTCGTAAAAAGGAATCAGAACTTTTAATTCTGAAGCAATTTTCGATCGTAAAAATGATCATAGAGGACTTTCGTTTCATTCTTTCGAAAATTCTGTAATTCTGTAGAATAGCAGTTGATTCTAGTTGATGGTATTTTGCTCACGTTACAAATATTCCAAGCCTCTGCGAAAGCTTCATTCTCCCGGAGAAGACGAACATGGAGCACAACCGGAATGTAACTACATCACTCCTTGTCCTGCTGGTAAAGTGTCATTTTCTGAAAGGCCGGCAATGATCAGGCACTCTCATTATACTGCAGGAATATGCTGTCTTTTTGACGTGAAGAAAAACACGTTTTTCTTTGTTATAAAAATATATCTAAAGGAATGTCGCAAAACAAGCAGTTCCAAAAAAGACCAGAAGATGATCCATCCGCGCCCGCAATAATTGCGCTCGCTGGAAATTACAAAAACATTCTTCCTAAATGTAATGTTTTCTTTTAGCATCCGGATACCGAGCCCAAAACACCACTTTCCGATTTAAACCGACTTGCTGAGTACAATTCAACGCGGCTGGAGAAGAACTGCGCATTGTGTCATCCTTCCTGCTTGAAACGGGCTTTGTCACTTGCAGACGCGAATGTTTGTCTTCAATTAGTCCTTGCATAATTTCAGAGCGTCCTTATTTTTTTAAAAAATCCCAAGACAGCCAAGAGTCATGCGAGAAGAGATGTTATTCAAAAGAATATGCACTCCTACACTTCATAAAGCGACGATTAAACTTTTAGATCAAAGGGGATCAGATGGATAGTTATGGTGGTTTAGAAATAATTTCATACTATAAATATCTTTTTTTATGATCAATAATTTATTGACAATAAAGTTCGAAAATTGAATCCCCCTTCAGGTGTAGTTGGAGTTCCCTTACTAGCTATTGGGGCTATATTACTTGCCGTCGCATTTTGCTACCCAGATGACTCGAAAAAGGTACTTTCTCTTTAGTTAGGAATCCTTACCCTTACCCTTCTAGGAATACAATTACATCGGAATAAAGCGACATCACGTGAAGCTCGATGAAGTTCCTATCCGCTCAAGAAACTCTATTATGATCGATAAATATCATCTCGACGAAAAATAAGCTGTATCTCCCTGTAATAACAACAACTTTAAACAAAAAATGAGCCTCAAATAAAGACTAAGACATGCCTTATTATTGACTTCAAAAAGCCGTCTTTACGATAAGGAATAATTTTAATTAGAGATCTGCTGAGAAATTATAATATACATATAAACAGGCTGACTTCTCGAGTGCTTGAGTTAATTAAGAGTCTTCCCTTTCACCAAAGCTCAGAAATAAAAGGAGCTCTGTGGAAGTAGGCTAAAGACGTCAGACATGACGCCGCGCTGAATACAAAGCACTAAAATTGCTCCAGCAGTTTTAAAGTTATTTTTTTGAATAGGCAAAAATCAGAGAAAAAAATTATTGCAAGCGTAAAATAAAATGTAGCATAAATGTAGGCATAAATTTTATAAATGAATTCAAGTCTCTGAGAATTTTAATTCTCCTTATCTTTGTTAAATTTAAGCTTGTTATGTCCTTGTTTATAAGTTTGTTAACATCACTCTGTTCTCTTTTTCCCCGAAAATATGGGCCGGGAGCTTACTCTATCGCCTTTTATCTTCCCCTCTTTTTACATATATTTTAATATGTAAGGAGAATAGTCTCCAAGCAAGCGTAAAAGAGGACTCCGATCGGTGAATTCTCCTTTACACTTTTAGTAAAATCATCGAAAAGAGAAAGACCTCGGTGTCAAGCTCCGAATAGTTGCGATTAAGCCGCTTGAAGTAATACTACGACCTCTCAGGTCACGCTGCTACTGTTCGATGAAACCGCTGATAAATATTTTTTCGAAGAAGAAGGTCAAACTTCAAGGTAAAAGTCAAGAAAAAACCTTAGCAAAAAAAGATACCGACCCCTGTATGGAAATTTTTTCCTTAGAAAAGCGCCACCGAGCGAGAATAAAATAATTTTTTTCAGGCCAAGTTTACGAATGCCCGGAAATGGACGAAACTTTCTTCTTCGATTTGAAAGCAACTCCTCATGTCTTCAAAGGAGAAAATCGAAATGATTTTATGGTTCGCCAGAGCTTAATTTCCATCAGTTCACGTACTTTTCAGTCCTTCAAGTTCGATCCTAACATTCGAATGTTCACCGGAATAGTTAGATGGCAATTGCCGCATAATGATAGAATCGCTGAAAGCTGGTTCCAGTTTAAATTTACGGAAGATTACCAAAGCGTTGAGAATGTTCAGCGCAAAAATTACGATACGGCGAAGCAACAAGTAGATGCCGTTTGGAAGAATAAGAATCTTATGTATGAATATATTCAGCCTAAAACGAATAAGGTAAGAATATACAATAGATATATGTTACTTTAAATCATTCTCAGAACGAAAAATGGCGAACCTTTGATATTTCGCTCGAAGAATGTCCGACCATTAGTGGAATTCCGAGGGTCTTATGTAAGTTGAAATTCCTTATGAATCTTAATAGTTTTAAAAAGAGAGCTTGATAAGGGTTTATAAAACTTAATTCTAAGACATTTGCTGTTCTGCGATTGAACGTCGCCCAGAAAAATCGTTGGGTGTTTATCGTGCTCCTGGCAATCGACAGCTGCAGGAGCGCCTTATCAAAGTCCTAAACAACAAGCGCCACAAAACACAAAGCATAAAAGAGCATGTAAATGGTACGTCAAACCGCTCTTTTCCTGTTTTCAACCAAAGATAAGCCTGCGACTCCCAAACCCTAGCTTCCTTGGTGATCGACTTCATCCGCCGACTTCCGCAGCCAGTCCTGTCCGATGAATTCCTCGAAGACTGCCGAGAAATCGTCGCGATGGAAGACGACATCGAGCAAATTCGAAACTTCAGGAACCGGCTTCTTCCTTCATTTTTGATAAGAAAGACTTCCTACTTCTATTCGATAAGAGATTAGTTTTGACAGCCGCGCGCAGATCGCTCCTTTCAGCCATTCCGAAAATCAATTTTGACACGATTGATTACCTCAGGTACGTTTACGGAGAATCATCATCAATTCTAGCGCCTTTGAGTCATCTTTTTGCTTGTCAAGCGGTTTCGGTAAATGGGGTTATAATATAAATTTCGGACTAAACCAATTTATGGAAGTGCATTTTTGGATTACCAATAAGATCGCTGTATTTTGCCTACCGGCCAATCAAAACCCTGATCCATAAAATCACTTCCATAAATTGGTTTAACCCAAATTTTTAGCTACCACTTCCACCTGGTAAGCAGTTTCGAAGAGTCAAAAATGGATCCCTTTAACCTGTCTGTATGTTTTTCGGCTCATCTCTTTCGTCGCGTATCGTCCACCAATTTCGCCACGGGTCCGGAAGTCGTTCAAGGTAAGTCCGCACGCTAACCACCGTCATCAAGGGCATTTTCAGCCGCTAAAACGCTTCAAATCCAATGCGAGATCCTGTACCTTCTCATCAGCCGCTATCCGGGAAGGGACTAGAGCTCTTCGTTTTCTTGGCAGTTTTAAATTTCCACAGCTGCTGGTCTTCTGTCAGCGCGATAGAGGGCTTACGACACTGACACCTAGATAACGCAAAAAGGGCTGGACTCTATTTTGGAGGGGTTAAGGGAGGACCAAAGCGATTATAGAAGAGCCAAAGAAGAGCTTAGGATGTACTGGAATCGGAGATTGTTCCTTTTGATTGACCGCCTAACTCTTATCTAACGGAGCTTTTAGACGTTTGAAGAAGAGTAGTTGAATGGTATTGTTACTTACAACAATCTTATAACATATCTTTCAAGCCCAAGATTCGAGCACCGTTTCCGTTTCCGTTTTAAATTGAAACCGCCCAATTCCGGGTGAAATGTTAAACATAATAGACAAGCCTCTTAGCAGAACAAACGAAGTATTTAAGTATTCTTAGTCCCCATAAGTTTATTTTTACCAACGATCCTCTACCTGCCGTTCTTCCTGCCGAATACACGAACAACTTCAAGCGAAATAATTTCAATACCCTGATGGAAATGCTTTAAAATGCGCTTTAACTGAATAAATCTCAGTTTTCTTAAAATTCTTTTGTTCGCAAAGAATGTTCTTGGACAGTCCAAAGAGGGGACTAGTAGTAATTTATTGTTCGTGGAGCAATTAGTCTTCTCAGTAGGTGTCCGCGCGTCAAAATGGACTATTTCGTGGATACCGAGTAAATAGCCCCTTTATACAGTATTTTACTGTTTTCGTCATCTATGAAAATCAAAATAACAGTTTTTACAGATAAATTTCCAGCTTTAATTTCAGTAAATGAGAATGGTTTCTTTTTTAATCAAGCGTCACGTTAAAACGAACAAAGCCAGGTTCTTCTTCTTCCCATTTTTCTGACCATTCGAATACTTGGTATCCGTAGTCATAAAAGCTTTTTGAATGGCGAGTAACAGCGTCAGATTCCCCAGTCTCCTCATTTATTTTATGGACAGAAACATTGAATTTTGGATCTCCTCCTAAGAAGATGTTTGTTTAAGTCTCATATTCTCTCTGCGCGATCCTGAAGGCTTGGATATTAACCTTTTTTCTTTAAACCAAAAGTGTATTCACGAAATGTCACAAGTTTTGTTCTTTCTATAAACTCTTCATAATCATATAAGTATTCTCTACTTATTATTTCTCTTTCTTCCTTATCGATTTCAAACTTGACGCTCCATCCATGAGCATTAAAAAGAACGTTCTCACATTTAAATTTAAAATTGACTGTTTTCTGACCGAGAGAGAGTAGCCGTAGAATCTTGTTTAGTTCTTTCGAAGTCATATGATCGCGGTAACCACCGTGTTCAACAGATCTGTCGTTTTCAGTGAAATGTCCCGCACCACCTTTCGGGCCCAAGATTTGCATTAATTGCTGTCCGTTGGTTGACAGAATTGGTTGCGTATTTTTGCCACGGGAACGACTTGATGAAGAATATGAGTGCACATAATTCTCATTATACTCGTTTCGTATATTTTCGAAACTTGATTCCAATGTTTCTGCCTTCTTCGACATTTCATTCGATATCTTTGGGGGAGTACTGGATTGTGCCGCCCTGCGCCGCCCAGCGTTGCCCGGTCCGGAACCAATCGACTCTCATTCGACCAAACCATGACCTAGGAAAGAGTTCTGAACAAGAGCGAGAGTTGGGCCCCGCCAACCCAATGACTCATTGCCAATGAGTCATTGGCTTACCGGACTAAATTTCGACCCGTATTTCTAGCTTAGCTGGGTGGTCATATGACACAGTTTTAGAAAGCCTAGCTTCTGGGCTTTCATTTGGGCACAAATTCAAGGGGTCTGGGTCATGCCCGCAAGGCAATTCATGGGACCTGAAGTCCCAAAATAGGTACTAAAATCCTTCAAACTAATTTTTCGATGGCCGTCCGGGCTCGAGAGTAGTCAAGAGTCACATATTTAGAAAGCTGAGGCTCTGAGCTTTCAGTAGAGCTCAAGAAATCTTAGTGCCAAGTGGTTTGTGTCCACCTGGAGGCGCTAGAAGTTGGCGGTAAAAATCCGGAAATGCCGGAAAACTCGGTTTTTGAGTTGTAAACTCTACAATTATATGTATAAAACATTTATAAACAATAATTCATACATTAAAAAGTTTAACCGCGGTCGAACCGGGTGGTCAACCGGGTGGTTCATCGTGGGCCATAATTCCATGTTTTTGAAGGTTTCTAGAGTTGAACCACCCGGTTCGACCGCGGTTAAACTTTTTAATGTATGAATTATCGTTTATAAATGTTTTATACATATAATTGTAGAGTTTAGAACTCAAAAACCGAGTTTTCCGGCATTTCCGGATTTTTACCGCCAACTTCTAGCGCCTCCAGGTGGACACAAACCACTTGGCACTAAGATTTCTTGAGCTCTACTGAAAGCTCAGAGCCTCAGCTTTCTAAATATGTGACTCTTGACTACTCTCGAGCCCGGACGGCCATCGAAAAATTAGTTTGAAGGATTTTAGTACCTATTTTGGGACTTCAGGTCCCATGAATTGCCTTGCGGGCATGACCCAGACCCCTTGAATTTGTGCCCAAATGAAAGCCCAGAAGCTAGGCTTTCTAAAACTGTGTCATATGACCAACCAGCTAAGCTAGAAATACGGGTCGAAATTTAGTCCGGTAAGCCTGGCAATGAGTTCTCTACCAGAAAATGCACGCGTAAGGGCCTTTGGCCCGTCGCGTGCTCAATAAATTAGTGATTTTATGCAAGATCTGAATTTGATTGAGAACTACGCTACTGGCACCCTGAATTATATGTTTTACTTATTTTAACTTTTTGACTATATAAATAAGTGAGAATAACTAAGTTGATACAAAAAGCTTAAATTGTGGCCTTTGAAAGACCAAGTATCTTCAAACCCGGTGAGGCTGGGCGGCACAGGGCGGCGCAGGGCGGCACAATTCAGTGTCTCCCATATCTTTCGCTGTTTATTCTGATTCTCTCTTAATTTCTTTATTGTTTTCTCCATCTTCACTTGATTTTCCTCGAGCATGATAATCTTTTCCTCCTGAAATTTCAGTATCTTCTTCAATTCTTCTATTTCTTTTTTCCAACCTCGACCTTTGAATAACGTTATCAGAATTTCGGTATTTCTTACTTTTTGGAGTGTCACTCATATTGTGTTGATTTTTAATTATTCAAAATTAAAACTTGCTGGCTCTAGGTTTAAAAACAAGTATTGGGGAGAAAAAATGAAAATTTCAGGGTATGAAAAGTCGTTTTTTTGCAGTTTTTTCACTTTGAGGGTGTTTCTTGGGCGCTAAAAAGAGTTTCTAACCAGCGCGATTTTTTTCAAAAATTTTCATTTTTGGTCAGGGAAAAATTTTTTGGGACCGGAAGTACCTACCTTGCGGAGCTCCTCCTGGCCAACTCCCCTTAGATTTTTTTGTTCTCTCTTTTGCACGTGATTGCTTGGGGCCTGAGTGAGTCCGCAAGGTATAGAAACCCGAGCCAAAACAAACGCCTACGCATTCCAGAGCCATAACCTGTTATCACTATATTGGCATATCTGGGGTCATTTTTCCTACGTTTTCGGCCTAAATGAACGGTTTTATACTTGTTTTATCTTTAACAATTCAAAACATGAATAAAATGATCGACCGACCAAGCGGTTGACCGCGGTTAACCGCGGTTCAGCCCTTTAAATTCTTCAAAACACTACAATATGTATATTTTTCGACAGGAAATTTTAAATGCAACATTTTTGCAAGTTTTGATGATTAACAAAGTGGTGGAGAATTTATTCATATAGGAAAGGGGCTTCTAAATGACCTATAAAAGCTTATTCAATTCAGAGAAATCAAGGAAAGGACACCTTGTACTATCCGGCCTCGCATTCAGCGACCAAAAAAAGCACTGTCCAAATCGATGAGATCATTATTAGACGAACAGAGACCGAACTGACATGCTTCCGCCTTCTTTCTGACATCAGAGACGGGATCTAAAAGACCATTCAGAAGGGAAAGCTTCTTTTGAATATAAATATGGCGAGCGTCAGCAACTACGGTCCTTTAGAAGAGTACTGGTCAAAACACCTCCAATACTGGAAATTTTATTACCCCAAGTATCAAGTAAGTCGACTTCAAAATAAATAGCATTGATAATTTTATTAGAATTTTGCGAAACAAGTGGCTTTTGGCCCTGCGAAAATTCATAGTGGGCGAGATGGTTGACTTGTTAGAAAACGAATGCACGATCAATGAGAAATCGATATGAGATGACAATCAATCGCAAGGCAGTTGCAGAATTGAAGAAAACGATTTTCAGATACAAATAACCTGACAAAACTGAATTCAGCGAGAAGCTGAAAAACCTAGCAACTGGACAAGAGAAGTTCAAAAGGAGAAGCTACAAAAAGAGAGCTCTAACGTTGGTTAACGACAGGAGCATTGTCGAAGAAATCAGGAGATATTTAGTGGCGAATCGCGCATCT